AATTTTATTATTTGTGAAAATAATTGAATTCTTGAGACGAAATTTTATTATTTGTGAAAATAATTGAAAAAAATAATTTAAATAATCCCTTTTTCGAAATATAATAAATATTATGAAAATTTTATTCTAAATAATTGAATTTTTGAAAATAATTGAAATTTTGCCAAGAATTTTATTAAAATTTTTGAAAATAATTGAAATTTTGAGGAGAATTTAAAAAAATTTTTAAGCATAATTGAATTTCTGCGAAGAATTTTATTCATTTTGAAAATAATTGAATTGTTTTTAGAATTTAATGAAAATTTATGAAAATAATTGAATTCTTGTGAAGAATTTTTTTTTAAAATAATATTCAACAGAATTTAGAAAATCTGAAGAATTTTGCTTTTTTATGGAAATAATTGAATTCTTGACAAGAATTTTTTTTACAGTTTCTATAAATAATTGAATTCATTCAAAGAATTTTATAAAAATCTATTTAAAATTTTAAATAATTGATTTTTTTCGAAAAATATCAGGAAAATATCTTAAACATGAAAAAAATTGCTTTTAGTGTAACTAAGCTAAGAGAAGCGTCCCCCTCCCCTAAGTCAAAAGTAGTGGGGGAAGAAGCTCCGGCATGGTGGGGAGTCGCTTCTCCCAACCTCGAACTCATAGTTTATTTTTCCTTTTCACTAGAATGTCGCGGCAATGTTTTTACGAACGTGTTTTCTTCACTCTTCTTTCTTCCCTTTCTGAAAATCTCACGCATTAGGCTAATTTAAGTTCGCCTGTCGCGCGCTATATATTTTTCGTTTTCAAACGAGTAAATATTTCTCGTACGCTAATACTTTGTGTATAGCAACAAGTTATATATCCGCATTCGGTAAATATTGAAAAATACATTGAAACATTTTTATACTCTATATTTAGTTCTCTTTTACAAACTCTCTCACAAATAAATATAAGCCGCGCGCACTATGTGTGAAAATACAAAAGAAAGCCAAGTATAATATATAAAGAGGGAAAAAAGAACAAATTGCAAGAGAAGGATCATGTCGCGCGAAAAAGAGAAACCTCTCGCGGTGAGAGAAAGAAAAGTACCCTTTAAGCTACTTTCACAACAGTGCGAATGAGATTTGATATAAATGCGAGAGCACCCGAGGAAAAGTGTATAGAGAAAAGAATTACTAACTTTAAAACTTTAAAATATGTCAAACTCGAGGAAAATGTTAAAACTATTTTGTCTTCTTTTATATACATATATAGATATATCTGCCGTAGAAATGAAATCACACGTCAAAGTGAAGAAAGATCGAGAGCGAATTCAATTTTTTATACTTTGCAAAAAATTCTTATATATTCACATAGTTATCGCAAAAATTGTTTCTTAAAAAACAATTTCGAAAATTAATTTTAAAAAGTATTAATTTTTTTCCTTTGATAATAATGTAACAAGATTATACATTTCCCTGATTTACAAAAAAACAACTTTCACTTTTTCCCTGCCTCTTAAGAACTTTATTTTTAAATAAATATTATTAATCATTATTATTTTTTCATAGAAATTTAGATTTTAAAAAATTTTTAATTCAATAACATATGGTAAGAATATTATTATAAAACATGAAGATATCACGTAATTTTGCAAATTTTTTGAAATTTTTGAACAGAATTGAATTTTTGCGAAAAATATTATGAATTTTGAAAATAATTGAATTCTCTCGATGAATATTGTTATTTTTGAAAATAATTGAAATTTTGCTAAGAATTTTATTAAAATTTTCAAAAATAATTCAATTCCTGAGAAGAATTTTATTATTTATGAAAATAATTGAATAGTTGCTAGGACTTTTATTAAAATTTTACAAAATAATTGAATTTCTGTAAAAAATTTTGTTATTTTTGCAAATAAATTGAATTCTTCGTAAAAATTTTATAAACATTGTTTTTATTAATTTCTTTTTTCGAAATATAATAAATATATTATGAAAATTTTATTTTAAATAATTGAATTTTTGAAAATAATTTGGAATTTTATTAAAATTTTTGAAAATAATTGAATTTCGGAGAAAAATTGTATTATTTATGAAGATTGAAGATAATTTAAATTTTGAGGAGAATTAAAAAAAAATTTTTAAGCATAATTGAATTTTTGGGAAGAATTTTATTACTTTTGAAAATAATTGAATTGTTTTTTAGAATTCTATGGAAATTTATGAAAATAATTGAATTTCGGAGAAAAATTTTATTATTTTTAAAGATAATTGAAATTTTGACAAGAATTTTTGTAAATTTTTGAACATAATTGAATTTCTGCGAAGAATTATATTACTTTTGAAAATAATTGAATTCTTGAGACGAATTTTATTAAAATTTCTTTTTAAATAATTGAATTCTTTTGTGAAATTTTATTGAAATAGAAGACATTGAAAATAATTGAATTTTGCCAAGAATTTTATTAAAATTTTTGATAATAATTGAATTTTTGAGAAGAATTTTACTATGCTTTTGAAAATAATTGAATTTCTGCAATAATTTGTAATTGCTTCAAGGTTTATAAAATTCCCTGACATTCCCAGGTTTTCCATGTTTCCAGGTTGCATGACAAACCTTGAAAATAATTATTGAAAATCTCTTTTCTTTGAAAATATTTATTTTTACGATTCTTCCCTATATTGAGAATAAAAAATTTATAATCGAAAAAAATAAATAAAGAATTCTTGAAATGCTACTGAATATAAACTTGCACCCGCAGAGAAATATATTATGCGCGAAATTGAATAATTAAAAAAATGAAAAAATGAAAAAATGAATGAATGACAGGATATTAAAAAGAAAAAAAACTTGGTTGTGTTCTACACACGTTAATTCGATCATTATAAAGTGAGGGCTGATTCACGCTTTAATAAAAAGCAATTATTCTGCTTGTCAGACGGTGACGAATCAATAGATTGGACCACGCCAAAAATATCAGTGATCGAACTTTATATATTTTCAATATTAAAAAAAAATTCTGCCCAACCATGTGGAAAACCATCAAAACTGATAAAGACAAATATCAACAACAATTTCTGTTACATTCTCTATATATATGCATATACAATGAAGAAACAACTGATAAAATCAAAACTTCCTTGTTTACATATACATTATTTGTCCGCACTATTGTTTATGTTTTGTAAATAATTAATAATTTCTGATTTTAAAAAAAAATTTATTTGTTTATTGTAATTATTATTATTTAGAAATATTTTTGAAAATAATCGAAATTTTGTCAAAAATTTTATAAAAATTATTGAAAACTTTCGGCGAAGAATTTCATTATATACTTTTTAAAATAATTGAATTCTAGTTATGAATATTGTTATTTATGATAATAATTGAAATTTGCAAAGAATTTTAGTAAGAGATGAAATTCTGGTTAAAAATTATTGAAAATAATTGAATTCTTGTGATGAATACTATTGTTTATGAAAATAATATTGAATTTTATCGCAGGATTTTGCTATTCAATTATATATCTAGATAATTGGAATTTTGACGAGATTTTTTTGAAATTTTTGAACACAATTGAATTTCTGCGAAAAATGTTATTAATTTTGAAAATAATTGAATTCTTTCGATAAATATTGTTATTTTTGAAAATAATTGAAATTTTGTGAAGAATTTTATTAAAATTTTTGCAAATAATTGAATTTCGGAGAAGAATTTTATTATTTATAAAGATATTTGTAATTTCGTAGAGAATTTTAAAAAATTTGTTAAACATAATTGAATTTTTGCGAAAAATATTATTAATTTTAAAAATAATTGAATTGTTTCGATAAATATTGTTATTTATGAAAATAATTGAATTTTGCAAAGAATTTTACTAAAATTCCTGAAAATATAATTCAATAACCTAATTCTAAAGAATTCAATTATTTAAGTAGAGAAATAAATAATTTATGTAATGTTTATAAAAATAATTGAATCATTGCGTAAAAATTTATATATAATTGAATTCCTATAAAATTTTTATTATTTATCAAAATAATTAAATGTTTGCGTACAATTTTATTAAAATTTTTTTTAAATAATTGATTTCTTTTGACGAATTTTAACAGAAATATAAAAATAATTACATTTCTCGAGGAATTCGATTAAAATTGTATTAAAAATAATTGAAATTCTGCGATGAGTTTTATTGTTTTTTTTAAATAATTGAATTCCTAAAAACAATTCTATTATTTATGAAAATAATTGGATTCCCAGAAAAGAATTTTATTATTTTACAAAAATAATTGAACCCTTGTAAAAATTTTTATTATTTATGAAAATAATTGAATTATTGATAAGAAATTTATTTTAAAAATTTGCAAATAATTGAATGTTTGTGAAATTTTTATTATTTAAGAAAATAATTAAATGTTTGCGTAGAATTGTATAATAAATTTTTTAATCTAAATGAATTCTATTGCAAAAATTTTATTAAAATAGTAGATATTGAAAATCACTGAAATGGGGAAAATTTTTGAAAATAATTGAAATTTCCCCAAGAATTGTATTAGAATTTTTGAAAAATACCATATTTAATTGACTCAAATAAAATTTATTTGATTCAAGTAAATATTTAATTGACAATAGTCAAGTAATCGGTTATATTTGAAACGTTACTATATGTATAGTAAATTTTACGTTATGTCCAGTAAACGTTACTATGTGTATAGTAAACTTTACTTAATGTCTAGTAAACTTTACTATGTGTATAGTAAACTTTACTTAATGTCTAGTAAACTTTACTATATGTATAGTAAACTTAACTTTATGTCTAGTATACTTTATTTCAGCCTATTTGAAACAAACATGAATTGAACTATTTAATGGACTCAAATAAAAATTATTTGATTCAAGTAAATATTTAATTGCCAATAATCAAGTAATCGGTTATTTGAGTCAAATAATTTTTTTCTTAATGTAGCCAACTAAAATATTTCTTAAATATTATTGTAATAAAAATATTACTAAACTATTCTCACCTGTGACCGTAAATAATAAAAGTCCTCCAAGAATCTTGAAAAACATTGTTCACAACACCAAAAAAGAAGAAATCGCTTTAAAATTCACTTTATTCGTCGAAACACAAAAAACTGTTCACACAAATTTCCGACAACTTCTCCTCGTCAATTTCATCATTAATTTCTATCTAACTTAGAGAATCTATTAATTCCTATTTTTACTTGTCAATATTATTTCTTTCAACTAAAAACCTACTAAATAAAAATTTGTAAATAAGTAACAAATTGATAGCAAAGTAAAACTTTGTAAGAATTGATATCAAAGTAAAAATTTTCAAAAATTGGTATTAACATAAAAATTGACAAAAATTGATAATATGAACTGTAGGAGAAAAGGTAAATATTAGGTAAGTAATGTATTAAGGGGTTGAAAGTGTTATAAAAGTCGAATTTGTTCTTTTTTTGTTGTTTTCTAGTGTAAATGATGAAATTGGAGAACACGTGACTCGGTACAGCCGCGAAGGAGATGCAGAAGTGACTAACGATAACAACACAGTTTAACACACAAGTTTAACTTTTAACAGTCAGTGACCGGTTGACTATATAGGCAGCCAGCAGCCTGGCAGTCGGTTCAAGACTGAGTACAAGTTCACAACTTCAGCAGCCCTACCAGGATTCCTCAGTCCATATGCGGCCACTTCTTCTACCATTAAACATTCAAGAGATCATCCGACACTGCTACCCATAACAAGAACATGATCCAATCCCAAATAGCGCAATATTACTTATTTATTTCCTATATTATCCACGTTTCCTAACATATTCCACATTGCAGGAATTCATTCTTCACTATTACCAACTTCTGCCTTATTTCAAGACATATTTTATTCGCAGGGCAATAATATGGTTCAAATTTACGCACAGCCCGCAGGGCTCGAACCGCAGTCAAAGTATTTAAAAAATATACAAAGTTTACGGACATTATTATTATTACTGGCTAAAATATAATCAATCCGAGTTAAATAAGAGAAAATTTTACTTAAAAGTATAAATTAAATGACCGAGTAATAAAAGCATTATTTTATATTATAAGAATATTGTTACTGTAACTATTATTTTCATAATTTTAATTCAATTATTATTTTCTAGAATTTTTAATTATTATTTTTTATGAAAATAATTGAATTCCTTAAGAAAAATTTATTATTTTTAAAAATAATTGAATTCCTGTGAAATTTTTATTATTTATGAAAATAATTAAATGTTTACATAGAATTTTATTAAAAAATTTTTTTATAATAATTGAATTCTTTTTGGGAAATTTTATTACAATAGTAAATATTGAAAATCAGAAAAAATTTTGAAAATAATTGAAATTAGGACAAGAATTTTTTTGCCATTTATGAAAATAATTGAACCTTGGAGAAGAATTTTGTTATTTACAAAGATAATTGGGATTTTTAAGAGAATTTTCTTCAAATTTTGAAAAATTGAATTCTTACGAAGATTTTTAGAAAAAAATTTTTAAATAATTGAATTCTGTTTGGTAATTTTATGAAAATAGTAGATATTGAAAATCATTGAATTGCGAAAAGTTTTTAAAAATAATTAAATTTTACAAAGAATTCTATTAAAATTTTTGAGAATAATTGAATATCTATGTTGCATTTTATTAAATTTTTTTGAAAATAATTGAATTCCAAAAAAGCATTTTAATATTTATAAAAATAATTGAATTCTTGCAATCGATTTTATTAGAATTTTTTAAAATAATTGAATTCATGTAATGAATATTGTTATTTATGTAAATAATTGAATTCTTATTCATAAAAATAATAGAATTCCTGTGAAATTTTTATTATTTATGAAAATAATTAAATGTTTACATAGAATTTTATTAAAAATTTTTTTAAATAATTGAATTTGTTTTGGGAAATTTTAATTAAAATCTTAGATATTGAAAATCATTGAAACTAGAAAAAGGCATTTTGTCTTTGAAAATAATTGAAATTAGGACAAGAATTTTTTTTGACATTTATGAAAATAATTGAATTTTGCAAAGAATTTTATTAAAATGCTTTAAAATAATTGAATTTTCGAGAATAATTTTGTTATTTATATTAAATAATTGAATTCTTTCGAAGAATTATTTATGTAAATAATTGAATTCTTGGGAACAATTTTATTAAAATCTAAAAGAATAATTGAATTATTTCGAAAAATGTTAATTAAAATTGTATTTAAAATAATTGATTTCTATCGAACAATTTTATTAAAATATTAAAAAATAATTGAATCCTGTGAAAAATTCTAATATTTTTGTAAATAATTGAATTCTTCCATAGAATTTTGAAAAAACATTTTTATAAATAATTGATTTTTTCGAGGAATCGAAATTGAATTTTTAAGAATAATTCCATTTTTTGAGCAATTCCTGTAAAATTGTATTAAAAATAATTGAAATTCTGCAATGAATTTTATTATTTATGAAAATAATTGAATATTTGCAAAGAATTTTATTAAAATTTTCAAAAAGAATTGTATTCCTGAGAAGAATTTTATTATTTATGAAAATAATTGAATTATTGTGAAGAATTTTATCAAAATGTTTAAAAAGAATGGAATTTCTGTGAAAAATTTTGTTATTTATGAAAATAATTGAATTTTGCCAAGAATTTTTTTTTAAATGACTTAAAATAATTAAATTTTCGGAAATAATTTTGTTATTTATCTTTAATAATCGAATTCTTTCGAAGAATTATTCATGTAAATAATTGAATTCTTGGGAAGAATTTTGTTAAAATCTAAAAGAATAATTGAATTATGTCTAAAAAATTTAATTAAAATTGTATTTAAAATAATTGACTTCTTTTGAACAATTTTATTAAAACATTTGAAAATAATTGAATGCGTTTTGGGATTTATAATTTTGTTATTTATAAAGATAATTGGGATTTTTACGAGAATTTTCTTCAAATTTTGAAAAATTGAATTCTTACGAAGATTTTCAAAAAAAAATATTAATAATTGAATTCTGTTTGGAAATTTTATAAAAATAGTTTAGATATTAAAAATCATTGAATTGCGAAAAGTTTTTAAAAATAATTAAATTTCACAAAGAATTCTATTAAAATTCTTGATAATAATTGAATGTCTGTATGGCATTTTATTAAATTTTTTTGAAAATAATTGAATTCCCAAAAAATTCCCCAATTGAATTCTTGCAACGAATTTTATTAAATTTTTGCAAATAATTGAATTCATATGAAAAATTGAATTATTTGCAGAAATATTTGAATTTCTGAAAAGAATTTGATTATTTATGGAAATAATTGAAATTTTGTCAAGAATTGAATTCTTTCGAAGAATTTTAATAAAATTTTTGAAAATAATTACATTTTTGAGGAATTTATTTAAAATTGCATTCTATTAAAAATAATTGAAATCCTGTGAAGAATTTATTTGTAATTATCTAATAAAATTTAAAAAAAAACTAATAAAAATTAGCAGCGATTTTTTTACTATATAAAAAAATAGTAGTCCTCAACCCAATAATTTCTCTGATAGCCCTAATTAATATAGAACATGTATTTGTGTCCTTTTGCGAGAACAATATAGAAAAAAATGAACAAAAAAAACCCCTTTTATAAAATTTAAACTTTTTAAAAGCACACTATACATTGCGTAAACGAAAGAGACAAACGACTATACTTTTATATTCTGATTTATTTTTCAAATAATTGTATTCTATATCAAATTTTTTTCAGTTTATTAAATTTTTTCCTATGCAACAGAAGTCTAATAATCCTTTGTTTTTTTTTACATTTGAAATTCGTTATACTATTTTGGAATGTATATGAATAACAATATCCCAACTTTTTTATTGATTCAATATAATGTTTTAAATCCAGATTCCAATATACAGTGTATATTGTCGCATATCCCAATTCAGATTCGTTTCAATTGTATCCAATTTATTGTGAGCCGTTTAATCAAATTTAATGTCCTCATATAGTTTGGAAACAATGTCGCATTAAAATCTCTTGCGGTTAAACATGGATTATAATGTAAATTACCGAGTTCGATAAAAATTATAATAATATGTGTTTTGTGTGTAATATAAAAGGAAGAAAATTTTAATAAATATTTGTCATTCATTTTTAATTAGTGCATGGACTAATTTGCAATCTATATAGTTAATTTCCTGTTCTTACTATATATATATATATATAATAATTGTTAGTAAATTTTTACTAAATTTTTAGTAAAATTTCATTAATTGCTACACTAAAAAAAAATTTGATTCAAACAACCTATTAGTTGTCTATTATCAAAAAATATTTACTTGAATCAAATGAATATTTACTTGAGTCAAATGAATATTTACTTGAATCAAATAAATTCTATTCAAGTCAAATAAATTGTATATTTGAACCGATAATTTTACTATTTGAGGAAAATACCGTTTAATTGACTCAAATAAAAATTATTTGATTCAAGTAAATATTTATTTGATAATAGTCATAATAGTAATCGGTAATTTGAATCAAATAAATTTTTTTTGCAGTGTAATCATCTAATTTACTGAATCAATTAGTGAAATTGTTCAATCGACTTTTAATAAACCTTTTTTACTAATTTTTCCTAAAATTCTACTAACAATTCATAAAATATGACTAATTGCTAGTAAAATTATTACTAAATCCAAGGTGTCTACTATTTTCGTTCAACAAAATTTCCGATTTTTTCCTAACTTTTCCCGGCTTTTTTTCTCATCAAATTTAAATTTATTTGATTTCAAACATAAATAAATCTACAAATGGCTTAAAAAATTGTTATTAGAGTTTTTATGAATAATTAAATTCTTTTGACAAGTTTCTTTAAATTTTTTGAAAATAATGTTCTTTTAATAATTTTAATTAGAAATTTGGAAAATAATTGAATTAAACAATTTTTAAAATAATCTTGTCTGTTCATAATTATAATTGAAAACATGATTAATTCAATTTTATTAAAAGGTAATGAAGAATATAAAAGAAATTTTAAACATAATTGAATTTCTGCGAATTATTTTTGAAAATAATTGAATTGTTTTTTTAGAATTTTATGGAAATTTATAAAAATAATTGAATTCCTGCGAAGAATTTTTTTTTAAAAATAATATTTAAATTTAATAGAAATAATTGAATTCTTTCGACGAATTTTATTAAAATTTTTAAGAATAATTGCATTTTTCGCGAAATTTATTTTAAATTGTATTAAAAATAATTGAAATCCAGCGATGAATTTTAAAATTTATAAAAATAATTGAATTCATGCAACGATTATTATTCAAACTTTAAAAAATAATTGAAATCCTGCGATGAATTTTATTATTTTTGAAAATAATTTTTGCATAGAACTTTATTAAAATTTTTAAAAAATAATTAAATTCTGTTTTAAATAATTGTATTCATGTGAAAATTTTTTTATTTATGAAAATAATTGAATGTTTACGAAGAATTTTATAAACATTTATTTTAAATTATTCAATTCTTTTGGGAAATCTTTTATTAAAATACTAGATATTAAAATTCATTGACTTTTGAAAAATTTGTGAAAATAATTGAAATTTAGCAAGAATTTTATTAAAATTTTTTAGAATGATTGAATTTCAGAGAAAAATTGTATTATTTATAAAGATAATTGAAAGTTTGACAAGAATTTTTGTAAACTTTTTAACATAATTTAATTTTTGCGCAAGAATTATATTACTTTTGAAAATAATTGAATTCTTGAGAAGAATTTTTTTCACAGTTTCTAGAAATAATTGAATTCTTTCGACGAATATTAATAAAAATTTTAAGAATAATTGCATTTTTCGAGGAATTCGATTAAAATTATGTTAAAAATAATTGAACTTCTGCAATGAGTTCTACTATTTATGAAAATAATTGAATATATTGCGAAGGGATTTTTAAAAATAAAATAATTACGGTGACTAACTTTCCTCGATTATTTTCGAAAAAATTAAATAAAATTCTTTAAAAAGAATTCAATTATTTTGAATAGAATGTAAAGAAATTTCAATTATTTCAAAAATTTCCAATTATTTGTTTATAAAAATCAAATTATCTTGAAAGAATAGAATTGAAAAATTTCAAAAATAAATAAATAAATATCTATAAAATTTGAAATAAAAAGCGATTTTTTAAAAACAAATTTAAATACCAAATAAAACTTTTTTTAATTTAGTGAAAAAATTCCCAATGTAATTAAAATCTACTACAACGGAATGTTTCAGAAATTAGGTTAACATTTGAGAAAATATATTATTTTCTATTATTGGATTGATGCAAATTAATATTTATTAAACATCCGGTTAATTGATTTTCTAAATGAGAAGATATTTTCTATTCAGTTCAAATTTTTCTTAAATTGGAAACTAATTAAATAATTAGCATTCAAATGGTCCCTCCTAGTTATTCAATTAATAAAAAGTCTATTCTTAAATTTACTCAATTAATAAATTACGCGCCAGTAAAGTAACTAGAGACACCTATCATGTAAAACTGAACGCACGATTTTTCCTCTACGGTAACCGACTGTTAATAATTTAGTTTCGAAATTAAAAACTAAATTACCATAAATATCGTTTAATTGCCAAAAGTTAATTAATTTTAAAAATTTGAAAATTCACAAAGAAAAAACTGAAAAAAAATTAATTTGAAAATTCTTGCTTTTGCTAAACATCTTCCATTTGAATTTGATCCTTTTTTTAACACAAAAAAAATAAAAATCCTAAAAACAAAACAAATAATAATAATAATAATAAAAATTATTATTATTAAAAAAATAATAATAGTAAGAATAATAATAGTAAAAATAACAGTAAAAATAAAAATAATAATAATAATAATAATAGGTAATAATAAATATAATAAAAATAATAAAAATATTATTAAAATAAACAAAGTTTGAACGATTTTAGAAAAAAGTCAAAAAAGTTGAGACTAAAATTCATGATAATATAAACAATTAAAATTTAGTTAAATCTCATTAGAAATAAACAATTTTTTTACTAAAGTGCAAAAACTTAAAAACAATAAAAATTGAGGACAGAGTAATGAAATGACAAAACAGAAATTAAGAAGAAAATTAATATATTATAAGATAATTTCCACAGTTGTATCACATTTTTTTTCTATATTTTAAAAATACATCGAAAATAAAAAAAGTTGACTAAGTTTAGTGGAATAAACAAAAATTTTCATATCTATTTTTTTAATTATTATTATTATTTAAATGAAAAAGCTTTTTAAAAAGCGCCACCTCGAAGTCGTAAAACTAAATGAAGAGTGGATTCTTTTTGAATATTATAATCGGACAGTGTTCGGCCATCCTCCAATTGTTTACCGGCGAAGATCAATCTCTGCTGATCTGGTGGAATTCCCTCTTTGTCTTGAATTTTAGCCTTGACATTTTCGATCGTGTCGGAAGCTTCGACCTCCAGGGTGATGGTTTTACCAGTTAGGGTTTTGACGAAAATTTGCATACCACCACGAAGCCGAAGGACCAAGTGAAGGGTGGATTCTTTTTGAATATTGTAATCGGAAAGTGTGCGTCCATCTTCCAATTGTTTACCGGCGAAAATCAATCTTTGCTGATCTGGGGGGATTCCTTCTTTGTCCTGAATTTTGGCTTTTACGTTCTCTATCGTGTCGGAGGCTTCGACTTCCAAAGTAATCGTTTTTCCGGTCAAAGTTTTAACGAAAATTTGCATTCCACCTCGAAGACGAAGGACCAAGTGGAGCGTCGATTCCTTCTGAATGTTATAATCGGACAAGGTGCGTCCATCCTCCAATTGTTTGCCAGCGAAGATCAATCTCTGCTGATCTGGTGGAATTCCCTCCTTATCCTGAATTTTAGCCTTGACATTTTCGATCGTGTCGGAAGCTTCAACCTCCAGGGTGATTGTTTTTCCGGTCAAGGTCTTTACGAAAATTTGCATACCACCGCGAAGTCGGAGAACCAAGTGAAGGGTGGATTCTTTTTGAATATTGTAATCGGAAAGTGTGCGTCCATCTTCCAATTGTTTACCGGCAAAGATCAATCTCTGCTGGTCTGGGGGGATTCCTTCTTTGTCCTGAATTTTGGCTTTCACGTTCTCGATCGTGTCGGATGCCTCAACTTCCAAAGTGATGGTTTTACCAGTCAAGGTCTTAACGAAGATTTGCATTCCACCACGAAGTCGGAGAACTAAATGCAATGTGGACTCCTTCTGTATATTGTAATCGGAAAGTGTGCGTCCATCTTCTAATTGTTTACCGGCGAAAATCAATCTTTGCTGATCTGGGGGGATTCCCTCCTTATCTTGAATTTTAGCCTTAACGTTCTCAATTGTGTCGGAAGCTTCAACCTCCAATGTAATGGTTTTACCTAAAAAAAAAGACAAGAAAAATTATTAAAATTTACAGAATCAAGAATTTACTTTTGTTTGTTTTCTCATTTTTTATTAATAAAAACTGACTTTCTAAATTTGAATTAGAAAAAGTGGCTTATAATTTGAATTATTGACTGACACTGATTTGAATTATTTTTTTGAATTAGTAAATAACAAATAGTAACTAAAGTTAACTAATAGTTAATAACTATAATTAACTAATAGATAGTATTTTTCTACTATTAGTAAAATGTAGTAATCCAAATTTTGAAAGATTTTAATTCGAAATTGAATTATTTCTAAAAATTCACTACTTTTAATATTCAATTACATAAAATTATAACTAAACTTCATTTTCTAATCAATATTTATTAGAATATTTTAAAAGAATTGAATTATTTAAATTCAAATAAAATGCAAATAAATAATTTATTGAATAATTGAATGTTTTTCAAAAATTGAATTCTCATAAAGAAGATAAAAAAATCCTTAAAATAATTATTTTAAGAATAATTACATTTTTCGAGGAATTTTTTTAAAAATTGTATTAATAATAAATAAAATTCTGCGATGAGTTTTATTATTTATAAAAATAATTGAATTTCTGTAAATTTTACTTGTGAAAATAATTGAATTATTGCGAAGAAAATAAAAAAAAATTTGTTAATTGAATTTTGGGGAACTTTTAATTGTTTTTGAAAATAATTTAATTTTTGCGAAGAATTCTTCGCAAAAATTCAATTATTTCAAAAAATTTTAAATTCAATTTTAAAAAAATTCACGCAACATTTCAATTATTTTTTTTATAAATAATGAAATTTTTCTTCGAAGTTCAATTAATATTGAAAAATTTGAGTAAAATTCTAGACAAAATTTCAATTATTTTCATAAAATTTTCCTGAATTCAATGATTATCAATATTTACTATTTTAATAAAATTTTCCAAAAGAATTCAATTATTTGAAAAAGAAAATATTGATAAAATTTTTTTTTAAATAATTTAATTCTTTTGGAAAATATTATTAAAATATTAATAATCATTGAATTAAAGAAAATTTTTAGAAATAATTGAATTTTGTCAAGAATTTTATTAAAATTTTTAAAAATAATGGAATTTCGGATAAGAATTTTATTATTTATAAAGATAATTGAAATTTTGATGAGAATTTTTTAAAAAATTTTAACTTTATTGAATTTCTGCGAAGAATTTTATTACTTTTGAAAATAATTGAATTACATCAACAGATTTTTAAATAATTGAATTAACTTGACGAATTTTAATAAAATTTTTAAGAATAATTACATTTTTCGAGGAATTAGATTAATATTGTACTAAAAATAATTGAAATTCTGCCATTAATTTTTTTTATTTATGAAAACAGTTTAAATCCCAGAAAGAATTTTATTGAGAATAATTGAATTATTGCGAAGAAATTTAAAAAAAATGGTAAATTACTAAATTCCTGTGGAATTCACTGAAATGCGTCACAAATGTTAAAAACAACAAAAATTTTAGTTAAATTCAAAATTCCTTACCAGTAAGAGTTTTAACGAAGATCTGCATTCCACCACGAAGACGAAGGACCAAGTGAAGCGTCGATTCCTTCTGAATGTTATAATCGGACAAAGTGCGTCCATCTTCCAATTGTTTGCCAGCGAAGATCAATCTCTGCTGATCTGGTGGAATTCCCTCTTTGTCTTGAATTTTAGCCTTGACATTTTCGATCGTGTCGGAAGCTTCAACCTCCAAAGTGATTGTTTTTCCGGTCAAGGTCTTGACGAAAATTTGCATACCACCGCGAAGTCGGAGAACCAAATGAAGAGTGGATTCCTTTTGAATGTTGTAATCGGAAAGTGTTCGGCCATCCTCCAATTGTTTACCGGCGAAGATCAATCTCTGCTGATCTGGTGGGATTCCCTCCTTGTCTTGAATTTTAGCTTTTACGTTCTCGATTGTGTCGGAAGCTTCGACTTCCAAAGTAATTGTTTTTCCAGTCAAGGTTTTAACGAAGATTTGCATTCCACCACGGAGTCGAAGTACTAAATGCAATGTGGATTCTTTTTGAATATTATAATCGGACAAGGTGCGACCATCCTCCAATTGTTTGCCGGCGAAGATCAATCTCTGCTGGTCTGGTGGGATTCCCTCTTTGTCCTGAATTTTGGCTTTTACGTTCTCGATTGTGTCGGAGGCTTCGACTTCCAAAGTGATGGTTTTGCCTAAAAACAAAAAAGATTTTTTTAATTTCACAGACCATGAATTTACCTCCGATTTTGTACTTTCAAAGGCAAAAACCTATTAGATAATTTTAACATAATTTAAATAAGTAAATAATAAATTTTATATGTAAATGATAAATTAAATAAGTAAATTAAAAGTCAAAGAAGTAAATGATAAATTAAGTAAATAAGAATATAAATAGGCAAACAATAAATACGAAAATTATTTCACTGTCATTTAAAATTCTTTACCTGTGAGAGTTTTAACGAAAATCTGCATTCCACCTCTGAGACGAAGAACTAAATGCAAAGTGGATTCTTTTTGAATATTATAATCGGAAAGTGTGCGTCCATCTTCCAATTGTTTGCCAGCGAAGATCAATCTCTGCTGATCTGGTGGGATTCCCTCTTTGTCTTGAATTTTAGCCTTAACATTCTCAATTGTATCGGATGCCTCAACTTCGAGGGTAATTGTTTTGCCAGTTAAAGTTTTAACGAAAATTTGCATTCCACCTCGAAGACGAAGAACCAAGTGGAGCGTTGATTCCTTTTGAATATTGTAATCGGATAATGTGCGACCATCCTCCAATTGTTTACCGGCGAAAATCAAACGCTGCTGATCTGGTGGGATTCCCTCTTTGTCCTGAATTTTTGCCTTAACATTCTCGATCGTGTCGGAAGCCTCAACCTCGAGGGTGATTGTCTTCCCCGTCAATGTTTTCACAAAAATCTGCATGTTTGCCTGTAAATAGTTTCGTGTGAATAATTACTAATTGACAATTAAATTCATCCTTTTCTAAAAATACTACGTTTATAATAATAATTTGAACTGACAACTAAATTAATCTTTTTTGAAAATACTACGATTATAATAATAATAATAATAATAATAATTATTAAGTGACAAGTAAATTCAGTTTTTTCTAAAAATACTTCGATTATAATAATAACAGCAATAATAATTTTTATAATATTAATATTGAATTAATAATTATTATTATTACGAATTCGTAATTATTATTTTTATTATTATTATTTAGAAAAAGTAGTATTTTTAGAAAAAGTTGGAAGTTATTTGTCCAGATTGAGTGGAAGAATTCAGAGCGTAATTTAGTTTTATTTATCAGTGACGCATAGTGACGACAATTCACTTTTTCCCAAGAAAATGTTCCAGTTCTCTGTTTAATACTACTTTTCAATTGATTATTAGAAAGCAACTCAAAATTTCTCGGCATTTTTCTCATTATATTTATAAAGAAATTAAAACGACGGTAATGGCCTTAATTAACGAACCTTGAAGACGTAACGGGAAAAAAAGGATTATGAAAATAAAGATCATGTTGGGCAACGGTATTAAATTTACATGACCTTTCTATATTGAATCATTTTCAGGGATGTATTGAAATTATCGTCGCTCTCCGTTCATGTAATGTTCATTAAAAAACCAAAATAAATAATTGAAAATAAAGTTAAAAAGTTCAAAATAAAGTGAAAAAATATCTAAACTGAGAATTGAATTATAATTTTTCTATAATAAATGCTAAGTTTGCTCCAAAACATATGTTTTAATTTCCCAATTGAGTAACGGTCATTTGGAAAAACATGAATCATCAAATTTTCACGATGATCAATAAAGTTAAAATGGACTCGTCCAATATGGCCGCCAGGGAACCGCCCAAGCTCATCACTTGGCAACAAAGAAAATATCACCAAAAATCGCTCACCGAACAACAAACACTTAATTTTCAAGAAAAATTTATAAATAAGTTTTTGCGAAATTATTATCAAACTAGAAAATCGAAGGAAACGAATCAAAAAAACAAAGGAACACGAATAGCAATATGTCAGAGGTATAGATGCACAAAAGAAATATAATTCACAAATAAATTATTTTAGAATATAAATTTTTTAAGTAGAAAAGAAAGATATTTTCGAAATACTTACCAATTATATAAGACGTAGAAATCCAAAATATCGATTTTATTCTCAGAAAAATAATATCACGATTAAAGACTTGTGACTCCGTTGAAGAACACTTGAATACTAAACGGGAGAGAAAGAAATCCCCTACTTTTATAACCTCCCACTAACAACGTTGGTGGCGTCACCGGAAGTCACTCCTGATTGGTTGGAAACTATATCCCACAAAGAATTAATAATATTTTTAGGAGAAAATAAATCCTTTGTTTTTTAAAAATAATACACAAAGAATCTTTAAATTTTATTTTTTATATTTCCAAAAAAATTAAATTCTTCATTTACTCGAGAATTTTTTCAGAAGTAATGATTTTAGAGGGCTTTACTTTCGGATTTTACTTTACTAGCTTTACTATAATTGGATATATTTACCTAATAATTGAATTTAAAGAGAAAAATAATCAATATTTTCATAAATATTGTGCAGAAACAGAAGGAAATTCGTTGTTATCGAAAATTTCTAGAATATTCACGATAATATTCTATTCTCGATAATAACAAGTCATTGCAATACACGTGTATATTAAAAAAGAGCTGATGCAATATTTAAAAGACAGGTTAAAACACGCCAACAATGATTCATATACTTTTTTCCTTATTTCCCTTTTTTCAAATTTGTAGAACATTTCTTTTGTGCATAAAAAACTGTTTTTAACGCAATTTTTTTCTTTAAATGCAAGTCGAATATTTGATTACAATAAATAAAAATTCTATTTAATTCTCTTATTTTAGTCTAAAAATAATGACAAACTGTTTATTGTAACAAATCGCGTAAATTATCAATATTTCTCGAAAATTTATTTTTAACATTTCCGTTTTTCGGTAAACAAGAATTTCGTGGAAAAATAGAAGAAATAAATTTCCTCCTTTCGACAATCAATTGCACAAAAAAGATTGACATTAATTTTTTTTTTTTTTTGAAATATGAATTAGTTTATTTATTTGCATCAATTGTACACAATCCTAATGAATAACAAATAATCACGTATTGCGCAGAAATTACAAAATAATAATAATGGTTATTAATTAATACAACAATGAGTTAAATTCCTAAAAATACTGAATAAAAAAAAAGGAAAGAAAATCATAATTGAGTTTTTTTAATCGTCAAAATCAAAAATTCTGAAACGAAAAAAGAAAAAATTCTTCTCTTTCCGTTTCAGCATATTTGATTTCTTTTCTATTTCTTTATTAATGCACTTTTGCAATAATGAATACTTTCTTACGGTGTATTGTATAACACATGTCATAATAATATGACGACTAGCATTTCAAGTCTTTTATTTAAAAATTACTATAAAGTGAAATATAAATTTCAATAATCGAAATTTTTACATTAAAAAAAAGAGTACTTTTTTCTGAAGAAAAAAATTAACGCAGTTTACAATCATAAAAAGTGAAATAAAAAGGGATTTCAAAAAAAAAAATAAAAAATAAACTCAAAAATAAAAAAAAAATGTTCAATACGTTTTTGACAATCCATTGACATAATTCTAAGAAAATTGAAAAATATTTATCTTACCTGCAAAAATTATTGCAAAATTTTTCTATTTCCTATTTTCAATTTTAAAATTGAAATTTTATTCTTCAATGAAAAATTATGTTAATAGATTGAAAATTATTTCAACTTTTTTTCATCAAAATCATCACAATAATTAAAATTTTCAAATTGCACCTAAATTCTAATATTTTTCATTTGCAAAAAAAAAGAAATTTTCATTTGCAAAAAAGAAAAATACGTCTATAATTTAAATATTTCGCTAAATACGATGACGAAAACCGCTATTGAATAGTGGAAATGTATAATCTGGTAAAATTACAATTAAATGAGAAAAAAGTCAAGAAAAAAAACGTAAATGCCAAAGAAAAAGAAATCATAACCACTTTTCAATTGGGTGAACTGTTATTTTTTAATAGGAACAATACAAAAGTCAATAATCATGTATTTTTTTTTTGTATTAAAAAAAACACGATTTCAGTATATTTATTAATACTAAATTTATTTTTACGCACTTTTCCACAAATACTCGAGACAATAAGATTTACAACAGAGTCAAAAATTATTTTTGACAAAAATTGTTGTAAACAAAATATCTCAATTCAGGGAAAAGTGATTATTAGTAAAACACCACAGCATTCAAATAGGATTAGTTTCTTTTTTTTTGTAACGGAGATACAAAAAATTGACGGTATTGCTTTATATTTTTTTCTATATTCAGGCCTCGGATCGACTTTAAGGAGCAAAAAAAAGTTGCTTTAGTCGATTAAAAATATAAAACGAAAAACGAAAAAGTCGTTTATTTAATGTCACAAGAATTTTATTTTGTATTTTCCTGATTTTCCCCTTTCACTGATTTCTAAATTCAATTATTCAAAACTTGAACAATTTTGTTAAATAAATATTTAAATAATTCTTATTAGTTTTTCCATAGGAAAAAAAATAATTAAAAAAATTTCAATTTAAAACCTTTTGAAATTTGCTAATCTTTTGAAATTACATTTATAACTTTTCCAAAATTAAATTATTTTCTTTTTTAACTAAACTTCATCTTCAAATCAATTATTTTTAATCATTTTTCAAAAGTTCTTCCAATTATTTAAATACTAATTTAATTAAAATATTAAAAATAATTGAAATTCTTCGATTATTTGTGAAAATAATTGAATTTCTTTTGAAGAATTTTATGAAATTTAAAGAAATAATTCAATTATTTCGACTAATTTAATTAAAATGTTGAAAATAATTGAAATTCTACGATTATTTGTGAAAATAATTGAATTCCTAAAAAGAATTTTATTTTTTATAAAAATAATTGAATTCTTGCAACGAATTTTATTAAATTTTTGTAAATAATTGAATTCCTGTAAAAAAAATGTTTGTTTGTGTAAAAATAATTGATTTTTAAAAATTTAGAAGGAAAAATTTCTAAGAATTAGTTTTTTCAAAAATATTTGAATATAATTTTTAGAAGCTAATTTTCATATTATTTATAAATCTACACTGAAAGATTTTTCATTAGAATTTTTGAAAAATTCAATTATTTTCAAAATTTGCAATTAAAATTCTTTAAATGTTGATTTTCAAAAATTGTAATAAAATTTATAATGAAATAAATAAAATAAAAAAATAAAATGAAAAAAATGAAATGAAAAAAATGAAATGAATAAAAATGAAATAAATAAATAAATAAATAAATAAAATACTTAAAAAAATCAATTATTTTCAGTTAAATTTTACAAAATTTCAATTACTGAAAAATTGTTTAATTTTATATTTCGAAAACTTAATTAGAAAAATCATTTAAAAATAATTTTTTGAAAGATTTGTCTATAGTTATATTTTTCACACTTTAAAAATCAAAATAAGTTTGCATTTTATACCAAAAATGTGTTTTTTTTTTGGCAAAATTTTGATGAAAAGTCGCATTTTTTGAAAATAGTTGAAAAAAGTCGAAAAAGTCATAATATCCAAGGCCTGTATATTTAAAAAACAAATCTCATTGCTCTAAGCAAATAATTTCATTAATAATTATTAATGAAATTAATAATTACAGAAAGAAAACAAATTGATAATAGAGATGTTTCAAAATCATGCAATAAACGAAATTTTACTAATAAATACTTAATTGAATAAAATATTTCAAAATTATCCTTTCTAAAAATGAAACTATAATTGAAATACTTTTAAAAAAAATTTCATTTTCTAGTTTCACATCTCTTTTATTAAAAATATTGAAAATGTGTAAAAGAAAAAAGGAAATTTGAGAAAAACTGTTTCACCGGTTCTAAAATTGTGTTACTGTGTGTGTGGCCAGATACACAAAAAACATTGGCTCCTCGCTTAAATCCTGTAGATAATAATGGTTTTTTTTTTGAGTTCAAAAAAAAGGAAACGTCCAGAAAATATTATACACGTTTGGTTTATTCAAGTGTTGCAAATACAAGAGCAAAAAAAATACACCGTATGTCGAAGAACTATTTTAAAAAAACGACTGTTTAGACTAATGGCAAATTATTGAAAGTTTAAACTTTAACTGGAAAAGAAAACTCGATGACAAACTTTTATTTAAAAATCTTGCAAGCAAATTTCGTTTCCGAAATTACTAAAATTATGCGTTGAAAAATTATTAATAGCAAACGTTTCTTTTTTTCTTTTTTTTTTGCTTTTCTTTTTCATTTCTGTACGACTACACACACAACATACACATATGAAGTCTCGATACAAATGTGGTCTCTAAGCTTTGCTTTTTCAAAAAAAAAAATTCACAAATTATATCCTTCGATTACAACTTCCTTTTTTTTAAAGTAGATTAATTGCTTAATACGTAATCCAAACTACTCAATGCATTCTCTATCAATTCATTCGAGGAATTCCTAGAACTAGATTTTTATTTCTGCCACAATGACCTGTTTTTTAAGAAGAGAGGGGGTTCAATAACTTTTTATAATAGTTATTTATTCAGTCTACCTTTCTTTCGATTCAATTAAACAAGAAAAAAAAAGACAAACAAAAATTATAGTTATCTCTTTTCTTTTATTTTCAAAAAAAGAGATAATAATTGATTAGACAATAATATAGAAGTATTACACAGAATTATAAAAGAGGAATTAAAAATTGTCAAAGATAAACGAAAAATGTTAAAAAAATTTCCAAACATTGTCGTCGAGAATCAAATCAAATCAAATCATTTTTTTCTCTATATCATTTTTTTTAAAGAAAAAGAAATAAACAACTTTTGAACTTTTTAAATAATATTAACCAGGTCATTGAATGCTTGAGAATTTCTTCTTACGTTTAGATAAGTTATACTTAATCAGTAAAATTGAATGTTTTGGTAGGAATCTACTTAGAATCCGTCTCCATTTTGACTTCTTCGGCTTTCTTGTCCTTTTTCGAAGTCTCGCTGTCCGTTCCCTCGCCATTACTATTGTCGCGTCTTCGTTTGCGAGCGAAACGTCCCTTATATTTGGGTGGCGGAAGTTGTTCCATACCAAGGACTTTATGAATTTGTCGGAATGCCACTAACCTGAGTGCATGCTGCGCCGAGGAAGTTATATCTTCCCTTTGTTGGGCAGTCATAGTTCCTATTGCATCAATTGGATCCTTTTCGCAAGGATCGGACAATCCTGGAATTTTGAAAAAAAAAATCATATTAATTTTCAAAATTATTCACCAAATGAAAAAATTCTTTCAATCTTCAATTATAAAAATCAGTTTGCCAAATCATCTGCGAAATATCATAAGAATCTAGAAACGAGCAGAGAAACCAAAAGACTTGATTTCAAGATCATTAATAGTTTTACGATACTCTCAGTCTCGTCATCAATCTCATCATTTTATTCAAATCTCAATTCAATTTTAATTTAATGACATTTTAATTTAATTTAATTTAATTTTAGTTTAATGCAATTTTAATTTCATTTTAATGACTTTTTAAATTGAACAAAAGTTTACAACGTCAAACCTGAAGATTTTCAATATTCTTATTCCGAATAATATTGGGAAAGTAGTCAGATTTTACATTGTAAACTTAAGTTTAAATAAATAATAATAAAATATTTTTAATTCCTAATTTAGTGAAATTTGATTAATTCTTAATTTACTTAAAATTTTCTGTATTCAGAGTAGGAATTTTTTTTTAATCTTACCTGGACCTCCAGGAAGTAAAATTCCTCCGGCGACACATTCCAATAATCGTCTTAAAGCTTCTCCTGGACTCAATGGACCACCAGCGGTGCTTATCACCTTCTCCGTCAACAATTCCAATGCCTAAAAAAAGTCAAGTAATTTTCAAAATCTCTTCTTTATTTATTTGTATAAGAAAATTTAATTTGTTTTCTTTTAAAAATTCAAGTCAGTTTGCCAAATCATCTGTGTAATATCGCAAAAATCTAGAAACGAGCAGAGAAACCAAAAGACTTGATTTCAAGATCATTAATAGTTTCACGATATTCTCAGTCTCGTCATCAATTTCATCATTTTGAATTTCTTTTTTCCAAAAAAAAAAGAAACAGAAAGAATAAAAATATACACTCCAGGCTTCGCACTCGATAATTAATTTTATTAAACAAGTTCGATTCTCGGATGACAGTCAAGTAAATAAAATACAAATTCGAGACCTTATGGAAAAACAAATTTGTGTTTCATTTACTTAACTGTCTTCCGAGAATCGAAAAAATTATTTTTTATCCTACAATAAAATTAGAAGAATTTTTAAAAAATGTTTAAGATAATACTTTTTTTTATTTCAATTATTAGCGGATTTAAAGTAATTTAAATTTTGAAAAAAAAAAAATCTTTTAGTGTCACAAAAAAAAAGTATCCTAGTAGCTAATTGTAAAAAAAGTAACAAATAAGTAATTTAAGTAGATGAGTGCGAAGTTTGACACTGGAGAAAGTTATTACAATTTTTAACTAAAAATATTCTTATCAATATTTCTTATAAAAAAATTAATAAAGAATACAAACCCATGGATTTAACGGTCCCCAAGTTGGTACACGGTTGCACAGATCACGCATTATGCGTATAACCATTACGCAGCTCTGCAATGAGGTTGCTCTAGCCTATTGGAAATAAAAAATAATTATAAATACAGAAAGAAAAGATAAATATTTTTTTCACTAAAAAACAACATCATTACCATCCTAATTTTTTCTTTCTCTTTTCTTTTCTTTTTTTGCTTTGTGTGGGCTTTAGCTAACCTTCCAACCTCGTGCCTAATTTTGTTTTATATACAATATATTTTAATTAGCCCATATCAATTTTACCGGGTGTTTATTTTCCATATCAACAATAATCCATTAGATAAATTTTTAGAGAAAAAATCTAATTTTTTTTTTTTTGAAAAAAACTTTTAAATAATTATATATGTATATATTTAAAAATAGAAAGAAAATATTTTACTATTATGTACTGGGAAAAAAATTAGAAAAACACCCGGTATTCTCATGACACCACTGTGTACTTGTGCTTGTCTGTCTCTTTTTCTATTTCAAAAAAATGTGCTCTCGTGTCTTGCACAATTAATATAATAAAGTGAAAAACAAAATGTAGTAAATATTTTTTAAAATAATAATTTCTTCCTGTTTATCTTTTTAATTATAGAAAAATGCGCCATTATTTAAAGACAGACCTAGAACAGAACTCAGTCTAGGCTACATTGCGCATTAAATCCAGAATAATGAATAAAATTTCCATATACATATTTTTGAAAATACCGTTTTTTTGGATACAAAGCAAAGAAATCAAAGCTGTTTTAAATTTGGAATTTATTTTTTAGACTTTATTGTTTATTATTCTGGATATCAATAACTACTAATGGTATTATTTATAGGAACAAATTGTAAACATACAATTTTAATCAATTGTCTGTATTACATGAAAGTTCCTGCCTGAAGGAAAACTATCTGATCGCATTCTTAAATGTAAAAAGCGGAAAAATATTCCTATAATCACGTTAGAAAAAAATCTAATCTAATTACAGGGTTGCCACGCTTTTGCTCTTTTTAAATTCCCTGATTTTTCCAGGTTTTCCAGGTTAAAAAAACGGAATTTTTCCAGGTTTTTAAAACGAAAATTATTCGAAAACATCAATAACTACATTTCTAAATAAATATTTAATCATAATTTTTTTTATAGAGTCTTCGACTCGGAGTGATCTCTTCCTTCATGTTTTGTAATAATTAAATCTTGCTACTCTCTTACTGTATAACTTCTTCAAAAATTATTTTCATTATTTCGATTATTCATTTCTAGAACTAAAATTCTAAAAAAAGAAACTAAAATTCTTTTTTAAGTCAATATTATTTCAATACAAAAATAAAAATTTTATTGAATAATTAAATGTTTCTAAAATTAAATTTCCATAATGAATTTAATCAACAAATTTTTAAATAATTGAATTCTCTTGACAAATTTTAATAAAATTTCTAAAAATAATTTCATTTTTCGAGAAATTTAATGAAAATTGTATTAAAAATAATTGAAATCCAGCGATGAGTTTTAAAATTTATAAAAATAATTGAATTCTCGCAACGATTATTATTACAATTTTAAAAAATAATTGAATTCCTGCGATGAATTTTATTATTTAGGAAACTAATTGAATTTTTGCAAAGAATTTTTTTTAACATTTGTAAAAAATAATTGAATTCCTGAGAAGAATTTTATTATTTATGAAAATAATTAAATAGTTGCTAGGAATTTTATTAAAGTTTAACAAAATAATTGAATTTTTGAGAAGAATTTTATTATTTATGAAAATAATTGAATTTTTGCAAAGAATTTTATTAACATTTTTAAAAAATAATTGAATTTCTGTGAAAAATTTTGTTTTTTCGAGAAATTTAATGAAAATTGTATTAAAAATAATTGAATAATATATGAAAATAATTTGTAAATAATTGAATTCCTATGAAATTTTTATTATTTATGAAAATAATTAAATTGCGTAGAATTTTTTTAAATATTTTTTTAACTAATTGAATTCTTTTAGGAATTTTTATTAAAGTAGTAGATATATTAAAAATCATTGAATTGGGGAAAGTTTTTGAAAATAATTGAATTTCTGCTATCATTTCTAATTGCTTCAAAATTCAATGTGTTTTAGTGTTTTTAACTAAAATTCTTGTATAAATCTATTATTTTTAATAATCAATTAAATGTACCATTAATGAATTTAACTAATTTCAGAAGAATTTTAGTTTTTAAAATGTTTTTTAAATCAAAGTTCTTTTTATATTTCCAATTAAATTCATTTAAAATTGTACAAAATTTTAAATCAAAATCTTTTGAAAAGTTCATCTACTTATGAAAAATGTAAACGCAATTCTTTTAAAATTGAATTAATTTTGAAATATTTAACTGAAATTAGATTTCAAGAATAAACACAATAACTTTAGAAAATAGCAATCTTTCAGTAAAATTTCCTGATTTTTCCAGGTTTTGTCAAGGTTTATAAAATTCCCTGACATTTCCAGGTTTTTCGTAGCAACCCTGAATTATTAAAAAAATAAGCGAAAAATATGCTTTTTAATATTGGATGCGAACAAACGAGCGAAAATTCAGGCCGAATTGTGTCAATATTATAATAGCAAATAACAATAATAATAATAATAATAAAATTCGACAAGGCTGGAAGTTCTAAGACTGCTCTTTTCGAAATTGAAAAGAATGATTTTGCACTCGTTTTCTTTTTAAATACGATACGTAGTGGAAAAAATATAAGTTTTCTCTATTTTGAAAATTTGTTTCTTTTTTGAAATTCTGAACTTGAGTGTTAATTGATTCAAACCTGAAACCACTTGGCATGCCTGAGTGCAGCTAAAGCCTCCAAACACTTAGCCTTGGGAAGTACGTCTGGCGGATCTGGTTTGGTCACAGTTGGCGTAGCGGGCGTCGTTTGTGGTTGAGCAGCTCCCTGTTGCTGCTGTCCAGCATTATCTGAGATTTCAACAAAGAAAGCATAACACGCTTAGACAACACTTAGAGTGTTTGATCATGCCCCTTTTTTTCTATTCTTTTCTTTTTTTATCATTAAATCATCAAAAATTATAACCCATTTTTGAAATCGCATTTCTAATGTATTTTAATGCATTTCAATTCATTTTAATTCATTTTAATTCAACAAAAAAAGAGAGAAAAAAAAAATATACATTAGAAAATAAAAATAAGTATTTTTAAACTACCAGTCATAAATGCTTAACGATGCACACACGCTTCTCTTCCCCATAAATTCTAATACAAATCTCAAAAATTTTTCAAATGCATTCAATTCATTCTAAATAAACTGTTGTAAAAAAAAATGTAAAAAAAAACTGTAAAATAAACCGTTTATTTATATAAAATCAAATTTTTATACTCAATTTTTGTTTTGCATTTCAATATCTCGGAGATCTGTGAATTAGAAACCAAATCCTCAATTTCGAAAGAATGTGAAAATATATGAAAAAAAAAAATTGTGAACCTTTAAAAAAAGAGAATTCGGCTAGATTTTGAAAAATATAGTTAAGTGCATTTTTGAAAGAGACAAGTTCGTGCATCGAGCATCGATAGAGGGTAATTAACAACAATTTGTAGCATGATCAAAAAGTCCATAGTTTTAAGATTGCCTCAGCGTTGTTTCTTGATCTCAGAAGCATGTCCACGTTCGATGTGTATCCGGTTTTAAATAAAAAAGCAAAACTAAGTGAAAAAACTATTTGCGAAATTTGTTTTCTTTATCAAGAAACTAGTAAAATTATGTTTTTAATTGCAAAATTCAGGCATCACAGTAAATTTTATCCTCAAAAAAATAGGTGAAAAGGGCAATTTTTAAAAAAAATTCTCCTTTAAATCAATTATTATTAATAATTTTTGAAAAAGTTCTTTAAGAATTCTCAAATTTATTTGTTTAGGTACAATTCAATTTTACGAAATTTTAATTATAAATTCTGCAATTTTTTAATGAAAATAATTGTTTTCCTAAAAAGAATTTTATTATTTATGAAAAAAATTTGAACTCCTAAAAAGAATTTTATTATTTCTGGAATTAATTGAATTCCAAAAAGAATTTTATTATTTCTGGAATTAATTGAAGTTTTGCCAAGAAATTAATGCAAATTTTTGAAATTAATTACATTTTTCGAGAAATTCATTTAAAATTGAATTAAAAATAATTAAAATCCTCTGTAAAATTTAACTTTTTTTTTTTGAAAATAATTGAATTCTTGCAACGAATTTTATTACATTTCTTTAAATAATTGAATTCCTGTAAAAAATTTCATTATTTATGAAAATAATTGAATTATTGCAATGAAATTTATAATACAAATTTGTAAGTAATTGAATTGTGGAAAATTTTTGTAAATAATTGAAACTTTGACAAGAATTTCATTAAAAACTTTGAATAGCATTGAATTTGGAAGAAGGATTTTTTTATTTATAAAGATAATTAAAATTTTGACGAGTTTTTTTTTTAATTTTTGAACATAATTGAATTTCTGCGAAGAATTTTAATACTTTTGAAAATAATTGAATTGCTGCAATCATTTCTAACTTCTCCAAAATTCAATTTTTTTAGCGTTTTTAACTAAAATTCTTCTATATTACACTTTGAAAAAGATTGCAGATAAAAAAGAAAAACTCGTTTATTCTTAATTAGAAAAAGGTGTAGAAGGGGACAAATCACCAAAAAAGGGGGTAAAGTTGACAAAATTGAAAAAAGGGTACAAAAGGGGAAAAGGGGACTATCTGTGATGCCTGCAAATCTAATAAATGAAAAATATTTGCAAAAATCGAAATTATAATGAAAACCGAAAAAAAATAAAAAACTACGATTTAAATAAAAATTTTTCCATCAACACATGAGAATTTCCGTTACTAACCCAATTTTCATTGAATCAGAACTAATTCTGATTAAATTCAAATTTGGTATTATTTCAGGAAATATTTATGCGCACGAGAATTTCTCTTTCTCTCTCTCTCTCTCTTTCTCTCATTGATAAAGAAACAATTTTTCTCCTTTAAATACATAGCAAAAAACGTGAAGAAAGCGCGTTATTACCAAAAAAGAAAACAGAAATGAGGAAATAAAAATCAAATTCCCCGTGGACACACTGAATGCGGCTGCATCAAAAAGGAAATATTTGTGTTAGAAAAATCGCGAATCGACTGCTTTTTGTCTCCGAAGTCCTTGGCTGCACCTATTTTCTTTCATTTTTTCATTTAAAATATTTCTTTTCTTTCTCACTCTCACTCTCTCTCTCCGTGTGCTTAAAATAAAGATATCAATATTCAGGCCATGAAAAGAACAAACGAAAACGCGATGGGAAAAATAAAAATGTGCTTCCTCTAAAGTTGCGAACTATTGAAAATAATGAGAGTAATGATAATAATAAAAATTATTAATTGCATTATCCTTTTCTTGGCCGTCGTTAAATCGTTAAACGATTAAATTACCTGCGGGTGTTGCTTTTGTTGTATCGCGCATCAATGGACTTGTTAATGTTATACTGACAGTTACGGATCCTCCAGAAACTGTCAAAGCAGCTGATTCCGGATGTTTGCCAACATTGTATGAATCCTCTGGAGCGACTGTCTTTAATTGAGCTGGTAATATTTCCGCAACTTTGTTTAGTAATGTTCTAAAAATTAAATCAATGTTCAATTAATTATTTTTATGAAAAAACCTAGTATTTTGAGTATATTAATATATAATAGTAGGTTCAGTGCGAAGCCTGCTGAAGTCATTTAAGAAGAAAATTTTTGTTACATACCTAGTAGGTTTCTCAGCGCAAAGAACGACGAGGCAAACGTGATTGTCACCGGAGAGAAGGAGACCTTTAGCGAGATTTCCAACGCGCATGACACCGCGAAGAATTCGCGAGTCCTCCTTCTCCTTTTGAAAGGAGAATAGATTACCATCGCTTCCGTCCTCCTTCTGCGGGGGTGTTGAGTTCTTCTTCTTATCAACGTCCTCTTTTTTCGCCTCAGCAGCCGCGGCAGCTGGCGTAGACGCCACGGCCGCTGTATTATTTGCAGCACCTGGTTTCTTACCACCTTCAGCAAGTGTGTCTGAGACAAACTTCAATGCTTTTTCCGTGTGTGAGACAATTTTCTGAACTGCCTGCAGTTCCTCCTCCTTGGGATAAATGGTCGAATGATGAGAGAGAACATGCTTATCATCAGACGAATCGGGACGTCTCTGTGGTCCTGGGAACATCATCATTGGAGGTGGTCCAGGGAATGGTCTTGGCATTGGTGGAGCACCAGGTCCACGACCGTAGCGACGATACCATTCATAGTATTCGCATTCCTCTTCGTAACGACGTCTCTCTTCCCAGTACATCATTTCCTCGTCCATCATTGGACACATCGGTCCCATTGGTCCCATTTGATTCATTTCCTCACGACGACGCATGTATTCCTCTCTCACTTGTTGTCTACGCAATTTCTCCTCAAGCATTTTTCTTTGCTTCAGACTTGGTTTCATATCGACAACAAGATCTGGATTTACTTTCTTCTTATAGGCGAATCTATGACGACGACCCTTCATATGCATATCCTTTGCATTTGGATCATTGAAACGACACTCGCACAATTTACAATTGAAACTAATGATTTTACCATCATCAGATTTATTCTCCTCGATGTATTCTTGACCGACTGGTTGAATATCTTTTTCGTCAATATTTGCGTCGTCACCTCCGTCGTCAGCGCCATCCTCAATTTTCACCTCGGCCGCAGCTTGATTAACGGTTCCAAGATTTCCCGCTGTACGGAACAAGAGAATTTTCTTATAAATTTCTAAAAAATGATTTATAAATTCTAAAAATTTCATTTTTTTTGAGTACTTTTAATAAAAAATCCCCGATTTCAGACTTCACACTCAATAATTAATTTTAAAAAAGTATCAAAAAGTAGCTTTAAAAGGAAGAATCTGATGTACAGTCAAAACAAAATCCTTATAAAGAATTTATCAATTTTTTAAAAAATAATTCAATTTCTGAAAAGAATTTTGTTATTTATATGAAAATAATTGAATAATTCTTCTTGTCGACGAAGTTAATTAAAATTTTAGAAAATAATTAAATTTGCTGAAAAATTTTATGAAATTTTATTATTTAATAATAATAATAATAATTGAATTTCTGCGAAGAATTTTAATATTTATAATACTAATTGAATTTTTACAAAGAATTTATCAAATTTTTTTTTAAAATAATTGAATTTCTGACAAGAATTTTATTATAATTATGAAAATAATTGAATTCTTGTGAAGAATTTTATTATTTGAGGAAAATAATTTAATTCTTGTGAATAATTTTATTAAAATTTTTAAAAGTAGATAATTGAATTCTTCAGAAGTATTTTATTATTTATGTGAAAATTGTATCATTGTCTAGAAATTTTATTTAAATTTTTTTAAATAATTAAATTTTAGTGTGAAAAATGTTATTGCTTGTGAATAGAATTGAATGTTTGCAAAGATCTTAATCAAAAATCTTTTGTGAATTTTTTTGTGAATTGAATCGTTTTAAAGAATTTGATTACAATTTTAAGAATTTTTTTTTTATTTTAACTCTTAGCGTATTTAAAGTGATGCAAATTTTCTCCGAAAATAAAGAAAAAAGTATCTTTTAGTGGCTGAAATCTTAAAAAAGTTTTCAAAGACTAGCAGATCGTAAAAAAAGTAGTAAATAGTATCATAACATAAAAAAAGTAGTAAATAGTAGATTTTAGTAGATGAGTGCGAAGCCTGCGACTTTTTTGCAGAATTCTCCGAGGTTGTGGCATTTTAAAAAAAGAAAAAATAATTACAAAAAAGAAAATAAATACATGCTCCAGGGAATAAAAAAATAAAACTAGTACAAAATTTCATTAAGAAAGAAATACTAACAAGCAACAAAGTTGATTTTAGGAGTAGCCGTGACCGTGCCTTTCTTTCCTGTTGTTTTAGCAGCAGCCGCTGGTTTTGGATTGAGAACAGTTGGGTCGGCGCTTGGAATTGGTTTTCCAAGTTTTGTATGTAGTTTAACGACCTTTTGATGTTTAGCGCCACGAATGTGTGCAGCGTAAGCATCATTTCCGGTGCAAGTGACGTCGCAAAGTTCACAACGCAATGAATTACCGGCGCCTCTCGCTGGCGGTTGCTGTGGAACTTTCAATGATGCCTCCTTCTTCTTGTGCTTCTGACCCTCCAAATGCTCCCGATATGTTTGTGGTCCAGCACAACTTATCTTACAAACATCACAATAATGTAATTGTTGGGGCTTTGGGGGTTGTTTTGGACGCATTTGCTTCATTCCACCGCCACCAGATCCAAATCCTTTACGTCCGTAGCCTTGCCAACCACCCGTTTTTTGATTGGTGGAATTTGTATTCGCAGTCTGCTGGGCTACATACATGGTCGCAGCGCTGTAGAGCGCCGCGTCGTAGCCAGAGTAAGCTGTACTCGCCGTTTCTAGAGAGAAGGCAAACGGAATATTCTAATTGTCGACAAATATTGAAAATAATTGAATTTTAAAAAAAATTAGAATGCAAAAATTCTAAGAATTATTTTTATCAAAAATAATTTAATATAATTTTTTTGTAGCTAATTTTCATTAATTACCATTTTTAAATTTACACTTGAAGATTTTTCATTAAAATTGTTGAGAAATCAATTATTTTCAAAATTTGCAATTAAAATTCTTTTAAAGTTTATTTTCAAAAATTTTTATCAAACACTTTGAAAAAAATCATATATTTTCAATTAAATTTTACAAAATTACAATTATTAAAATTCTTTTTTATTGTAAATTTTAAAAATTTATTTAGTAATTTATAAAAATAGTTGAATTGTTTCGAAGAAATTATTAAAAATTTTAGGAAATAATTGAATTTTATGGAAATATTTAAAAATATTTGAATTCTTCCGATAAATTCAATTAAATATGTTTAGAAAATAATTGAATTCCTCCAAAGAATTTTACTATTTATAAAAATAATTAAATTCTTGCGAAGAATTTTACCATTTATGAAGATAATTGAAATTATGACCAATATTTAAAAATTTTTTTGAAATAATTGAATTTTTACGAAGAATTTTATTCCTTTTGAAAATAATTGAATTTCTGCAATAGTTTGTAACTTAAAAAATTCTCCAAATTATATCGTACAATTTACAAACTTTAAGCAAATTTACAGAACTTTACGTGATTTACAAGACCTAGTTCGAGCCCTGAAATAACTGAAAAATATACGATCACGAAAATATACATGTAAAACAAACTTATTGAATCCTTACAAAACTTAAATCAATTTTCGTTATGAAGTAAAAATAACGTATTAAACTTTGTTCTGAAATGAACATTTTTATATCGAAAATATACTCAATTTTGAGCAGGGACCATTTTTGAGAGTTTAGATCGTCGTTGAAACGAAACAAAATTAAAATTTATTTTTAATTTAATTTAGTTTAGTTTAGTCGTTGAAACAAAACTAAATCAAAAATTACTATTTTCAATTTAGTTCCACTTCAACGTCCGTCCCCGATCGCAATCTCTGAAAACAAAATGAAGTAATTCCTGCAAGTCATGATAATTCTTAAAATTACACACGTTTCGAAAGAATCTGAAAATTCAATTCACATACTTACAAAGTTTACAATTTCGACGATCTTTTTGAATTGGAAAAAGTAATTATAAATATTAAAAAAAAAAAGGAAAAAACTTACTATTTGTCGCCGCGGACGGAGTAGCAGCTGGCGTTGGTGGTGCAGTATATCCCGAAGAATATGTTGCACTTTGAGTTGGATTCGACTGTTGGTAAGCAGTACTCGAGGCTTGGTAAGTTTTCGCCTGACCAGTTGTTGTCGCCTGTCGAGGAGCTCCTGTGTAAGCACTTGTCGTGCTGTACGCCGGCTTTGCTGCCTGATAATGAGTTTCTGTTGTCGTATAAGTTGCCGGTGCAGCTGCTGGTTGCTGATAATACGTCTTAGTTGCGTCGTAAGTTGCAGCCGGTGCAGCACGTCCGTATCCGTAGTCGTACGTCTGCGCCACAGTACCAGGATTTGCTGTTGAAAAATTTTAAAATAAATTAAAAAACAAAAAAATAAATTAAAGTTTCAAAATACGAATTTTTACAGGGTTGCCACAAAAATTAAACATTGTTTTTCCCTGATTTTCAGACAAAATTTTTAATTTTTTCCTGACCCTAAATAATATTCTGTGATTCACTCTAAAAATTATTAGATACTCAAAAAATCTTCTATTTAATTTATTTACGAATTTCTTTAATTGTAAAATTTATTCGGAAACATCAATAACTTCTTTTTTAAATAAATATTTAATCATTATTATTTTTCTGTAGGAATTAAAATTCTTCAAAACATTCAAATTCAAAAACTTAGAAGAATATATTATTATAAAACATGAAGAAAAATATAAAGTAACTTTTACTACTTTTATAGTAAAAAATTTCCGGCAAAGCATTTCTGGTAATTTTTACTACTTTTGGAGTAAATTTTGCTACGTTCAAAGTAAATATTTGTAAAAATTAGTAAAATTTACTTCGAACGTAGCAAAATTTACTCCAAAAGTAGTAAAAATTACCAGAAATTTTTTACTATAAAAGTAGTAAAAGTTACTTTATATTTTTCTCCGTGTAATAATTTAAAATTCCATAAAATTTTTCAACAAAAAATTTTATTATTTACAATAATTTCAATAAAATCCTTCCCAAGAATTCAATTATTTTTACAATAAAATTTTTCACGTGAATTCAATTATTTAAACAGGGTGGCCGCAAGATTGACTTTATCAATTTCCCTGACATTTTACTGACATAACAACGAATTTCCCTGACAAAAATTTTTTTGTTTAGAGCAAAAAATGTATTGCATGACCGTCTTAATTTCTTTAATTGCCCTGACAAAAAAATTTTTCCTGTCATTTCCCTGACTGTACTGACAAAAAATTTTTTTTCCTGACATTTCCCTTCTTTTTTAATTGCCCTGACAAAAAAATTTTTCCTGACATTTCCCTGACTTTACTGACAAAAAATTTTCTTGACAAAAATTTTTAAAAAATTGAAGTTTTGTATTAAAATTCGTGTTAACTCCATAATTTACGAGAGAAACAAAAAAGACACAAAAATTCAGAATTTTCTTATGAATTCTAGAAATTTAATTCTTTCCAGTAGGTACTTTTTTAATAAAAATCCCTGACTTTCCCTGATTTCCCTGACCTGTGGCGATCCTGTTTAGAATTTATATTTCAACTTATATTGCAACAAGACCAAAATGCTTGAAAATTTCAAGTCTAAAAATGGAGTTTCCTAGAAATTGCTGTTCAAAATTTGGCTGCTCTCCAATTCCAGAATCGAGAAATTACTTCCTTGTTGGATACTTTCCTAGACTTTTCTCTAAAGAAAATTACTTTTCCGAAGAAGAGGAAAACGATAAAAGGAGAAAATTCTAGACGGAAGAGAAAAAAGAACTTACCGGCGTATGTAGTGCCAGTGGCGGCTGCAGCAGCGGCCGCTTGATAAGTTTCGTAACCAGTAGCTGCAGCTGCTGCAGGTCGTTGAGTGTATGTGGCGGCTGTAGCCGCTGGCGTCACTGCGTATCCCGCTTGTCCTGTTTGATAGGCGGCGGCGCTGGTCGCCCTATGTAACATAAATTCACTAGTTTTTCTCTGCTGCTCTTTCTTTCTTTTTTCTTCTTGCGGTTAAATCTCTCAGCTCCAAAAAATAAGGGGAAATTGAGTTAAAGTGGGCAAAAAAAAATAATCCTAACCCGGAGACAAATGATCGGCAACTCTAAGAGACGCTCTACACACGTCGAGAAATGGCGGCCGAGCCGGCTAAGTGCATTCGAAACACGTTAAAAAGACCCCCCTCAAGTGCAGAGAACGTTAAATATATCGCGTTCAACACCGTCGCGAATAAAACTTTTCACGCTTAACACTAACTACTTAATAAAATGTAAATTCAGACGAATTCGTACCCATATTGAGTTCCGCCGTGAGTAAATCCGAAATAATTGTTCTGCGCCATCCTTCCTTGTAGAGAATCCCGGAAAGAAGGACAATAGAGGAAGTCGTAGGGCGTGCCACGAATTCAGCCTTAATGGCGTCACTAGATAAAATTCTATTGGCTCTTACGTTGGAGCGAGGGGAAATATTTCATTTCGAGATGCGCCACCACTGGTCAATCGCATGCGCCCGATATTTCGAGAGCAACTACCTTCGCGCAATCAAACACGCTATCGCTAATATTCAGAATAAAAAAAAAAATAAACTACACCGAGAAAAATTCGAGTAAGCGATAAAAAGCTCATGCGAGAAAACTTCAAGGACTTACTTTACCGGGATCCTTCACTCCAAAAAATCTGGTAGTTTTGTAGTTTTTGTCAGATATTTTTCACCTCGGTCTTGTTTCCACGAAACGTCCGGCGTGCGCAAGAAAATACAGGTTTGCCGGTGTGAAGCGTGCACTGACAGCGCCGTCTACCGGTCACATTTATAACCGATACACCTAAAGTCTCGTTCACACTCATTTCCGCTCCATTGTCCAAATTTCTGGACAAAATAAATTAGGCTCTATCAATCGTTATTTCAAAATTGTAAAAAGGTTTTAAAATATTTGCGCTAAATGCTGATGAATTTGCAAATCACAATATTTTTTAAAATCAAAAATACAATTTTATTTATTTCGGTTTCAATATTTCAATTTTTAAATATTCGCGCCAAAGTTATCAAACGTTCATAAACAAATCAAATTATCAACTTATTTATCCAGAGAAACGAAATGTTATAAACTTATACCACTTTTGTACATGATTAATCTGTAAAAAGTAAAATTTCAAAAACAAAAGAAATGGAAAAACTCTTTTTTCATTGAATTTGTAACATTGTAATGATTTTGTGAATTGATTTTGATTTCCGGTTCCTATGGATGATCACTGTCCATCGTCGCCATTATATAGCGACGAGTTCGCGGAAAGTTGTAGGCCGCAAATAAAAATCGTCGTTTACGGCGACAGGGAGAACAATTCTCCCAAAAAAAAAGTGTTTTAAGTTTTTCTCTTTAATCCCAATTATCTCGATTTTGTCAAGATATTACCTTCTTGAAGGTTTTCTAACTTTGGAACTGTCGAACATGGCTTATTGAAAAGATGAAGGGTCTGCAGCAATTAATTGTTTCTCCATACGGAGGAGATAATATCTCAATCGTCATAAAAGTTACTGACGGCTCGTGCCGTTTTTATAATGGAAAAAAAGTCGAAATTCCCGCAATCCACGTCCAAAGGGACGGGAAATGATGTCAAGAAAAATCAAGGTGAGTCACGTTATAATTTCGCGTCGAGTCTTATCACGTCACAATCTTCTTTCATTTTATCATTATTTTTTTTGTTTGTTTCCATTAATTTTATTATTTAAAAAAAAACAGTAATTCGAAAAATATTGGGTACTGTTTTTATTTTTTTAAAAATTCCATTTGCCAAATGGTTCAAAATTATTGTTTCATGTCGCAAATTTCTCAATTCGCTACCAGTTTCAATATTGACGAAGGTAATTTATTTCTAAAATGGAAGATTCTATTATTTAGATCATCACCTTGAACTTATTGTTTCATTTCCTTCCGAAGTAATTAAAAATAAGAAATTTTGACTACAAGTTACAAACACGTGACAGAATTTTTGTTAAAATTTCTATCGATTTAATTTATTTTGTTTCTTAATATTTTGAAATAATTTTATTTTACTTTCTTTCTATTTAAATAATTAGAAATTATTAATTAGTTTGATATGACAAAAATTGTAAGAAATGATAAAGTTAATTCCTTTTTAATCAAATTGCGAAATGTTTACAATATTCGAGAAATTTTTATTCAAATATTGTTTTAATTTAATTAAGTAACACATTTTTCTGATCTTTATTTTATTTTTATTAATTTTATGTTGGGAATTTTATTTTATTTTGTAATTTTATTATTGTATTTGTATTATTGTACTTTATTATTAATTTGAAAAATTATCTCGTTAATTTTTACTTCGGTTTAATAATCAACTTTACTTTAATTTTTAGCTGATGTTGTTAGCAGACCATTTCCGAAATCTTCTCGCAAACGTGAACCAATTGGTGCGAGTAACTTCTCAAAATATGATCAACCGAGGAAATCCTTTGCACAGAAAGGAAAAGGTTTTGATAAGAGACCAAAATTTAAAGGACATTATAATGGCGGTCCAAAGGAGGATTCCAAGGTTAGTTTTCTATTGTGATTTTATAATTAAAATTCTTCCCTTTAATTTTCTATGTAATCAGAAATTAAATTGTTTACGTATCTATTGTATAAATTAAAATTATTTAAGTATTATAAATAAATAAAAAGAATGGAAAATATTGTTCTTTGAAGTTTTGGTAATTTATTTCTTTTCTCTGAATTAATTGAAGGTAGTAGAGGAGTTGGCTGAGCCGGGCTCAGTTATGAATCAAGGAAGTAAGAAGCAGAATTTAAATCATCTGCTCAATTTTCATTATGCTCCACGTGATATGAGGAATGGATCCGACACGTGGAACAGAAGGAGATCTTCAAATTTCAATCATAACAGCAATCGCTGGCTTCCACCTGTTCAACGACACAAGTATAACAAGGAACAATTTTTGCAAGCAAAGTACGTAAAATTTTTGTTACGTATTTAGTAAATAAACGCTTTTCTACTTTTTTCTGTCTTTAAGCTATTTTTTGCTACATTTTTAAAATTATCGAGTACAAAGCCTGAAAGCTCTTCTTACTTATTAATATAAAATAATTTTCATTACAGTTGTCAGTTTATTGTAAACGCGAATGCAGATTATACTGTGAATTTAGCCGACCCGGACACACTGGTCGAATGGAAATTCATCGAACAGATTGTAAGTTTTTTTTTCCTGTAACTTTAAGTCGAGAAATTTTGATAAAAAATGTAATTCTAAAAGTAATTCTTTTTTTCTTTTGTTTTTATAATTTAGAGATTACATACATCTGATAAATTGTCGTGTCCAATTTGTTTGTGCTCGCCCGTCGCGGGAAAAATGACTCGATGTGGTCACGTTTACTGCTGGGCTTGCATTTTACATTATTTGGCATTGTCTGACAAAACATGGCGCAAATGTCCCATTTGTTATGAGTCTATTCACAAGTCTGACTTGAAGAGGTAATTTCAAAATTATTGATTAATTACTCATTGATTTTTATTTTATCCCTTATTCAATAAATTTAGTTCATTTAATTTATATTTTTTACTGTAATTTATATTTTTTACACATTTGTAAAAACATTTCCCTTTATTTGCAGTGTTGTCGAAATTGAACAGAACGTGATAAACGTTGGTGATAATGTGAAATTACGTTTAATGCGTCGAGAGAGAGGCTCCTTAATTGCCACATCGGTTCCTGAAAAAGAAATTCCAGCGCCCACTGCTTTTTTTTCAGTCTCTGATAATTTCCACTGCCAAATTTATTCTAAATTACTCCTGGCAAATGTTGACAACGTAAGTTTATATATTAAAAAAAAGACACTTATTTCAACTCTTAATAAAAATCTTTTGTTTCTGTTAATTTAGATTATGGACATAATAGAATGCGAAAAAGTGCAATTGAAACTTGAATTACAAGAAGATCCTCATTGTCCCGAAAATTGTTTCATCGATCAAGCTCTCAATGAACTGGAAATTCGAGAACGGGAACTTTTAATGGTGTGTAAAATAAAAACATTTGAAATAAAATATTTATTTAAATTTAACAAAAAAAATTATTTTAGGAACCCAAAATTAGTCAAGCAGGTTTGGAATTAAAGAAGGATGACGTTAATAAATGCCAGGAGATGCCAAAAACCGAAGATGTTCAGGAAACAACAGGCAATGGCTGCGAAGAAAATGTTGAAACTGATAACAAAATTGACAATCATGATGAGAGTAATGAAGAAATTGCCGAAGTTAATAACGACACTGAATCACAATTTGAAATTGTTAAATCTTGGTGGGATGGAGAAGAATATGAATTATTGACATCGCAAAATGATTCTAATCATGTAAATTCATTTAAGCCACCAAAGCAGATGGAAAATCACGTCACTGACCTATTTACTTCTTCCAATGCGCAAAAGTTCTTCTATTTTTATCAAGGTGCGTTCTCATTCTCTAATTTTCGCTAACAATTTAAATTATTAATGAAATCTTTAATAAAAAAAATCAAGAATAAAAGTAATAATAATTGTAAATTTTCTTTTTCTTTTCATTAATAAAACTATTAAATTTTAATTAAAGGAAAGAAATTTATTATTTATTAAATTTTGTTAGGAAAATTATGTAAAAAAAATTTAATTACAGCTGAAAACGGACAGCATGTTTATCTTCACGCAATGAATGCAAAAATGTTGGAAATGGAATACGGTAGTTTGGAGCATTGTCCACGAACGATTATGGGAAAATTATTAGAGAAAGAAGAAGGAAGTTTAACTGAAGATTTGAGACGTCGACTGCGATATTTATGTCATTTACCACTTACATGTCAATTCGAGATTGCTGAAATAGAACTATTACCACCTCTAGTATCGCAAAATGTCCTTCAACAATTTCATGGTAAAATTTCCTTCTTTATTTAAATTTTATCAATTTTTTAGTTGTCCAATTTATATTGAAATAAAAAAAAACCAAAACTTTCTAGATTAAATTTAATTAATATGAGAAAATTTCTATCATTAAGGACGAAAAATTGTTTTCAGATCAATTGGACACGCGACAGAGAAAAAGACATCGCAAGGATCGCGAGGAGCGAAAGAGAGAGAAGAAAATAAACGAAGAGGAAAATAAGCGAATGGGAAAGTTTCCAACGAGAAAGGTTCATATTGAGTCTCGTCGTCATTTCCCACAATGGCAACCTGATTCGACTCAAACTGGGTACGAGATTTATTCCAGATTGTATCTGGAAAAATATTTACAATAATATAAATAATAAATACAATAATTTACTTTCATTAAATTTTCTTTTTTTCTTTGTAGAGTTTCAATACCATCGCCTCCGGAATCAACGGCACCTTCAAGCGTTGCTAGCAGTCCATCACTGACTCCATTTGAGGAAGTATCATCTTCACTGACTTCAGTTGATGAATCTTTAGTTTGGCCGTCAAATAACGCCGATTCTGGTCCATCATTCGCTCAAATGCTTCGTCAAAATGGTCAACGTTCTGGTAATAGTTGGCCATCAATAAAAACACGATCAAATCCGCCTCCTGAGAATCAACCACCTATTCAGCAAGTAGTTGACGATGACGGTTATGTTTCGCTACGTAATTTTAATCCGACTTTTGGCGATGCACTTGCCCAAGCATTGGAGCAATCCAGTTTAGTAGAATCAGGTATTTCCATTAATATTTTAATATTTAATATTTGAATGTTCAATTTAAATATTTGTATTTGTAAATATTTTTTGTACATTCTTATCAAGTCATCATATAAGAAAGTAATATAGCAATGATTGTTTTATTTTTTTAGCCGTGGAGAGAAGCGAAGAAAATTCGGGTGGTGGGAAAAAGAAGAAGAAGAAAAATAAACCAACTGTATTGTTCGCAACTGGAATGGCTCGTGCATCTTAAATAGGCATTGTTCTTAGAGAAAATGCATTGCGTAGCTTCGTGTATTGAAAAAAGGTTTCTTTTTTTAATATGATTATTTATGTAGGCAAATTTTCTTGCAAATTGACACTAAAAACGAAAAAAAAAAAATAGTCCTTTATTTGCCATTATTTTATTTTAAACGACGTTGCGTGAATATTTCGGTTGTAAAAATATATTTTACTTTGGTCTGCTAATGCTTAAAAAATTAAATTTATCTTGAATCACTCAAAAAAAAGATGTCTTTCTTTTTTCCCTCTCAAAAAAAGTTACACGAAATTTTTCCAAAATCTAAAACCAAAACCTTGAAATCTCAAATCCCTGAATGTTCAAAACCTCGAAAAATTTATGGGATCGAATCGGTAAGTAATTAACAATAATATAATTAATAGCAAACAAATATTATAAGAAATAAAAAAAAATTGTAATTAAGATATTTATTTAGCAAATAACACTCAATATTCTACAATTATATACAAATATTTATAAATACACACTAATCGCAAAATTAATAATTTAACAATTCGCGATTTTTGAAAAGAAATAAAAAGAAATTGGCACTTGTTTTTCAAACTATAAGTATATACAAATGAAAAATTTAATTCTCTCATTTTGTTTTTTAAACTTTTTTTAAACTCGTAATTAACCATTTTTATTTTACGAGTCAAACGCGAGTTATTAATAAATTTATTTTTAAATAATAAATTCCGCTCACAGAGCAAAAATAAATTTGCTTTTTTTAGATAAAAAAAAAAAAAAATTCGCTATCCTTAAAATATATTCACGAGTTAAAAAAATGTTAGTCTTTCAAATTTTTTGCACAATTCAACAATTTACAACAATTAGATTATTCTAATCGAAAATATTGTTAAAAAAATAGAAAAACAAATCGATTTTAAAATTATTCTGGTGCCCTTTTGTGTTGTCCCCAACCGTGAAAACATTTTGTAAAGCGACGAGATTCTTTTCCCTTCGCAGATAGAAATAATTTTCTCGGATTATCCGGTTGCTTTACTCGTAAATGTTGAATGTAAACCTGTAAATTTTATTTATTTATTAAATTATAATTTTATTTCTTTTTAAAATTTAAAATTTGAATTTTTACAAAAATTCTTGTTTATAGATTTGAAAGTTGTACCTGAGCTGATTTATAGGCCAATTTTATTTCCACTTCTGAGCATCGAGTTCCCAACCAGAGAAAAACTTGTTCTCCATTATCAAGAATCATAATATCATCGTCGGCCAAATCATCCTAAAATTATAATTTTAAATAATTTTTAATCGAAAATTTCATTTAATAATAAGGGAAATATTAAACATACAGAACAATTCAAATTAAAATAAATAAAAATAAATTTTTGTTTTTAATTAAAAGAAAATGGTATTAATTAAGAAAATGTTTTTAAATAAATTTACCTGGCAGAAATCGGTACATTTTTCACTGATTGTAAAATAACCTTTTTCATTTGAGCACCTGAATAATCTTGTATATTGCATGTATTCAGCGTCTGTTTCATATTGTTTCTTACCGCCTAAACCGACCCAAAAAAAGTTATCAGGCTCCTCTCCCTCGTTCAACACCTGTAAACTGATCCAAGGCTGGAAAAAATAATTTCTCGTTAAATTACATATTTATAAAAATTTAAACTAAAATTTTAAGAATAAATGCAATTTTCTATCATTTTATATAAAATTGTATAAAAAAAAAATTCAGCGACAAGTTTTGTTATTTATGAAAATAATTCAATTCTTCAAAAACACTTTACTTATTTACAAGTCTACAACCTTTGGTAAAAAAATCTAAAATTATCAAAAATTCGAAAAACTGAATTTCTTAAAATTCAAAATTTTTCCTTCTTTTTTATGGCATCTAGCTTCATTATTTTTGAGCTTTTTAAAAATACTTTACTTATTTAATAGTCTCCACCCTTTAGTAAAAAATAAAAAATTATTAAAAATTATAATCAAAATTCAACATTTTTTCTTCTTTCTTATATGACATTTAGCTTCATTATTTTTGGGCTCTTGGAAAATACTTTACTTATTTAATAGTCTCGAATCTTTGGTAAAAAATCTAAAATTATCCAAAATTATCAAAAATTCAAAAATCCGAATTTCTTAAAATTCAACCTTTTTTTCCTCCCTTTTGTGGGATTTAGCTTCATTATTTTTGTGCTTTTGAAAAATACTTTACTTATTTAACAGTTTTGACTCTTTGGTAAAAAATCTAAAATTATCCAAAATTATCAAAAATTCAAAAATCCGAATTTCTTAAAATTCAACCTTTTTTTCCTCCCTTTTGTGGGATTTAGCTTCATTATTTTTGTGCTCTTGGAAAATACTCTACTTATTTAAAAGTCTCGACTCTTTGGTAAAAAATCTAAAATTATCGAAAATTATGAAAAATTCAAAAATCCGAATTTCTTAAAATTCAACATTTTTTCTTCTCTTTTATAGCATTTAGCTTCATTATTTTTGTGCTTTTGGAAAATACTTTACTTATTAAATAGTCTCGACTCTTTGGTAAAAAATCTAAATTTATCCAAAATTATAAAAAATTCAAAAAACCGAATATCTTAAAATTCAACATTTTTTTCTCTCTTTTATGGGATTTAGCTTCATTATTTTTGTGCTTTTGGAAAATACTTTACTTATTTAATAGTCTCGACTCTTTGGTAAAAAATCTAAATTTATCCAAAATTATAAAAAATTCAAAAAACCGAATTTCTTAAAATTCAACCTTTTTTTTCTTTTGTATTTCCGGTTATTTCCCTGGATTTTCCTGACAATTTTATAAAATTTCTTGGTCAAATTTTTATCAACAATTAAACACTATTATTGTATAATTTTTTAAATGATCAAGAATGAGAACGAATTAGCATGAAGACAAATTATATGTGTTTAGTTGACTATGTCATTAGTAATTTTAAACTACAATTACATTCGCGAAAAAAAATGATTATTTTTGGATATTTAAAAAATTTGAAGAACAAATAGTAGAAAGAACACAAGAAATTCCCGGTTTAAAACAAAATTCCCGGTCAATTTTTAAAATCCCTGTCAATTCCCGGTTTTTCCCGGTCAGCTCGCCACCCTTCAGTACTTTTAATAGAATTCCCTGACTTTTCCCAAATTCTCCTGACTAATTCTAATTTTTCTGACATTTCCCTAATTTTCCTGATCAATTCTAATTTCCCTGACTTTTCTCTGAATTCCCTGACCTGCGGCAACCCTGTACTATTAATTTTGTTAGCGAATAAAAAATTTTCTGAATTTTAATTACAAACTTACATTATTAAACATTTCCTCAGCAATTGTTTCGATTAATCTGCTTTCTTCAATATCGGCCTTCGATCCAATCCAAACGTAAACTATTCCTGTCTCATCGTCATTATTGAATGGCACATTCAAAATGTAACTGAAAAATTATAGAAACATATAAATTTATTAATATTATTTTTTATACATGTAATTTATTAAATGTTCTTTATTATGTTATTTATTTTTAATTATGCAGAAAACGATTTCTTTTGAATAAAAATTCTCACCAAAATGCAGAATTTAATAGCGAAGCATCGGGCGGCACTTGAATGAGTCTTGTGCACAATGTACTGCCATTACTTCGTAAATGATAAAATTCGACTTTATTCGGAATCTTTTGTTTTCGCTTTCCCTGGTGGATGATAAATTTCTTTTTAAAATGAGCCATAAATTTAAGATTCTCCTGTTGCTGATGCGTTCTGACGACTTCTAATTTTTCACCAAAGAGGGATTTAAATTTTTTCAAAAGACTAAACGTAAATGTTAGCCAACCCATATTCCCCGCGTCTCTTCCTTGCCAAAAGTACACCATACATTGAAAATCATCTTCACATTGATCGTCGCCGTCCTCATTTTCCATCACGTCCAATGGCTGTATAAAAATATTTCCAATTCATTTTTATTAAAGTCAAAGCAAAATAATAACCGTTGAATTAATTCAATTGTATGTAAAAATATTTCCAATTCATTTTTATAAAAATCAAAACAAAATAATAACCATTGAATTAATTCAATTGTATGTAAAAATATTTCCAATTCATTTTTATAAAAGTTAGGACAAAATAATAACAAATAAAATAAAAAGAAATAAAATAAATTAGTTTTTAATTTATGCCAATTTTGATTATTTTGAGAAAATTTATGAATCTTACCACCCAATAACGACAAAGAAACACATAGCAATCGGCACTATAAAAATGTCCCAGTTCCTCTTCGGGCAAACGAACAAATTTCTTCCCCTCCAAGACGAGGGCTTCCATCGCTTCCAAATCGTCGTTCCATTCTGCCATCAATTGTTGAGCTTCCGCCGATGACATTGATGGTTGTCGAGGCATAAACAAAGCCGCAAGATCCGCCTATTTTAAAAAATAAAATTATTTCCATAAATTTTTAAAATAAAAGGAAAATTTTCATCTTTTCTTATTCTTCTAAAGCTATGAAATTTAGGTAAATATTTTCCCTTTTTTACCTTTGTGTCTTGTTGTTTAGCCCATTTTGTAAGATCGGCTCCAGTTTTTGCGACAGATTCCGCGGTTCTTGTAAAATCAACAGCTATAACTTCGTCCCACCCGGCAAATTTACATTTAAATATCTAAAAATAATGTAATTAATATCAGTTGAAGTTTAATTTTCAATTAAACGTATTTTAAAGGACTGAGTGATAGAATCAGAATTTTTAAATTAGAAATTGTAAAAAACTATTTTAAATATTAAAAATATAAAAGTATATTGTAAATTATAAAATTATTAAATTTTAAAATATTCGCCAGAATATTTTAAGAATATTTTAAGAACGGCATATTTACAAAAGTAAGAAAACGATTTGGATCGTTACAATTATAAAATCTTAAAATAAAAACCTGTGATTCGGTTCCTTCCTGAAGGCGAGTAACCAACGCATAATCGGGACGTTCAATCATATTAAATAATTCCTGAGAAAGTTTCACAGCTGCCGCGCGTACCAATCTCGTCGATTTCTTTCCAAACCTTTAATAAATATTAAAGAAATTTCATTTACTATTATAGAATTATAATATAGAATAAACCCAATTCATGCTCAAACAATTTTTTTTCCAACAATTTTTTATTGTTTGATATTCTAATTTTCTTCTCTTTATTTTCTACAATTTTTTTTCTTCATACTTACCAAACGTAAACGTCGAGAAAACAATCAAGAATATAAACATTTCGATTATTTAGTAAAGTGTTTGCTAATTTTCCATGAGGTACTTCGACCTGAGGAAGTTCCAAATATCCCATTCCCAATTGAACTTGATACAATCGTGGAACAACAGGCATAAATTCCGGATCAACGTGTTCCTAATTAAAACAATTTAATAATTTATTATCATTTTGTAAATTAAAAAATTTTATATTTTCAAGAATAAACATCAATTTTCGAAATGATTACAGAATCAAAATTTAAAGAATTCACTTATTAAGTACATAACATTAACTATGTTCTTGTTTATTATTCAAAAAAAATTTTTCGCAAGAATTTAATTATTCTCATAAATAATAAAATTCTTTAGAGCAATTCAATTATTTTCAATACAATTTTAATAAAATTTCTCTAAAGAATACAATTAATTTTAAAAATATTAATTAAATTCGATTATTTTCAAGAATTATAATGAATGAAATTGAACAAATACGTACGACGGGAGTAGGAGGCCTCTCGATTACTTCTTCATCGCTAGCTAAATGATTCCAAAAATCGTCACTCTCCGTTCCCATTGTTTCAGTTATAATGTCCGATTTGCCTTTTCTCTCGTTTTTATTAATTTTCTCCGCCATCAGTCTTGCTTTTGATTTTAAAGTATTTTTCGCTGATTTTCCATACCAAATGAATATTTTACTGCCAATATCGAGAACAAAAACATAACCGGGATCAAGTGATTCCCAATAAACTGGAACTGGCTCCATATGAATTGAAGCGCCAGCCGCGTGAACACGATACAATCTTCTGATTGTTGGCTGCAAAAAAAAATATTTTTTGTAATCATTTACCACTCTATTGTAAACATTCTTCTAAAAAATAGATTTTCATTTTTTGTTTTTTACTAAAAAGGAAGACTTACAGTGTCTTCAACTGTATAGAAGCCGGACGAGGTTCGTCCCCCTTCGATATACGTGATTTCCGAGTCGAAAAGCAAAAGAAATTCATCGGATTCATCGCTTTGTTCTTCACGTATTGTTCGACATTGAGCGCCGAGATAATTGCGAAGATTCACAGCGTGTATTGCGGCGCAAGCTCGTTTATCCAACTTTTTTTTGGGAAAAATATAAATATTATAAAATATATTAAACAACTAAATATAAAACCAAAAATTGTAAATATATTTATAACTAAAAATAAAAGCAAAGAATCTATTTTTAAGTTTACAAGTAGAAAAGTAGAAGTTTAAACATTTTTTTGAATTTAAAATTATTACCGTTGCCTTTTCGCCAATCCAGAAATAAATTGCCCAAACTAAAGAGCCACTGTCGTCGATGCTTGTTTTCAAAATAATGTAACAATCGCCCTCGTAAAATTTTCCATGCGCAACCTCTTCAATTTGATTTGGCAAGAAATTTTCAATTTCCCAAATTTGTAATCCAGGAATATGTCCCGCGCCCTCGTCGAAAAATTCCGAATAATCCAATGGCGGCTTCTCCAAAGCCTCGTCCCACCTTTTAGGCCTGTGAAAATAATTTTTTTTTCATAAGTTTAAAAACTTTTTTTTAATATAAAAAATTTATCTCTTATAGAAATTCTTTCGCAACAAAACGAGATCGTTAATTCAACTCAAAAATTTATCTCTTATAGAAATTTATTCGCATTTACAAAAAAAAGAAAAAAAATAATTTAAAAAAATATATAATTACAAATTTCTTTAATGAAACAAATTTATTGTTTATAATAAAAGAAAATGTGCTCACTTTAAAGATTCTGCTTTTACATCTTCCCAGCCTTTGTCCTTGTTTTTTTCCTTCGCTATATCTTTCATTCCCTGAAAAAATGAAAAAATACAATTATTTTAATTGAAGTTTTAATTGAAGATTTTTAAAAATATTAATTTTAATAAAAAAAATAATTTATAATTATTTTTAAAAATAATATTATTAAACCTTTAAGATTTTTGCTTGATCCTGATCAGCTTCCTCTTGATCTCGCCTCCTTCTCAGTCTCATTTTACGAGCGATCGGATCCTTGCTGCTATCTATTGATATTATTTAATTATTAATGAAATTAATAATTACTAATTGAACTAGCAAATGTTACGCGCGCTACTCAATTTATTATTATTATGCAAATTACATTTTTTATTTTCAAATATGAATTTTTGAATAATTTCAGATTCAAAATTTAAAACAAAATTCAAAGATTTTTGAAATCTAAATTTAAAAAATGAATAAAATACCTTTCCTTAAAATTGTTTTTTATTTTAAATTGAGAGACGAAATTTCTCTCCAAAAATAACTTACTTGCTGTTTGAGCTGGCGCTGGAATATTCGCTCCAGCGAGACGAAGTTGATGTTGCAGGGAAAAATCAATATTGTAAAATTCAATTCCAGCGCCTTTTTGAATTTCAGTCGGTTTCGGTGGCATTATTAAATTTGGATTGTCCCTTAAATCTAAACAATCCAAGTCCGTCAATAAATGTATCGCGTCTGGTACAGTAATCAGTCTATTCGAAGTCAATATCAATTGTTTCAATGAACCGCATCTAAGGAAAAGAAGAAAAAAAGCCAATAAATTAAAGAAAAATAAATATATAATTACTATTATATATTAATATTTAAATTTGATAAATTTAAATAAATATTTCTTTAATTAATTTAAAAAATAAAGTTTAACTCCAACCTGCATAAACCTTCTGGTATCATTTCCAAATGATTATTGGCCGCTGAAAATACTTGTAATGCTGATAATTTACCAATTCCAGATGGAATACCCTTGAAATCTAATTCATTATCATTCAAATATAATCGTCTCAATGATAAAACTTTACAAAGAGAAATTGGCAATGCCGTCAATTTGTTTCGACAAAGATTTAAAGTTTCCAATTTTTGCCACATTTCTGAAAAATATCATGAAATTATGTACTTTTTTCTCTTTTTGTTAAAAAAAAATATCAATAAAATAAAAATTCGTAGCATAAATTCAAATGTGTAGTCTTGTAAAAATTAATTTACCAATGGCTGTTGAAAGTTCAGTAATTTCATTATCGCTCAAATTTAATCGTCGTAAATTAGGCAGTGAATAAAGAGCGTCAGGCACACGTGGCAATGCATTTTGTGAGAGATCAAGTTCTTGTAAATTCGTTAAACTTTCCATATTCGATGGAATATTGTTCAGTGTGCGTTGTGTGTCTCTCATTTGCAATACTGTCAAGTTCATCAATGATGGTAGTTGCCTAAAGAAACAAACAAAAAAAAAAAAAAAAGAAATTCAAATAAAGAATTTTAATAAATTCTCACGCTTATAAATTCTTTTTAAATACTTTCAAAAATATTCTTTTCAATTTTTTTTCTACAATTTTTTAATTTACTATTTACTTAAAATAATAAATTACTATTACCATACTTTTTTATTTAATAATTAAGTAAATAAAGTAAATGAAATAAATAATAAGCAGATACTATAAAAAAAGAAAACTTTCCTCTTTATTTAGGAAATAATAAGAGAAACAAAAATCATTTCTCAAAATCATAAATACCTCAATTGAAAATGACCCAAAGGATTATTGTTTAAATTTAAAGTCTGCAAATTTGCGAGACGTCTCGTTTGAGGCGGAAGAGTTTCCAATTGATTATTGCTTAAATCCAAGAATAATAAATCCGTTAAATGAATAAATAATGTGTTAGGAATAACTTCGATGCTGAAATAATAAAAATTCGTTAATTATTTTTTCCATTATTCGAATATAAATAAAATAAATATTTACATACTTATTCATTCAAATGGACATAAAAGTAATTCATTTGAGTTTATTATCATTTTTTTGTTATTATTATCATTATGAATATGAGTATCGTTATTATAGTTTTTTTTATCATTATTATAATTATTTATTTATACAACTAAACGGCCTTAAAAAATAAAAAGAAAATTACGTAATAATATCGACATTGTATTTTATTTCACTACAAAAATTAAAAATATAAATGCAAAAAAAAGCCCCGATGGTAATAATGTAAAAAAATTAAGTGCTTACTGATTGTGACTTAGATTTAAATTAAGTAATGATCGAGCTCGTTCTAAACCTTCGGGAACTTCTCGTAAATTATTGTGACTTATATCTAAAGTCGTGAGCTCCTCCAAATGAAATAATTCACTTGGTATTCCACTCGATTTGACATTATTGTGCCTTATATTTAATGTCCTCAGACAATTCAGTTCAGTTAATTCGCCATACAAACGTTCCAATTTATTACGTACCAATGAAAGATGTTCCTGAAAATAATTTCCCCATTTTTAATTCAATTCCACTGTGACAAAAAAAAATTTTTTCTTTTTTAATTTTCACTAACAGTTTTTCTTAACATTAATAATAAAAAGTTCTACCTTATTCGTTTTATATTTTTAACGTTGAAACAAAACTGTTAGTAAAAATATAAAAAAATTGTAAATATTTAAATTTCTTTATTATTAATATAAAGAAATTGTAAATATTTAAATTTTTTTATTTATAATAAAAGTAAAGGAAATAATTTTTAAATCTGTCGAAAAATAATAACAATTTTCCATTTAATTACCAATTTAAGTAATTTTCCCATTTCCTCAGGGATTTCTGATAAATTAGTATTATCTAATTTTAACCATTGGATCCCAGTCATCGCACGTACGGACTCTGGAAATTTCCCCTTCTGTAGACAGAAGAAAAAAAATTTGTCAATTTCATTTGCCTTTCTAAACAAAAATTCCTCTTATCTGGCAATTAAATATTTACTACTTATAACAAAAGGAAAAAAAACCACGAACAAACATATTTAGTTAAAGAAAATAAATTCTATCTAAAATAACATTTTATTGGCAAATTGCTCCAAAAAAAGTTAATTTTCCACCATAATAAGAATTCTAAGCAAATCTCTTAGTTCATGCAGATGTTTACTATTTGACCTAAATTTATATTACTTTAAAAATTTTAAAACACGAATTCTTAGAAGAAAAGAAAAAAAATTGCAATAATTATTAACAAAATATCTTTTTATTACTTACTCCAAAATCATTTCTACTAAAATCCACTCCTCTTACAAAAGGTAATACTCCTGTATTTGCCATTTTTTTCTACTATAAAATATTTCACTGGAAACTTAAAAAAAATGCTAGTCAGTCTGTAATAAATAAATAATTTAGACTCTATCGAGACATAAAAAAAAGATTTAATTCGTTTTATACGAAATTGTGAGGTTATGTCAGTCGATGCCTTATATTATTTTTTACGCGTGATTGACGTTACCGAACTATTCACATTATATAATAATATAAATAAAAACAAGTGTACACTTAATTCACAATTAAATAAATAATTTGAATATTGTAATTAGACTTTTTTTATAATACAAGTGCGTTTCTGGTGCGTTATTGTAATGCAAAACTGACATCATCGTCTTGCCTCATGAACTGTCTCTCTTCTTGCACTTTTGACATCATCATTATTGCTCATCGCCGCCATCACTAAAGGTAAATTTTACCTATTTTATTTTATGGTGGGGAGAAGAGGACTGATTTAAAAAAAACAACACATGGATGGAAAATACCTTCCATTTCCATTTACGCATTCCATTTTTCCTTACAACAATTTTGTACATTAATTTAAGGTGTATTTTCAAAAAAATTCTTCACGTATAACCAACAGGAGATTTATTACTCACTCTTCCGCCTGAATATTATAAATATTTTACTTTTATAAATCACTGTTCGTCCTCTTGAATGAATTAGAAATATTTTACAATAGGAAAAATGATTAATAATTGTTTAAATTAATTTAATTTAAAAAACAGTACCTTCAACAAAACTAGCTCTCTTATTGGCTACTGATTCGCGCGAAATTCAAACAGGCCAATGAGAATATTGTTAAACCTGAAGGCGCATTTATAACCAAGAATTTTATTTAATTTTTAATAAATAATAAAAATTTTTGTAATTAAAAAAGTTCTTTTAATTATAGCTAATATTTTAATATTATAATTATATAATAATTCTCATTATATAAAATATTAACTGTAACTTTTTTTAAAGAAGAAATTTCTTCTTATTCAAAAAAATCGATTTTGAATTATTTTTGTAATTTTTTTTCAGTTTTTTTCATTAATTAAAAAAAAGGGATGAAATAATACAAAGATTTCGTTTTATATTTTTATTTATGTACAATAACAGTTTGACGAAAATACGCACATGATTATGATAAATATTTATATCACAAACATTAGATAATAAATCACAAGAAACATTTAACTAATCATTTTATCACACTCGAAAAAAGGAAACAAAATTGTTTTTTCACATTTTACGCACTAGCAACAATGACAAAAAACAATAATAAAAATTTACATGAAAAAAAGCAGTATAAAAGCATAAATAACGAAGCGTTTACGTTACATTGACTTAATTGACGATTTTTATACAAAAAGAAATGTGCATTTTGAAAACTAAAATAGAAATTAATTATTACCATATAATTATAATATTTTTTTATGAAGATCATTGAGAAAAAATTTATCTAATAAGAAAAAATTTTGCGCAAAAATTATATTTTTTCTTGATACTAATAAATTTTGTGATAAAATATAAAAAATTTTAAATTTTAATTTCTATTTAATTTGTGCTAAATTATTTGTATTCCTTTTTGGCATTTAGATTTTATATTTGTGCTAAATATTGCAAGTAGAATTTCCATTTTCCATTTTATATTTAAAATCAATATTCATTTTTCATAATCAGGAATATAGGATATTTTTCTTCCCATTTCGAGAATCTGAAAATTGTCAAAATTATTAAAATTAATTCAACATTTTATTTTTTTAAATTAATTTTAAAATAAATTTAATTTAAATTAATTTAAACTTAAAATTATAATCTTATGTTTTTAATTAATTTAATTAATAGTAATATAATATAATAATAATAATAATAATAATAATAATAAAATTAATTTTAAATTATTTCAAAATAGGAAATTTATCAGAAACGTCAAATTTTCTATTCATACTCGAAAATAGAAAATTCGAAATATTATCATATAATAAATTTTGGCTCACTTCTATTTTTACATTGAAATTTTCGTCACAAGTTGAAATTTTTCTAAATTTGTAAATATGCGAAAGAAAATATAAAACGTAAGTATATATCGTACCTCTTTTTGCAGACGTGGAATGAAGTTTTCTATTTTTTCTTTTACGTAGAATAATTTCTCCTTCATATTGTAATAATAAAACTTTTTTAAAGCGACTATTTTTTTCTATAATAATAATTTGCAGCAATTTCTCTATTTATTGATTGATTGTTTGGCGAAAATTCGATTTTAAAGAAAACAAAAAACACGCTGCAGTATATTCTTGTATGTGTCTAAAAATATGTAAGATCAATCGTCGTCGTCGTCATCGTCCGATGGAACAAATAGATCGTTTTCTTCCAGAAAATTGGCAATATTTTTACTAATAGCAGCACCGACAAATAAACCAAAAGCAATCCCACAAACAATGCCAACAAAACCAAAACGTGGACGTTTCGGTTCAGGAAGAATTGCCCCCGAAGGACTCGATGTTTCTCGATAAATTTTCACGAGATTCGGTTGTCGTCCATGTACTTTATGCAAGACATTTGTGTTTTGCACGAATTTTAATAGCAATGTTGTCATTTTTAAGTAGATTTTTAATTTAATTTAAATGTAATTAATTAAATACACTGTTTAATGTCAGCACAATGATAATAATGAAAAAACACAGTAGCAGACAGCCATTTTTTTCTCTCTTTAGTGCTTTCTTTTTACCCTTTTTACCGCACAACTCGCAGACTTTGCAGCTGCGCAATAACCTCAAAAACTTGGATATTTGTATTTATAATAATAAATAGTTTAGCCGGTCTCGCCGGTTTGGCAAGTCGTTTAGTTGCGTAATAATAATACTATTTAGATTATACTTTTTGCACTTAATTATAAAATGTATAAAATTAACTTCCGTATTTTTACTATTTTACCCATTTTACCACTTTTATTTTTAGCGCGCGTAAAATAATTCAAACAGAAAGGCAACATTTAAGGCTCATTTTCAAGAAACTTACGGTGCGGTACTGCGGTGGTAACGATTAGAGTGAGAGAGACACTCTCGGCCACCTGCGTCTCTCCCACTCACACTTCCTGCCTGCGCACGCATTGTTGGGGGTGTGGTCACACCCTTAGTCCCCCGGAAGTAAAATCCAAGCTCTTTCTTCCTTCTATTCTGCGCTTGACCGCGAAGGGGTAAACAGTCTTCGAAAATAACTTTTGAAAAAATTTTACCCAAAAATTACCTCGTTATTTTCGAAAAAATACATTTTTTCACAAATTAATGTTTTTTAGCTACCAAACCGTGTGTGTGTCTCCAGTAGTGCCACTCCGTGATCTCTGTGTAAAAAATTCCGTTTTTAACTTACCATCCCTGCTGTGCCGTTGAAAATTTAGTACTGAAGTGCCTAATTTTCTTAGTATTTAATTTATAAGTTAATTTTAAGTTTATTATTTATTTATTATACTGGAAAACGAGAAATTTCCAATTTATAGTGTAAAGTAGAAGAGTTTATATTTAGTGAAAATATTTACAAACATTACTGTGATTGTCGTATAATATTAATATACGTTTAAGTACGAGAACATAACAATTTTGTGATAATTGTTTTTTAAAACTGTACTTTTGTGCGGTGAAAGAGTACAAACTACAAAAGTTTTCAATATTTCAATAATGGATAAAAATTCTCGGTGGTTATTCACCAAGGATCAAATAATTAATTCACCTTCGAGGAAATACAACATTGATTACCAGAAGGAAATCAAGTATCGTCATTCCGTGTCGGGTTTTATTCAAGATCTTGGCCAGTCATTAAAACTGTATCCTTTTATAAGTTATGTTTATTTTTCTATGAGATGGTAAGCATTTTCTTGAATTATGACTTATTTTTTTTCAATCCTATACATATTTTCTTTCAAATATATAGAATGTATATTTTTTATTTTTGAAACAATTTTTTCTTGTTGAAGAAGAGGTTAGGATTTCGTGAAATTTCCATTCTTTGTTCTCTTCGTTCTCTAATTTAACATATTTTCAAATTAAATTTTCAGTTGTGGTTCAGAGAAAATGTACAGAATTTCTCTATTTTCTAAAAGTTTCTTTTGATTGATTATAAAATTTATTTTTAAATAGAAAGTTTAGTTTTTTTTAAACAAAGTTAGTTTTTGTCGTTTTTGGCGAATTTTGATCATTTTTCTATAAAGATTTGGATAAATTCCTTAACTGTTTATTATTTATTATTAGTACACAATTATGTATAAATACAGCCATTGTGTATATGCATCGATTCTACATGTTTCATTCGATGACAAAATTTGATAAATACAAAATTGGAATGGCGTGTTTATATTTATCGGCAAAAACGGAAGAAACGCCACAAAGAATAGACACTGTGATTAATAAAGCTTACAAATTTCTTTACAAAAAAGAAGGACCTCCTACACCATCACCTGAAGTATGTTAATAAAATTTTACAAATTATTTATCGAGACGTGTTCATTAATAAATTAAAATTGTTTATGAAAATTAACGACAATATTTTATTTATATTTCATAATAATCATATTTATTTTATTTCTATAATGTTGTATTATATTTTTAGTTCTTAAATTATATTTTTTTTATATTAAATTGTATATTATATTGTTTTATATTTTGCAAATAAATATTATTTACTTCGGTTTTATTAACTTGAATTTATTTATTATTATTATTATTATCGAATTTATTGAATAAAAATATTTTAAAAAATATTCTTTTATGCTAAGCAATGATTTGAAAATTTTTAGCGGTACAGCAAAATGTATGAGGAACTTCTGTCCCATGAAAATATTCTTCTAATGACTTTGGGTTTTGATGTTCGAATTAATCATCCTCATTTGATAATGATCAAAGCTTGTGAACTTATAAAAGGTGAGCTCGCAATAATTATGAATCTATTACATTTCTTTGTAGTAATAAATTATAAATAATTTCTTTACTGGTTTTATTCGAATTTTTATTTATAATTTTTTTATTTCATCTTTTTTATTCTCTTAGAATTTTTTTTTAAAATAAAATTAAATAGAATAGAAGATGATCTGTAAAAGGGTTAAAAAACAGTAGAAGAAAAATTGTTAAATTAATTTTTTTTCTTTGTTTATAAAATCAAAGAAGAATGAAACCATGAATTTTGATTCCGTTTTTCTTGTCTGATTCGGAAATAGAAAAAAAATTGCATTCTTGGTTTAATTTTTCTTATACTATTTTAGAATAAATTAAAAACCTTTTTTAAAAGTAATTTTAAATTTATTTTTAAAAATGTTTAAAACAAAAATGAATAAAATTACAGAAAAATTTTTTCCCTTTTTGTATAGAAAAGGAATTTGAGCTAAATTTCAATTTTCAAAAATTATTGTATCAGAATTTCTTTCGTTTAAAAATAAAATATTTTTTCGCAATAATTAATGACAATTAGAAAACATTTTTTGTTTTAATGAAAAAAGAATGTTATCAATTGTTTTTTCTTTCAGCCAACAAGGAGTTGAAAGTAACTTCTTATTTCCTGGCATCCAACAGGTTGTTATGATTTTTTAATTCAGAACTACTTAATAATAATTAGAATTGATAATTATTTATAGAAGAAAAGAAACTTCATTAAAAAAAAACAAATTGGCAATTAAGTTGAGGGATGCAAATTGCAATTTTTCATTTACATCTCTTTTTCTTTAGCCAACAAATAATGTCAACTGGCTCAGAGCGTTGAATGCTGTTAAATAATATGGTAGTTAACGTTTCAAATTTATAATAATTCTGTGTGTACTTGCAAATTAGATTGCTTTTCAATTTTATTTTAATATTAATCAATATTATAATAGTCTAATAATTCTATTTCAAAAACACTGCAAAATCTATTTACTGGATATTTTTTATTAAATCTATTATTGGAGAAAATACTAATTTTTTAATTTCCAAAATGTATTTTTAAATAAATCGAATACAGCAATTTTTAATAATTGTTAAGTTTATATTTAAATTAGTGGAATTTAATTATAATGTGAAATCAATTATTCAGGAATTAAAAAGTCATTAAACTTAATGGGGAAACAAATTTAAGTACCTGTGGGTCTTGTTAATGAGTCTGCTTCTAATTGCAGGTATTTAGTTGACTTTAAAAGTCTGCCACTGGGGGAAATTTTAATTGTAGTATTTCAAAGACATTTCTTTCTATTATCTTGCGATTCATTTCTTTTCTTTAAATTTTTCCCGGTTTTCCCCTTTTCTGTCTGGACTTCGAGTATTTCGACTAAACGAACATTTTATTAAAATATTTTATTATTTATATATATTTAACTATATTTAAATATTCCTATCGAATGTACAGGCTTCGTACTCGATAAATAATTTTAAAAAAGTTGCTTAAAGACAGAATACTATTTATGAAAATAATTAAATTATTATAAAGAATTTCATTAAAATTTTTTAAATCCTGCGATGATTTTTAATATTTATAAAAATAATTGAATTCTTGCAACGATTATTATTAAAATTTTAAAAAATAATTGAATTCTTTAAAATTTTTCGAAAATAAATTCTTCTCAGAAATTTATTACAATTTTTTTTTAAATAATTTTAATTCAATCAGAAAATTTTATTTTAATATTGAAAATAATTGAATTCTTTCAAAAAATGTCTCTAATTTTTGTAACAATACATATTATCAATTTTGTTAACAATTGTAATTAATAATTTTACTATTAAATTTTAATAAAAATAATAATAATTGTTGAATTGTTTTGGAGAATTTATGAAAATTATAGAAAATAATTGAAATTTTATTAAAATTGTATTGAAAATACTTAAATTTCTGCAAAGTATTTACTATTTTTAAAAATAATCGAATTCTTGCCAACAATTTTACAATTTATAAAAATAATAGAAATCTTGAGAAGAATTCTTTATTTATAAAAATAATTGAATTGTTTCGAAGATTTTATTAAAAATTTAGAAAATAATTGAATTTTTTCGTGAAATTTTATTAAAAATTCAATTGGAAATATTTGAATTTTTGAAAAATATTTTATTATTTTTAAAAATAATTGAATTCCTGTACAAATTTTTTTATTTATGAAAATAATTGAATGTTTGCGAAGAATTTTATAAACATTTTTTTTAAATTATTCAATTCTTTTGGGAAATTTTTTATTAAAATAGTAGATTAGATTATTAAATCACTGAATTACGAAAAATTTGTGAAAATAATTAAATTGTTTTAAAGAATTTTATTAACATTTTTTGAATTTTTTCCAATAACTTGTATTTTTTTTGCAGTAGAATTATTCGACTATGTTTATTGCACTATGAAATTATTCTTTATTTTTTCTAATTTCTATTTTCCTTTTTTCTAATTTAAGTTTTGCTAGTGTGAAATTTGTAATGCTTTTTTTAGTTTTATGTGTGTAATATTTAATTATTTAATATTTCGAAATTTGTCCTTTAATTTATTGTTTAATATTTTATTTCTTTTTTTATAGCTTGCATTTGACAACAATGTGTCTTGAGTATAGACCTTCAATTGTCGCCTGCCTATGCATTTATTTTGCATCAAAATGGTCTTGTTACGAGGTAAATATAAAATGATAGAAAAAATTTTGTTAAAATTTATTTTTTTCAAAAAATATCATTTTAAATTGAATTGTGACACAGATTCCATTGAGTGCATTGGGAAAGCCATGGTTCTCTTACGTTGATCCTGATGTGACTTTGGAATTTTTGGACAGTTTGACAAAAGATTTCCTTCGTGTTTTCGAGCAATGTCACACGAAACTCAAGAGGACTATTCAAACACTTTCGGGCATCAAACCACGAGTCAATTATAATCCAAAACTACTGAATAATCCCAATCATTTGAAACAATTGAAGGAGGAAGCCGAATTAAAGGAAAAAAATGAACGGGAAAAAGAACGACAATCACTTGCATTGTGTTTGTCGAAACCACATTCGATCCTGAGTCCTGAAAGTTTGTTCAGCAAGGAAGTGAGTAAATTTTACGTTAATTTTTATTAATTTTTATTAATTCCAACAAATTAATTTAGAATTAATTTTTCTTAAAAAGTTTAATGGAATTTTTTTTAATTATTTGAAGTTTTTAATTTCTAATTTATTTAATTGAAGAATTTTAAAATAATCGAAATTTTAGGTAAAATTGAATTTTAAACAAATGGATTTAAAAATTCTCAAAGAAGAACTTTTTCAAAAATTATTTTTAAAAAATTGATTTAAAGAAGAATTTTAGTTTAAAATTCTAGAAATGAAGAATTGAATTGAAATGAATCCTGTATATAAATGTATTTTTTTCAATACCTCTTTTATTTTTTTAGGAACTTGCCAATTTACAGGAACCAATTAGATTGGAGGAGAAACAATTGTTGGAAATTGAACCAATTAAGCATAATGATAATGAGCAATTATCATTCGAACATTTGGAGAATGAGAGACAAAAACGAAAACTTCCTTCAGAGGAGAATTATCCAGAGAAACGTTTTTGCATTTCCAGTCAAACGGAGCAAGCACTGAAAATGAGAATTAACATTTCAACGATTTTAAAATCGTCATTAAATCAAGAAACCTTGAACTGTACTGATACGACAGTACCAGCGAATGTTTCAACTACTGAATTTGTTTCAAATCCACCTGAAATAAAAGTAGAGAGTGAAATAAAACAAGAATCAATTATAGATAATCAATCAGATCTGAATTCAATTCAACAATCAAATGAACTTCAATTGTCGAATAATCAAACCATCAAGGAGGAAATATCTCCAAACTACGAAAATACTGTAAAGAATCTAGTCCCATTAAATAGTAATCAAATAACAACAACCGAGACTTTAGTCACTACAACCGTGGATTCAGAAAAGGAAAGTGATAGCTACATAAATGTGACCGATATTACCGATACGATAGTCGATACTCCAATTACCGTGAGCAAATACGATGACAATAATAATGAGGAATATGAAAAGAAGCAAAAGAGTAAAAAATCAAAGAAGGAGAAAACTGAACGAAAGAAGAAAAAGGAAAAGAGACAAAAGAAAGAGCAAAAGAAAGAGGAAAATTGTGATACAAAAATTAATAATAATAATAACAATAATTTAAGTGCAAATCGACCAATGACACCAATTATAATTAGTATACCAAAAGAAAAATTGAATTTAAGTGATAATTTAATATTCTCAGGAAATAAGTTTAAATCGTCACGGGAAAATAGTTTAAAGATTAAAATTCCCAAGAAGCTGATCCTTGACACAAAATTGGATTCACCTTCAACCAGTGAAACTGTTCAGGCGTCACTTAGTTTGCAAATTAGTCGCGATATTCATGACAGGGTAAGAGTTACATAATAATGCTACAATTTCGAATATTTCATTTTTTTATGAATATTTTAAAAATTGATTTTTCAAAAATGTAAATTTTATATCATCTTTTTATTTCATTTCACAATTAAAAATTATTTTCCTTTAAAAATAAAAAAAGTCCAGGCCTCGGATTTTTTTTTCAAATATTGCAACAAAATAGCAAATTTTTTTAAATTATAAAGTGCAACTTATTTTGAATTGTGAAAAAAATAGACAAATCTTTCATAAAATTATTTTTGAAATTTTTCTAATTAAATTGTCGAAATGTACAATGAAAAAAGATTTTGAATAATTGAAATTTTGTAAAATTGAAATTTTGTAAAATTGAATTGAAAATAATAGATTTTTGTTTCAAGTATTTTATAACAATTTTTGAAAATCAACTTTTGAAGTATTTTAATTGTAAATTTTGAAAATAATTGAATTCTCAAGAATTTTAATGCAAAATCTTGAAGTGTAAATTTAAAAATGAAAATTAATTAAGCTTAGCTTCTAAAAATTGTTCTGAAAATATTTATGAAAACAGTATTTCTTAGAATTTTTTTCATTATAATTTTTTAAAATTCAATTATTTTCAATATTATGTTTAAATAACTTTTTTATAAGATAATAATTAAAAAATTGTTCAATAATTGAAATTTTGTAAACTTTAATTGAAAATAATTGATTTTTGTTTCAAGTATTTTACAACAATTTTTGAAAATCAACTTTTGAAGAATTTGAATTGTAAATTTTGAAAATAATTGAATTCTCAAAAATTTTAAAGAAAAATTTTCAAGTGTAAATTTTAAAATGAAAATTAATTAAACTTAGCTTCCAAAAATTATTTTAAAAATATTTTTGAAAAAAGTACTTCTTAGAATTTTTTTCATTCCAATTTTTTAAAATTCAATTATTATTTTCAATATTTTTAATTAGAAATTTCCAAAAATTCAAACATATGCAAAAAAATAACATTACAATTTTTTAGAATTATTTTTAAAAATTTTGAAAAAAATCATGAAAAAATTTTTTTATTAAAATTCATCAAAAAATTAATTTTGTTTTAAATTACATATACAAAAATTCTTTTAAGGAATTTCATTTATCTTCGAAGAATTACATTCAAATATTTTTCTAAAACTATTTCTTAAGAATTTTTTAATCATAATTTTTTAAGATTCAATTATCTTCGAAAAAAGAAAATTAAAATTTTCAAAAATTCTCTTTTTTAGACATATTAAAATTTTGGAATATAAATTTTAAAATTAAAATTTTATTCATATTTATAATTGAAATTCTTCAAAAATTTCAATTATTTTTAAAAGATTTTACCAAATTTCAATTATTTTAAAAAAATTTTACCAAATTTCAATTATTTTTAAAAAATTTATCAAATTTCAATTGTTTGGAATTTTTTTCAATTGTAAATAATTGAAAAACTATTATCTTTCAAAAATAATTTTAAAGTATATAAAGAAAATTTATTTTTCTTTTTGGAAGATGATGAAAAATTAAAAAAAAGAATTGTTTTGCTTTCTTAACTTATTTTAGCTTTTAATTTTCTTTATAAATATTATAATTAAAAGGAAAATTATTTCTCTAAAAAAATGAAATGATTTTAAAATAGATACTTAAAAAAAATTAATTTTAAGAATTTCTTTATTATAATTTTTTGAAAAATTATAAGTTTAAAGAAAACATGGACAGTTACAATTGTTATGAAAAGTATTTTTTTATTTAAATAATTGAATTTTCGGAGAACTTTCGCAATGTTATTAAAAAAATAATTGATTTAAAAATGAAGTTTTTAGTTATCAAATTGTAGAAAATAATTGAATTTTAGAAGTAATTTTTTAGAAATTTTTAAATTTCAGAAGGTTTAACATTGAATTTTTAAAAATTATATTTCCCGTGAAAAACAAAAATAAGAAGTATTTTAATATTTGTTCAAGAAAATTATTCAAGTTTTAAATAATTGAATTTAAATTACGTTGGTGAAGTTCACAACGTTTATAATCAACGACTTCATAAGAAAAATATTTTTTTAAGCAAATTTTTATTAATTTTTGTATAGTTTTTTGAATAATGATTTACAAAAGAAATATTTGTGAACAAAAAATTTTATTCTTTTCCGTAGGAAAATAATTTTTTTTTTTCAATCGTTGATCATAAACGTTGTGAACTTCACCGACGTTTTAAATTTATTTATATTTTCACTGAAAAGTCAGGGAAATACAATAAAATTTTTGTGTCAACACAATAAATAAACGACTTTTTCGACTTCTTTTTTTTCTATTTTTAATCAACTGAAGCTACATTTTTTTGCGCCTTAAAGTCGATTCGAGACCTAATCATTTTTTTTAATCTTTTAATTTAATTTCACAATTAAAAATTATATTTTAAATATTTAAAAATTCATAATTAAAAATAATAGAATAAAAATCAGTCTTTACTTAAATAAAATTATTCAAAAAAAAGCTTTTTACTTTAATTTCAAAATTAGTAGTAGAAAAAAATTCTATAACTGAAAAAATAATAATTCTAAACAGTATTAATTTAATTACAGAACACTAATGAAATTACTTGGATGACTCAGCCCCGTATGCAGACAGTTTCTAATGGCTATTAAGAAGAAAAGAATTATTATCTCTACAAGAAAGACGGAAGATAGAAGTAATTTTTCTAATTAAGCATAAAAAAACCGAAAATGATTAAGTTTATTCGCAATTTCGAAATAATTGAGAAAAGAAAAAGTATTTATTTGTTTATTTTTTGTTAAGATAAATTCACCAATTTGCAACACACACAATTATCGACAAATCTTCTGACAAAATTAAATGCATATTTTTTTTTTACTTATAAACAATAATGTTATTTTGAAAAAAAAATGTTTAAATTAAATTGCTTTATGTAGTAAAATTACATTTCTGTCGATAGTTGAGCATTAGGAGGTGACTGTCACTAAATTGCATTTATCTTGGAGATTAGTATTTTATTTTCGCAATAAAGAATAGAATGTAGAATATTTACTATAATTAAGGGAAAAACTATGAAATTTAAGAATTGAAAAACTTTTCAAGCGTCCATTCTTTTTTTTTCTTTAAAAAAATGGATATATCTTTATTTTTGATAAGATTTTCAAATTATTTTATGTTTGTACATATATTATTTTTTTTATACGATAGGAAGCGATTCAGTATTAAAAAAAAATTGTTATTTCTTTTATAGAAAGCATCTACGAATTATGAATAGGGGAAATGCAATTTAAGCCATACTTGTGCCATATTTTGTAAAATAATTTTCAATATCTTTTTTTTATAAATAAATATTTCTTTGTAAATTTTGTAGAATTTTATTTCTATGTGAACCTGTTTTCAGTTTTAAATTAAATTAATTATTAATTAGAATTATTGATAAAAGAAGGAAAATTAAACTAAACGTGTTTTTCATTAATTGGAACTTTTGAAAATTTACAATCGATTTTATCTACTTGTAATTTTACAAGTAAGTTATTTTTGTCTTACATTAATTAAATATTTTTCTTAAAGAAAATACAATTCTCTCAATGTCATGTTATTAAAATTTTCAGTATTTATAAAGTCGTCGCAATGTCATCAAATCAAAATTAACCCAGGTTGATTTTCATCATTTTTGAAGCAAACTTATTTTTCGAAAATTCGTCAAGTTTTATTTTACAGACATGGAGAAGAATATTTTCAAAACTCCTTTGTTTAATGCTGCGAAAAAAGGAATTCTCGAGGAAGTGAAATTTATTTGTGAAACTAATATTGAAGAAGAGGAGAGAGTGAGTGAATATTATCCATCTCTTTATATCGCGTCTTATCAAGGAAACGAAGAAATTGTCGAATATTTACTTTATATGGGAGCGGATCCAAATTATTCGTTCAAAAATTATTTACCACCTCTGCATGCCGCTGCTCAAAAGGGACGACTTTCGATAGTAAAATTATTATTGGATTACGGAGCTGAAATTAATCCGAAACCGTGAGTAGAAAATTAAATTTACACAAACAAATATAATAAATTTTTATATTAAATTTTTTTTATTAATAATAATTTTTTTTTAGTATTAGTTAATACTAAAAAATAAATTAATCAAAAAATTAAAATTTAATTTTTATTTTGACAGAGAGGAAGGATTTTTTTCATCTCCACTTCTCACGGCTTCTCGCGGTGGACATGAATTTATGGTGAAATTTCTTCTGGATCATGGAGCAAATATTGAGGCAAAATTAAATCCAATTTGTGTGCGAGTTTCAAGTGTAATTGAACGACTGTTTGCTTATGGTGATTACAGTGAATCGGAGATTAATTCAAAAAGTGAAAAAATTGGTTACACTTCGTTGCATTTGTCGGCTGATAATGGAGAAAGACGAGTTGTTCGTATTTTAATTAAATATGGGGCGAATGTTAATTCAAAATCAAATTTAAATATCTCGCCACTATTTGTCGCTATTATCAAAAATTTTGAATCAATTATTCAGTTATTGAAAAAAGGAGGCGCGAATTTAAATGACACTGTCAATGGAGTGAGTCTCTGTCAATATTTAATTTTGCGTGATCGTAAGAAAAATGATTCAAACAAGCAAAAATCTTGTCAAGATCCAAATAGCGAGGAAGAAAAATCTGAAGAAGAAGAAGAAGAATATTCATCGGATGAAAAGTAAAAAATAGATTTCAATGACTTTTATTACTTTTTAAAATTATTTTTAGTATTTTTATTATTTTATTATTTATTTTGTGAGTCGACTTGTGACCGAATTCTTTCGACGATCGTAAAGAATTATTTACTTTTATCAAATAATTCTCGAACTACCATTTAATTGTAAATTGTATTTTTAAAAAATATTTAATTTTGTCTATTGAATATATAATATTTATATTGTAAAAGAAGAATTAACACACGTGATGTAAGTCGAAGGATTTATCAAGATTTTATAATTGTACAGACAATGAATAATATTATTTTACAACTTGTTTATCAATTTTTATTTTCGTTGTTCTCGAAAGAGCACTTACGCATTTCGCTAATTACAAAATTCCCATTAAATATCAGATAAGAAATTTAATTCAAATTTGAATTAAATTATAAGCTAAGAATATGAAAATTTTCAGAAATACTGGAATTAAATATTCAAAAGGATAAAAAATATATTTTTGTTTATATTTTCAATTTAAAGAGATAAAAATTTCTTTATTGTTGACAATTCGTAGTAATCAACTTTATTAATTTTTCACACAAAATCAGAATAAATATGATTAAAAAGTAAATAAAATTAATAATTTTCAAATTCGAAAAAATTGGAAAATTAAAATCTAATTTTAGGAAAAATAAATTTTTTTAATAAATAACAAGTGCCTAAAAATTGTTGTTTAGAAAAAAATTCGAAAGAATGTAAATTATTTACTGATTTTTTATGCAAAATCACGGAAGTTATATAATATACAACAATTCGTGATTTGCTTATATAATTAGAATAGAATCCAGTCTCATTTCAATAAGGAAGAACTTTGAAGATGAGAAGCAGGCATCGCACTCATCTACTAAAAACTACTATTTGGATACTTTTTTTTATTTTTTACACTAAAAGCCACTTTTTTCCATGTTTGAGAATTTACATTACTTTAAATTTGTTAACAGTTGAAATAAAAAAATTATTTTCACAAATTTTAATAAAGTTGTTGGAAAAAATTCAAAAAATTTTAATAAAATTCTTTAAAACGATTCAATTGTTTTCACAAATTTTTCGTAATTCAATGATTTTTAATATCTACTATTTTAATAAAAAATTTCCCAAAAGAATTGAATAATTTAAAAAAAAAGTTTTTAAAAATCTTCGCAAACATTCAATTATTTTCATAAATAATAAAACTCATCCCAGGATTTTAATTATTTTTAATATAATTGTAAATTATTTCCGCTAAAAACGCAATTATTCTTAAAAATTTGAATAAAATTCTTCGCAAAAATTGCAATTATTTAAAAATTTGTTAATAAAATTCCATTACTAGAATTCAATTTTAAGAAACATTCAATTGTTCAATAAATTATTTATTTTTGTTTTTAAATAATTGAATTCCAGTAAAATTTTCTAAGAAAAATTGATTTATATGAATTTTAGTCAAAAACACTAAAATAATTGAATTTTGGAGAAAAGTTACAAATGATTGCATAAATTTAATTATTTTCAAAAATAATAATATCCTTTGCTAAAATTAAATTCTGTTCAAAAATTTCAAATAATTTTAGTCAAAATTTCAATTATTTTTATAAATAATAAAATTCTTTTCTAAAATTCAATTATTTTAAAAAAATTTAATTGATTTTATTTATTTTTAATATAATTTTCATGCTATTCTTCGTAAAAATTCAATTATTTTAAAAAAATGTTGATAAAGTTCTTTATAAGAATTGAAATTTAAAAAATATTCAATTATTCAATAAATAATTTATTTTTGTATTTAAATAATTGAATTCTCCTAGAACTTTCTAATAAGAATTGATTTAGAATTGAATAAAATAAAATGATTAAAGTTTTGAATAGTTTTATTTATAAATTTCAAGAAAAAAATGATTGAATTTTAAAAGAATTACTTTTGTAATTTTTTAGAAATAGTTAAATTTCAAAAATGCGTTACATTGAAATCATTTGAAATATTTTAATTCCTGTAGACAAAATAAATAGTTATTTAAATATTTATTTAGAAAAATTATTCTCTTTTGAATATAATTGAGAAATTATAAAAAATTGAGTCAAGTTTAATTTTTCGATACTTGGTATGTACTATACATACCAAGTACGAAGCCTGGCGAATATATTTCTGGAAGAATTTCTCTTTATTTTTAATTTCGCTCTATTAATACCTAAATATAGTGAAAAAATTCTAAATTTGTTTGTAGAATTTTTTTTGATAAGATAATTTTTCAAAAATTGAAATTGTTTTGAAAAAAATAGGAAAGCGGAACTTGAGATTTAATCACAATTTTATATGATCAAGATAATGATTGACATTCATGCCAATGTTTGTCAAAACTGATAAATTCTCGAAAGACAAAACTTTCACATGTATAACAAATAAATAATATTAACACACCTCAGGGGGTTCCCGATAAAAAAAATGTCTTTTTAAATCTTGACATTTAAAAAAGCATGACACAATGAAAAGATAAATTTAGGGACTTTACTCTCACAAAATTTGTATATATACCGTTAATAGCAAAATAATCTTTCGCCAATTGAAAGTTTATTAAAGTCTCTCAGTGTTGATTCCTTAGAGATAAGAAGACATTGACTCAAGGTTTAGTGACTTTTAGAAGATGATTTTAATTTTCAACGACTCAAAAAAAGAGAAAAATTAAAAAAAAGATCAAAAAAAAAAAAAATCCCACCAAAACGTGACTAGAAAAGAAAATATCGTGTCTCTAGTGCAACGAATAATTTTATTTCTGACAAAGAATTTTAATGTGAAGTGTTATTAGCATACTTGCAGATAGTAATAGTGTATAATTAAATATAGAATTGTATAAATAGATATAATAGTGAATTTTAATTCTCCTTATGGCAAAATAATGTTTGCAATCGAAAAGAGAAAAAAAAACAGCTCACTTTTTTTTTCTCTTCCTCCCTCTCTTATAATTATTGAATCTCAAACGAAATAAGACTAGGATTTCCCAATCCGGAATTCATATACGTCAAAGAAAATGATTAGCTCTCGATTTATCCTCATTTAGCAGCAAAAATAAAGAATCACAAATATGTTCGATTCTACGTAAAAGAATAATAATTCTAAACAATCAATTCAATTGTTTTTATTTGTTGATGATGATGATGACAATTAAAAAAGAAAATATTTCCTTTCTGTTGCCCAAAGTCGACTTTACAAAGTTCTTTTAAATTCTGGGAAAATTAATTTTTTGTATTCAAAAAATTTGAAATTCGTTTTTGGATTTTCGACTCGAATGATAGAGGATTGAAAAAGGGGATCGAGAATTTTTTTTTGATTTTCGACTCGAATGATAGAGAATCGAAAAAAGAGGAAAGAGAATTGAAAAAAAATTAAAAGAAGAGAATTGAAAAAAGAGAAATAAAAATAAAAATTTCGAAGAGTTTGGAAACTGATTTCGAAAAATATCCATTTTTTATTCTCGTCGACACTTTTTATTGATCACCAAGAAGAACTCGTTGTCGACTAGTTAAGTGGCACTATTATTCACAGAGCGTGGAATCGACGTATCTACGTAGAGACGCGATTTGCGTAGTTTCGTAGGTCAGTGTCAGCAGGTAAAAATCTCTCTCCGACGATGGAAGGAAACACAGTTTACCGCACTCGCGACAAGAGGAAATGGAACTGACGTCAAACAGGAGTGCTCCTGGCGTCGTTGATGTACAAGAAGAAGGCGTGCATGCGAGAAAAGCGAGGGGATTGGCTCTTTCGAAACTGGCACGAGCCACCTGTTCCACCAAGTGGGGCATCCCTCTTCTTGGGCTCACCAAAGGATAAAAAATACTCCGGAGGATCGCAGGATGCCCAGTTTGCACTTGACAATTTTCAACGATAGTCGAATTTCAAATCGAGTGCTTTGAAAATAAACCAAAGAGATTAATCAATAAAAATCAATCAAAATTGACAATTAATAAAAATTGCCAATTGATAAAAATCGACAATGAATCAAATAATATCTCTCACAATATTCCTTTTAATTTGGATATGGACCACTGGGGTCCAGACTCAAGATAATCAAGAGATTCTCGAAACTCATCCTCGGAAGAATCTTGGTCTAGCAGCAAAATACCATCCTCATCATCATCACCATCATCATAATCATAAAAACGAATTAAAAGACCTCGAGCAGAATCCATCGAAACTCGAACCGAGGGATTTTGCGAGTTTCCGTGAACGTCGGAAACGACACAACACACGGCACAGTAAGGGTGTCGAGTACAAGCAAATGACATCGGACGAGGAGAGAGACTTTCAAGAGAGTCGAAAACGTGGTGCAGTGTTTTTGGAGAAGAGCGAAGACTACGAGGTTGAGGTGAAGGAGGCGCAGAATAATTCCATCTGTGATTATAAAGTTGTGCCAATACCCGATCTCGAGGGCAATCGTATTCCAGCCGATTTGGAGCACGTGGTTTGCAATCATGCCGGTTCAAGATGTCAGGACATGGGCTTCTATTATTGCCTCCAGACTTACAGAATAATTGACGTCTATCACGGTCATCATCGGCGAAGTAAAATGAAAATCTACGCCGGTTGTGTGTGCGCTCTCTTTGATTTTCCTGATGTTCAACCCCAATCGCCCAGGCTACCACTAGATGACTAGAAAAAGAGAAAAAAAAAACGTGAATACTTCCAGTGACAAATTATAATGACATTAAATTTTTATTTTTTAATTAAAATTTTAATTAAAATTCGAATTAAAATTTAATTTCGAATTATTTTCGATATTATTCGAAAGAGAAATTTGACAAAAAGAAATTTCTCAAAAATACTTTTCCGCAAATAATTTTCTCCCGAGGGGGAAATTTGGACAGAAAACTGTGCGGAATTCGAAAGCATTGTGATATATAGTATAAGTTTTAAAAATTATCCCGTCGCGTTAAAATAACACCGGCAAAATCATTTTCGAAAATTAATATTTGTAACAACAAAATTGAAAAAAAAGATTTTGTTATTTTTTACTCTGTGATATGTATTTTTATTGTAATTTAAATATATTGAATGTCGTGAATATTGTGAAGCCGTTAGAACTAATAATTATTTTTTTTTTTGCGAGAATGATTAAAATTTCTGATTGTATAAAAATTTTTGTAAAATTTTGTACAATTTTATAAAAGAAGAAAAAGTTTATGAAAATTTGGATGTGCAATTAGAGAAAATCTAATTTTAGAAAAAAGAAATTAGTTTATAGAGTTCGTATATTTATTCCTATTGTATAATAATTTTTGACTGATGTATCATGTACATAAAAACATACATCGTAATTAATTCATTCTATTGTAAATAATGTGGCGTATTTATTTTAGCGAGAGTTTAAAATAGTTATTTTCGTATCAAGGGCGCAAAATAGGTGATTGCGACGATGGCGAAATGAAGGGACCGAGGGGACACAATTTCGCGCCCGAGGCGAAGCCGAGGGAGCGAAAGTGTCCCCGAGGTTCCGAAATTTCGCCAGAGTCGTAATCACCTTTGCGCCCATGATGCTAACATAATTTTTTGTCCTAACTGCATGGAAAGTATGTCATTGAGGGCACGAACGATTAAACGCTCATATTAGTTAAAAATTAAACTCTATATAAATGTTAACTCTTTGAAGTCTATAATGATACAAGTTTTAATATAGAAATAAGAAAACAATGTATTCTGAAAATATAGTAATTGACAATTTTTATAACCGAAATGTGAACAAAACCAAATGTGTCATAATTTTTTTTTAGAAAAAATCGAAAAAAAATTGCACATTTTTCTAGACAAAATAAAACAAGTTGAAAATGTTTGCATTTTTATAGTCAACATAAGAAGAAACTCGAAAATATCACATTTTAATGAAGAAAATCGAATAATTAACATGCGGGCGCAAAATACTCTTCCTCCTGCTCGAAGGTAGGGGAAGCGGGCGCAAAATATTTTGCGCCCGCTCGGAGGTAGATGAAGCGGGCGCAAAATATTTTGCGCCCGCTCGGAGGTTGGTGAGCGGGCGCAAAATATTTTGCGCCCGCTTCCCCTACCCCTGGGTGGTAATGAGTCACTTTGCGCCCGCTCTAAGTGCCCGAAATGACATACTTTCCGTGCAGGTAGGACAAAAAACTATTTATAATTCATTCATCGAATTCATATTCATACTTTGCAGTATTTTCCTATTTATTGTTTAATGGCAATCGGATAATTATAACAACAACAAAAAATGATCAGATTTTTTAATAAAATCGAATTTTTTAATTTATAATCTCCGCCTTTTTATTTGAAACAAAAAAAACCCAAAAATTCCAAAAAGCCTAGAAGCGAAATATATTTCAACTTTGAGTTTTTTTTTCACAAAAAAAAACAAGAAAAAATCCCAAAAAGAAATTTACTTTTCCTAAGAAACAATATTATTTCAACTTTGAGTTAAATTTTTTCAACAAAAAAAAAAAATCCAAAAATCCCAAAAAGAAATTTATTTTTCCTAAGAAACAATATTATTTCAACTTTGAGTTAAATTTTTTCAACATTGATAAATTCAGCACTGAAAAAAATTTTATTTGATTCAATAACGGATTAATTGACTAAATTAAATATTTACTTGAATCAAATAATATGTATTGGAGTCAATAAAATGGTATTTGTTTCAAATACCATTTGATTGACTCCAATAAATATTATTTAATTCAATTAAATATTTAATTGTCAATTAATCGGTTATTTGAATCGAATAAATTTTTTTTTCCACTATAAAGTAACAAGAATGTCAATTTTTCTCTCTCGATAAATGTCAAAAAACTGACGTAAATTGTTTTTTCTTATATTGAATATTAAAAAGTGATAATAATGATAAAAACATTATTTGTCTTTTTGAGAAAACAAATATTAATGACGTAAATATTGAAAAAAATTTGGACTATGACTGTGCGAATTCATGTCAATTTGAAATAGTATCAGATTCTGATGAAATTCCAATATCACGACCTTTGATTCTAGGATTTTATTAATTTTTAAAAATACACTAACCGTCACTTGATATGAGATCACCTGTTTTTTTAAGAGATGCGCATAAGTTTCCTAACTTTAAGAATCTTTAGAAAATTAAATTTTTTTCCTCAATTTATATGAGAAATAAAAAAAAGTGCACTTGGTTCCTTGAACTCAATGAATTGACTCAACATTTTTTGGGTTTTCTCCGAAGAATTTTTTTTAAATACTCTTCTATTTCTATTTTTAAATACTTTTCTATTTTTATTTTGAATACTTTTTCTATTTTTATTTTGAATACTTTTCTATTTTTATTTTGAATACTTTTCCATAACTGTGAAAATAAAAAAGTTCTCAGCACTCGAAGAAATCGAAACATTCGAAAAGTGAATGATGAAATTTTGCACGATTTTTAAATCATAAGATCAAAAATAATTTCTTTTGAATGAGGAATTCTTTCCGAATCTTTGGTATAAATATTTTTTTATTTACAACTCGGCAAAAAGTTGCTTTAGTCCCTCTTTTCGTTTGAATTTTATAAAAAGAAGTGGATCCAAAAACCAATTTGGATTTTTCCTCAATGAAAGGAAAATTGAGAAGTTTTCATCTTTTCAGTGAGTTAAAAAAAATCCACCAATTTGAGATAAATTCTTCATTTGGAAAACAAAAGGAAAAATATCCGACGAGGAAAATTTTAGAAAAAGAAGTAAATCCGAAAAATTATTCGAATTTTTCCTGAGAAGTTTTCATCAATTTTTCAACAAATTCAAAAAAGAAATTTACCAATTTGAGGTAAATTCGTCATTTGGAGTAAAAAGGAAAAATCGCCAACGAGAAGAACATTTTAGAGTTAACAATCCACAAAGGACATTAATCCCTGGCCAGCAAATAATTTATCAAATTCTATTCAATTACAAGAATCAGGCATTTGTCATTATGAAGAAATTTTATTAATAGTCCCGAAAGAGTTAAAATTAGAATTTCAGCAATAAAACTGGTCGTAATGCGATTTCGGGTCATCGACGTCACTAGAGGCCTAAAAGAAATGTGAATGGCCTGGAAAGATTTAAAAAAATGATAACATTAAAAATTCTGCGATCTGCGAAAAAGACCATCGCGGTCCATTTTAAACAGAGATCTCCCCCCCGCCCTTTCCACCCTCTTATTGTATAACTTTCAATTTAAAATACCATCATTATAATTTTTTTATTTTTTTTCCATCTGTACGCGCGTACAATTTATTTATGGATAAACCTGCTGCGAATCTCATAATACTTGGATTAATGAGAGTACCATGTCCCTTCGTATTATAATTATTATCCGATTGAACGTTGGTGACGTATGCAGTGACGCAGAGAATCGTGACGGCTGCAGTTGTATACCTGTATGTGAATCACCGTCAGGATTCTATGAACATGTATAAATAAATGATAGCCGATGGTGGAGGGACTTCCCGAATTTATGTGAAAACGCAAGACAAGGTGAAACCAGTTTCAAGACTGGATTGCTGTCGTGCGTGTCGCAATTATTTTTCTATTCTATTTACAAGAATCGCCGTTATTTCGAAAAAAAAACATTACTCTATCACCATCGGAATTATATCACTTTTTTTTAATTTCGTGTAGTTTTCCTCCAAATTTTCCTTTTGCGACAAAATGTATTTTCTTTTTTAGACATTTATTTTTTGTCACAGTAATGCCTGAATTTTGTCTCTCGATTTTATCTCGATTTTGTCTAATAATACCATTGTGTCATGTAAGTAATTAGCATATGTTTTGTAATTTTATTACTTGCATATACGTAATAAATAATAATATGCATATTCCTCGAGATTATTTATTTCTCCGGGGAATTTTCTTTTTCAAAAAAAAACGACTCGTTATTACTCCTTGTGTGACCATATTTCAAGAATAGAACAGGCTTCACACTCAATAATTATAATTTCAAAAAAGTAGTTTTAATACTGAAAAAAGAAGTAAAAAATTATCGAAAATTAATTTTTAACGAATAAAAAGAGAATAGTTTTAGTTGATTCATAAAAATTTCGATTCAGTATTTTCCCAGACTGATTCCTGATTTCAATCAAAAACAATTATTTTTACTCTAATCCTGCTTCTAAATTTTTGAACAATTCAATTATTTTCCAAAGTTTTATCCTAAAAAATACAATTGTATTTAAAAGTAAACAAATATATTATTTCATAAAATTTAATTTAAATTGTTCACAGGAATTAAGAAAATAAATTAATAATTTTTCAAAGTAAAAATTTAAATGTTATTACAGTTTTACAACAATTAAAATTTTCAACGGTTTGAAATTTGAAATTAAGTTATTTCTAAAAGAAAATCGTACTATAACACTTTTAATATTCAATTATTGTCTAAAATTTCAACTGAAATTCGTTTTTAAATCAATTCTTATTATATCCGAAAGTTCAACTGGAATTCAATTATTTAAATACAAAAATAAATAATAAGAATAATTGAATGTTTCTCAAAATTTACGCTTCTTATTAAGAATTTATCAATTTTTTAAAAAATAATTCAATTTCTGAAAAGAATTGTTATTTATGAAAATAATTGAATTTTTACAAAGGATTTATGAATTTTGTGAAAAATAATTGAATTTTCGAGAAGAATTTTATTTTTCATTAAAATAATTGAATTCTCGTGAAAATTGTATTTTTGGGAAAATAATTGAATATTGTGAAGAATTAAAGAAAGAATTTATCAATTTTTTAAAAAATAATTCAATTTCTGAAAAGAATTATGTTATTTATGAAAATAATTGAATTCTTATGAATTTTGTCGCCGAATTTAATTAAAATTTTAGAAAATAATTGAATTTGTTAAACAATTTTATGAAAATTGTATCTTAAATAATTGAATTCCTATGAAAAATTTATTATTTAATAATAATAATTAGATTTTTTTGAAAAATAATTGAATTTCCGAGAAGAATTTTATTATTTATGAAAATAATGGAATTCTTGCGAAGCATTTTATTTAATTCTTTTTAAATAATTGAATTCTCGTAAAAAATTTTATTATTTGGGAAATAATTGAATTCTTGTGAAGAATTTAAAGAAAGAATTCAGAAATCTATTAATTTTTTTAAAAATAATTGAATTTCTGAAAAGAGTTTTATTATTTATGAAAACAATTGAATTCTTGAGATGAATTTTATTGGATTTTTTAAAAATAATTGAATTCTTGTGAAAAATTTTATTATTTGTGAAAATAATTGAATTCTCGTGAAAAATTGTATTATTTGGGAAAATAATTGAATATTATAATTGTTAAGAATTAAAGAAAGAATTTGAGAATTTATCAATTTTTTAAAAAATAATTGAATTCTCGTGAAGAATTATATTTAATTCTTTTTAAATAATTGAATTATTTGGGAAAATAATTGAATCCAAATAGAAACAAATTGTAAAAAAAAGTTGTAAGTAGTAGGTTTTAGTATAGATATGAGTGCGAAGCCTGATAGAAATTTTTAATCTTTCTTCTATGAAATGTAATTTTTTTCCGCAATTATTGCACCAACAAATTTTAATTTCGAAAATAGTCTAAAGTCTCGTGTTTTACCTATTTTTGCGATTTCTGAAGAATAAGAATAGGCCAAAACTTTTTCTCCTTGCAGAATTTTTCTCCTTCTTCGAGTGTTTGACGTAAATTTTTTCCAGCAGTTTCAGGCAGAAAAAGGGTTAAAAATGCAGCGAATAATGCAACAATGGCAACTATTAAAATCGGCAGTTCTTTCCAAACGCTTCTCTGAAAAAAAAAGAAAAATACAAATTATGTAATTATTTCCATATTATTTATATTTATTTATTATGTAAAAAATTAGTGTAAATTAGACAATAAAATTATGTATAAAAAAATAATAAATAAATAAATACTATATTAAAAGATTATAAATTAAGATTAAATTAATTAAGAATCAAAATTTACCAATATTATAATGTAGGGTATTATAAAATGAATAATACTCGCAAGAGAATGAATTGAAGCTGCACCTTGTGTCCTAAGAGGAGTTGGAAATAATTCTGGAACATATTGCGTGAACAAACAAGCCAAGCAATCCATTCCAATTCTAACTAAGGACGCCATAAAAATTTTCCCAATTTCTGTAGAAAAGAAAAAAATGACCAAATTAATAGGGATCAAATTTACCGCACCAATAATATATAGATAAAATAAAAAAAGGAATTTTTATACACACCAGATTCAATAAAAACAAATACAAAACTGACTATTGCAATAAAAATTAATAACGAAGCTCCAATAAATCTACGACCCAGGCGATTAACCAAAAGTTGAAATAATAAAAATGCCAGCAATGTATCAAGACAGGTCCAAGTGAATGATACAAAAATGGACAATTCATATCGGTGTAAATAATATAAATTCGTGTCCAATATCACACTAGTTAGAGCACTGGAACAGTGAAATTTTTCATCTATAAAATAACAGGATTGCCACAAAAAATTAAATTTTGTTTTTCTCTGACTTTTTCCTAATTTCTAGACAAAATTTTGACTTTTTCCCTAACAATAAAAAAGAATATTCTGATTCACTCTCAAAATGATTAGATACTCAAAAAAATATTCTATTACATTTATTTACGAATTTCTAAAATTGTAAAATTATTCGAAAACATATGGAAAACATATCAATAACTTCCTTTTTTAAATCAATAATTAATCATTATTATTTTTTCATAAGAATTAACATTCTTCAAAAGCTTCAAATTCAATCCTTTTTTAAATTTAATGACTTTTAAGAATATCGAATAATAAAATTATTGTCTACAATTTTTAACTAAAATTCTTCTCTAAATCAATTATTTGTAATAATTTTTGAAAAAGTTCTTTGAGAATTCTCAAATATATTTATTTACAATTCAATTTTACGAAATTTCATCAATTATTCGGAAATTCTTCAATTGTATATATTGGAAAATAAAAACTTTAAATAATTTAAAAAAAAAAATTCAAAATTTAATTATTTCTAAACATTCACGCTATAATGTTTTTAATATTCAATTATATGTATAAAATTCTAATTGAAATTCTTTTTCTAATCAATTTTTATTACAAAATTCTACAAGAATTCAATTATTTAAAACAAAATAAATAATATATTGAATAATTGAATGTTTCTCAAAATTTAATTCTCATAAAGAATTTTGAATAATAAATTTTTAAATAATTACATTTTTCGAGGAATTCGATTAAAATTTTTAAAAATAATTTAATATCAGAGAAGAATTTTTATTATTTATAAAGGTAATTAAAATTTTGCCAAGAATTTTATTAAAATTTTTGAAAATAATTGAATTTCTGCGAAGAATTTTATTACTTTTAAAAATAAGTGAAATTTTCGCTAAGAATTTTATTAAAATTTTTAAAAATAATTGAATTTCTGCGAAGAATTTTATTATTTATAAAGATAATTGAAATTTTAACTAAATTATTTAAAATTTTTTGAAAATCATTGAATTTGGTGAAGAATTTTATTATTTATAAAGAGAACTGAAATTTCATCAGATTTTTTAAATATGTTTAAACATAATTGAATACCTTTAGAATTTTTATTATTTTGAAAATAATTAAATATTTGCGTAGAATTTTATCAAAATTTTTTTTACTAATTGAATTCTTTTGGAAAATTTTATTAAAATAGTAGATATTAAAAATTATTGAATTCAAGGAAATTTTTGAAAAATAATTGAATTTTTGCCAGAAATTCTATTAAAAATTTTTATAATAATTCATTTTCGAAGAAGAATTTTATTATTAAAAAAGTAATTATTGGCAGAAATAGTAAAAATGGTTGGTTTTGTATTAGAATTCTTGGCAATTTCACAGTTTTTGAATTTCAAATTAAACATTTGTAAAAATAAATATAAATATGGAAATATATTTAAATATTTCCATTATTATCAACATTAAAAATTAAAATCATGTTTACTTACAAAATAAACGAAAAGAGAAATGTACTCCTAGCAAGATGGGGAGTTTTTCTGAGATCCCATAAATTTACACTTTCGACTTTCTTGTTTTTTCGTTTCAAGTTCATCTAATTCAATAATAAGAAACAATATTAATACAATTAAAAATATAATTATTTAATAAAACAAATCATTAAATAATAAAATAAAAATTGTTCAACTCACCAAAAGTTCATCGTACATCCAATTTTCAGATTTTTTTCCATTAACTCTAGCAATTCTGTGCAATTTTTTCAAAACTTTGTCAGGATAACCTTTCGACGCATACCATCTAAATATTGAAATAAAATTATTAAATATAATTATAATATATTAAATTTTTATTTATTAAAATTATTTTAATTAATTTAATTGTTGAATTAAAAATTGTTAAATTAATAAAAAAATTATAAATGCAAACGTTGAAAGATTTGTGATATTTACCGAATACTCTCAGGCATTGTGAAGGTAAGTAGAAAACTAATTAAAACTGGTACGGAGCATAAAATTGTGAAGATTCTCCAATTACCAAGGAAATATGCAGACCAAGTTAAAATCAATTTTCCACTCATTAAAGTGAATCCAAATCCAAAACATGTAATAATTGATCTCTTATTTTCTGCCGTATATTCCATAGCTGAAATTAAACTTTGATTACATGTTTTTTTTTTTTTGTAATATATCTTCAGCAATGTCTCACATAATATTTTTACCTAAAATCAACGGAATAGTTAAAATGTTGTCAAACGAAAAACCCAATATGAATTTGCTTAATGTGAATGACCAGAAATGATGAGAAATAGCCATTCCAATGAGAGCAATAAATGCGAATGTAGTGGAAACTTTTAATGCCAAAAGTCTGCCCTTATAATCGGAAATCCAACTAAATAGAAAATTACCAATTAAAGTACCAATAAAAAAGACCGCTTGCGATGTGGCTATTCGATATTCTTCATCACAAACCCAATTCATCTGCAAGGATTTAAAGAAATTAATTAATTAATTAAATTAATTTAATTAATTAAATTAATTTAATTAATTTAATTAATTTAATTAATTAATTTTAAATTAAATTTAATTTAATAATTGTGTTAATTTCTTTACCTCAACACCAATACTTGGATACGATATCAAACTAAAATCATATTCCCATTCGGTACATTTCACCGTTTCATTCGTTTCCCATAATTTTGAATTAAAATCATTTCCGACTTCAGCGATAATTTTAGAAAAATTTAATTTCTTATGATGACATCTGTTATAAAATGGATATTGATTTGATTCTGGAATGGCTAATTTAATTCTGCAAGAAAAAAAATATATTAAATTCGATTATTTTCAAGAATTTTAATATAAATTCAATTATTTTCAAGAATTTTAATATAAATTCAATTATTTTCAAAAATTTTAATATAAATTCAATTATTTTCAAAGAATTTTAATATAAATTCAATTATTTTTAACAATTTTAATAAAAATTCAATAATTTTTAGAATTTTAATATAAATTTAATTATTTTCACCAATTTTAATATAAATTCAAATATTTTCAACAATTTTGATGAAATTCTTTTAAAAAAATCATTATTTTCAAAATGTTTAGTAAAATTCAATTGTTTAAAAAAATTCAGATAAAATTCTTTGAAACAATTCAATTTTTTTATGAATTGTAAAATCCTCCTCAAGAATTTAATTATTTTCATAATATAAGAAAATTCTTCGCAAGAATTAAAATATTTTCAAAAATACAATTTTAATAAAATTTCTCGAAATTATTATTACAATTATTATTAAAAATATTATTTAAATTCAATTATTTTTAAGAGTTTTTGAATAAAAATTCAATTATTTTTAACAATTCTAATATAAAATTCTTCTGAGAAATTCAATTATTTTCAATCCAATTTTTATTAAATTTTTCTAGTAAAAAATTCACTTATACTCAAGATCATTTTAATAAAATTTCTCTAACAGGTTCAATTATTTTAAAAAATTGTAATAAAAGTTTTCTTAACAATTCAATTGTTCTCAAAAGTTTTGAATAAAATTCTTTGTAAATTTCAATGATTTTCAAAATTTTCAATTAAAATTACTTTAAAAAAATTACATTATTTTTACGAAATTTAATGAAATTCTTAAAAAAAAAAGATGTTATTATTTACAAAAAATCTAATAAAATTGCTTAAAAGACTTTAATTTTCTATGAATAATTTTAATATAATTTAATGGGCAAAATCGTTAATTACAATTAATAATAAACACGATTATTTTAAAAACCTAAAAGAAATTCTTCTTAAAATTCAATTATTTGCAAAATTTTCAGAAAAAATTATTTTAAAAAACTTCATTATTAATATAATTGAATTCTTACGAAGAATTTAAAAAAATTGTTTAAAAATAATTTAATTTTTTCTGGAATTCAATTAAAATTGTATTTAAAATAATTGAATTCCAGCGAAAATTTCATTATTTATGAAAATAATTAAATTCTTGAATTGTATTTTATTAAAGTTTTTAAAATAATTGAACTCCTGTGGAAAATTTAATTATTTTTATAAATAATTGAATTTTTTCGAAAAATTTTTACAAAATTTTTAAAAATAATTAAAATTTTCAAAGAAATTAATTAAATTTGTATTGAAAATAAGTGAAATCGTGATAAGAATTTTATTATTTATACAAAAATAATTGCATTTACACGAAGATTTTTATTATTTATAAATTGAGGCTTTTTGCAAAGAATTTTATTACAATTATTGAAAATAATTGAATTCTTGATAAAATTCAATTACTTTCAAAAATTTCAGTAGAAATTATTAAAAAAAACTCCACTATTTTCAAGAATATTGAAATCAATTCTGAAAAACAATTCAATTATTTTAAAGAATTTTAATAAAAATCTTGCCAAGAATTAAATTATTTTCAATATAATTTTAATTACAGTTTCTCGAAAGAATTCAATTCTTGAAAAAAATGTTGATAAAATTCTTGAAATGAATCCAATTATATATTCAAATATTTTTATAAACCCAACTCACCTTTCATCTCGAGTCAAATTAAAATCAATTAATTCATTTATTTTACACCAATGTTTTTCTGGTACTGCGACTATTAATAATGGTGCAATAAAAACTGAGACAAATGAAATTCCAAATGGTAATAAACTCAACAATAAGCACAATTGGTATTTTCCAAAATCTCCAATATATGGCAAAATATCTTCAAAAAATTCAATTTTCTTTTTTTCTCTAAGACATTTGACACTGACATCATCTTCGTCTATTTCGACCATTATTTTCAGTTATTTATTATTAATAGACTAATAAGTTTAAATTTAAGCTAAATGGAATAATTTGACTTAAAATTATTATAACGTACAACTAAATATTTTGGAAGTAACTGAATTTTTATTTTATGCGCATTTGGTGTAGAAAAAGAATTTAGATAAAATATTTCCTTTAACCTAGTTGATGATTCGTTTAGCAATGTAAGTTACTTATTTTTTTGTAAACTAGTCTTTTAACTCTTACATATTTTAAATTGTTAAAATAAACAACCTCTTATATAACAATTATACATTCTAATAATAACATTTTTTTTCTTTTATCACAAAAAGTTGTTTGAGTTTTGAACATTAGCAGAACATTATTGAATATTTATTTTATCTTTTTATTTATTTGATTACTTTCATGTATTTTTTATTTAATTTGATTTCTTTGTTTATATTTTTTAATTAATTGAATATGTTTTTATATTTTTCTTATTTAACTGAATATTAATAATATTGAATATTTTTGATATTTTCTGTTGAAAAATATTCCACGATTTAAGGAATTTAAATTTAAATTTAGAATTTAATTATTTAAAATTACAATTTTATATAAAAATTAAAATTATTTACTTTTCAAATAACTTACATATTTGTCATTAGCTCCTGATGTAAAAAAAAGTATCGATCCATCTAATAAAGCCACAGTGGTAGGTATTTTTATTAAAATTGTCAATTGTCTCCACAATCTCTGAAAAGGAAAAAAAACCAGTTATTCTAATTTATTATTCTATTTTTCTTATTGTATTTTACTTTGTATTTGATAACTTAGACTGCTTTAAACTAATTACAAAAATATAAATTGTATTGAAATATAAAAAATATAAAATTAATTATAATATAAAATATAAAATTTTAAATAAACTATATAAAATTAGGTAATTAAAAATATAAAAAAATTATATTGAAATAAAAATAATTTACAAATTTAAAAATTTGATGTAAAACTTAAAACGAACAAGTAAACTAATTATTATTAATTAATATAATTAATAATTACCAAGAAAACAAAATAGATTTCCAGGATAATTCCTAAATTGAAGCAGCACCTTGAGAATCTTCAAAGTAGGAAAAATTTTTCGCAGAAAGATTTTGTTTATACAATTAAATTTAATATTCTATAAATTAAAAATTTGTTTCACAAAATAAAATTTATTTAATCATAAAAATTTCTTTTTAAATTTATAATTAACAGTAATTATTCCTTAGTTTTATAAATAGAGAAACATGAGATAATTATAACTTTCCATTGTTACATTTATTTAATAAAATAAGAGAACAGTTACAAATAAAACTTCAAATAATCTAAAATTTATTAACATTAAAATCTTACATTAAAAATGTAAAAATTTTTCTCTCAAAAACTAAATGTCCACTACCATGTAATGTAACGATCAGATATTTGAATAAAAAGCATTTTGTAAATAAATATTTAGTTTCTTTTTTCAAAAATAATATTTTTTCTATTTTGAAAATGTAATCGTTATAAATGGTAATGTTCTTAATACACAATTTTTAAGCTTAATTGAAGAATAATTTTCTCGGAATAGAATCTAAATATTGTTCATTTAAAAGAAGAATTCTTTTTTAAATGAATTTTTATTTCACTATAATATGAAATAAAAAAAAAATTGTTTTCAAAAATGAAAAAAGAAACGTATAATATAAATAAAAAAAATATTCTTGATTAATATAAAGTAATGTATAAAAGCCTCAAAAAAATCTTTTAACAAAACATTGTTTTGTCACTATTGATTTAAATCACATAATAATCACTAGTTTTTCTTTTTCTTGAAAATTCTATTTCAATATTAACGCAATTATGTACTTAATTAATGTCAAGTGAATTTTCCTGAATTTCAAGAGATTCATTAATAGAAATATTCCCTATATAAGCAAATTAGTTATCAAAATTCTTAAACAGGGTTGCCATAAAAATTTCATTTCATTTTTGCATTAAATTTTCTTCGAATTTTTCAAAATTTAATTGCGATTTAAAGAATTTTATTCAAATTTTCGAAAATTTAATTTTTTTTTAAGAATTTTATTTAAATTTTATGAAAATAATTAAATTCTTTCGAGAAATTTAATTGAAATTGAATGTCATGAAGAATTTCTTATAAATTTTTAAAATAAAGAAAATAATCATGTTTTTGTTAATAATTGTAATTAAACATTTGATTATTGAATTTTATTAATTAGAAAATAATTAAATTCTTCTGAGAATTTTATTACAATTTTTTAAAATAATTGAATTTAAAGAATTAAATCAAAAACATTTTAAAGAATTGTATTAAAATATTGGAAATAATTGAATTCTAAAGTATTCAAATATTCAAAGTATTTCTTTAACTTTTTTGAATATATAAATTTCATTAAAATTATTAATAGAAAATTAAATTCTTTTAAACAATTTTATTGGGGTTTTTGTTAATAATTAAATTCTATTGAAGAATTTCTTTATGATTTTTAAAAGTAATTGAATCGTTTCGAACAATTTTATTAAAAATCCATTGAAAATAATTGAATTCTTACGATATATTTCACTATTTATTAAAATAATTGAAAATTTGCAAAAAAATTTATTATTTATAAAAATAATTGAATTTTTCCAAAGAATTTTATTATTTATAAGAAAAATTTAATTTTTCCTAAGAATTTTACTATTTATAAAAATAATTTAATTTTTGCAAAGAGTTTTTTATAATTTATAAGAAAAATTTAATTCTTATTGCAAATAATTTTACTATTTATATAAATAATTGAATCATATTGAAGAATTTTATTAAAATAGCATTAAAATAAATTAAATTTTATTGTTTATTAGTTTAAAAATCAAATTTTTTTTAAATCTTGAATCTGAAATTATTCAAAAATTGATATTTGAAAATAAAATTTGCCTAATATTTAGAATAATTTGTAAATAATTTACCTCACTCAAAAGAGTGAATAATTTTTTAAATTTGAATATGAAATTTTTCAAAAATTAAATTAAATCTTTTCAATTATTTCAAAGACTGCTAGACAAAAAAAAATTCAGAATTTTCTCATGAATTTTTGAAATTTAATATTTTCTCATTACTTTTGATAAAATTCCCTGTTTTTTCCCTGATCTGTGGCAACACTGTTAAAAAATAGAAAATGATTAAATTCATCAACAAGAAAAATTCTATTTATAATAAAAATAATTATTCTTTTTCAACAAGAAAAATTCTGTTTATAATAAAAATAGTTATTTCTTTTCAACAAGAAAAATTCTATTTATAATAAAAATAATTATTCTTTTTCAACAAGAAAAATTCTATTTATAATAAAAATAATTATTCTTTTTCAACAAGAAAAATTCTATTTATAATAAAAATAATTTTTTAAATTCAGAAGCATGAAAAAAGAAAGAAAAATTCAGAAAAATTCCATTCCCTGCACTTTGTAAATTAATCAATTCGGTAATTAAAAAGAAACTTAACTTTTTCATCACATTTCTTCATTTTTTGCTGATTTGCATTCAATGCAAGTTGCAACAGTTTCCACATGTCCTTTACAGGAGAATCTTCGACAAAATTTACATTTTATCGTTGTATCAACATTTTTAGCCCGTGCACACAAATGACATCGACCACGTTTTCGACTCTCTTCATTCTCCTTTTGTATTTCAATCGGCTCCTCCCGATATCTCGCCAATATTGCTCTAATCTCAGTGGGAAGTGTTAAAATTTTCGCCCTCTCGCAAAGATGATTTCTCATTAAACTAAGTGAGAGATTCTTTAAAAATGTCTTTCTTATCACACGACAATCCACATTGTTTGCCTCATATAAAATTTGTGCATTAACACTGGCGATATTTGTGAGCGTAAAAAATAATGCCAATGGCCATTGATTTGTGACACGCGCTACAAAATATGCTTTACACAATTCATGAACAACATCAACTGCTCCCTTTGTCATATCGTAATAAAGGGCAACCAGAGGTTTTTTTGTCTTCTCATCGACGATATTACAATTTTTCATTGTCGATAGGAGAATAATTGATCGATTCGTTCTTGGTACGAAAGAAACGAGTGTCATGTCGGGTTGATAGCCGAACATTGATGTACCAACGCGTTTATATTTATTCGGTAGGAATTCAACGGGAATTTCAGATCTTTCTCTTCTCATCGAACCGATACAAGTGATTTTTTTCTCTAAAAGAGATTTAGCGAGCGTCGAACAAGTGTACCATGTGCCAATTGTTAAATTTCGATTTGAACCCTCAATCGGCGCGACTAAACGCTCGACAATATCGATTGGATCATTTGATAAACGATAAGGACCATCGGGTTGTTCGCCACAATAAACTTCCAAATTATTCGTGAAATATGTCTTTGCGTCACAGAGCGCAAATATCTTCAAACCACACTTGGCAAGATTTTTGGAAAGATTCTGACTAGAATTTAATTGTCCTTGAAATACTTCTAAACTTTTAACACTCACATATTGTCCAACTGAATAGGAACTTTTACAATTCGTTATGAATGAATCAAGAAAATAACGAATTGGCGCTAATTTATCAAAAATTCGCCTCTTGCGTCGCATTTCATCGTTATCAAAACGTAAATTTCTCAGGAGAAATAAAAATCGTTTTTTACTCATACAAGCGCGTACCATTGTTATTCCAGTGCCGTCTGTTGTCCATAATTCCTCGGTACTTGTATGATTACCTTTATTAACACCAATCAAAAATAAAAGTCCAAAGAGAGCTAATAATTCATTTTTTGTGAGATTCTGCACGTCTCTGTCACGTTTGTATTGATTTTTTTTCCTCTCAATTTTTCTATTTGTACTCACGACAATATTATCCAGCATTTTGTCGTCTATTAATTTTAGGAAGGCATCAATTTCACTAGTTACTTTAATTGCGCTGCTCATTAATTCCTGAGTATGCATTTTATCACTATTATTATACTGAAATTTTCTCCATTTTATTTCTTCATTTTTCGATGAGAAATATTCGTCTCTGTCGTTTGTTAAAAAATATTCCTCACAATCGGACGTTGCCTCTAATTCAGATGAATAATCCTTATCGTCACTTAAATTATTCGTACAGTCCTCGATAATATTCTCCTCGTCTGAACTTGCATCCTTCACGATTTCCCTCTCGTCTGGTACTTCATTCAATAGTTGGAAAATTGTCCTCTGCTCCATAAATGACGCCCTAAAAAAATAACAATTATTTCAAAATTTGAGAAAAAGAAAAATTTCACTAATTTATTAATTTATTTATCAATTTTTCTTTTTAATTTTAAAATTAATATATTGAGAATCATATAATTCTTAAAATCTTTTTAAATAAAAAAGTAAAAATATAAAAGAATTCACAAAAAGTACATTTTAGAAACAGGAGAAAAATATTTTCGAATTCTTTTCTTATCCGTATAAGCGTTAAAAGTACAATTGAGAAACAATCTCTACTCTAATTTCCGATTTTATCACATCTGTTTATTCTTGTTTATAATTTCCGAACAAAAAACGGAAGAAATAATGTTGGAAAAATTCAAAGACCGGACAAAGGTAATTATGGAGTATTGTTAGCTATCGCTGATTATTAATTACGCTTTATCGAATTTTTAACTCAATTGTCTCTGACATTGATCTCAATAATATTAATACGATGACTAAAAAGAAAAAAAATAGAAATTGAATTAAATTAGATAATTAAATACAAAATTAAAAGAAAAAAAAATAGAAATTAATTAAATTAGATAATTAAGTAGAAAATTAAAAGAAATTAAATTCATTAGTGTAGTAACAATAAGAATATTAGCTGCATTTCTTTTTTGTGAATTCTAAAAAATTAAAATTCGCAACATTGTTCCTTTTCTAGTAAAAAAAAATATAATTGTAGAGTAAGCGTTATATAATACCGATAAATAATTTTATACTTTGTATTTCTTGGAATGAAACAAGCATTTACAATAATTGTAATAATTGGTTTATAACGTTAAATTAAATTCTCGATTTCATAAATATTTAAATTTAGTATGAACTACAATCTATATTAATATATGTAATCGTATTCTGCTAATCTGTTCGCAATTTAAAATTAGTTGTTGTTTCCTTTTTTCTTTCCTAATCATTCCTAATTTTTAAATAATTTTTCTTTTTAAATCTTTTCAATTTTAAAATTAATATATTGAGAATCATTCAATGCTTAAGTAGAATTTAATCGAAAAATTTGAAAAAAATTGAAATTTTTCAAAAAATTTTATTAAAATTGTACAATTGTCAAATTCTTGCGAAGAATATTTCATTATTTATGAAAATAATTTAATTTTTTCAAAACGAAAGTTTTTTTTAATAATTAAATGAAAATTTTTAACACATAATTGAATTTCATAAAGAATTTCTTTAAAATTTTTTAATTAATCGTGTTTGTTAATAATTGTAATTAAACATTTGATTATTGAATTTTATTAATTAGAAAATAAAAATAATAAATTCCTCTCAGGATTTCATTATTTTTAAAATAATTGAATTCAAGGAATTAAATCAAATACATTTTAAGGAATTTTATTAAAATATTGGGAATTGAAATCATTCAAAGTATTTCTTTCATTTTTTGAATGTAATCGATTTGAATAATAATTCTATTATTAAATTTTATTATAATTATTGATGTAGTTTTTTTTAACAATTTTTATTGGAAATCTTTTAAATATGTAATTGAATTTTACGAAAAATTTCTTTCAATTTTTTATAATAATCGTATCTGTTAATAACTTTAATTAAAAACTTAATCTTATAAAACAATTTATCAAAACTTTGATAAAAATAAATAAATAAATAAATTCTTTCAACAAATTTTATTAAAATTGTTAAAAAATAATTTAATTTCTATGATAAATGTTTTAAAATAATTGAATTTTTCAAAAAAAAATTTATTATTTATAAAAAAAATTCAATTTTATCGAAGAATTTTACTATATTTATAAAAATAATTGAATTTTTGCGAAGAATTTTTTATTATTTATATGAAAAATTTAATTCTTGCAAATAATTTTACTAATTTATAAAAATAATTGGATTTTTTCGATGAATTTTACTATTTATAAAAATAATTGAGTTTTTCCGAAGAATTTTAATATTTATAACATTAATTGAATCGCATTGAAGAATTTTTTTAAAATTGCATTTAAAATAATTGAATTTTTTCGAACAATAAATTTTATTATTTATAAGAAAAATTCAATTCTTGGGAAGAATTTTACTATTTATAAAAATAATTGAATTTTTGCGAAGAATTTTTTTATTATTTATAAGAAAAATTCAATTATTGTAAAGAAATTTATTATTTATAAAAATAATTGAATTTCTACGAAAAATTTTACTATTTATAAAAATAATTGGATTTCTCCGAAAATTTTTTGTTATTTAAAAAAAAAATTCAATTCTTGCCAAGAATTTCAATATTTATAATAATAATTGAATTCCTGCAAAGAATTTTATCAAAAAAATTTGAGAATAATTGAATTTCTTCAAAGAATTTTATGATTTATGAAAATAATTGAATTTTTCCGAAGAGTTTTGTTAAAATTTTTGAAACTAATAAACAATAATAATAAATTAGTTAATAATTAATTTTTTTAAATTTTGAATCTAAAATTATTCAAAAATTGAATTTGATATCTGAAAATAAAAAATGGTGTTAATTTTTTGCATAATAATTTGTTATTAATTTACATTACTCAAAAGAGTAAAGTTTCTTTTTTCCATTTTTTAGAACAACACAATAAATGACAAATGCTTTATAAAGAGGAAGTGAAAGATTCAATTTAATCAAGAAAATCTTGTCGTGTTGAAGAAATTGATTTAAATTAGATTAAGATGTTACAATTATTCTTTGTATGTGACCTTCTACAATGTTTGATGAGATAATGACATCAGCAAATTACTGGCCTAAATATGAATTGAAATAAATTCTTTGAATTAATGCCGGGTGTGATGTAACGAAATTTTAAATTATCAAAACAACACAAAAAAAATTTTCTTTATCAAATTGCAAATATTTGCAAAAAAATGAAAAACCAGACAAAACAATAAGTAGAACAAAAATTGTTAAATAAAGTTAGACGAAGAAATAAAATTCGTACGAAATTCTAAGAGTAAAGAAAATGAATTAATTATTTATAACAATTTATTTGTTGAAATTTAGTTTTTGAGGAACAGAAAATTTTCTATTAAATAAAAGAAATAATACAGAATTGTCTATTAAGAAAGATATTAAAAAATGATAAAAGTTCAAAGTTTGAATTTCAAACGAAATTATTTATATTAAATTTTAAACACTTTATATAAATATAGACAATCTTCCTAAAAGTCACACAAGGTACAATTCTATTTTTAGCCCATATGAATATACTATACATATTATAATATACTTATATGGTGAGACGAAAATATATTTACAGAAAAATTTTTTTTTCTCTAATTAATATGAAAAGTATGAATTTTTCGAAAAGGAATTTAAATGGAAATTCACAAAAAAAAAACAAAATAATAATTTTTTAATTATTTAAAATTAAAGTACAAAAAGAAACCTTGAAATAAAAATAAAACATATCAGCTGATGTCGTATACACAAATAAACTAATAACTTCTACTCTATAAATATATTTCGCGGTTAGATTAAAAAAAAAAAGAAAAAATAACATAACAATAATGTAAATTTTTAGAAAAAGTATTTAATACTTACATTATTGACTATTTTGCGAAAAATAGATTATATTCCACTTTGATTTTGGGTATTTTCGGTATTTTTTTCTAAATTAATAGATTAAAACACCCACTGATTTTCACTTTTGCTTTTCTTCGGAATTTGAAATATTAATTATAAATACACTTGTTGAACGTGCTGTCAGGGTCAGTGTACCACGTTTTTTCAATTTTCTTCATTTTCATAGTTTGTGTTAATTCTTTTTTATGTCAATCAAAGACAAAAGCTCTGGTAAGTCACATGTTGCTTCAGTTCATCTCACCATGTTGATCTGCACGTGTTCCGGTAAATTATATTAAAATTCCCTCTCCCAATTCTTCAAGGATATCGCCATCTTGGCTTTAAACTTGTCTCTCGAGATGACAGGTATTTCCAAAAACTAAAATTTCCTTTAACGCGCATGTGTCAATAGAATCGCTCTCATTGGCTCAATCGGCTCAACTGCTTCAAATCGCTTATCTCTTTTTTTGAGCGAAATTAAAAAAATTTAAGTTTATTAGGTACTTTTTAAAGTAATAAAACTTATTAATTTGCACGTATTTATTATTTGTTTTTAGCAATTTGTACTACAAAAAGAAGAATTCAATATTTTAAGTTGTAATTTTCAAAAATCGTTGACGTTCGCGCGAAAGAAGGGAACCAATCAGCGTCATTGCTTGCCAAGGGGGATTTTAAATAATTTGACAGCACTGTAAAAAATCCATATTGAATATTCCATGAAATGTGTATGAAAATAACAGAATTAATGAAATTTAAATGGTCAGTCCATGTAACTTTCAAGCATTTATTGAATTTTCATACGAGTGTCGATTGACATAAAATTACAACGGAACCACGTATGAATTTTCATAGTCTTTTTGAAATTTTCAATCGACAGTCTAGTGAAATTTCACTCGGTAGTCTGTGTAATTTTACCGAGAGTGTGAAAGTTCAACATATTTGTTTAATTTTATTTCACTTAAAAATTTTATTTCGAAAAAAGATATTATTCTATTTTAAACATAGATATCATTAACTTTATTATAAAAAAAAGTATTCATTTTTATAACTTGAACACTTTCCAATAATTATCTAAAAAAATTAACAGATATATTATAAACTTGCAAGAAAAAAAAGTTAATAAAATAAATTTTAAGGTTATGTTGAGCACATAGTTTTCTGTTGAATTTTCATGTCAGATGGGAATTTTATAATCAAAAATGTAAAATTCATCCGAGGGTCCATTGTAATTTTATGTCAATCGAGGTACGATTGAAATTTCAATAAGAATTTCTTACAGTGAGGTTTTAAAAGTACTCGAGTGTTTTTTTGGGGATGAAAAAAGATTATGAATAAACCGCAAGTACAACAGAAATGAAAACAAGTTTTGACAAATAGAAAAACCGGTATTTATGTGGTTTTATCAAATTTTATAATAAGAATATTTTTTTTTATAAGAAATGTAAAGGAAAGAAAGTTTCTTTCTAATTTTGAGGTTATGTACGCTTCGCAATGTTTTGATTTCAACAATAACAACAATATACTTTTTGCAATAATAGTAATTGTTAAATAAATTATTTCTTATGGATAAGTCCCACACTATTAGAAATTGAAATTCTTTAAATATATTTAGAATTTGTTTTCTAAAACGTAAAAAACAAAAAAATCGGTTATTAAAATAATAAGTGAAAAAAAAGTATAAAGTTCACATTTTTAAGTAAGATAAGTTGATAAGATGAGTTTTTTTACGAGAATACTTTGATGACACTTCACTTTTACAGCAAAGGCTCAGAGTGCAAGAATGTCGCAGAGTAACGAACCTGATATTCTCGTTTCAACTAATAATGGTATTTTGAAAATAATACTCAACAAACCAAGAAAGAAAAATGCTATATCAGCATCGGTACGTATGACACATTTTTATTTTTTATCCAAATATTTTAGTTTTTTTATTTTTTTTTTATTTTTATTTAGTTGAAATTGTCTTTTTTAATTAGATTAGATGCTTATTAATGTAAATAATGATTTATTTGGACTTTTTTTAAATAGATGTACAAGCAGATTGGTGATATAATAAATGAATCAGCGAAAAATGATAACGTTCGAATGTTAGTATTGACGGGAGTGGGTGATTTTTTTACAAGTGGAAATGAATTTAATGTAGCATTATTGGAGGATGTAGAAAAATCTGTCAGAAAATTTAAGTACGTTTTTACAAAAACAACACTTACACGTTTATGAAAAAAATATGTCGAAAAATATATATTTATTTTCATATATAGAAAATATATTTATTTTAGAGAATTTGTCGATGCTGTTATAAAATGTCCAAAACTTTTGGTGGCAATTGTAAATGGACCAGCGATAGGAATTGGAGTAACAGTTCTTGCACTTTTCGATATTGTGTACGCGTCTGAGAAGGTATTTATATTTATAAAGAATACTTTTTTTTAATTTCAATCAATTTTGTTAACTTATTACTTTATCAATTTTTGCAATCAATTTATTTTGTCTAAAATCTATATATTCTAAATTTAATTTCTTTTCAGGCTTATTTTAACACTCCTTTTTCGAAATTGGGACTTATAGCAGAATGTTGCTCGAGTTACACTTTTCCAAGACTAATGGGACGATCGAAGGTAAACAATATTTTATTCTTACTTTTTAAGAAACAAATATTCTTTTTTTTTTTTTTGCTGATTGGAAAAATGATTCCTTAGGCTGGAGAAATGCTCTACTTTTGTCACAAAATGAGTGCGGAGGAAGCGAAAGAATATGGTTTGATTTCTAAAATCTATCAATCTGATTCTGTGAATGAAGTTTGGAAATATTTGGAAACAATCGTAGCAACTATGTCTTTTGAGGTATATTACAAAGCTGACATTCATTTGCTATAAATCAAAACTATTATTTAAATTTATTTATTATTTCTTTATTATTTATTCATCAAATTAAATTTCCGATCATTTAATAATAGTAAATTAAATTTAATTAATGATTATTAATGATGATTAAATTCTTCATTTTATATTTAAATTCGTTTATTCTTTCAGACTATACACGCGACAAAAATGTTAATTAAACGATGGGATTTGAATACTTTATTGAAAGTGAACGAAGATGAAGTTGAAGAATTAAAAAAGAGATATGCCTCCGAAGATCTTATGAATCGTGTGGCTGCTTTTCTCAGCAGAAAAAGCAAAATGTAAATACTAAATTTTTTATCTAATTTTCATGAAATTACTCTACAGAGTTTTTAACAAGTTTTTACACACTTTTTATATATTCTATAATATATATTTACATATTGTCATATTGTCAATTTAAAAAAAGGAAAAAACAATCAAAAATGGAAATATATTTTCAAAATAAAATTAATTTTCCAGAGTTGTCACGAATATTTTCTTTTATTTTTCCCTGATTTCCAGACAAAATTTTAACAATTCAATTTTACTAAATTTCGATTATAATCGGAAATTCTTAATTAAATATATAGGTATTAGAATTCAATTATTTAAATACATAAATAAATAATTTATTGAATAATTGAATGTTTGTTAAAATTGAATTCTCATAAAGAATTTTATAGACAAATTTTTAAATAATTGAATTCATTCCACGAATTTCAATAAAATTTTTAATAATAATTACTGTTTTCGAGGAGTTCGATTAAAATTATTGTATTTAAATTAATTCTTTAGGAAAATTTTATTAAAATAGTAGATTTTTATTAAAATTTTTGAAAATATGTAATTGAATTTTATTACTTTTGAAAATAAATAAATTCTTGTGATGAATATATTTATTTATAAAAATAATTGAATTTTGCAATTAATTTTATTAAAATTCCTGAAAATAATTGAATTTTATCAAAGAATTTTTCTCTTCATTTATAAAGATAATTTGAAATGTTAACGACAATTTTTTTTAAATTTTCTGAAAATAATTGAGTTTCTGCTAAGAATTTTATTAATTTTGAAAATAATTGAATTTCGCAATGAATTGTATTAATATTCAGGAAAATAATTGAATTTTGTCGAAGAATTTTGCTATTTATTTATAAAGATAATTGAAATATTGAAGATATTTGTTTTAGATTTTTTAAAAATAATTGAATTTCTAAGAAGAATTTTATTAATTTTGAAAATAATTGAATTTCGCAATGAATTTTAATAAAATTCCGGAAAGTAATTGAATTTTGCTTTTAATTTATAAAGATAATTGAAATATTGATAATTTTTGTTTAGATTTTTTGAAAATAATTGAATTTCTGCGAAGAAATTATTAATTTAGTTCAGTTAAGTTATTAATTTTGATTTTTGAAAATAATTAAATTCTTGTGATGAATTTTAATAAAATTCCTAAAAATAATTAAATTTTGCTTTTAATTTATAAAGATAATTGAAATGTGGATAATTTTTTTTTTAGATTTTTGAAAAATAATTGAATTTCTGGAAAAAATTTTGATATTTATTAAAATAATTGAATTCTTTCAAAGAACTGCGTTAAAATTTTTAAAATTGAAAATAATTTCAACAGAATTGAAATTAAATATTTTTTTAAATTTTCCCTGACCAATTCTACTTTTCCTGATTTTCTCCTGATTTCCCTGACCTATGTCAACTCTAGAAATTTTCTTACCTGAGTTTTCCTTCTTGTTTTTCTTTCTTCTTTCCGTGCTTTCCGACTTCCGTTTTCCATACTTCCGACTTTCCGAGCCTAGACAGGGTGACTTCACACCGAAAATAGAAGCGTCGCTCTGTCACATTTCGGAGGTTCTTCCAATCTTCCATGTAACTATCCCTCCCTGGGCTTGGTATTTATAGGTTATGCTGTCAATTAAAAGACGCAGAAGATTGTCAATTCAAATTGTTACATGCACTAAAATATATAATTTTAGTTAAATTAATATATTTACATTATACACATTTTATTGTTGTTTATTTCATATTGTTAGTGTTTTCATATATTTATCTGTGATAAAGAAATTTAGTTTATATTAAATATTTATATTGTATATATAATACCTTATATGCGTTTATGTAATTTTTGATTCTGCATCAGTCAGTTGTTATAGATTAATTTACAATTTTATGGCGATGATATAGTAAACTATTTAAAAACAAGTTAACTTCCAATCAATTTACATTAGAAGTTATGGGAAATAGTGAAAATGCAATGATTGTCGACGAATTAAGTCCTATTGAAAATCTTCCCGATGATTGTTTACGGATTATTTTCCAGTATCTTCCAATTTTCGACAAGATTAAAATCGAGAGCGGTAAGTTGACAAATTTTTCCTAAAACTTCAATCAAAAATCAAGGTGGCCACATGTCAGTAAAGGCTGGGAAAATAATTTCAATGTCAGGGAAATGTCAGAAAAATTGAGAAACTGAAACTTGTAGCCACCCTGAAAATTGATAATTAAAAATGAAAAATCTGACTTGTAAAAATAAAAAATTTCTCTTTCAGTTAGTAAACGATGGCAACGACTCAGCAGAGAGTCTTGGTATTTATTCAAGAGTCTTGACATGTCAATTCAAAGTTGGGGCGTGACATGTAAAACACAAATTGACAATGAAATTTTAAGTAAAGTTCTTAGTCGTTGTAGTCAATATATAACAGTGGTTAATTTTGCGAAAAAAAGTTTCCCTCCGTCTAAAAGGATATTATTTCCAAATTTCAATTCGACGACTATAATAATAATTTGCAGCTCATGTCCAAATATGACTTCCCTAAATATCTCCGATTTGACAATATTATGGGACAATGGTCACATTAGTCGTATGATGAGATTTATGTTTCTAAATGCATGTGAACGTCGAATGGTTTGTGACGAAGCCGATCAACGTGAATGCGAAAGGACATTTTGTCTTTGTAGATTACAAAATTCTAGTATACATCGAATTAAATCAAGACAAAAAGAAGAGAACATGATTTTAGAATCATTAATATCGTGTTGTCAGAATTTAAAAGAATTTGGCATGAGAATGTTCTTTTATGATGAGACATATTTGTGGATCAAATTATTGAAGACAATGACAAATATTAAATGTCTTAGTCTCACGGAATTTCCTGGTACACTTTTTGCATATTTATCATTCGAAACAATTGAGGAATTACTTTTGAAGGGAAATGACGGAATGTTTCCTGCACATCTTAGCAATGTAAGTGTTATAAATTTATTTACTTTTCAAATTTTATTCTTTTTTATAAATTCTCGTGAATATTTATCTTTCGAACTAATTTGTCTTTTAGATTATTACGAGTTTTAAAAAATTAAAAACACTCGTTTTGAATACTTCTCGCTTCATCAATGACGCAGGAATGCGAAATTTATTGACTCAAGCTGGAACTTTGGAGAATTTGGGACTGATTCGTGATTCGAATTTTCTTACGATCGAAGGTGTAAACAACATTCCACGATTTTCTAATTTAAGAAGATTAAATGTCTATGGAAACAATTTAATTGATGATTCCATTCTTGAAGCTTTAGCTGTGAATTGCGAACAACTTATTTTTCTGAATATATCAAGTGAGTAAAATTGATTTGTTAATTCGTTTTAACAATAATTTTACATTAATAATTAGAACAGGGTTACCACAGGTCAGGAAATCAGGGAATTCAGAGAAAAGTCAGGGATTTTTATTAAACTGGAAAAAATTAAATTTTTAGAATTTATAAGAAAACTAGCCAAACTATCCGCGCGCAAGCGCGCGGGAATGTTGTATGAGGCTGCTTATTTTAAACAATTTAAAAAATTTTAAAGAAATAATTATTATAACCTAACAAAGAGATTTAACTAACTAAAATTCAAATAATTTCACTCAATGGTCTCAATTTAAATAGAATTTACATTACTAGACTTAAACTATGGCTAGAACAATTACAATTAGTATCTGGGTCATCTTTTGCATTGCTTATTTTATAAAGCCATTTTAAATTAAATACTTTTTAAAGAAATAATAATTATTACACACTGAAAAAAGTTTTACTTGAAATAGCGAAAAAAGAATTAAATTAACATCAGATTTTCTACATTCAAAAAAAACGAATTCAAATAGAAATTAATCATTTTACAACTTAACCAAATTCACCCCAGAAATCACTGAATTCGATAATTTAGAAGAAAGTCAGACAAAAGCAGGGTTCCTACAGAATCACGAAATCATGGAAATCATGGAAATGGTATGGAATTTTTAAAAGGCTTCTGAAAATCAGGGAAATCATGGAAAAGGCCTGGAATTTTTAAGTTTCTAAATTTTTTCAGTGGTCCATTTTTTCTCTTGAATAAAAATTCAAATAATAATAAAGCTAAATGCCATAAAAAAGAAGGAAAAATGTTGAATTTTAAGAAATTCGGTTTTTTGAAATGTCATAATTTTTAATAATTTTTGATTTTTTACCAAAGAGTCGAGACTATTAAATAAGTAAAGTATTTTCCAAAAGCACAAAAATAATAAAGCTAAATCCCATAAAAGAGAGGAAAAAATGTTGGATTTTAAGAAAAACGAATTTTTGAATTTTTTCGAATTTTTGATAATTTTAGATTTTTTACCAAAGAGTCGAGACTATTAAATAAGTAAAGTATTTTCCAAAAGCACAAAAATAATGAAGCTAAATCCCATAAAAGAGAGGGAAAAATGTTGGATTTTAAGAAAAACGGATTTTTGAATTTTTTCGAATTTTTGATAATTTTAGATTTTTTACCAAAGAGTCGAGACTATTAAATAAGTAAAGTATTTTCCAAAAGCACAAAAATAATTAAGCTAAATCCCATAAAAGAGAGAAAAAAATGTTGAATTTTAAGAAAAACGGATTTTTGAAATTTTTCGAATTTTTGATAATTTTAGATTTTTTACCAAAGAGTCGAGACTATTAAATAAGTAAAGTATTTTCCAAAAGCACAAAAATAATTAAGCTAAATCCCATAAAAGAGAAGAAAAAATGTTGGATTTTAAGAAAAACGGATTTTTGAATTTTTTCGAATTTTTGATAATTTTAGATTTTTTACCAAAGAGTCGAGACTATTAAATAAGTAAAGTATTTTCCAAAAGCACAAAAATAATAAAGCTAAATCCCATAAAAGAGAGGAAAAAATGTTGAATTTTAAGAAAAACGGATTTTTGAATTTTTTCGAATTTTTGATAATTTTAGATTTTTTACCAAAGAGTCGAGACTATTAAATAAGTAAAGTATTTTCCAAAAGCACAAAAATAATTAAGCTAAATTCCATAAAGGAAAAGAAAAAATGTTGGATTTTAAGAAAAACGGATTTTTGAATTTTTTCGAATTTTTGATAATTTTAGATTTTTTACCAAAGAGTCGAGACTATTAAATAAGTAAAGTATTTTCCAAAAGCACAAAAATAATAAAGCTAAATCCCATAAAAGAGAGGAAAAAATGTTGGATTTTAAGAAAAACGGATTTTTGAATTTTTTCGAATTTTTGATAATTTTAGATTTTTTACCAAAGAGTCGAGACTATTAAATAAGTAAAGTATTTTCCACATTAAAAAGTTTGACACTAAAAAATAGATAAAAAATGCCAATACTTAACCCACAAAATTTAATTTTCAAAACAAACAAATGAATGCAGATAATTTGTTAACGGAAAGGAAACTTACGATTATTATAATGTATTCTGAATTTTTGTGTCTTTTTTGTTTGTCTCCGAAACTATGAAATTACCATAAATTCTAAAAAATATATTTTTAATTTTTTAAATTTTAACGCAATTCTTTCAAAGAATTAAAATAATTTAATAAATATTAAAATTCTTTTCAGAAATTCAACTATTTTCAAAAATTAAAAAAAAATTCTCGTCAACATTTCAATTATCTTTAAAAATAGCAAAATTCTTCGCCGAAATTCAATTATGTTCAGGACTTTTAATAAAATTCATTGAAAAATGCAATTATTTTCATAAAGAACAATATTTATAACAAGAATTCTATTATTTTCAAAATTAATAAAATTCTTCCAAAAAAATTCAATTATTTTCAAAAAATCTAAAAAAATTCAATTATATTCAGGAATTTTAATAAAATTAATTACAAAATTCAATTATTTTTATAAAGAACAATATTTATAACAAAAATTCAATTATTTTCAAAATTAATAAAATTCTTCAAAGAAATTCAATTATTTTGAAAATTTTTTTATAAAATTGTCAATATTTCAATCCTCTTTATAAATTAAGAGCAAAATTCTTCGACAAAATTCAATTATTTTCAGGAATTTTAAAAAAATTCATTCATTACGAAATTCAATTATTTTCATAAATAGTAGTATTCATCACGAGAATTCAATTATTTAAAAAAATTTAAATAAAAAACATGACAAAAATTCAATTATTTTCAAATATTTTAATAGAATTCATTGCAAAATTTCAATTATTATCAAAATTTTTTCCTAATTCAATAATTTGTTTTTCTATTATTTTAATAAAATTTTCTTAAAGAATTCAATTATTTAAAAATAATTTTGACAAATTTCTACACTTCTATTCAATTATTTTCTAAAATTATGAAAATTTCCCAGGAATACTATTATTAAAAATAGAATTTGCATAAACTTTTTCAAAAAAATCAATTGTTTGAAACTTTTTTTTATAAAATTCTTTGCAATAATTCAATTATTTTCATAAATAATATAACTCTTTGAATATTTTTTTTCAATATTATTACTTAGAAAATCGTCAGATTTGACGTTGTAAACTTCAGTTCAATTGAAAATCAGGGGGAAAAAATTACATTTTTGCTGCAACTCTGTAGAATATATTTTATTTTTCTATAGAAAAGTTCAATTGGAAATCAGGGAAAGGTCAGGGAAAAACAAAACTAAATTTTTGCGGCAACTCTGCAGAATATAAATTGATTTTTCAACTAAACTTTTATTTTCAGGTTGCAAAAAAGTGACGGACAATGGAGTACTGAGTATTTCCACACTGCCAGAATTGCAATTTTTAATAATTTCCCGATCAGTGAGCGTGACTGATAAATATCTTGGCAATCTTCATCATCTAAGGGTCTTGGACTGTCAACACTGTCCTCTAATAAAAGACGAAGGTCTTTGTATTCTTCTTGAACGTGCACGAGATTTAAGAGTATTAATTCTAGAAGGTTGTATACGAATAACTGAAAATCTTTTCGACACCGCTGTCGATGTTATCGAATCTGGTTTTAGAAGAATTGTTTTACACATAAGCATGAGCATTCATTTGGATTTTGATATAAAAAAATTCAACTACGCCTCACCATTATTGCGTATTGTTAAAGATGTCAAATATCAAGATTCATGTCCAATGGATTTTAAAAATGAGTACTTCCCCGTCAATGATGATAATTACATTTTTTGCGATTTCCCAACTGATGATCAAGCAATGTTAACATAAATTTACAAACTAGGATATTTAGGAAATAAAATTAATTAATTAATTAATTAATTTTTATTAAATCTGTAAATAAAAAATTTATTTATGGAAAAATTTATTTTTCAAAAATGTTCACGGAAAAAGTGACATTTTACATATTATGATCTTTATTATTTTTTAAAAATGAAGGATTTGTTTTCATCGCGGGTTTCCAACCCTTTTTGACTCAAGTTTCAAAAGCCACTACAGTGCTTTTTCGGGAGGCGAGTCAATTGTTGCTCCAACGCGAGATAAAAGCTGACCCCATTCATTAGACAATTTAAGTTCAACCGTGACTTTTACTTGAGGCTTTCCATTTCGTGTGGAATGCTTCAATATGCTCAATATTAACACCTGAAAAAATTATGTATGTGTAATATTTTTAATTCCTGTACAATATTGATTTATTGTTTTTTTTATATATATTTACGTTCTTGTAAATTCATACGAATCGAAATATTTTTATATTACCGAATAATGTAAAAATGTATTTAAAATGTTATGAAAATAAAAAGTTTAAAAATGAAATTTTGTGGAGAAATGAAAATTTAAACGAACCTGCACTTTTTGCTAGACCTTCAGGACTGACGGTGAGTAATTTTTGCTCCTCGGCACTGCAACCGGTTAATAGGGTGACAACTGGAATTTCCGAATCGCTAGTCACTTCGACATTCGATTGTTGAGTGAGATAGTGGCAACATTCGATAATTTGAAAATAGAGCCAAGATTCTTTATCCTTTGATCGAGGGCCTTTTATCAAAGGAATTGGTAATCTTTCGTGAGGTCTTTGTGCCCTGAGAAAACGAGAACCACGTCTCAATTGAGCCTCCAACCATCGTGTCGCCTCTCTCGCCTGTCCACTCGTCCTTTTCACTTCGTCCAGAGCCGAAACAACTGCAATTTTTATAAATTATGAATCCGAGGTATATTTTTTATTTCTAAAATTTTAGCAAAATACTCACCAACCGATGGGATGACAATGATAAACTTTTTCGCAAAAACTAATCGCTTCAAAGCCGGTGTATGTTTCGCGAGCGCTTCATGATCCGGAACCAAATAAGGTGACATTAATCTTGATCTCAATCGACTTTCCAATGCACGAACTTCCGCCTTTAACCACAATCTTCCCATGTGTCTCATTAATTTACCCCTTGGATGATCATCCGACTTTTTGCCATCTTTCTCAATATTATTAATGAATTCACTCTCATTTTTAATGACAAACAATTTTTTATCCTCATCGTACGATAATCCTAAACATTCCACCGAACACAGATATTTGCCAAATTCAATTAATTTCAAATTTCTCAATATTGTCTGTTCTCTTTTGTCAATTTTCACTCGTCTCAATAATTTCCAATCCAAAGTCTTGTGAACTTGTTCTAAATCCTTTAAACCTTTCATATTCACGTCCTCCGGCAATGGAACACTCGTGAATTTCTCCTCGAAATTATTAATTCTCGATAGAAATTCCGTGGGATTTTCCGAATTTTGTAGATTCAGATCAATATTTATAAGATTGAATAAAATTGTTAAACGTTTTAGAAGTGTTTTTAAATTATTCGCGCAGGTTTTTAGAATATCTGGATGGCATTTTAACCAGTCGCAGCATAATTTCACGGGACTTAGAAGACTTTCGGATGTAAGTACATCGAGAATGAGTTTTTGATATTTTGGCTTTTTCAATTGAGCAAGGTATGAGATTGTATTCGTGGATCCACTACTTTCATCAAAAGCACTATTAGCTTCTATATTTAATATGGCACTTTCAGACATGAGGGCTGAACTTTTAGGATTTTTATTCAAATCCCCATTTTCTGCTATATCCGTTTTTTCTACATTTTTTTCACTTGAAATATTGTGATTATTTTGATTGTCTGTCGCTATTTTAGACTTAATGGCACTATCTGAAAAGAAATAAGTATCTTTTATTTGTGAAAATTATTCTGGGTTCCCTGACGTGTGGCAACCCTGTAGTTTTAAAATTTGAAAAATTACCTTTATCTTCAATTTCCTCTTCGTCGGATAAATCTTCAGATAAAGCATCATCAGAGAATGGATTCTCTTTGCTTAGAGCGTCTTCCTCAGTTTCGGAAATATCAGAATTCATCTCATCACTTGAAGAAAGTACAGCATTTCTATTGTCAGCGTCACTATTATCCGAATCAGAACTATTTCTTCGTTTTCTTCGACGTAATTTAGTTAATAAACTTCTCGATTTATCTTTTGGTTTTTTCACTCCATTCGTGTGATTGCCATTTGTTTTTAAATTCTCATTTTGTTTACTTAAATTTAATGAGTCATTGGCGTTTGACGATTCTTTGAGAACAGAAATTTCCCCATCCTCTTCTTTTATTATTTCCCCAGTGAAATTGGAAAATTGTAAATTTAAATCGTGTTCTCCATTCGCTAGGGAGACATCGATAAGAGATTCTTGAATTCGCAAAATTGCTGAATTAACTAATTGCGATAGAACAGCCAAAGTGAAGGCAATTACTCCTCTAATATCACAGGAGTCTTTGTTGCGTAATTTTGCTATTGACATGAGGCAAATTGCCATTATTTTGAAAATCACATCGTCGTTTAGATAAACAGAATCGTCAATTTTACATTTCTGGAGATACGTTTCAATATCGTCTACCTCCTTCAGAAGATTTTTATTTGGAAATGTTCGCTCGAGACTTAGACAATTTTCAATTGTGTTCAACAAAGACTAGAAGAGGGAAAAAAAGTTCTGTCAGTGACGAAAGCAGGAGATAAAAAAAAGTACGTTTTATGTAAAAACTTCATATTTACCTCACATTCTTGATTTACACGTTCGGGACTAGTGTCTTCACTTTCCCAGAGTTGAAGAAGTGAAAGCAATTTCGCAATACATTCGTGAGTTAAACATTTCTCTTTTCCACTCGTCGAATGTAAAACTATTGTCCTTCGCAAGTTCCCCTCTGCACCGTCAAAAGGTTCCGAACACAAAATACTGAAAGTATTTGCAAAATAAAGAAAAGTATTTACAAGATACATAAAGAAAAGAGTAAATAAACTTGAAATAATTGACAGACAGAATTTACCTTCTCATGTAATGATAAACACCGTCTAGTCCAAAATTTTTATTTCCAGCCATCGTACCAAGTTGATTGTGAGACATGCCAATATTTGGATCAATTGCAACTGCCATTTTATAGTAACGAGTGGCAATCAACGGATCCCAATTTGGATCTAAATCTAATTTATAACGAGCCAAATCACCAAGACAAATTAAACATCTGTGTATAAAACGTATGGCGCACTGTCTCACTTCCTCCGTCTGGAGTTTCGATGGTTGACTTTTGCTTTTAATCTACAAATTATTTAATATTAAAGCATAATTATCAAATATTCTAAAAAGAATAAATAAAAAAACAGAGTTCAAAACAGTCAAAATAATTACATGGTTGCCACAAAATAAAAAATATAAAATATAAAATTCCAGGCTTTTTTCAGAATTTTCCAGGTCAATACTTATGAAATTCAAGTCAAAAATTTAAAAAACTTCTGTCCCAATAACACATCTTCAGCTCTAAAAATTTCTTTTAACTTCCAAATACCAAAAACTTAATAACAATTACAAATAAATAATTTTTTTCCTTAGCGATTTTTCAATGGTCCAAAACTATTGCTAGAACGATTCCAAATCATATCTGGGTCAACAAAATTATTTTAATTCACAATTCACAAAAAGTAACCACAGCCGACAATCAGCAGAAGATGAAAAATTATTTTTTGAGCGAACTTTATCTACTGATTACTAACAATTTTTAGACAACCAATTTTTTCCTAGTCCTAAACTATTACTAGAACAATTCCAATTAATATCTGGGTCATCAAAATTTATTTAATTCACAATTCACAAAAAGTAACCACAGCCGACAATTAGCAGAAGATGAAAAATTATTTTTTGAGCGAACTTTATCTTCTGTTTATTAACAATCAGTGGACGTAAAATTTTTTACTGGTCTCAAACTATTGCTGGAACAATTCCAATTAATATCCAGGTCCTCAAAATTAATTTAATTCACAATTCACAAAAAGTAACCACAGACGACAATCAGCAGAAGATGAAAAATTATTTTTTGAGCGAACTTTATCTACTGATTACTAACAATTTTTAGACAACAAATTTTTTCCTGGTCCTAAACTATTACTAGAACAATTCCAATTAATATCTGGGTCATCAAAATTATGTTAATTCACAATTCACGAAAAGTAACCACAGCCGACAATCAGCAGAAGATAAAAAATTATTTTTGAAGCAAACTTTACGTTTTGTTTGTTAACAGTTGTTAATGAATAAATTATTTATTGTTCCTAAACAAAGCCTAGAACAAAATTTTCTCAAAAATCTTTAAAAACAGGCAAAATTCGAAAAAAGTTTTTAAATTCCTCACTAATTTTTCATATACCTTTTTCTAAATTCCATACCTTTTCCAGGATCTCCAGACTCTGTGGCAACAAAGATTTAAAAGTACGGACTTTTCGGACCAATAATGAAAAATTATGGACCATTTACGGGCCAATTACTGATAAAAATATTATCAAAATTTTTGTTTAATAATTCCCTTCTTTTGGGAATTTTTATTAAAATTTAATTTAATTTTGTAATTAAATAAAATGATAAAATTACTTATGGAATAATTTAATGTTTATCAAACATTTATAAACATAATTGAAACTTTGAAGAGAATTTTTGAAAAATTTTAAACATAATCGAATTTGTGCGAAGAATTTTATTACTTTTGAAAATAATTATATTTCTGCAATAATTTTTAACTTTTTTCAAAATTTCCCAAATTATATCGTACAATTCACGAATTTTTTGTCCTTTTTTAAAGAAATTATTGACTTTACGGACCTTTTTCAAAAAACTGACATTTACGGACTTAAAGGAAATTTACGGACTTTAGTTCGAACCCTGTAAAAATTAATAAAAAAAATGAATATTAAAGTACTCACATTAACTGTATTGTTATCATTATAGGGATAAGCGAAATCAATGACACCAACGAGATCTAAATCACACTCGGTTTGCAGTCGAAGAATCAAATGATGATAATAACCAACACCAACAGCCAAATGCGCTGACAATGATGCTTTTTCGGCATTACTCCAAACATTACCCTACAAAGAATATTTTTCTTACAATTCTATTTTATTTAATTTTTTATCAGTGAAAAAAAAATTTACTTTTCGTATCTTTTTTGCCAATGAGACGACATCATAAAATCCTCGTCTCCAAAGTAATTCCTCCGTCTTACGAATATGACTAACTGGGTCCTTAAAAATTAGTCTTTCGCAATAATCGCGCAATTTAGTGCGTAAAGTTTCGCTAGAAGGTGTAAAAATATCCGTCACTGTCAAGGCATGACTTTTTTGTTCATCGAGTCTTTTGGCAATGTCACTAATACTTCTGTAATTAAAAAAAAATGTTCATGATTATTAAATGTTTATCATTTAATAAAAACGAATTCGTTAATAAATGTGGTATTAAAATTATGGAAAATTATATAAAATTAGATGTGATTATTGAATATTTACCTATACAAACGTCTCGTAACTTCGAGACCGTCGGTCGTCGTCGACGACGACGTCGTTGTCCTCACATCCGAATTGTAAGATCTCCTCATTTTGTCGAAATCATTATCATGACTCTCTATAATCATTTACTTGAAGCGCCATTTCAAAATTCATCTCCCCGTCACAACACAATTAACATTTCTTATTCTTCTTTCGAGAAAACACGACATTCGCCCTACCCTTTTATAAAAAAAAATTCTATTTGAGCAAATGTATACGAAATCAAATACACGTTGCGCACGTTTTTCAATATTTTTTTTCCTTTTTCAGAAACACTCGAAGCACTCCTATCACATTTAACTATAAAAATGATTTTCCTCTTTTCCCGATACAAATTGATCCGAATACGAAAGAGTAAAAAAATTAATGATTACTTCTTTTTTTAATTAACAAATGAGACAAATGACTGCAGAGAGATAGCAATAAATCGTCTCAAGTAAGGTTATGTTCGACAAGTCGAGTGCGCTTGCGTTCTAGTAAAATTTCAAACAATCCACTGATTTAGCCAAAAATTATTTTATTATATTCAGAGGGAAAAACTAATTAGCTGTGTTTTGTAAAATTACTTTTCAATACGGTGTTTTTAAATTATTTTCATTTATTTGATTAATTTCACAGACTATTTTGATGCGCGCATGCGAAAGCAGACAGCAAACTAAGAAAATGTTCCCATTGGTTCAAAATTATGCGCGCGTATTTAAATAACTATTTCCTATTCGTAGTTTCAAATAACCGCGCGTAATTTCAACGAATCGCATGCATGCGCATAAACATAACCTCAATATGTCAAAAATTCACAACAAAAATATCAATATTGTCAAGATTGTCATAAGAATTGTCAAAAATAGTCATAGTGAATCGTATTTCGTGTACAGTATTAATTCACAGTGTCTTTTAATATTAAAAAAATGTTTTCAATTCATTTTATGAGTATAAACTTATTATCTATAAAAAGATGAGTATAATAAGCAGAATGGAATTTCAAGTTTCTTCAAATGAGTATTATCAAGTCCTTTGATAAAGGATTTTACCGATTTTAACAATTTTCTCTATAAGCAAAAGTTCTTTAACATAAATAAACAATGGCAACTGCTCAAGGAACTCCAGAATCTGATACCGGAAGTTTTGAGTGCTTTCAAAATTATACAGCACCTGAAGTTTTTATCCAAGGTTTCGCTGGAATTGTCGATCAGCAGGATGTCGAATCAATGATTCGTGCTCAAAAGCAAATGTAAGATAGAATTTTTAACTATAATAACTCTTTGATTATAATTCTATTGAAATTCTATTATAATTCTACTATAAAATTTAACACTCAATTTCAATGTCGTAATTTCGAAACAAAAATTATGAATTGCAGGTTGCAGAGATTTGAAAAAACAAATGAAATGCTGACAAATTGCAATCAGTTATCAGTGAATAGATTAAAAACTGCGGGTACTGAATTCAAAAAGCATACAGCTCTTTTAGTTGAAATGAAAAAGGACTTGGATTATATATTCAAGAAAATACGATTAATAAAAAATAAACTCAATCAACAATATCCTCAAGCTTTTAGTGGTAAATTTTCGTATATTTAATAAAATTCTTGGAAAAATTTCAATTATTTTCAAATTTTCTTCGCAATAATTCAATTATTTTCATAAATAATTTCTTTGTAGAATTTCAATTATTTTAAATTTAATTTTAATTAAATTCCTCGAGAATTAGAATTATTTTTAAAAATGTCATAGAAATTCGTCGAAAGAATTCAATTAAAATTTTGTTTATAACTTTCTTTATGAGAATTCAATTTTGAAAAACATTCAATTATTCAATAAATTGTATATTTTTGTATTTAAATAATTAAATTCTCGTTAAATTTCCTAATAAAAATTAATTTAAAAATAAATTTCAGTTAAAATTTGCAGACAATAATTGAATTTTAGTTAAAAACACTAAAAAAAAATTGAATTTAGTACAAATTTTTTTCAAAGTTTCTTTGCAATTTAATAAATTATTTATTTAATTTGTAATTATATAATTGAATTCTAGTATATATTTAATTAAGAATTTACGATTAATCGAAATTTCGTAAAATTGTATTGTAAACAAATGGTTTTGAAAATTTTTAAAGAACTTTTTCGCAAATTATTAAAAATAGTTGATTTAAAGAAGAATTTTATTTAAAAATTGTAGAAAATAATAAATGAATTGAAATGTTGAAAACAATTTTTAAAAATGAAGTTATTGGTGTTTTTGAATAATTTTACAATATTAATGAAATTCGTAAATAAATCTATTAGAGCATTTTTTTGAGTATCGAATAATTTTTTGAGTGAACGAGAATTTTCTTTAAAGTCAGGGAAAAAGTTGAAATTTTGTCTGGAAATCAGGGGAAAACAAAATTAAATTTTTGTGTCAACCCTGTTTATAAAATTAATTGAATTATTCAATATATGAATAATATAATAATGTGTAATCTATTAAATTTAAATTCTACAGAAGCTGTCAGGAGCAGTTTGGCAGAGGAAGTTATTGTCGAGGACATTGACTGTTCAACAAAACCTTTAGAACCTGAAATTGTACCAATATCAACACCTGCAACAAATTCAGTTCCAGATCCGGATTCAGATGGTAACCAAACGAATCTCAAATAATCATATCGTTTCTCAACACTTGATGTTTTTCACCTAGTCACACACTTTTTTTTCTCTTTCAAAATAATTTTTTTTTTTCATATAAATTGTATATAATTTTGTTGTTGTTGAAATTAATAAGGTAGAAGAGAAATATTTTCACAAGAAGTTTTTTTTTTTTTTAAATAAAAAAGAAGAAATTTTCAACGGTGGAAAACTTGAAATTGTGATAGTGATTTCCTTTTAAACTCAATTATCATATATTTTTATAATTATAGATTTTATTGAAAATTATAAGTAATAATTAAGTTAAAATACCAAGAAAAAAAGTTACAATTGCCCTTTTAAGTGTTCTAATAGTTCTAAATTGTTCTAATAATTTTAAGTGTTCCGATTATAATGGAATTGTTCGACAATCTTAGGCTCAACGTCGATTATAATTTGGAAATATGTATTTGTTAAAATATAAATATAAATTGTTTTATTTTTCGTTTTTTAAAAAGAGGCCTCCTTCTTTTCCTAAGCCTAAAAAAGTGTGTTTGTGTGTGTGTGTAAAATTGTTGGCGAAATGTTCTGCGAAAATAGATGGACGTTTTCACTAATAACGAAGATTCAATTGTGTGCAGTTCCCGTCGAGGAGTTTCAGTTTGCAAAGCTACGGAAAAGGAGGATCAAGAGCAACGACAGTTCATCAACGGACAGCAACAATGATAATGTCGACACATCATCCTGTACTTCAGACACTGGTTAGTCACACAACGGAAAAAACATCGAAAAATAAAGAACAACAATTTTTACGGCCTTCTATCACATTATTTCCCTGATATATATTCATTTTACCTGAACTTTTAAATAGCCGGACAATAAATTTTTCAATTTATTAAAACTAACTATTATTTAGTAATAATTAATTATTATTAATAATTATAATTAATTATTATTATTTATTAATATAATTATAATTAATTATTATCACATATTAATATAATAATCTTAACTAAATTTTTTTGTCAAAAATAAAATCTCTTTTTAATTTTCCTAAAATAGAATCATTGGTGAAAAAAGTAATGTAAGAATAAAATTTCAGTAAATTTTGTCATCGCGATAAATAGAAATTGGAAAATGTCTTTTTAAATCTATTTTTCAATAAATTTTAATTTCATTACTGTCACTTCAGTCCAAATCGAGCCAATCGAATTTAATATTATTGTACAACAAATAGTGCAAATGTACTATTGTTTCAACGAATTTATCCACAGAAATCAATTTTGACATTTTTTTAAGTCACAAAATAATTCTAGTCTAAGTATATTTAAAATTTGGATAATAAAATGCATATCAAAATAAAAAAAAATGTTTCTTTGCGAAATATGAAAACCTAATAGTAATTATTTTTAATCGACTATTATTTTTTACTTAAAAAAGAAATCTTAATTCAGTAATTAGTGTAAATATTAATTTTACATTTTCTCAAGTGCTATACACGTTGAATTTAATTTATTAATTAGTTACTTAATTCAATTAATTAATTAAATACTTAATTCAATTAATTAATTAATTACTTATTTCAATTAATTAATTAATTACTTAATTTAATTAATCAATGAATTTGAAATTAAAAATATAATTTTATGATTAGAATTCGTTGAAAGGTTTATTAATAATTAATTATGTCGAGCTTTACTTACACGTGTGGAAAAGGCGTTGTCATAAACCAGCTGCGTTTCAGATGTGTTTTCTTTATCTCTTCCATTCTTCTTGTCTGTCAGACTTTTTCTCTACAATATAAAAAATGTGCAGGAAGAAAACATGTCAAATTATTGAGTAAAAATAATATTGATATTTATCTTGAATTTTTTATATTGCAATAATATTTCACAGTAAACATAAATATAGAAATTAGTAATAGAAAATAGTAATAGAAAATAATAAAATTCATCGCAGGATTTCAATTATTTATAATACAATTTTATAGGAATTGCTCAAAAAATGTAATTATTCTTAAAAATTTCATTTCGATTCCTCAAAAAAAATCAATTATTTAAAAAAATGATTTTTTTTAAATTCTCTGGAAGAATTCAATTATTTACAAAAAATATTAGAATTTTTCACAGGAATTCAATTATTTTCAAATATTTTAATAAAATTGTTCGAAAGAAATCAATTATTTTATATACAATTATAATTAAATTTGTTTGAAATAATTCAATTATTCTTTTAGTTTTTAATAAAATTCTTCCCAAGAATTCAATTATTTACATAAATAATTCTTCGAAAGAATTCAATTATTAAAGATGAATAACAAAATTATTCCCAAAAATTCAATTATTTTGTGGCCTTTTAATAAAAGTGTTTGCGAAATTCAATTATTTTCATGAATAGCAAATATTCATCACAAGAATTCAATTATTTTTAAAAGTAATACACATTTTTTTTTGCAAATTCAATTATTTCAAAAATCTCTTCTCATGAATTCAATTATTTTTTAAAATTTTAATAATAATCGTTGCAAGAATTCAATTATTTTCATAAAAAATATTAAAACTCAACGTTTTGTGAAGTTTCTAAAACGAGTTTTTTTGTCATTAACTTAATTTTTCGATAGCTACTTTTTTTTAGTTTGAAAGCTACTTTTTGCTACTTTTTAAAAAATTGATTATCTACTGCTAGGTCTGCGATTATTGAAAATATGGAAAATGATAATTTGAAAGACTGAATGTAAATGCTTGTAGTTTAGCAAATGATATTGGCATTTACCTTCTCGTGCAATTGACACCCCAGAGTAGAGGAGCATGGCACGCCGTCATTTCCAAACTTTGAAGCACGATCGTGAATGTAATTTTTTATCTCTCGTAAAATTTACACATTTTGCGGAATTTCCCAAAAAAAAAGCGAATTATGCTCTTGATGTACCAGAAGTCGTAAATTTTCCCTCATTTCACTTTCTCGTTTACCTAAAAAAGAAAAAAATAATCAAATCAAAAAACTAGATATTATACAAATCGATATTAATCTCAAAAAAAAAAATTTTCTCTTTTGGCAATATTCCAAATTTGAATTTGAAACCAAAATTTGGAAACACTCCAAATTTTGTGATAATAAATAAATGTCTTGAGAAATTTTGCGTATAAATTTGAATATTCGTATGGCAGCGAATTTATAAGGAGATATAATATAGGATAAATATTAGAGGACAAATATTCTATAGAATATTCTATAGAAATATTCTATAGAATATTTTTTTGTAGAATATAATTATATTCTCGAAGTAGAATTAATTTAACTGTAGAGAGAAGGAGAGGGAGAGAATAATCTCTCATTGTAAGTCGGAACAATTTACATTGGTCCTGTTTCAATTATCAGTGACGGAAATTCTGTTGGAACACTTGTAGCTGTTTGTGTGGGTGTATAGAATATGTGGAAATATAAAGGGGCCTCACATGTGCATCCTCTTGTGCGAGAGAGCAGGTGTAGCAGGTGTGCGATGGCAAGGAAATTCGTCGTGAAATTTACGAAAATCCCGGTATTACACGCACACAAACAAAACAAAAGCTTCATAATCATTTTTCTTCTTTTTCTACTTTTTATTTCATTATCTAAATCAATATGATAGCTCTCAACAAATTTTATTGTTGATTCCAGAATAAAAAGCTCAAAAAAGGAAGAAGGGAACAAAATTAAAAAAGTAAATTAATGAAATTAAAAAAGTAAATTAATTAAATTAATTAAATTAGAATAAGGAATTATAATTTCTTATTTTGTAGTAGGAAAATATTAACGGTTTTTAAGTTTTCGACATAAGTACCTATATAATATCTGCAATATTGCGGGTGTCAACGTGTATATATTTTCAGGATTTCTCCCACACAAATATGTGAATCCACCTCTAGTATTATTAGCACTCCATCATGATGGTCCTGTCATCGACACGATTCTCTGCATTCGTTGAATATTCGTGCGGAGCTAGACTCCTGTCAAACACGCGTGATTTTGATGCTGTCAGACGACTAAAAAGTGTGCCTCTGTTTATGTCCTTCCCGGTCGCATTGACGTCATTATATGTCATCGCTCACTTGGTATTTATTACTAATTTAACATATTTCATTTTTACCGCTTTTCTTTCTCTATTCGCGATAATAAATAAACTGATTTACACCCACTTTTCGTAAATTTCGGTATTATTAGTGTTTATTTTTTTACTAACGACTGTTCCAATTCCACTGTTTGAATATTCGGAAATTCGGAATTGGAATATTCTAAATTCCAAGCAAATTGCAGTAGCGTAATTAGACTAATGCGACCCCCTTGCGAAATATGTAGTAAAAAGAACACTTATTCGTATTTTATAAATTTCAACAATTTTTTCTAAATTGGCAATTAAATTATTAAATTATTCTAACGTATTGAAAATTAAATAGTTTTGTCTAATCTTCTCTTATTGTATTGAAAGAAATGGAGATAAATTAATTTTTTAGGACGGGGGCCCCAAAAATTGAAACTACGTCGTCTCTTTCCTATATTTAAAGGGCTTGTAACCGTTTTTTTCAAAATGGCGGCTTTAACGTTCACGGACAAGACGCATCGTGATACAATAGAATTATTATTTAATAAAAGGAAAGTAATTAGTATCAAGAGATTAAACAGTAAAGTGAATTGACCAAACCAGAAGCCACGAGTAAGAAGAACAAGAAGAAGGATTAATTAATACGAAATTTTGATTATTCTACTAGAAACACAACTTTGACAACTTTGCTATTGATAGAATCCAATAGAAACAAAAGAAGATAATTAATCTCCTGGGATAATTGCACCAAGCAATATTGAAAAGTTTGACAAATATTCGGAAGACTTCACTAAAAACAAAGCAAATTTTCATCCAAGAAATAGTAAATTTTTCCTCAATTCGGTAAGTTAAAACTAATTTCTCGATTTGCGAAAATGTCGAATAACTCATATTAACGAAAATTGAAAGTTGTTTTTTTCAGTAATAAATATTGCGCGAGGAGCAATTTGCGAAAATGTCGAATAACTCATATTATTAACGAAAATTAAAAGATTTTTTTCAGTAATTGTAATAATGTTGCGTGAGGAGAAAAATAATCGAAAAGAAGGAATTAATGTTCGGAATAGATAATAATATAATATATATATATATAGGGACTAGCACTTGAGAGGAAGAAATTTTTTGAAGACGTTATGAATGGGAAAGCAATTTCGATTTGACGACGTGCGAGATAGCCAAATAGAGGTGCGAATCGTCTATTCGTGGATATTGTAAACGGGGTTGTGTGTTTCTGACGTGTCGATATATTCTCAGGAAGAAAAGCTCTGGTGCTGAAGCTGAGAAATAGCTTGGCCCTCGCACCCTCCTTCCTCTTGTGCCAGTTTAGCCTCCTGTAGGTGCACCCGCACATTCTGCATGTTTCCTACACACACACACACACATACATACTATCACTACAAGGACAATCCATTTGCCCATATGGTGCAAAATCACAAACCCACTGAGTCACACGCGGGCATCTTCCACTTGCATTCATTTCTAGATCCGCAATCAGTGTGATTTTAATTCACTATTTCAATATTCAATTTTTCATTTTCAATCATAATCTTTTTTATAATTAATTTTCATTAATTGAATTTTTGTAAATTTTCATTCTTTAAATTTTTTCAAATTTTCATTTGATATTTTCGAACAAAAATTACTTTTCAATTTGTCAGGCTTTTGAACTCATCTACTGAAACATACAATTTACGACTTTTTTTTTACGATTTGCTACTATTTGGATACTTTTTTTTGATTTGTTAATTGTGGACAACATTTCAATTATCTTTCTAAATGAATAGTAAAATTCTTCGACAAAATTCAATTATTTTCAGGAATTTTAATAAAATTCATTGCAAAATTCAATTATTTTCAGGAATTTTAATAAAATTCATAGCAAAATTCAATTATTTTCAGGAATTTTAATAAAATTCATTGCAAAAATTCAATTATTTTCATAAAAAATAATATTCATGACAAGAATTTTAATTATTTTGAAAAGTAATAAAATTCAATTATTTTCAAAAATTTTAATAAAATTCATGGCAAAGATTCAATTATTTTCACAAACTTTACGTAATTCAATGATTTTTAATATCTACTATTTGAATAAAAAATCTCCCAAAAGAATTGAATAATTTCAAAAAAAAAAATGTTTTTAAAATTCTTCGCAAACATTCAAATATTTTCATAAATAAAAAAAGTTTCACAGAAATTCAATTATTTAAAACAGAATTTTCCTAATATTTTTCGAAAGAAATCAATTATTTAAATAGATTTTTATAAAATTCTTCCCAAGAATTCAATTATTTTTAAAAATAATATTCTTCTCATAAATTAAATTATTTTTTAAAAATTTTAATAAAATTCGTCACAAGAATTTAATTATTTTCACAAATAATAAAATTCGTCTAAAGAATTCAATTTTTAAAAATTCTCGTCAAATTTTCAATTATCTTTATAAATAATCAAATTCTTCTTAGGAATTAAATTATTTTTTATAAAAAGTCAAATTCTTCTCAGGAATTTTAAATTAATTCACTTTTTAAAAATAATTGAATTCATTACAGAAATTGAATTAAAATTGTATTAAAAACAATAGAATTCTAGTAAAAAATTTTTTAATGCAACAATTGAATTCTTGTGAAGAATTTTTTTTAAATAAATTTATTATTTATGAAAATAATTGAATTTTTCGAAAATAATGAAGTTTTTTGATCATTTTTATTGAAAATTTTTAAAGTAATTGAACTTAATGAAGAATTTCTTTTAAGTTTAAAAAATAATCTTGTTTATCAATAATTGTAATTAATAATTTTATTATTAAATTTTATTAAAATTATTGATTAAAAATAAAAATTCTTTTAAATAATTTTATTAGTTTTCGTTAATAATTAAATATTTTTGAAGAATTACTTTAAATTTTTTGAAAATAATTAAGTTTTTTTTTAATAATCTTATTTGAAAATTTTAAAAATAATTTATGTTTACGAAGAATTTCTTTTCAACTTTTAATAAAAAACGTGTATGTTAATTTTTAATGTAATTTTAAATTAATTCCGCTAAAAACGCAATTATTCTTAAAAATTTGAATAAAATTCTTCGAAAAAATTTAATTATTAAAAAAAATTTGATATAATTAGTTTCTTAGAGTGTAATAATTATTTTTTTATTTTTAATTACATTTCTTTAATGAATTTAATTATTATCAAATATTTTCATGCAATTCTTCGTAAGAATTCAATTATTTTAAAAAATGTTGATAAAGCTCTTTATAAGAATTCAAATTTAAGAAATATTCGCAATTATTCAATAAATTTATTTTTGTATTTAAATTGGTTGGTTTATTTCAAAGAAAATTTATTTTTTTTATCAAATTTCTATAATTAGCTTCGTTAACTAATTTAACCCATTCGCTTTTTTCAATATTATTATTTAATTTCCCGTTTGTGGAATAAAAATACCAGGTTGCTTTTTTTTTCTTTTCGTAAATTGATTAATTATTTTTTTTTTTTTTTAATTAGCGATGTTTTGCATTTATTTTTTTCTCTTATCAGTGGAACCCGGAAGCCGGGCAACCAGAAAGAGGGAGGAATGTGAAACACTCCCCCAAGCACCTCTGTGGTTCCTATCAGTTCTGTTTTCCACTGTGTGTATAGAATTCAGTCGTCCGGCGATAGTCGTGCGAGCATCACGCACTTTTTCCGTAAAAAGTCGCTCGTTAATTTCTTGAAATTTCTCGAAAACATTCTTTCACAAAACAATAAGAGTTTCAATATTATTTTTTTCAAATTTCAAATTCTCAAATACAGATTGTGAAAATCTTTTTCCATCAGTGCACATTATTGCGAATATAAATTCAAAAGTGAATAGTCCCGAAGTTTTCTTATTTTTTTTTTTGGCAAAAAATGATTCGCGAACGTGTGTTTTAACTCTTTTTTTAAAAAACTGTTTCTTTATGACAAAATTCTTGATGAGAATTTGTGAGGATTTGTGAGGATCTAATAGAGGAATTGCAGAACAACACTTTTTTTTGGAAAAATTGCTAGAAAAGAGAAGGTAAACATTTTCTTGAGTAATTTTTTTCGTCTTGTTTTTTACCATTACTGATTAGTATTGTCATTAAACTCAAAATAACGTTAACAACCACTTTATGCCAAAAAACTGCTTTAAATTTTACAAAGATTCAATTTTCTTTTCATTTTTATTTTTTTTTAAATAAATATTTATATTTATAATTTTTGTTTTTAGTTCAAATTTTTTTTATTATTAACTGTACAAAGATAATCAATTAAAGATGAAGAGGGCACTAAACTGGGTAATTATAGAGGGACCGGAAGTCACACGTGTTAAACGTATGTCAGACACGTGTGATTTCTGACCTCTTGTGTTCCTTATTATACTTTTGTATCAAATTTGTTTCACCAACAAAAAAAAAACATTGGAGGGAAAAAATATTGAAAATTATTTTCAATCCAAAAATTTAATTTCTGTTAAGCGAAAATATTTTTTTTACAAAATGTAAATTTTGCAATTTTACTGCTTTGTGAAAAGTAGAAATTAAAAATTCTTTTTTCTGGAAAAAAGCCTTATTGTGCGTTCTCGATTTTCTTCACACTTCATATATTGTCTTTCGTGCAGCTGCCGTATTCCGTTTCAGTAAAAAGGAAAAAAAAAAGGTTTTGAGTGAATAGAGTCATTGATTGTTTTTTTTTCTACCACTTCCACTTGAAGATCGGAAGTGGCAATCGCGAGCAGGTGATATTTCAGGGACCACACCTGAACAGCGTGATAATAGGGGGGCAAGACTTCTTTAATAGTCGAAATCTTCTTTCGTAATTATATTTTTGTTTAAAGTAGAGAATTTGGAACTTTTTTTTATCTTGGAATTCATTTCCTCAACGATTGTGTGTATTTGGAGTTCTTCATTGAAATTCTTTTGTTTTTAGTAACACTTGTGAAAGAAAAGTCATCCGAATTTTTTAGGAGAGAAAAATATCAATGTCATCATTTATACAAAATTTATTTTCCAAAATTGAATTTTCCGATTTTTTAAATTGATCTGTTTTCAGAAATTGCGGAGAATTGATAATATCGATCGGACGTTTATACTGATTTGATTCGACAACAAAAATGGAAAAGTTGGAGTATAGGCATTATTTTCATTACACATTTTCGTAAAATTTGTAATTGTAATGGTCAAGGGAAAACTGATGAAAACTAACAGGTTAGTTTAGTTAATATTGTTTCAATTGCTCTTGTTATTAATTTATTCTTTTTTAGGACAAGAAAATAAAATTTCTTTCTGTATTTATATTTATTTTACGAACGAAGACGAAATCGCTTTTGTCAATAATATGACAAAATCGATTTTGTCTTCGTTCGTAAGATACACGAAGAAACTCAATCTTGAGGAATTCGTAAAGAAAATTTTGAACCGCAATCACTGGATGAGAAAAAAGATTCTTTTCCTCATACAAGGAAGGATTGTATTTTTGTTTTTCAATAATTGGAGGAAATTTATATTCGGACTATAAAAATTTAATTGGAAACGAGATGAACCTTTCAAAAGACTTAGACCTTAGAGAATGGTTAATCACAAACGAATGGTGTGTGTATATATATACGCTTTCAGGGAACCGATTATTGGCGAATATCGTGCGAAGGGATGCAGCTGACGGTTTTCGTATGCTTAGCTCCTCATTCCCCGTTATCGCCTAGAAGATTCCAAGTTTCTGTACCCTATAGTACACAGTCTGTTTGTCTGTCTTTTTCATCCCCCGCGCGCGATTCCCTTTCTCTCCCACGTGCGAAAACAGTTTTGCCCCTTTCTTCGTTCTTCATTTTCTCGCACACCACTCTCTTTTCTCTCTGTTCTCTACCTGTCAAAATGAATGTTGCGCGAAGTGTCGAGGAGTATAAAAACTTTTTCTTATTAGCGCCCCGATCAATTCGAATTATTCACCTTTTATTTTCTTCTTTATTTATTTTTCTCTGTTTTCTCTTTATTTTTTTACTCTACAGCTAAATTCACTAATTTCTAAATTTCGTTGCCAACTTTACTTTCGTATTAGCGCTTTTTTTGATATCATTGGTATTCTTATCGCTATATGAGGATTTAGAGAAATTTGACTAATTAAAAATTTTTAATTTTTCGTGAAAAATTCTGGGAAAATTCAAATTTTTAGTTTTAAAATTAATTAAAATAAGAAATTATTAAGTAAATTTTTCAGATTTTTTCGCTTCTTCGACTTTAGAGAATAACTAGCAATAATTTCGTGCGGACAACTTCTTACTTCTTAAAATAAAATCAGCAATTTTAAAAATACATAATAGGATTTAAAAATTTTTAATTCAAATTATTTTTTTCATTTATAATTGAGAAGAAAATATGAATTGGAATACAGTTTTACTACTATTATAACTATAATAATCATATATTCTGAGACAGAGAATTCTTTTGAAATTAGTTAAATTCTGTAATATATATTTTAATTAATTATTTAAAATAATGAGTATATATATAAGAATTTTAGGTAAAAACACTAAAAAAATGGAATTTTGGAGAAGTTACGAATAATTGCAAAAATCCAATTATTGTCAAAAGTAAATAAAAATTCTTCGCAAAAATTCAATTTTGTTCATAAATTTTTTTACATTCTTGAAAAATTTCAATTATTTTTAAAAATAATAAAATTCTTCTATAAAGTTAAATTATTTTCAAATTTTTTTAATAAAATTCTAGGCAAAGTTTCAATTATTTTCAAAAAAATTCAATCAATTTAATGATTTTTTATATCTATGATTTTAAAAAATTTTCCAAAAGAATTCAATTATTTCAAAATATTTTCAATTATTTTTAGTACAATTTTAATAAAATTTGTTGCAAGAATTCAATTATTTTCGTAAATAATAAAACTCATCGCAGGATTTCAATTATTTTTTCAACAATTTTAAATGAGTTCCTCGTAAAATGCAATTATTCTTAAAAATTTTATTAAAATTCCTCGAAAAAACTCAATTATTTGTAAAAGAATTTTGATATAATTTGTTTATTAGAATTTAATAATTATTTTAATTTCAATTTAAATTAAAATTCTTGAAAGAATTTTATTTTCAAAAATTTTAATGTATTTCTTCGTAACAATTCAATTATTTTTAAAAATTTTTAATAAAATTCTTGGCAAAATTCAAATTATTTTCGCAGTAATTGAATTATTTTTATAGATAATAAAATTTTTACAAGGATTCAACTATTTTCATAAATAATAAAACTCGTCGCAGAATTTTAATTAATTTTAATACAATTTTAATGGAACTCCTCAAAAATTGAGATTATTATTAAAAATTTGATTAAAATTCGTTGAAAGAATTTAATTATTTAAAAATTTGTTGATAAAAATAATGTATAAGAATTAAATTTTGAGAAACATTAAATTATTCAATAAATTATTTATTTTTGTGTTTGAGAAATTGAATTCTCGTAGAATTTTCTGATAAAAATTGATTTAAAATATGAAAATGAATTTCAGTTAAAATTTCTGATAATAATTGAATATTAAAAGCATTATAGCGTGATTTTTTTAACAGAAATAATTGAATTTCGAAAAGGTTTCCAATTAAAATCTTTGAAAATTTGACTTTTTCATACTTTTAACTGATAATTTTGTAGAATTAATTTTTTTGAAAAAGTTTAATTGAGTTTTTTTTTAAATTATTGCAAGTTTATATTTTCCAATATATACAATTGCAAAATTTCCAAATCATGGAAATTTTACGTAAAATTGAATTGTAAACAAATGGATTTTAAAATAATGAAAAAGAATTTTTCAAAAATTATTAAAAATAGTTGATTTAGAGAAGAATTTTATTTAAAAATTCTAGAAAATAATAATTGAATTGTAATGATGAAAATAATTTTGAAGAAGTTAGAATAACAATATAATATAATTTCAAAAAGGTTTGAATTTGAAATTTTCGAAAATCCTAATTCCTATGGAAAGATAATAATAATTGAACATTTATTTAAAAAAAGAAGTTTTCGATATTTTCGAATAATTTTACAACTAAACAAATTTGTAAATAAATATATTGCAGAACACTTTTTAGGAGTAGAATTTTTTGATTTATTTTCTAAAAATTCAAAAATTTTCGATTTGTCAAACAATATATTTGATTCGAAATTTATAAAAGAATTAGAAAGTTTGTAAGAAACAAATAGAAAAAGTCTGTTATTTCAATTTGGGAAATTCAGAGAAAATAATTATTGACATGTGCCGATTTTCGTCTCTACTATATATACTTGAATTTTTCTCTTTTGTTTTTTCCAGAATATACCTAGTTCGATAAACATGGAAATGAAATGTCAAGAAATTTAACATGTAATATAACTTGCGCGGGTATTCGCTATTTAATTCTGATTCCGAACGTCGGACAGTCGAAATTGACAGTTGAATGAGAAAATATTGATTAGAATTTTCCAGAGGAATATATGGATCATAATATTTGTTTCGTAGTTTCTTTTCTAAGTTTCTTCAAACAAGAAAAAAAGAGGCAATTTTCGTCTTTGATTTGGAATAATTGACTTTCTTATGGATCAGTATGGAGCAGAGTATGGATTTGAAATTTGGAAAGAGAGGAAAAAGTTTTCATTATTAAAAGTATGTGTAGAGAAATCACGGTTCGTTGAAGGTGTGCGTGCATCTCTCTTAAAAGCAGTGCTTTATGGTGCGCGTGTTATACCGAAGTATTATATCGATTAACTGTTGGCAACAGAAGTGAGGCAGAGGAAAGCTTGTCGGGAGGGTGGCGTGGCTTTGGCTTTCCTATATTATTAATCTCTCTCTCCTCGCTCTCTCTCTCGAATGCTGCTGGTGAACCTGCCATATATGCGTCTGCAGAGTCAGTCAGGTGTTGTAGGCAGCTTCCGTTCAAAGAGAATCAAGAGTCCCGGCACAGACTCTATTCTAACTCTACGCTCGGTGGTTGCCTAACGGCGGTCATACCTGCCAAGTACCTGCTCTTCGTCATGACGTCTGCAAAATTATATATACAAAACATTCTCTCCACTTTTACGTTTGCAACATTCATTTTATTACATTTATGCACTAAGACTCATTCACTTCTATTCGGTGTATAGAGGATGATATCTATATTCCTATCGTCCGACGACTTTTACTGACACTGAGAACTGACGGACCATCTGTACGGTGAAGCGCACCTGCGAATGCTATCCGATATTTCCAGGTTTATAGGTATCATATTAAACTCCTATTGATCTTCTTCCCAGATGACAAGAGTGCACACTAACAGGCCTTGGATATTATGACTTTTTTTCGATTATTTTCAAAAAATGCCACTTTTTTCGACTATTTTCAAAAAATGACACTTTTTTCGACTATTTCTAAAAATGACAATTTTTTCAATTTATTTTCAAAAATTGCGACTTTTTCGCCTTTTTCCAAATGTTGCAACAAAATACCAGATTTTTTTTGGTATAAAATGCAACTTCAGAGTTACCACTCAACCTGGAAACCTGAAAATGTCAGGGAATTTTATAAACCTTGAAAAAATTTATAGAAAAGTCAGAGAATTTTTATCAAAATCCTGGAAAATTGTTGTTTTCTAAAGTAATTGTGTTTATACTTGAAATCCAATTTTACTTCAATATTTCAAGATTAATTCAATTTTAAAAAAGTTGCGTTTACAAATTTCATAAGTAGGTATTTTAGTTAAAAACACTAAAACAAGTTGAATTTTGAAGCAATTACAAATTATTGCAGAAATTCAATTCTTTTTAAAAGTAGTAAAATTCTTTTCAGAATTTCAATTATTTGCAAAAATTTCAATAAAATTCTTCTTAGAAATTCAATTATTTTCAAAAATTTTAATAAAATTTTTCTTATAAATTCAATTATTTTCAAAAAATTTTCCTTAATTCAATGATTTTTAATGTATCTACTACTTTAATAAAAAAATTCCCAAAAAAATTCCAGTTAAAAAATATTTCAATAAAATTCTACGCAAATATTTCATTATTTTCATAAATAAAAATTTCACAGGAATTCAAATTATTTACACATTTCTTAAAAATTTCTTCGCAATTATTCAATTATTTTCACAAATAATATAATTTTTACAAGAATTCAATTATTTTATAATACAATTTTCATTAAATTTCTCGAAAAATGAAATTATTCTTAAAAATTGTATTAAAATTTATCAAAGAAATTCAATTATTTGCAGTGTCTATTATTCAATAAAATTTCACAAAAGAATTCAATTATTTAAAAAGAAATTTTAATAAAATTCGTCTCAAGAATTCAATTATTTTCAAAAGTATGTAATATAATTCTGCGCAAAAATTCAATTATATGTTCAAAAATTTACAAAAATTATTGTCAAAATTTCAATTATCTTTATAAATAATAAAATTTTCCTCCTAAATTCAATTATTTTCAAAAATTTTAATAAAATTCTTGGCAAAAATTGCAATTATTTTTTGTACAGTTTTCATTAAATTTCTCGAGAAATGAAATTATTCTTAAAAATTGAATTTAAATTTATCAACGAAATTCAATTATTATAAAAACTTTTGCCTATATTTTCAATTTACATTTTTAATTAAATTTTTTCAAAGAATTAAATTTATTAAATTTATTTTCAAAAATTTTAATGAAATTCTTTGAAACAATTCAATTTCTTTAAAATTAATTTTAATAAATTTTGTTAAAATTCAATTATTTTCAATGTCTACTATTTCAATAAAATTTCACAAAAGAATTCAATTATTTAAAAAGAAATTTTAACAAAATTCGTCTCAAGAATTCAATTATTTTTTAAAAAGTAAAATAATTCTGCCCAGAAATTCAATTATGTTCAAAAATTTACAAAAATTCTTGTCAAAATTTCAATTATCTTTATAAATAATAAAATTTTTCTCTGAAATTCAATTATTTTCATAAATAATAAAATTCATCGCAGAATTTTAATTATTTTTAGTACACAATTTTAATGAAATTTGCAATTATTTTTAAAAATTTTATTGAAATTCGTGGAAAGAATTTAATTATTTAAAAATTTGTTTATAAATTTCTATATGAAAATTCAATTTTAAGAAACATTCAATTATTCAATAAATTATTTATGTTTGTATTTAAATAATTGAATTCTCGTAGAATTTTCTAATAAACAATGATTTAAAAATGAACTTCAGTTACAATTTTAAATTATATAATTGAATATTGAAAGCATTGTAGAGTAGATTTTGAGAAATAATTTAATTTTCAAAAGGTTTTAAATTAAAATCTTTGAAAATTTGAACTTTTCATACTTTTAATTAAAAATTCTGCAGAATTAATTTTTTTCAAAAAGTTTAATGGATTTTTTTTAATTATCTGAAGTTTTTAATTTCTATGTAATTTAATATATTTAATTGAAAAATGTCAGAATAATCGAAATTTCGTAAAATTAAGTTGTAAAAAAATGATTTGAAAATTCAATGATTTGATTTTTCAATTGTTTTAATTAAAACACTATTATCTTTCAAAAATTATTTAAAAATATTTTTAAAAAATTATTTTTAAGTATTTCTTTATTAGAATTTTTTGAAAATATTTCAATAACTTTTTAAAATAAACAATTATTATAGAAAATTGAATTTTTGTTTTTAAATAATTGATTTAGATATGAAATTTGGTTAAAAATTGTAGAAAATAATTGAATTGAATTGAAATTGAAATTGAAATTGAAAGTATTCAAAGGTTTTAAATTGAAATTTAAAAAATTTTATTTCCTGTACAAAAAACAAATAAGTATTTAAATATTTATTTAACAAAATTATTCAATTTAATAATTGAATGTAGAAGTAGGTCAGAAAAAAAATAATAATAATAATTTTTCGACTTTTTTTTAAATTTTTAATCGACTAAGGCGACTTTTTTTGCTTTTTCAAGTCGATCCGAGGCCACGAAACTTGAACTTTAAGAAATAATTCCAAATTAGAAAAAAAATTTATATTTTTTCGTTTTTTTATTACAGAAGGGAATTTATTTCCGGATGCTCGTATATTTGTCGGAGAGATGCAAAATTCGGATAATTGTTCTCAATATGACGTTGACAGCTTTTGGAACCACTCGCTTGTCGGTCAGCTCGATTATCTGCGAATGAAATCAGTACATAAAACTATTCAATTTCAATTTGTGCGCAAATGAACATTTTTCCGAAAATATTTCTCGCAACAAGAAAAAAAAAAAAAAAAAAAAGAAGGATTCCGCAAATAACATTCAAGGTGAAACTAAAATATTTCTAGAAAAGTGAAATTCTGAAAGAAACTTAGAATACTGTTTTTTGCTCTCAAGTTTTGTATTTTAGGAATACTTTTTTGATTTGCAACATTTTTGGTTTCGTTTTGGGGATGATTTTTATTCAGCGGATACAGTCTCGCAACGATTGTGCGACATGCACATTTTTATAATGAAACGAAACTAAATGTACTGGTACTAGTCAGTACGGTAGACATCTGGTCTGTCTCTCGCTTGGTTGTTCTAATATTGGAAATTTCAGTACGCCTCCGCCACAACCTCTTCTCCAAGTACCGTACCATGTGCGGGACATATGTATAAACATAAGCCAGCCTGCACGCCTGCCTTCACAGCAAAAACCTTTTCCTTTAAAACGTGACGGCGATCGATCTACGATTATTCGCCAGCCATTTGAAACTTACAAGGGGGAAAAAAAAAGTTTCTTCTCCACAATTTCGGAGAATTCTTCATTTTTTTGCTTAATGTTCGCATTATTTGCATTTATTTAAATTAAATTATTAAATTAAAATCATTAAAATCATTAAAATCATTAAAATCATTTAAATCATTTAAATCATTTAAATCATTTAAATCATTTAAATCATTAAAATCATTAAATTATTTCTTTCTTCCTAGATACTCTATCATTATAAGAATTGATAATTAGTGTATATTACTATCACAATGATTAATATCATTGTCTGAATTATTTCAGGGTTGACGCAAGTCAGGGGAAAGTTGGGGAAAGTAGAATTGGTTAGGGAAATCAGTGAAAAGTCAGGGATTTTTATTAAAAGTACTGGAAAAAATTGAATTTTTAAAATTCAAAAGATAACTTTGAATTTTGACGTTTTTTTTGTTTATCTCATAAACTTTGAAATTACTACGAATTCTAATACAAAACTTTCAATTTTTTCTCTTTCTGACAATAATTTATTTTTAATTATTTTTAAATAACTCAAATAATAATCTTCAGGAATTACTGGATAATAACTTAATTCTTGAAGAACTATCATAAAATATTAATTACTTTTTCAATAACTTAATTAAATAATAATCTTCAGGAATTATTGGAAAATAACTTCATTCTTGAAGAACTATCATAAAATTATTGCTTATAAATTATTTAATGAATAATTTTACTTAAATCTAAATTAATTGAATTATACAAGAATTGCGTTTAGAATCTTTATAAATAGACGAACTTCAAAAGCTTTTAATTTTAAAGCTTATAAAATTTCAATTTCAAATAAATTTAATTAGAAATTTTAAAGAACTTTGATTTTTGAAAAATTTCAATAATTCAAATTCTTCTGAAATTAGTTCCTTTTTTTTAATATTTATTTAATAACTTATTAAAAATAATAGATTTATAGAAGAATTTTAGTTAAAAATAATAAAAAAAATTGAATTTAGGAAAAGTTACAAATGATTGCGAAAATTCAATTATGTTCAAAATTTTTTTCAAAATTCTCGTCAAAATTTCAATTATTTTCAAAAATAATAAAATTTTTACAGAAATTCAATTATTTAAAAAATAAAATACAAAATTTCATAAAATTTTTCGAAAAAAATCAATTATTTAATAAGATTTTTATAAAATTCGTCACAAGAATTCAATTATTTAAAAAAAATTTAACAAAGTTCTTTTCAAGAATTCAATTATTTTTATAAATAATAGAATTCTTCACAGAAATTCTACGAAAATTCAATTATTTAAATTCAGAATAAAAAAAATCCTTCGCAAGAATTCAATTATTTTTATAAATAATGAAATTCATCACAGAAATTCAATTATTTTTATAAACTTGAATAAAATTCGTTGCAAGAATTCAATTATTTTCAAAAGTAATCAAATTCTTCGCAGAAATTCAATTACTTTCAAAAATAATAAAATTCATCGCAGAATTTCAATTATATTATTAATACAATTTTCAATTCAATTCTGATGAAATTAGTAGAATTTTTTAATATTTATTTAATATTATTTCAGAAATTTTAACGCTATTCGTCGAAATAATTCAATTATCTTGATAAATATCAAAATTCTTCTCTAAAATTCAATTATTTTCAGGAATTTTAATAAAATTCATTGTGAAATTCAATTATTTTCATAAATAACAATATTAATCACGAGAAGAATAATATTTTCAAGAGTAACAAAATTCTTTACAGTAATTCAATTATTTTTAAAAACTAAAAATAGATTCTCGTCATAATTTCAATTATCTTTATAAACAGCAATAAATTCGTCGCTGAAATTCAATTATTCAAAATCATTTTAATAAAATTCTACGCATAGATTTAATTTTATTTTCATCAATATAAAACTCATCGCAGGATTTTAATTATTTTTGATACAATTTTAATCAAATTTCTCGAAAAATGTAATTATTTAAAAAAATTTTATTAAAATTCGTCAAAAGAATTCAATTATTTAAAAGTTTGTTGATAAAATTCTTTATAAGAATTCAATTTTAACAAACATTCAATTATTCAATAAATTAATTATTACTGAATTTAAATAATTGAATTTTCGTAGAATTCTCTAAGAAAAATTGATTTTAAAATGAATTTCCGAATAATCGATTTATTATTTATGAAAATAATTGAATTCTTGCAATGAATTTTATTACATTTTTTTTTAATAATTGAATTCTTTTGAAAAATTTTACTACTTGTAAAAATAATTGAATTCTTGCGATGGATTTTATTAGGATTTTTCTAAAAAATTAAATTTTTGTTGAAAAATTTTATGCTAATTTAAATTGTTTAATTTCAAAAAGGTTTGAATTTAAACGTTTTGAAGAATTTTAATTCGTACGCAGAAATAATAATTAAATATTTATTCTGAAATAAAGTTCTTGATTTTTTCGAATAATTTTTACAATTAAAGAAATTCGTAAATAAATGTAATATTAATCAGGAAAAAAATTCGTTAATTAACACAACGATAGAAATATTGATATGACAAAAAAAACGGTACAGAATGATGTACTGCTTTATTTATAAATGAAGAAACTAGAAATTGAATTCATGGTTCTGATAGAACCGACACGCCTGAAGCGAGTAATTTTTATATACGTATATACAACAGAATATCCCGTCTGGATTCTGACAGTACAAACATGTGCTTTCAAACGCACGTGGAACATTCTCTGAATCAAACGTCATTCAGAAAATTTAATTCAAGGTTGAGATCCCGGAGGCACTTTTTTCTACAAAAAATTTAGGGAAAAAAAATTAATTCCACTCTTTCTTATACAGTTTCAACTCTGCTAAATATTTTTTTACTCAAACTTTTGTTATAAAAAAACCGAGAGATGCAAAAATCTGGCGTCGGATAAAATTTTCGACTTATTTTCGAAAAGGGATGCAAAAATCAGACCTCGGGTAAAATTTTCGATTTATTTTCGAAAATAATAATAATAAATTATGAATATCATATTTCGCAATAAATTTATTCAAAAAATATTTAAAAATTAGTTAAAAGATTTTTTTTCACGTGGGTTTGAGAAATTAAGGAAATTTTTGCATTAAACTTATCGAGGAGTTTTCTGACTTTTAGGAGAATTGTAAATGTTATAATACTTTTCGACTTTTCGTCGTGTGCTGTTGCCTGGCGAATGTTATGCTCTGAAATAGTCGTCTCAGAACCACTTCCTTTTCTTATGTAGCACAACTTTTCTAATTACAAGAAGAAAATTTAAGACTCTTGGCAGTTAAATTTCTTTCTCTCTTTCTCTTTTTTTTTGCTCCTCGCGAAAAAGCTTTTGCGGTCTCATTGGTAGAATTTTTTCTCCTTTAATTCCATAAATTCAATTTTTCCCTTTTGTCGCAGTGTTTTCAATTTCGTAAAAAAAAATTTATTAAGAAAAAAGTATCTCTAGGTCGAAAGTGTCTGCACTTTAAAACTAGACTAAAATGAATTAGTCTTATTTTTCCTTTCGGTCAATTTCGAGAGAAATTAAAAAAAAATAAGTTTACATTAATTTTGTTAATCGTACGAAATGAGAATTTTTTTTACCTCTTTGGTATAGTAATATTTTTTAAATAATTGTATTACAGAAGTGGAACAAAAAATTCCGCCGGTAATATTCCTATTATGAAGGCAAATATTCTTGTTCATTAAAACATCTATTTAATAAAGTAGAGGATTTAACTATAGAGAAGTAAATTCCCTTTTTTTCTTTTGCAAAAGGCTTTACTTCACGCTCGAGGTTTTTGAGCGAATCGAAAAATAAAAACATTTGTGCTAGGCATTATCGTGCTCTTGACATATGGAACTTTCTCATCGCTGTATACTTTCTGCTTGTTCATATAAAGCTGCCCATTTATGGCTTTTGTCATATGGCACTTTCTCATCATGAAATTGATTATTTATTTATAAGAGTATTTCCAGCTTAGAGGTCTGCCTGAAACTTTCTTGTATTTCAAAAAAAAAGAAAAAAAAATTCTTCTCTGAGATACCAAATTAATATAATCTTTTTCCTCCTTGTATTGTAAAAATAATTTTCTTTCTTGACAAAAATATGTTGCGGAAAGATAAGTATTTTTAAACAACCAGGCTTTTTATTCGATAATTAATTTTCAAAAAGTAGTAATTGAATTCCTCAGAAGAATTTTATTATTTATAAAAATAACTGATTTTTTGCAAAGAATTTTATAAAAATCTATTTAAATAATTGATTTTTTTCGAAAAATATTAGGAAAATTCTGTTAGGCAGTAAAAAAATTTGACGCAGTATTTTTTTTGTCAGTGGGAGAAATAATAGAAATTTTTAGCTACTTTTCGCAAGTGTTGAATTTATTATTTTAGATGTTTAATTTATTAAAATTAGATGTAAATTACAGTATAACAGTGTATATGTATATATCCCTGGTGTTAAGACTCGCCCGCGAAAGCTCCAGATTTTCTGCCGAAGCACGTTTATAATTTTCAGAAGCTTTACCTAACTAAGCATCTTACGAAATGATAAGAGCTTTCATTTACTTTCTATAATTGAATGTCCGGAATGAAAGAACAATTTAATTCAGCTTTCAAGATGCTCTTAATTAGTTTTTTTATTTTACTCCTATCCGAAAAAATACATTACAACGAAAAAAAAGACGTAATTTCCTTCTTAGAAAATTAGAAATTAAATTCATAGAAAATTTTTTCTATTATTAAAATTACTTTTTGTCACTGATTCTCACGTTCTTCTAATTTCGCCTCTCTAGAGACCATTGAAATATTTTTATTCTGTGTTTCGTCTCAGTGACTAAACTTGAGATATAACAGAACAGACTGCAATAATCAATGCACGTGACTGGCAACGACTGTCTCCTCTGAGTATAACAGAACCAGACGGTGCATTCGCGTAATGTCATGTCATTTCACCACCTGTCCGCTACTTAATTGTTCAAATTCAATTGTTTCTTCTCTTTATAATCACACTTATTTTCTTAATTTCAAAATTAAATGTAATAAAATAGAGAGAGAGAAAAAAAAATTTATTTTTGTATGAATATTTCAACAACAGGATTGCCACAAGTCAGGGAATTCAGGGAAAAGTCAGGGAATAATTAATAATAAAATTCTTCTCAGAAATTTAATTATTTTCAAAAAATTTAATTAAATTCTTGGCAAAAAGGATTTTACCATTTAGAAAAATAATTGAATTATTTGATTGAGGAAATCGATCATTCCGAGTCGAAGACTCGGAGTAATCCATGTTTTATAATAATATTCCCATATGATATTGAATTTCAAAAGGTTTGAATATTTTTCAGGTTCAGCGAAAAAGTTCAGGAAAAAGGAAAATTAAATTTTTGTGACAATCCTGAACAAATTTGTTTTAAATTAATGACGAAAGATGAATTCACGTCAGGTGTAATTAAGCTCTCAGCTCGCGGGTTCGTAAAACAAATGGGAAGTGTTCTGTTAAAATAGCAATCGGTATGCATGACCAGAGTAAGAAATTCGAAGCACGTAGTCGAAATATGTGGCTTTCACCCGGGAAATGGAATCAATCAAATTCGAGTTGTGCGCATCGCACGTCTGTCGTTGTATACTCTTTCTCGTATCGTTCCTCTTCGCCAGTAATGCAATTTAGATGATATACATTAGACTCGTATGTTATTTTCCAGAATTCAAAATCATCTCCATAAATAAAACATTGGACAAAATAATAATAATAAAAAGCTCTTTTTTTTCGTCAAAAATTGAATATTTTACAAGAGTAAACTGTAAATTAAAATAAATTTCTTTTTAGATAAATTGTTACAATTTATTTATCTAAAACCAAAAGCAAATCTATCTTAATTTACATTTTGTAAACTGTAAATTAAGATAGATTTGTTTTTGGTTTTAGAGAAATAAATTGTTGTAAACTATGTATAATTATTAAAATGGATTTTTTGTTTTTTTTTGTTTCCAGATAAATTGTTGTTAAGAGAGCATGAAAGTGGAAAGTGGAGTGGCGACGAGTACAGCCCTCCAGAAGATCAAGGTGAAAGAAGAAAAGGAAGAATGCAGCTTTCAACAGCAAACAGGGACATCTATGTCAACAGCAACTACGACCGTCACAACAATCACCACACACTCAAATGCCAGCAGCATCTCAGCAAACAATACCACCACCTCGAGCTTGGGTACTCCTTCAAGCATGCCAATCGTAACTCCTTCAATGACAAGTCTCGTGCAACCCACCCCAGTAATTTGCCAGCCACCCGCTCTCAAGTCGAGTGTCAACAATAACAACAATAACAATAATTCAGAACCGTTTTTTATTGATCTCGATCTAAAGGCAAAGACAAAAGGTGAGTTTACTTCTATTTTCCATAATCCTTCCAATCTAACAATTTCTATTTGAGAATATTTTCTTACTATTCCTGAACTTAAAGTAGAAAATGATTTTGAGAAGAAATAATTTTAGACTTGGTTGCCACAGGTCAGAAAAATCAGGGAATTTTGGAAAAAGTCAAGAAAAGTTGAATTGGAAAATTTTAATTTCAATTCTGTTGAAATAAGTTTCAATTTTTTAAGTTTTAACGCAATTCTTTGAAAGAATTCAACTATCTTAATAAATATTAAAATTCTTTCCAGAAATTCAATTATTTCCAAAAAGAAAATTCTCGTCAACATTTCAATTATCTTTGTAAATAGCAAAATTCTTCAACAGAATTCAATTATATTCACGATTTTTTTTTATAAAATTCATTGTAAAATTCAATTATTTTCATAAATAACAATATTTACCACAAGAATTCAATTATTTTCAAAAATTAATAAAATTCTTCGCAGAAATTCAATTATCTGCAAAAAAATCTAAAAAAAATTGTCAACATTTCATAAATAATAGTATTTATCATGAGAATTCAATTATTTTCAAAAATGTTACTAAAATTCATGACAAAAATTCAATTATTTTCAAAAATTGTTCTTAATTTAATAATTTTTAATTTTTTACTATTTTAATAATATTTCCCAAATAATTCAATTATCAAACAAAAATTTTGAAAATATTTTACACGAACATTCAATTATTTTCCAAAAACATAAAAATTTCACAGGAATTAAATTATTAAAAATAGAATTTACGTCCTTTTTTTCGAAGAAAATCAATTGTTTGAAACTTTTTTATAAAATTCTTCGCATTATTTCAATTATTTCCATAAATAATAAAACTGTTTCCTGAATTTCAATTATTTTAAATACAATTCTAATTGATTGCTTCGAAAAATGTAATTATTTACAAAAATTTTATTAAAATTCGGCAAAAGATTTCAATTATTTAAAAATTTATTTATAAAATTCTTTACCAGAATTGAATTTTAAGAAACATTCAATTATTCAATAAATTATTTATTTTTCTATTTAAATAATTGAATTATAGTAGAATTTTCTAATAGAAATTGATTTAAAAATGAATTTCAGTTATAATTTTAGAAATTCTCAAAGAACTTTTTCGAAAATTTATTAAATAATTCAATTATTTTAAAATTTGTTGATTAAATTCTTTATGAGAATTGTATTATTCGATAAATTATTTATTTTTGAATAAAAATTATTGAATTCTTGTAGAAGTTTCTAATAAAAATTGATTTAAAAATGAATTTCCGAAAAATCGATTTATTATTTATGAAAATAATTGAATTCTTGCAACGAATTTTATTACATTTTTTTTAAATAATTGAATTCTTTTGAAAAATTTTACTACTTGTTTGTAAAAATAATTGGATTCTTCCGAAGGATTTTATTAGGATTTTTGTAAATATAGTTAAATTTTTTTTGAAAAATTTTATGGTAATTTAAATTATTATAAAACATGAAGATGAATTCGACTCGAAGTGATCGATTTCTTCATGTTTTACAATTTTAATATTTTGATAAAATGTTAATTTTCAAAGGTTTGAATTTGAATGTTTTGAAGAATTTTAATTCCTACGTAAAAATAATATGTAATTAAATATTTACAATTACAATAATTTAATTTACAATTCAAGAATTAATTACAATAAAGAATTAATTAATAAAGAATTAATTTACAATTTATTTATTTATTTATTTATTTATGAAAATATCCCGCAGTCCAATTGGACCATACATGGGTAACGAAAACTAAATTATAAAAATATAACAAAAAGTAACAATCATAATTATAATTCTTGTACAATTACAAGAATTCAATTTACAATTAAAGAATTAATTACAATAAAGAATTAATTTACAATTAAAAACATTTGTAAATGTAAAAGAACATTTTTTTGAGTATTTAATAATTTTTTGAGTGAATCAGAATATTTTTTAGGATCAGGGAAAAAAAGTGAAAATTTTGTCTGAAAATCAGGGGAAAAAATTAAATTTTTGTGCGGCTGTCCTGTTAGGAAAGTCATAATTATAAAATTAAATTTAAAAGCAAAATTCTTGGTATATAAAAATTTTCCCGTTGTTATAAAATTAAAGGAATTACAAGAACAGTTTTTCTGTACTAGACATATATTATAGTTGCGGAGAATTGAGATGATGGTACCCGTATAAATAGGATGGTGAGCGGGTGCACTATATACTCAACACTAAAACATTTGGACCCCGAACAGGTTATCTGAGTGAGGAAGAGCCCGCAGCTACTTTGGCTTAAAACCGTTCACATTCGGACTCATTGGCCCAGTCTTGATCCCTTTTTTTTTAAAATACACTTCCGGCGTGACAATTCTCTCCCTTTTTTTTTATTTGCAATATTTTTCTTAAAGAGTATGATAGAATCAAGTCTCTCTTTTTTTAATATTGCATTGTTTTTTTTAGATTGTTTCAACAATCATAGATAAGGCGCAGGAAAAAAGTGCACGCGATTCACATAGTATAGGGGAAATTGTGATCACAAAACGTGTTGGTGAGAAAAGCTCTTATGGATTCTAGCAAGCAGGCAGTCTCCACTGATGAGAGTATATAGAGAGAGAGAGTGGGTTCGTGTGTTGTGCCTGGTCCAGATGCGATAAGGCACGTCCAACACTTCCAACGGGATTCTGTTCCTGGCTGATATCATATCCGGAATTTCTCGAGCTGGTGGCGTGTAGAGTATTTTCGCGATAGACTGTGTGTGGAAGTTGTGACACGCTTACGATGAAAATCGTTTTCATCTTATCCGCTTTTCGCAGGACCCAAGAAAATCACCCGCACCAATTTCTTCGCTACGGAATATTTTCCCAGGGAATTTCTTTCCCTGGGGAATAAATTTTAAATTGTACAAGAAAAGGGCGAATGGATATTATGTATATAGAGAAAATTTTGAATAATTTGAAAAAGATTTGTGAAAAACAGAGAAAAGAAAAGAGGAGAGAAAGTGATCAAAAGACAACGTTGCCAGAAGTCACGGAAATCAGGGAAAAGTCAGAAAAAGTAGACTTAGTCACGGAAATGTCAGGGATTTTTATTAAAAGTACAGAAAAAAAAATTTAATTTTTAGAATTCATAACAAAGTTCTTTAATTTAATTTAAATAGAAATTTTAAAGAACTTTGATTTTTGGAAAATTTTAATAATTCATATTTTTATGAAATTAGTTAAACTTTTTAAAAATATTTAAACAATTATCAAAAATAATGTATTTACAGAAGAATTTTAGTCAAAAATACTAAAAAAAAATAAATTTTAGACCAATTACAACAAATAATTGTAGAAATTCAATTATTTTCAAAAATAATAAAATTCTTCCCCAAAAATTCAATTATGTTCAAAATTTTTTAAAAAATTCTTGTCAAAATTTCAATTATCTTTATAAATAATAAAATTCTTCTCCGAAATTCAATTATTTTCAAAAAGTTTTGATAAAATTCTATGGGCAAAATTTCAATTATTTTCAAAAAATTTCCTCAATTTAATAATTTTTAATATCTACTATAATTTTAATAAAATTTTTGAAAAGAATTCAATTATTTAAAAAACTTTTGATAAAATTCTACGTAAACATTTAATTATTTTCATAAATAATAAAAATTTCACAAGGATTCAATTAGTCGTAAATTTTTTTTATAAATTTCTTCGCAATAATTCTAATTCTTGGCAAAATTTTAATAATCATTTTCAAAAATTTTCCTCAATTTAGTGATTTTCAATATCAATTCAATTATTTAAAAACTATTGTTGATAAATTTCTTTATGAAGAAAAATGTTAAAATTCACGCATTGTAGCGTGAATTTTAACATAAAAAAAATAAAATCATAAAAAAATTAAATTTGAAGAAGAATTTCGGAATAATCGAAATTTTGTAAAATTGGATTGTAAACAAATGGATTGAAAATTCTCAAAGAACTTTTTCAAAAGTTATTTAAAATAATAGATTTAAAGAAGAATTTTAGTTAAAAATACTATTATTTTCAAAAGTGGCTAAAATTCTTCGCATAAATTCAATTCTGTTCAAAATTTTTTTTAAATTCTCGTCAACATTTCTATTATCTTTATAAACAATAAAATTTTTCTTTAAAATTCAATTATTTTCAAAAATTTTAATAAAATTCTTAGCAAAGTTTCAATTATTTTCAAAAAATTTAATAAAATTTATAGCAAAATTTCAATTATTTTCAAAAATTTTTCCCAATTCAATGATTTTCAATATTTCTTAATTTAATATAATTTTCCAAAAGAATTCAATTATTTAAAAAAAAATTTTTTGATAAAATTCTACGCAAACATTCAATTATTTTCAAAAATAATAAAAATTTCACATAGGAATTCAATCAACAAATTTTTTTATAAATTTCTTCGCAATAATTCAATTATTTAAATTTTCATGAATAATAAAAATTTTTACAGAGATTCAATTATTTTCATAAATAATAAAAAGTCATCGCAGAATTTCAATTATTTTTAAAATACAATTTTAATCAAATATCTCGAAAAATGTAATTATTCTAATAATTTTTATTAAAACTCGTCAAAATAATTCAATTATTTAAAAATTTGTTGAAAAAATTCTTTGTGAGAATTTAATATTAAGAAATATTCAATTATTTATTTTTGCATTTAAAGAATTCAATTCACGAAGAATTTTCTAATAGAAATTGATTTAAAAATGGTTTTCAATTTAAATTTTAGATAATAAATTAATTAAAAGCATTACAGCATGAATTTGTTAGAAATAATTGAATTTCGAAAAGGTTTCAAAATTAAAATCTTTGAAAATCTGAATTTTTCATACTTTTAACTAACAATTCTGTATAGAATTAATTTTTTTGAAAAAGTACTAGAATTTTTTTTTTAAATTATTTGAAGATTTTATTTTCTAATATTTATTACTTAATATATATTTAATTGAAAAATTTCTTAATCATCGAAATTTCTCGTAAAATTGAATTGTAAGCAAATGGATTTGAAAATTGTTAAAGAACTTTTTCGCAAATTATTAAAAAAAATAGTTGATTTAGAGAAGAAGTTTAGTTAAAAATTGTAGAGAATAATAATTGCATTGAAATGATGAAAATAATTTTTAAGAAGTTACAGTAACAATAATTTTGGAGACGATATTATTTTTAAGGATAATTGAAATTTTGAAGAGGATTTTTTTTTAATATTTTTGAATATAATTGAATTCCTGCTAAGAATTTTATTATTTTTGAAAATGAAGAGATTTTTTTTTTAAATTTTCGAATATAATTGATTTTCTGCAAAGAATTTTATTATTTTTGAAAATTATTGAATTCTTGCAACGAAAATTTTAGTTAAATGTTAGTTAAAAATTCTAGAAAATAATAATTGAATTGAAATGATGAAAATAATTTTGAAGAAGGTGGAGTAACAATATTTAATGATTTTATCACTCGGTTAACTTTAATTTGTTATAAAACATGAAGAAATCGATTACTCCGAGTCTTCGACTCGGAGCAATCGTTTTTTTTCATGTTTTATAATCAATATTCTTATGAGTCGTTGAATACAATCAGAATATTCTTTAGTTTCAGCAAAAAAAAGTGAAAATTTCAGTCTGAATATCAGGGAAAAGTCAGGTGAAAAGAGCAGAATAAAAATTTTGTGAAAGAGATCCTGAAAGAGAGATATATAGATTATAGAAAGTGGGTGGAAGTTGGACTGAGAAGGGATCGCGATCAAAGCCATCTGTTGCATTGTCCCGGCAATTAGGAGGCGACAGCTGAGTTCTCCACCGTACTTACTTCCTGCAGTGATTCTCAAATCGATGGACCAAGTGTGCTTTATGAATTCTCCTCTCGAGTAGACGTATAGAGATTGGTCCAATGGCAGGGAACGAGTCAACGTCCTGTGACGGGATAAACCACGTAATCTCGTAAAGTATCACGTTCTTATGACAAAATGCAACGATGCGATGCATTATCGAGAGTTTGAGCACTGCTGCAGGAAGTAACAGCTGGTCCAAGGGATAGCAGCACAGCATCACCTTTATAAATGTGTCACCAACTTTTCCAAAATATACAAAATCACCTCTTTTCTTTTTTTTTTGCAAATTAGCAATATCAATATTTTTAAATCGAATAAATATATATTTTGCTTCGAAAACGATACTGAAAAAAGGGTACCCGCAGAAAGGGTACCAGGATAATATATCATCCGTTTCGAAGAAATAGATAAGAGAAAAAAAAATGAGAATTTAGATTAAAAATTACAAACAAAATACTTAAAATGGAAAAAAGTGTTTGATCAATAATTAAATTGATTTTGAGTTTGAAGGTCTAATATTGATATGCGTGCTTTTGCTGTACTTTGGTTATCGGCATTTCTGTTTTGCCATTCCATTTGTTTTGCAACGCACAAGGCCAGAGGCATTTCGCGAGATAACAGAGAGTAGAATACTAGCAAGACAAGGCGGATGACACGACCCGTAATTGCATGTTATTCGCTGCATACGACCGTATATGGAGAGGAGGCTTTTGTACCCACTATCACCCACACCAAAATTCTTTCACTCTATACACATTTTGTCATAAAGTAAATTGTAAATTTTTACTCCAAGTTATACACGATTAAAAATTTCGTAGATTATTTCTCTATTTATCGAGAATCGAAAAGTAGAAGAATTTATAGAAGAATTTTAGTTAAAAATTGTAGAAAACAATAATTGAATTGAAATGATGAACATAATTTTCTGGAAGAAATATTATACAAACTTCAAAATTTCCAAAACTAATTTTATTATTTTCTAAATATATAAAAATCAAAATGAATAAATTGTTGAAATAGTAAAAATATATGTTTTTTTTTCGTTCTGCTTTCAGTTACAACAACAGCAATCAGTTTAAAGTCATCGTCGAGAGATGAAAGTAACTTTGAAGTTGGAAATGAAAATCGACAATCTTCTCCGGCTCAAAAATCACAGAATAACAAAAATAATAGTTCTCGATCGGAAAATAAAGTCAATTCAAGATCATCGGACAATGAGAGTCCATTATCATCGCATCAGACTTTTATTCACAATGAAAAAGATGATTCATCTTCAAAATTGGAGGAAACAACGGGAAATAGCGCCGAGGGAAATGGAATATCTAATGGATCTAAATCAATTTCCTCCATATTTTCTGGACACAGTAAATTGAGACGACTTCTTGGTACTCTGGTTCATTTTGCAATGGAAATTTCACTTGATACCGGAGACACTGTCAGAAGTCTCGTTCTTGGATTATTGGTAAAGCCTTTTTTTTCTAGTTTATTGAATATTTTCAATATCGAACATTTATATATCAACATTTTGAATATTTATAATTAATTTTATTTTATAACTATAATAGTCCTCGAATATTATAACATTTTCGACTTATTTTAAAAAATTACGACTTTTTTTACTTTTCTTCCGAATGTTGCAATAATTTTTAAGTATAAAATGCAACTTATTTTCGAAATTTACAATTGAAAAGAGTTTCAATAAATATTGAAATTTTGTAAAATTCAATTAAAAATAATTGATTTTTTTTAAAGTGTTTTTTAAAAATTTGGAAAATAATTGAAATTAAATTCCTCAGAAGAATTTAATTTTTAAAACAATTTTTAATATATTTCGAATAAATTCAATTATTTTCTAAAATCTTAATAAATTCCTTTCGAAACAATTCAATTATTTTTATAAATGGTAAAATTCTTCGCAAGAATTCAATTATTTTTATAAATAGTAAAATTCTTTGCAGGAATTTAATTATTTTCAAAACATATTTAATTGAATTTCTCGGAAGAATTCAAATATTTTCAAATATTTCCATAAAATTCAATTATTTTCTAAAATTTTTAATAATTTCTTCGAAACAATTCTAATACATAGAAAAAATAATAACATTAAAATTTTTTACAATTATTTTTAACATTTTAACAACATATGACTTTTAATTATAGATTTATTAAAATTTTGAAGAAATCGCGTTTATATTAATAATTAAAATTCCTTAAAAATTCAATTATTTTTTTAATAGAATTTACCAAATTTCAATTGTTTGAAAATTTTTTAATTCTATATAATTGAAAAACTATTATCTTTCATAAATTTATTTTAAAAATATTTTTGAAAAATTAATTTTAAGAGTTTCTTTGTTATAATTTTTTGAAAATTAATTAATAACTTAAAAAACATTTTTGTATTTAAATAATAAATCTGTTTATATTGTGGCTTTAACGTCACAATATAAACTGATTTATTTGAAAAAAATTAAGATCCTGAATACATTCTAAGTTGTATTTAAATAATTGAATTCTCTAAGAACTTTCGGAAAATTATTAAAAATAATTGATTTCGAGAAGAAGTTTGATGAAAAATTATTAGATTTTTAGAATTCATGAGAAAGATCTCGATTTCGATACCCGCAATTTAATTTAAAATTCCAAAAATAATTTAAATAAAAGATAATAATAAGATAAGAAATAAAAGATAAATTTTTTGGAATTTCGTTAGGAAATGAAAATTACTTTAATTTTAGAAGAAGAGGAAAATTTTGAATTCTATATAGAGTCAACGTGAAGTGGACATTTGGAAAATGGACTGCACATTGAATGAACAATTTTGAAAACAAATAGCCATAGTATAAAGTTTATAAATCAAAATAGAGTTTTAGGATTTTCTGTGCCTATCACCACGTATCTCTTTGTTAGTGCGGTTATAAAGTATATTATCTTGCGCATTAAAATTGCAATTTAGTGCAAAGTACTGAAATGTATATATACTGACTCTCAATTTTGTCAAATTGTATACATATTGTGGTACGATCGCAACATCAAAATGCTTTTGTGTACCATTAAATAGAAAAAAGAGACTTTTATTTTTATCGTCAAAGCGCATTTACGACTAAATTGTTCTGTTTTATGAGATACATTTTTTTCAACCCCACGCAAGTTTTTTAGCAATGTTTTTCTTTCTTTTTTTTTGTTTTCTTGTACCTGAATTATATGGATTGATTTTAACAATTATTTTAATCTTGAAATTTATTTATTTCTGTCTATTTTCATAAAATATATTTTAGTTTTATTCAATTTATATTTTAATTTTTTAATTACGATTACGATCGTTTATTTAAAAGGGAATATTTTTTTGTCGCCAAACAAAGGTGAATTTACATTTTGTTAAAATCTGTCTATTTTTTCAGAATGGTGCAATGTCAGCTGAGGATTTTCATTCTGCTCTACAAGAAGCTACAAATTTTCCTCTTAGGGGATTTGTACTCCCGTACCTGAAACACTCCTTACCCTCTTTGCAGAGGGACTTGAATGCAGCCGCGAGAATTAACAATCAGGTGATTTCTAATTTTCTTGTTTTTAATTATTGTTTATAATTACCGTTCTCAATTTTTATTTTCACTTTGACTTTAATTTTCACAGTTCAATTTTTATTTTCAGCTTAATTTCTATTTTCCGTTCGATTTTTATTTTCAGTTTGATTTTTATCTTTAGTTTGATTTCTATTTTCCGTTCGATTTTTAGTTTCAGGTTTGATTTCAATTTTAGAATATCGAATTACATTCGTAAGGGAGAAAAATCTCCAGGGCGATGAAAAATTTACCAAAGTTTTTTTTTCTAAAAATTTTCTTTCTTTGGCAAAAAGAAATTCAAACTTCTTAGTTTACGTAAAAAACAATAATTCGGGGGTATGCTTTATTGCGGTAACCACAGTTGAGGGTCGTAAATCATTGCTCAGAGAGTGTAGCAGGTTGCAACGAGAAATGTCCATATGTTCCTCACGCAAATACCTTTTTTTTCATTTTCAGAAAAAAATTTCTTTTTCAATACAAAAAGAAATTATGGGAAAATATTTTCGAATATTATTTAAATCGGTAAATTTTTTTTTTGCAGGAGAAAATATATATAAGAATTAATATTGATGCGGTAAAGTTTTGTATACAAAATCCTCGTCAGCGTATATAAAGTACGGTGATGGTGCTTTAGTTAGTTTATTTCTCTCGTGAAGAACAACAAAATTCACCACAGTTGCGTAAATTTATATCGTTATAGACGAAACAAGAGAACAAAGTAAAATCAACAGAACACTTCTAACCAGCAGATGCCAGTTTTGTTTTAATTTCCCAGGCAGATGTGATCGCCGAATAGAGTTTGTCCAAAGTTATTCGTTTCTGTTGTATTTCGTGAATAGTATTTACAATAATTTTTTTTTATTTATAAATACTGTTTTTATTTGCAAAAAATTTCGTTTTTATTTTGGTTTTCTTTGTAACGTAATATTATCACGGTTGCCACAGGTCAGGGAAATCAGGAAAAATTAAACATTCTCGTCAAAATGTCAATTACCTTTATAAATAATAAAATTCTCTGCAATTCAATTATTTTGAAAAATTTTCCTGAATTCAATGATTGAAAATGAAATAGAAACAAATTTTTTTGAGTATCTAATTATTTTTTATATTGAATCAGAATAATTTTACAATTTCAGAAATTCGTTAATAAATGTAATAGAACATTTTTTTAAGTATCTAATAATTTTTATAGTGAATTAGAATATACTTTTTTATTTTTAGGAAAAAAGTCAAAATTTTCTTCTGAAAATCAAAGAAAAAAAGAAAATTAAATTTTTGTCGCAAACTCGATTATTACTTTTGTCTAAAACGGAGAATATTATCTTTGCTTTAATTGTCAGGAAGTTTGTACAGATTTTGTGGTTGATTGTAGATTGAATATTGATCGGCTAATTTAATCCCCGGGGTTATTCTCTGTCATCATAAATCCACATTTGTTAGTTAAGGCCCTTGTATAGTTGGATGAAAACACATTTCACCCGTTAATCCAAGTCTCTCTCCTGTGTTTCAATTACTTCTAATCCATTCGCAAGTTTACCAAATCAACGCACACTTGTTAATCTCCTCCCCCACGACTGGAATTATTTATTTTCAAAAAAAAAGTAATTGTCAACAGGATTTTTTTATTTTTCAGACAATATTTTCTTTTTCTGCGCGGGAGCAAAATGATATATGGAAGATTTTCTTGGCGAAGAGATACATATAGTTTTGTTGGAAAAAGAAAAATGTCGTTGGTTTCTTTTTTATTTCTCTCGTAGCGGGTGCACACAATGCTGAAATGGCAAGGAAGTTATATTTCGGTCCGAAGAACGACCCCCAGCTGTTGCCTGTCTCGGAGGAGAGAGTCGAAAGCTGCTAGGTAACGAATTGCAAATTAATAGTGAGCATTTACATTTTCCACATCACCCCCTTCTATTCCCCCCCCCCTGTGCGCACCTACACATCCAAATCGACCTCCATCGGGAAACTGAATGCACCAGATTTCAATGATTATTAAAATACATTTGTTTTTTTTTCTTCAAATCAAAAATCTCGAATTCTGATTTTTTTTTATTCCTTTTTTCGATTAGAGGGAAAATTTTTTTCCAGCGCAATTTTTTTTTGAGATTTACAAGCCTTGGATATTATGACTTTTTCGAATTTTTTCGACTACTTTCAAATAATGCGACTTTTATCAACTTATTTTCAAAAATTGCGACTTTTTCGACTATTCTTCCAAATTTTGCGACAAAATAACGTATTTTTAGTATGAACTGCAACTTATTTCGATTGTTACCTCTAGTATGAAAAATAGTAGACAAATCTTTAAAAAATTATTTTTGAACCATTTTTCTAATTAAATTTTTGAAATATAAAATTAAAAAGATTTTGAATAATTGAAATTTTTGAAAATTTAATTAAAAATAAATCATTTTTTTAAGCATTTTATTATAATTTTTGAAAATTAACTTTTGTAGAATTTTAATTGAAAATTTTGGAAATAATTGAATTTCAAAAATTTTAATGAATAATCTTCAAGTGTAAATTCATTAAGAAATGAAAATTAATAAAAATTAGGTTCTAAAAATAATATTCAAATAGTTTTGAAAAAAGTAATTCTCTGAATTATTTCGTTCTACTTTTTAACGACAAATGCTTAAAAATTTATTTTTGAATAATTTTTCTAATTCAGTTTTTGAAATATAAAATTAAAAAGATTTTAAATAATTGAAATTTTTGAAAATTCAATTGAAAATAAAAATTTTGGAAATAATTGAATTTTTTAACATTTTAATGAATAATCTTCAAGTGTAAACTCATTAAAAATGAAAATTAATGAAAATTAGGTTCTAAAAATAATATTAAAATAGTTTTGAAAAAAAATTCTCTGAATTATTTCGTTCTACTTTTTAAAAATTCATATTACATATCTTCAATATTTTCGATATTCAATATTTTCAATATTTTCAATATTTCCGAAAATTCAAATACACACGCAAAATAATAACATTAAAATTTTTTTAAATTATCTTTATAAATATCATTTTGGAGAAAATAATAATAAAAATTTTTAATTCAAATTCTTCAAAAAATTATTATTTTTTTAAATTATACAAAAATTCTTCAATTATTTTCGAAAAATTAAATTACAATATTTATGAAAAACTAATTCTTAGAATTGTGTTACAATAATTTTTTAAGATTCAATTACTTTCGAACAAAGTGAATAAAATTTTTTAAAAGTTTCCTATTTTAGAATTTTTGAGAAATCATTTATAATTAAAATTCTTCGAAAAATTTGACTATTATTTTCTAGTTTTTTAAAAACTCAATTACTTTTAAAAGTAAAATTTAGTTTGTAGAAAATAGTTAAATTTTTCGAAGAGTTGTAGTTTTAATTTTTAGAAATTATCAAATTTCAGAAGTTGAAATTTCTAAAATTTTATTTCTCCTGTGAAAAAAAGAAATAAGAAGTATTTAAATATTTATTTATCAAAATTATTGTAATAATTTTTCTAATTCAAATTTTGAAATATAAAATTAAAAAGATTTTGAATAATTGAAATTTTCAAAAATTTAATTAAAAATAAATCATTTTTTCAAGTATTTTATTATAATATTTGAAAACGAACTTTTATAGAATTTTAATCAAAAATTTTGGATATAATTGAATTTTTTAAAATTTTCGACTTTTTTTCTAGTTTTAATCGACTAAAGCGACTTTTTTTTGCGACTAAATTCGATCCGAGGCTTGGATTTAGGAAAAATTCACGAAAGTTTGGTATAAGTATTCGAAAGGAAAATATTTATCTCGCTCTCATTTTCGTTTTATGACACGCCGGTCAGTTGTTATCGATCGACAATAATATTTAATTGCAACTTGAGTCTGGATCAATATTCAATTAGAAGCGATAAATCGTATGCTGTCGTTGCAAGCGGGTATTAAGAAACGAGCAAAGCAACTCGCAAAATACAAGTAAAGTAAGGAAGGGGCGATAAAGGAAGCAGGAGTGAAAATTAACCAGCTGGTGCAAAGGACTTTACACGTAAGGCACAACCGACAAGTGTTGAAGTTGAGCCACTCTCTGGGGAGAGGGAGGAAAAAAAAAGAATGACGAATCTCATAAGATTAAGAAAATAACTTCTCTCCTTCGCCAAGATTGATTCTCTCGATTTTCACAATTTGACAAATTTCGCTTTTTTCTTTAAAATTTCTCAGCAAAAAAAATAATTAATTAAAAAAAATTGATTAACTTTCAGGATTTTTGCTTCTTATAGAGGAATTGAATTTTTGATTCACTTTTACTGTTTTATTTATTACTTTTGCTATTTTATTTATTATTTTACCAATTTTCACTATTTTATTTATAATTTTACCAATTTTTAGTATTTCATTTATTATTTTACCTATTTTTACTTCTTTATTTATTATTTTACCTATTTTTATGATTTTATTTATTATTTTACCTAATTTTTACTATTTTGTTTATTATTTTACCTATTTTTACTATTTTATTTATTTTTTAGTTTTTACGGTTTTTACTATTTACATTTATGTTTATTAAAATTTATTTTCTCTGTTTTCAGTCGTGCGTGCAATATTTGCGCGCCAATGAATCGGCAGTCTTGGAAGCAGTGGGCTTGACTCCATCGGGAGAATCGGTGGAACTTTTTGGCGAAAACGTTGGAAATGGAAATACAAGTGTGCCCGTACAATATGGACTTCGTTCCAATTCAAATCCAAGTGTTGCCGCTACTCCACATTCAAACAGTGCTGGAAATCTTCATCACTATTCGGGAACGTCTCATCCAACTAAACGAAGAGCTTCAGATACACCGTAAGCCAACTTTAATTAAATTACACTTAAAGTCGCCTATAACTTAATCTTCAAATTTCAATTTTCCCTTTTTCATTCTTTCTTCTTCTTCTTCTTCTTCTTCTTCTTTTAATTTGAAAAAATTTTTTTTTATCCATTCCGCTTATTTTTAAAACAAGAAATATTTTTTATCTCGAGAATTTTTATTTTCATTTAGAGTTTTTAGTGCCTTTTGAAAAAAAAAGAAATTTTTACCCCATTTCGCTTTATTTAAAATCAAAATATTAATTTTTATATCGAGAATTAATATTTTCATTTTGATTTTTCAGTGCCTTTTGGATCATTAAATTCAATTAATTTCAAAATTTTCAATAAAAATTACCAAAAAAGTCTATTAATTTCAAGAAAATTGAAATAAATTCTTAAAAACAATTAAATTGTTTCCAATACAATTTTAATTATATTTTCTCGAAAGAATAAAATTATTTTCATTAATAATAAATTTCTGCGTAAAAATTTAATTATTTTCAAAAATTTTTGTCAAAATTTCAATTATCTTTATAAAAAATAAACATTCTTCTCCAAAATTCGATTATTTTCAAAAAATAATATTAATAATATTATCATTATTATTATATTTATAATTATTAAAGTAACATTAAAATCTTCTCCCTTTAAATGGGAATAAAGTTAAAAAAAATCGTTTTTTCTTTAATAGAATAAAAAATATAAATGTTTATTTTCGATTAAAAAACGTGGGACATAAAATTTATTAATAACCTCACACAGCAAAGAATATTTAGACAGTTTTTGAATTAAGGGATAGAGAATTTATATAGAGAGGGTAAATTTTCGCGATAGGTTCCGCGGTATTCGGCGGAGCTATAAAATCGCTTCGCTCGTAAATTATGACGGTCGCAGTTAGCGCAAAGTCTTTTGCCGCACGTTGCAATAACTCAACAACGGACACCGTGCACCTGTGCGAACACTTGTACAGAGTATATTTGCCAAGCCACAAAGTGCTCAGCTTAGAAAAATCTTGGCCAACGGCCTATATACCAGAGGAAACTGCCGGGAAATTCCATTTTCCATACAATATCTTTCGAAACAAACAAAACAATTTTTTTAATTTTTCTAGCATTCTGAAACAAAATAAAAATAAAGCCTTCGGTTTTATTTTCTGTACAAAAAAAAACCAAAAATATAAATTAGGGGGAAGAGAAAATTTTTAGTTTTTTCTGCTAAAAATAGCGTTGAGTAAAAAAAAATAGTATTTAGCAGTAAAAAGAGGAATAGCAAAGAGTATAGTACTCTTTGTTATTAAAAAATATTACTATTTTACAAAATATAGAATTTGAGAAGAATATTTTGAAACTAATTTTCTTTGATATTGCGAAAATAGAGGAAAAACACTTTGGATAAATATAATAATAATAATAATAAGAGATTTGTAGAAACTAGTAAAAAATACAATTGTCAAATACAGAATCACGCGAAATACAGTTGGAAGAATGGAACTGACAGATATATTTTCTCTCTGAGGTTTTTGCAAAGAATTTCGTAAAAGATAGGAAAAAAAAAAATTTTCCTCTAGTTTATTATTAATGAAAGTAGATTTTTCTTTCCAAATAAATATGAAAACTCGATAATTGTTTTTGAGCTAAAAAAATGGATAAATAAATTCGTCCAGTGTCTGACATTACTCGTATCTTTACTACTTCAGTGGAACAGTTCTCCGACAACTCCAAGAAGTTTCTACTTTCTATCGAAACCTTCCGCAGAAAATTTCCTCTTTCTCATCTATATAAATAAGTAAAATTTTTTCCAAAAGATTAAAAAAAGAAATTTCAAAGGTATTTAAATATCCAAATGAAAATATTTATTCTTGAGACAAATATCAAATAGAATTTTTTTCAAAAGGTATTTAAATATTAAAATGTAAATGTTAATTCTCGAGATAAAATGTTCTCGAACAATATTTCGAGTTTTAAAATTAAGCCAAATAGATAAAAAATTAGATTTTCAAAAGGTACTGAAAAATCTAAATGAAAATATTAATTCTCGAGATAAAACTTAATTTTTGGAGTTAAAATTAAGCGGATTGTATAAATTTTTTCTTTTTATATTTTTAAATAATTCAGTTTTTTAATAATTATTGTAATTAAAAATTTTGAAAATAATTGATGTTTACAAAAAATTTCTTTTAATTTTTAATTTTTATAAAGATTTTTTGGAAAGTAATTAAAAATCTTAAATTTTAATTGAAAATTTTGAAAATAATTGAAATTTACAAAGAATTTTATCAAAAAATTTTACAATTTTTAAAAATAATTGAATTCTTTTGAAGGATTTTATTAAAATTTTAGGAAATAATTGAATTCCTTCAATAAATTTTATCAAAAAATAAAAAATAAATAACTGAAAACTTTCGTGAAATTTTATTAAAACTGTTTTGAAAATAATTGAATTCCAGCTTGAAAAATATTATTATTTGTGAAAATAATTGAATTCTTGTGAAGAATGCTATTAAAACCTTTGAAAATAATAAAGAAGAATAATATTTAATTAGTTATATTTAATAAATGAATTTTTCTAAAAATAATTTCAATTTTTAAAATTTTCAATTTGTAATTATTTAAAAATTCTTGTTTTTACCTATTTGAGAATATTAAATTTTGTAATTTGAAAAAAATCCATTTATGAAGAGAATAATGAGTACCTACATATAAATATCTATTAATAATGGGGGGGGGGGGACCAATTTAAAAAAGTTTCGGCTTGCATAAAGTAAATCAGAATTGAATTTTTCGTACGAGTGTTAAATTAGATTTGAAATAAACTTTTTTAAGTCTTTGGCATATAGTGTTTTCGATCAGAAATTTTGCAGGAGTCGAGAGAGACGATGTCAATGCAAAGGCGACAAAACGATTCGAAATCAATGGGAAATAAGCTGTTGGAAGTCCTGTTGATGTCTGTTAGTGACGTTTCTGTGTATATATATCACCTCACACACCTTTTCACACATCCTCTTCGTATATAGTAAACTTGCCTCGAGTACCTATCGGCACCGAGCTAATATACCGTGTATTCAACACTATATATGCCTCACATCGTGAATTCAACGTTTTCCAAACTAAACGTAAACCCATCTTTGCACCTGTGCCTACTCTTTATGGTCCATGTTCCCTCTTGTGATTCCGTTAATTTTCCAATTCGGAACCACTCGCTAATATTAACAGCCAATATAATAAATCACTGCGATTCAATTTTCTCCCTGAATTAGAGATTTATCAGGGTTGCCACTGGTTCAGTGAAGTCAGAGAATTCAGGGAAATCAGGCAAAAGTCAGGGATTTTTATTAAAAGTACTAGAAAAAATTTAATTTTCAGAATTTATCAAAAAACTCTGAATTTTTGTGTCTTTTTTTATTCGCCTCATAAACTATGAAATTAATTTTTTAATTTAATTTTTTTTTCAATTATTTTTATAAATAATAAAATTCTTCTATAAAATTCAATTATTTTCAAAAAATTTAATAAAATTCTTGACAAAATTGAAAATTTCAATTATTTTCAAAAAATTTCCTCATTTTAATTACTTTTAATATCTACTATTTCTATAATCTTATCTACTATCTACTATTAATATAATAAAATTTTCCAGAAGAATTATTTAAACACAATTTTAATAAAAATTTCACAGAAATTCAATTACTTACTAATTTTTAAAAATTTTTTTCGCCTCAATTCAATAATTTCTAATTTTTTAATGAAGTTTCTCGAAAGAATACAAATATATTCAGGGAATTGAAAAAAATCGTTCTGAGCAATTTAATTATTTTGAAAAATTTAAATAAATCTCTTTTAAAAATTCTATTATTTAAAAAATTTTTAGAAAAATTCTTTACAAGATTTTGTTAATAAAATTGAAATTTCAATAAAATTTTCCTATACAATTCAATTATTTGCAATACAATTCTTCTGAAGAATTCAATTATTTTCACAAATAATATATTTTTTAATGGAAATTCAATTATTAAAAAAAATTTGAATAAAATTTTTGGCAAGAAATCAATTATTTTTATAAATAATAAAATTTTTCTCGAGAATTCAAATATTTTCAATGCAATTCTTCTTAAGAAATTCAATTATTGTCACAAATAATAAATTTTTTATGGGAATTTAATTATTTTCACAAATAATACATTTTTTAATGGAAATTAAATTATTAAAAAAAATTTGAATAAAATTCTTCACAAGCAATCAATTATTTTCATAAATAATAAAATTTTTCTCGAGAATTAAAATATTTTCAATGCAATTCTTCTTAAGAATTCAATTATTGTCACAAATAATAAATTTTTTATGGGAATTCAATTATTTTAAAAAAATTGAATATAATATTAAATTTTCCTAGAAATTTTATTAAAATTGTAATGAAAATAATTGAATTCCTTTGAAGAATTTTATTATTTATGAAAATAATCGAATTTTTGCGGAGGATTTTATAATTTATAAAAATAATTGAATTGTTTCGAGGAATTTTATCAGAATTGTTGAAAATAATTGAATTTTATTAAAACTTGAAAATAATTGAATTTAAATAATATTTTTAAAATTAATTGTATTCTTTCGAGAAATTTTATTAAAATTGTATTGAAAATAATTGAATTCGTCCGAAACATTTTATTATTAATAAAAATAATTAAATTCCTTTGAAGAATTTTATTATTTATGAAAATAATCGAATTTTTGCGGAGGATTTTATAATTTATAAAAATAATTGAATTGTTTCGAGGAATTTTATCAGAATTGTTGAAAATAATTGAATTTTATTAAAACTTGAAAATAATTGAATTTAAATAATATTTTTAAAATTAATTGTATTCTTTCGAGAAATTTTATTAAAATTGTATTGAAAATAATTGAATTCGTCCGAAACATTTTATTATTAATAAAAATAATTAAATTCCTTTGAAGAATTTTATTATTTATGAAAATAATCTAATTTTTGCGGAGGATTTTACAATTTATAAAAATAATTGAATTGTTTCGAGGAATTTTATCAGAATTGTAGAAAATAATTGAATTTTTTATTAAAACTCTTGAAAATAATTGAATTTAAATAATATTTTTAAAAATAATTGTATTATTTCGAGAAAGATGTATTGAAAATAATTGAATTCGTCCGAAACATTTTATTATTTATAAAAATAATTGAATCCCTTTGAAGAATTTTATTATTTATGAAAATATTTTAATCTTGCGAAATATTTTCTTATTTATAAAAATAATCGAATTCTTGCGAAGGATTTTATAATTTTTAAATATAATTGAATTGCTTCAAAGAATTCTATCTGCATTTTTGAAAATAATTGAATTTTTTGAAGGAATTTTATTAAAAATTTTGATAATAATGATTGTTTTAAAAGAATTTCATCAAAATTGTCGAAAATAATTGCATTTATATTAAAATTCTTGAAAATAATCGATCTTAATAAATATTTTTAAAAAGCTTTAAATTTATCATAAAACATGAAGAAATCGATCACTTCGAGTCGAAGATTCGGAGTGATCGATTTCTTCGTGTTTTATAATAAATGTTCTCATAAGATATTGAATTTCAGAAGGTTTGAATTTAAGAATCTTAATTCCTATAGAAAAATAATAATGATTAAATATTTATTTAAAAAGTCTGGAAAGCAGGGAAAAGTCAGGGAAAAACAAATTTAAATTTTTGTGACAACTCTGTTTAGCGAATTTATACAATAAATTCAAAACAGGAAAGACTCAAAAAAGGAAGGATACAAAAAAAGAAAAATAGAAATAGAATTCAAAAATATACGATAAAATGAAGGAAAAATAATTTTTTTAAATAATTGTAAATTAATTGTTAATTAATTGTAAATCGTAAATTGATTCAAAATTGATTTTAATTTGATTTGAATTTGAATTTCAGTTACTACGAAAACGGCAATCTGGATGACGGTCCAATCTACGGAAAGCGATCGTCGAATCAGTGGAGTAATCACCATCATCATCAGCAGCAATCGGACTCTTCTTATTGTTGGTATCAGCCTTTACATTCGGCGGGTGGATCGATTCAAGGACATCCGCACTCACATGCACATGGTTCGAGTATTTTGCCAAATCTCGTGCAAATAAATCAACTGTCAACATTCGGCGCTTCACATTTGCCGCATCAACAGCAACAATCGTCGATTGGTCACAGTACAAGTGGACAAATGCAAAACGGATCTAGTCTCGACGATGTGTGGAAGAATATTTACGTTATGCTCGGCTGCATATCGAGTATGGTCGACAAGACAAAGCAAGCTCTAACGATTCTTCAGCGAAGAGGTTGCACCAGTCCGGCAACACCTTCGACGACAATTGCTGCCACTGCTCAAAATGGAAGTACCGCCAGCGGGAATTCTTCGTCGACAAATGGCGCTCAAGTTGAGGGCGATCGCGAGGGCAGTATTAAGCGATTGTATGGCGAAAATGTCGCGCAAACTATTCGTGCCACTGAGGATAAAGTTGCTGAAGTTCAGCGAAGAGCTGGTAAATATTATTTTGATTTCGAGTTTTAAAAAAGTTTTTTCAAATTCGTTTTTTTTAATTATACAATATTTTATAATTAAAAAATTTGAAAAGAAAATGAAACCGTAAGTAAATTTAAAATAAAGTGGATGTAAACATTTGGTGTTTTAATGACTAGAGGAGGCTGTTCAGGAAGTGAAGAGAGCAGCAGTTGCGGAAATTCAACGAGCTGTCGCAGTTGCCGTGGCGGAGTCTCGAGTGACTGAAAGACTGAGGATTCATCGTTTCATGGATTCGCCCTTATCCCAAAGACATTCGAGCGCTTTGAGGCAAAGTCCCTTTGTTCGAGTTGCAAATCACGCGGCTGCAATTTCTGCCAGTGCACAAAATTCAAGATGCGCTGCTTCCCTAAACGCCGAGGACGAAAAGGATCCTCATCTCACGAGCATGATGGGATCTGTAAGAACACTATTTATTCTTCTATTTATTTTTTTTGCATATTTCAAAGCTCGAACTAGGTCCATAAATTCCGTAAATTTGCTTCAAGTCTGTAAAAGTCAGTTTTTTTTAAAAAAGGTGGGTAATTTGATTGAAAAAACAGGAAAAGTTCGTAAATTGTACGATATAATTTGGAGAATTTTCAGAAAAATTACAAATTATTGCAGACATTAAATTATTTTCAATAATTGTAATAAAATTCGTTGCAAAAAGTAAATTCATAAATAATAAAAATCTTTGTAAAAAAATTCAATTATTTTTATATGAATAATAAAATTCTTCTCAAAAAATCACTTATTTTTTAAAATTTTGCAAAAATTTAATTATTAGAAAAAATAATAAATTTTTTCGCAGTGATTCAACTATTTTCATAAATAATAAAACTCATTGCAGAATTTCAATTATTTTTAATACAATAATTTTAATCAAATTTCTCGAAAAATGTGAATATTCTTAAAAAATTGTATTAAAATTCCTCAAACGATTTCAATTATTTAAAAATTTTTTGATAAAATTCTTTACCAGAATTGAATTTCAAGAAACATTCAATTATTCTATAAATTATTTATTTTTGTATTTAAATAATTGAATTATCGTAGAAATTTTTAATAAAAATTGATTTAAAATAAATTTTAGTTACAATTTTAGATAATAATTAAATATTAAAAACAATATAGAGTGAATTAGAAATAATTGAATTCTGAAATTAATTTTTTTTGAAAAAGTTTAATTGCTGATTTTTTTATTATTTTAAGTTTTTATTTTCTAATATATATTTAATTGGAGAATTTACGAATAATTGAAATTCTCAAAAACTTTTTTGAAAATTATTAAAAATAATTGATTTTAAAGCAGAATTTTAGTTAAAAACATTGAATTTTTGAGAAGTCACAGGTGATGGCAGAGATTCAATTATTTTCAAAAATTGTAATAAAATTCTTGTCAAAATTCCAATTATCTTTATAAATAATAAAATTCTTCTTTAAAATTCAATTATTTTCCAAAATTTTCCTCAATGCAATTATTTTCAATATCTATTATTTTAATAACAAATTTTCCAAAAGAATTTAAATTAAATTTTCAATTTTTAAAATCTTCGAAAATCTGAATTTTTCATACTGTTAACTAACAATTCTGTATCTATAGGTAGAAATATTTTTTTCTTAAATTTTAATTGAAAATTTTGAAAATAATTGAATTTTTTCAAAAAAATTTATTATAATTTTTTAAAATAGATAATAATTGAACGAGTTCGATAAATTCTATTAAAATTCTATTAGAAATAATTGAATTCCTCAGGCGAATTTTATTTTTTATAAAAATAATTGAATTCTTGCGAAGAATTTTACAATTTTTAAAATATTATTGAATTTTTTCGAAAAATTTAATTAAAATTTTATGAAATAATTGAATTTTTTTTTAAATGTTATAAAAAATTAAAAATGTAATTATTCTTAAAAATTTTACCAAAATTCGTCAATAGAATTCAATTATTTAAAAATTTGTTGATAAAATTCTTTATGAGAACTAAATTTTAGAATTTTAGTTAAAAATTGTAGAAAATTGTAATTGAATTGAAATGATGAAAATAATTTTGAAGAAGTTGCAGTAACAATATTTTTATAATATAAAGTAATGATTTTATCATTCGGTCATCTTTAATTATTATAAAACATGAATTTTTCATTTTTGGTCCGTAAAGTCCGTATCTTTAAATAGTTTCTAATATTTCTACCTAACACAATTTTTTTCAGGGTTGTTGGAATTGTGGACGACAAGCACTAGAGACGTGCGGTGGTTGCGGAGTCGCAAGATACTGCGGACCATTTTGCCAACACCGAGACTGGGAGGCTGGAGGCCATCATGCAAATTGTCACGGTCTCTCTCAAGATCTACGACGATCATCATCGCAAAGTCCACCACGTGTCGATCCCTGCAGTGCAAATGAAACCGATAGTAAAAATCCCGTCACCACAATTCCCATTAGTTCAAAATCAAAGTGATACGACATGAAAAATTACAAAAAAGAAAAGAATCCATTTTCAGTCTCTCAGATAAATTACAAACTCAATCCTCATTATAAATTGAGAAACAAAAACAAAAAATGTAATTAGCTATTCAGAATTATTCGTTTATAATTACAACTCTTACGTTTACGATATTAATATTTAAGAAGTTATTTAATATTAAACTCAAATATCCTAGTCAATTCATAGATTTATAAAATCATCCATTATGGACATGTCGTCGACTATATTCGAAAAAAAACCAAAAAAAAGTTAATGAAATTCTAGTCACTGGAAAATAAAGAATTGTCGCAATATGTACCGAATATTAAAATATTTGTTTCATTATTATTATAATTATAATATATATATTATAAAACTTACAATTTTAAAGAGAAAATTATAAATCTTTTTACAGAAAAAATATTCATAAACTGATGTACGTTATTTAGGAATCTTTGCTCAACTCTATACTTACAATTTAGATTACTGACTATAATGTAATTTTCCCAAATAAGAAAATGTTTTTCTCAATTTTTTTCTTAAAAGCATTAATAATAAGAAGCATTCTTAATAAGAAGTTACAAAATATGTCTTTTCAAAAATACACTCTATGTAAATGCAATACGTCTTTCTAGAATTAAATGAGAAATTTGTATAAAAAGAAATAAACCGGGTGCATGAAATTTTCCCGAAATCAACTTTGAATATAAACAATTTCCTTAAATATCTAATAGACAGCAGGTTTAGTTGATCGAAAAATTAAAAAAAAAGATAAAATGTATTTGACAGAAATGTAAAAAGTCAGAATTTTTATCTATTAACGAATGTTATTTTCTGTAAATAGTTTCTTTATTTACTATTAAGTAGGTAAGTAGTAATAATTATAATTTAATGTGAAAGACAATTATTATTTTTTTTAATTAAATATTAATAATTAATAATTATATGTATATAATAATCGTCGTGATTCCAGATTTCCGGATCTCTGTCCACACTTGAAGTTAGTTATAGTTATTCTTTTGTTTTTTATACGTTTTGATAGAAAATAGAAATATACATATACATATACATACATTATAATAATCGTAAGTTTCCTTTCCGTTAGCAAATTATCTGCATTCATTTGTTTGTTTTGAAAATTTAATTTTGTGGGTTAAGTATTGGCATTTTTTATATATTTTTTAATGTCAAACTTTTTAATGTGGAAAATACTTTACTTATTAAATTCTCTCGACTCTTTGGTAAAAAATCTAAAATTATCGAAAATTATCAAAAATTCAAAAATCCGATTTTCTTAAAATTCAACATTTTTCCTCTCTTTTATGGGAATTAGCTTTATTATTTTTGTGCTTTTAGAAAATACTTTACTTATTAAATTGTCTCGACTCTTTGGTAAAACATCTAAAATTATCAAAAATTCGAAAAAATTCAAAAATCCGAATTTCTTAAAATTCAACATTATTTCCTCTCTTTTATAGGATTTAGCTTTATTATTTTTGTGCTTTTAGAAAATACTTTACTTATTAAATTGTCTCGACTCTTTGGTAAAACATCTAAAATTATCAAAAATTCGAAAAAATTCAAAAATCCGATTTTCTTAAAATAATATTCCTTCCAAAAATTCAATTATTTTTAATACAATTTTAATTAATATAAATTCAATTATTTTCAACAATTTTGATGAAATTCTTTTAAAAAAATCATTATTTTCAACAATTTTTAATAAAATTCCTTCAAAAAATGGAATTATTTTTAAAAAATCAAATAAAATTCTTCGAAACAATTCAATTATTTTTATGAATTGTAAAATTCTCTGCAAGAATTTAATTATTTTCGTAAATAATAAAATGTTTCAGAGGAATTTAATTATTTCAATACAATTCAATTATTTTTAATACGATTTCAATAAAATTTCTCGAAAAAATACAATTATTTTTAAAAATATTAATTATATTCATTTATTTTCAAGATTTTTAATAAAAATTCAATTATTTTCAAAAATCCTGATAAAAAATTCTTAGCAAGAATTCAATTATTTTTATAAATTATAAAATTCTTGACAATAATTCAATTATTTTTATAAATTATAAAATTCTTGACAAAAATTCAATTATTTTTATAAATTATAAAATTCTTGACAATAATACAATTATTTTTATAAATTATTAAATTCTTGACAAAAATTCAATTATTTTCATAAATAAGAAAATTCTTTTCAAGATTAAAATATTTTCATAAATAATAAAATTCTTCAAAAAAAAAAAAAATGGAATTATTTACAAAAAATTTAATAAAATTGTTTAACAGAATTTAATTTTCTATGAATAATTTAAATATAATTTTAATAGGAAAATTAATAATTGTTATTAGTAATAAACACGATTATTTAAAAAATTTAAAAGAAAATCTTGATAAAATTCAAATACTTTAAAAATTTCCAGTAAAAATTATTCAAAACTGCGAACAGATTACCGCAATACAACGATTATTAGTATAGAAGAAGATAATTTTATTCTATAAAATGGATAAGATATATTTTAAATTAATCAATTAATAATTAATTATTGTAAATTTTCATTCGTTCTCAATGAGAGTTCAGAAAAGGTATAAATATATTTGTTACAAGATTAAACATTGATTTAAATCTATTTATTAACACATTTACAAAAAACATGTATGGAGACTTAATTAAATAACATCAATAGTTAAGTAACATATATTTAAACAAAAATCAGGAATTCGTATTTCTTTTTCAAACACATTTTATGAAAATCTTATTCTATCATATATTTTTTAAATACTTTTATTACAATTCTTGATTTAAATAAACTCTATAAATATATCTTAAAAATAATTAAATGCTTTTGGTATTGAATCTAGCTGACTGACTTTTCTTTTCTTTCTTTTTACAAAATTTAATATTCGTTATTTATCGATAAATCGAAATGATGTCAAAACATTTTCTTTTTCAAATCTTTTGTTTATGTGTGACGAGCTTTCAAGAAAAATACAAGCACTAGTTTTAAATTTAAATAATTAAAAGGGAACTTTTAATCAAGATTTGCTTCTTTGATTTTTTGAGAGCGTGTCACGAATATATAATTTTATAAATTTATATATCAATAAATGCAAACAAATAAATTTATCAAAAATTAAAAATTCGAAATATCTAAATTATGTATCGTGTGTATCTAGCATTAGAATCTGTTCGTTATCAGTACTTTTCAATTCTGTCTCATAATCACCGTCGTCTTCGATGGAAATTTGTGAGCTGAACGATTTATATTGAAATGCAGAATTTGACAAATCAACTTCAACAGGAAATAGTGAGGCGGATGAAAGTAAATTTTTCGTATTCGCGTAATATTCCGCCAGGCCTGAGGCAAATCTTTGCAATTGCCAAACAACGTCCTGCACATGTTTATTGTCCAAAAGTTCTAATTTAACAAGAACATCGGAACGAAGTTTGGCAAATTTTGTCCTCGCCTCCTGACGACAGCGAAGTATTAGACGATATTCATAATTACCAGTTTCAACACGATAAAATGGTTCTTGAACGGCCGCATAACTTTGCTCCTCATCGTCGAGTTCTTTAACTTTCAAACAATAAGAGAGATATTCAAATTTAGTGTCAGCGTACCTGTTGATTGTTAAACGAGTGTCGGGAATTGCCTTGTGAAGATATGTTCCCAAATCGCTTAAAATTGGTTTCAAAGTTTTTAACATGGTCACGCCAAATTTCTCCATTTGCCTGTGCTGATCTCCAAATTGGCGAAAAGCCTCGCTTGCTCGTGGCTGTGGTTCACGTACGCCGATCGCTGCGAATGCATCGCCGAAAACTGAAAGAGCGGTCATTTTTTACTTGAGGAACAACAAAAATATTTTTGAGAATTAAAATAGTAAAGTAAAATATACCTTTGTATATTTGGGTCAAGTCGAAGAAAGCGTGCAAAGTGGATTTTGCGTGGGAAAGTAATCCTCTGTATAAATTTTCCGTTCTTTGTAAAGCTGTCAATCTTTGAACGAGTGCATCGTTGCAAAGAATCGCTCGTGACAATCCTAAGGCATCTGCTGTGGCACTTCCCATACCTTCCACCAATCTATGTTTCACCTGACAAAATATTCAATTATTTTCAAAAATTAAAAAAAAATTATGGTTAAAAATTTTAATTATCTTTATAAATAGCAAAATTATTCTGCGAAATTCAATTATATTCAGGAATGTTTATAAAATTCATTGTAAAATTCAATTATCTTCATAAAGAATAGTAGATATTCGTCACAAGAATTAAATTATTTTCAAAAGTAATAAAATTCTTCGGAGAAATTCAATTATTTTCAAAAAATTTAACGAATACTTTGTCAAAAATTCAATTATTTTTATAAATAGCAAAATTTCTCGACAAAAATTCAATTATTTTCAAAAAATTGAACTAAAATTCAAAATTTCAATTATTTTTAAAGGTTTTTCCCAACTTAATAATCTTCCATTTTTTTAAATTATCGTCAGGATTTCAAATTATCTTCATAAATAGCAAAATTCTCCGCTGAAATTCAATTATTTCCAAAAATTTTAATGAAATTGTTGTCATAATTTCAATTATATTCACAAAAATTCTCTCTATTTAATGATTTTTAATGTCTAATATTTTAAAAAAAAATTCCTAAAAGAAATTATCGTCAATATTTCAATTATCTTTATAAATAGCAAAATTTTTGGCCAAAAATTCAATTATTTTGAAAAATTTCAATAAAATTAAAAATTTCAATTATTTTCAGAGAATTTTCGCAATTTAATAATTTTCAATTTTTTTTTAATTATCGTAAAGATTTCAAATTATCTTCATAAATAGAAAAATTCTTCGACAAAATTGAATTCTTTTCAAAAATTTCAATAAAATTCTTGTCAATTTCAATTATTTTCAAAAAATCTTCTGAATTCAATGATTTTCAATATCAAATATTTTTACTAAAATTTCCTGAGAGAATTCAATTATTTTAAACAAATTTTAATAAAATTCTATGATAACATTCAGTCATTTTCATAAGTAGTAAAATAATTCCACAAAAAATCAATCATTGAGAAAGAGAATGGGCATTTTCGGATCAAAATTAATTAATTAAATATTTTTTACGGGAATTTCAATTATTTTCATAAATAAATATAATAATACTCATCGCAGAATTTCAAATATTTTTTTTTAATACAATTTTAAATAAATTCCTCGAAAAATGCAAATATTCTTAAAAATTTTATTAAACCTTGACGAAAAAATTCAATTTTAAGAAATATTGAATTATTAATTGAAATAATAAAATTCGCAGAAAATCAATTATTTTCAAAAATTTTTAAATAATTCTTTTAAAAAAAATTCAATTATCAAAAAAATTAATTCCACAGAATTGTTAGTTAAAAAAATAAAGAAATCAGATTTTCAAAAATTTCAAAAACTCAAACCTTTTCAAAATTTAATTATTTCTAAAAATTCACGCTCTAATGATTTTTAATTTTCAATTGTAATTTAAAATTTGAACTGAAATGCATTTTTAAATGAATTTTTATTAGAAAATTCTATTAGAATCCAATTATTTAAATACAAAAAAACCATTTATTGAATAATTGCATGTTTCTTAAAATTAAATTAATTTGACGAATTTTAATAAAATTTTTAAGAATAATTACATTTTTCGAGAATTTTTATTAAAATTGTAATAAAAATAATTAATATTTTGCAATGAGTTTTATTATTTATGAAAATAATTGAATGATTGCGAAGAAATTTATAAAAAAAATTTGTAAATAATTGAATTCCCATAAAAAAATGTATTATTTGTGAAAATAATAGAATTCTTAAGAAGAATTGTATCGAAAATAATTGAATTGTATAGGAAAATTTTATTAAAATTTCAATTTTATTAACTAAATTTTGAAATAATTGAATTCCTGGGAAATTTGTAATTCTATCGTACAATTTTCGAATTTTTTATTCTTTTTCAATCAAATTACGGACTTTACGGACCTTTTTTTAAAAAAACGGACTTTTATGGACTTTAAGCAAAATTACGGACTTTTTTTTAGTAATTTTATCATTTTGGTCAAAATTACCTTTTTGAGGGCAATATCCAACGTGTGTCCCTGTTTCGGATCCGCGTGTAATTTATTATAATTAATACTGACTTGCTTCTCACAAGCCTGAATCATTTTGGCAACTTCAACTTTTGTCTTTCCTTTCAATGAAGCTCCATTAACAGCGACAAGTTCATCTCCAGCTTGTAATGTACCATCCAATGCAGCTGGTGTATTGTCAAAAATTTGTACTATATACAGACACGGACAATATGGAGCACCTCCTCCAATACTTATGCCAATTAAATTACTATTGTCCTTTTGAATAACAATATTTCCAGACGTGATTGTCATTCCCCTATTTTAAAATTAAATAATATAAATAATAGTTAAATTCAATATTTTTTTGAAGCCATCAAATTATATAAATAAAAAGAAGATGAACAAGAAAAAGAAAAAAAAAGAAGAAGAGAAGGAGAAAATTAGACATTATTTTATAAAATACAGTAAATCCTCAATTGCCAAAAAAAAAGAGAAGGCGAAAATTAATTCCACTTATGCAACAAAAATGAACACTTACAATTGATAATAAGGCAACAATGCGGGCCTATTAAACTGATCGATACTAGTTTCGGGTCTAATTAACAATTCCATGCAGCGAAAAATTAAGACAAGAAAAACAGTCAATGAAAGAAATGATCGCATTAGTTTAAAAAAAAAATAAATAAAAATATAACAAAGCATACATGAGATCCTCGGTTTCAGTTAATTGATTGAAATCGTCATTAGCCGAAGGCACGGTGGTCACAGTATTTGGACATTGTAGAACGGATTCAGATTCATTTGTATTTTTATCACATGCAGACTCCACTGAGATATTCAATAAACTGTTCCACCGCACCGCGACAAGCATGCATTGTATACAAAAAGATTAAACATATTGAAAGTGAAAAAGTCGAAAACTATAATTTAAAAAAACCAAAAAACATTACATTTTATCCTCTTCAAAGAAAAAGTCATCTTCGAAATCCATTTTGAATTATTAGAATTATATAAACTTTTCTGAAAAGAAAGTGACTAATAATTACTGAAAATAACCATTTTATTATTTTTATTATTATTATGTACAATTTACTATTATTATTATTTGATATTTATTATTATTATTTACTATTTATTATTATTATCATCGTTATCATCATTAAAAGTATTGCTAGTACTACGAGTGTAAATGCAATATTGAAATAGTGACATAATTCCGGAATTGATGTCTAAATCGAATTTAAATAATACTATTATAATACAGATAAATAATTTACTTACACTTAAGTAATTAATATTTAAGATAATTAAGTATTTGGAGACTGACTAGACTACTTGACGACTTGACATATTTACTTTTTAGGTTATGTTTATTATTGCCCATCGGCCATAAACTATAGTAATAATATAGATTGAAAAATTAAATCTTGACTACTGATTCTGATTGGCGCATAATTATTCAAGAACCAATTAGAAATTGTTATTTTTAAATATTCATATCCGAAATGCCCATCCCTTTTGTTTTTTTCTTAATCCACGTGATTACGTAGAACAAAAACATTGATTTACGTAAAAGTAGAATAGAAATGTCAAAATTTGTTTACGTTGACACTTTTTTTAATGATAGATTATCAATGTTATTTACATAATTGTCAATGACATGTTTTGGTTTTTATCAGTTTTATTTATTGTTTTTTCTAATTTTATTATTATCACGATAAGCTCGTCTGGCGATAGATCACAATATTATGTTGTCTGTGTTAGTAATTGTAATTCAAAGAGCTGTCAAATTGGCAAGTATATCCAATTATATTAATTATAATTATATTTAATTTATTTAATTATTTAATTCCTTATTTATTTATTTCATTTAATTACGAATTCTCTATTTAATTTAATCTCTCTATTTATTATTTAATTCGAAATTGTTAAATAGAGTAGAAATTGTCATAATGAAATTAACTAATTATGGTCAATAATATTTTATGTCTTATTAAAAAATTTGTAATAATTGTTTGTAAAGAAAATTTGAAAGAATTATTTGTTAATTAAATAATTTGGTGAATATTTTTAGATGGTGAATATAGAAGATATCCCTCACTGGAATTACGTTTGTTAAATTGGTCATGTAGAGATAATTGCAGTTATGATTGCATGTGGAAGACTGTTACTTATTTTAACAAATATGGATTCGAAGTACCTCAGTTTCATGGAAAGGTGAAATTAACATAATAAGCAAAAAAATTTTACACTATTTCGCTAGTTATACTTAATTGATGAATTAAATTTTCAGTGGCCATTTATTAGAATCCTGGGCGTTCAAGAGCCAGCGTCGACATTATTTTCAGTATTTAATTTATATGAACACGTGACGGAGTACTTAAAATTTAAGAAAGAATTAGAATTTTCTGATCCGATGGTCTATGTCTGGACATACTTTTTTCTGGTAAGATTTCACTATTTTAAATTTGTTAACAGTTGAAATAAAAAAATTATTTTCACAAATTTTAATAAAGTTATTGGAAAAGAATTCAAAAAATTTTAATAAAATTCTTTAAAAACGATTCAATTATTTAAAACAGAATTTTTCTTAACATTTTTTGACAAAAAATAAATTATTTAGATAGATTTTTATAAAATTCTTAGCAAAAATTCAATTATTTTTATAAATAATAATATTCTTCAACCGGAATTATTCTATTTTTGAATGTAATTAAGAAATTATAAAAAAATCGAGTCTTCAAGTTTAATTTTTCGATAGGTACTTTTTTACTACTTTTTTTCTGTCTCCAAGCTACTTTTTTTAAAATTAAATCGAGTACGAAGCCTGTAATTCGCAATTCGAAATTAATTATTTTTTATTATAGATTTGTACCAACAGTTGGCTTTGGTCAACAATTTTCCATGCCAAAGATGAATATTTCACGGAAGTGATGGATTACTCTTGTGCTTTCACTACTGTTTTGACTCTATTTTACTGTTTTTTATTAAGGTATTCAATTTAATATTATAGTTTATAAATTTACTCTACTTAGATTTAATTTATAAATTTGTTTAAATCTATTTAAATTTAATTTGAATTTATAAATTTACATTTAAATTTGAAAATTTAATTTAAATTTGAAAATTAAAATTAAATTTAATATTCCCAAAGTAAATAAATTTGATTTACAGAATAAGCTATCAAGATTCATGGAATATGAAAATATTTTTTGCCACAACTTGCGCATATGCTGGAATACTTTCAATGCATTTATCCCATTTATGGTCTGGCAGCATTGACTATGGTTATAATATGAAATTCAATGTAGCAATTGGTAAGAGAATAAATTGAATTTTTTAAAATATTTATTTTAAAAACTTCTTTACTTTATATTCCGTTAAAATTGATATTTGAATTTTAAACTATTTTTCAGGTTTTATTACATTCGTTGTAACAATGATATGGTGGTATCGTAATCGTCAAAAAATGTCGCATGTCTATTTAATCGGTTGGTTTACTATTTTGACTGTTACTGCTACTTTATTAGAAGTATTAGATTTTCCACCGATTTTTTGGACATTTGATGCTCACTCTTTATGGCATGCAGCGACAGCTCCGCTCGTCAGTCTTTTTTACAGGTAAATATTTTATTGTCTCGTAAAAAAAAGGAAAAAGCAATCTTCTCTTTTTTTTTTTTTTGAATAACAATATATTTACTTTTTCAGATTCATAAGGTTAGACTGTTTTTACTTGAAGAATCGATACGTCAAATTGGATTTAAATCACTTGTTATGAAACTTAAATCCTTTCCTTCTCATTAGTGTAATGAGAATTCTTTTTTTATTTTGTTTCAAAAACAAAGAAAACTTATATGTAAATAATTAGATTTCTTTCACTATTCAAGTGAAGTAAAGAAATAATATATATTAATCATTCATATTGAAAAGAATTAAGTTAGATAATTTTCGAAAGAAAGTGTAACAAATGTTTTTTTTTTATTATAAAAGTTTATTTTGTATACATTGATTTTCTTTCACACGACTTCATAAGCATATAAATAAATTACAAATATTAGGTAGAAACTTGTAAAATATACTCAGTATAAATATTGTTTCTCCGTTTTTTGTTATTTCGTATTAACATTGTATATTTTATTTAAATATTTGTAATGATCAGTGCTTTTTAGTAAATTTATTGAGTTTTTTTTAAATATAATTTATATTTTCTTTCTTTTGTGAAATTGTAGAAATAAATATTTTTTCAACTCTTGACAGACATTTTTTTTTCTTTTCTTCATCAAAATACTTTTGGGCAGTGATTATAGCTATTATTAAATTTTTATACCTGTGTCTTATTATATTTTATACCTTTCTTTTTTATTATATTTTAGTGTTAATTCTTGTTAATTATTTTATAAAAAATTCCAATCGGAAGACTGTAAACTTAAAATGACAATTTTCAAGGAATGTTCTTGATTTAGAAGTATATAAATTTCTAAAACTACAATACAATAACACTGCGTAAAATTGATTTCTGAAAAAATAAACAATTCTCTTTTCTTTTTCGCAACTTCACGTTTTTTTTTAAGTACTAGTCTGTACAATGTAATTTCTTTTTTAGAATATATATTTAACTTTCAAATATTGTCTCAGAAGTTTAGACTTCAAAATTATTTTTTAAAAAAATCATTGCATTTGTTAAAAAAAATCATAATTGCGATATTTAATTAATCCTCTTCATGTTCCTAGTTTCAAGAGAATTTTATTCACCGAAATTCTACTTTTCCCTAAACCTAATCACCGAATAGAAAAATCAATTTTATTTTACAAAACTTTCCTAACAATAATAATTAGAAAAAATAAATATCAGAATTAAAATTGATAAAATAGATTTTAAACATTTTAAAGATTTAAAAGATTTAAAAGATAAAAAAAAGACGATTACAAAACTAGAAAATTAAAAAACGAAGTAGAATTAAGGTGATACTCTGTTGAAATTAATCATTTAATTCAATATACGAATTACGATAAATAAACTTATCAATTTCTATTACCTAATTAAAATTTTCTTAAAAATTCAACCATTTTCGAGTAAAATAAAATAATTCTAATTTAGATAAAAAAAGTATAATGGACTATAAAAACAATAGGGAATTGTTAAGCCGGAAGTACGCCGCCGTAATATAAATTTGCCTAATTTACCTTTACATTTCACTACGATTTAGTATTTTACTAATTTCCGTTTACTGTTATGGTTGTCACGTAACTATGTTAAAAATGTTTTAATTAATTAATTAAATGTGATAGAAAACAGTTGTATTTATAATACAACAGTTTAATTGGATCTTAAATTAAAAATTCATCTCGCAGTCATTAAAATGTAGCACCAAGATTCCGTTGGTTTGTGCACTGAGATCATTAGAAAATAAACTGCGTATTTGTAAAAAAAAATGTAATCTCTCTCTTTCTCTCTACTTTTCCGTTTTGTTTGTAAAAAATGCTTTTCTTTAGAAGAAAGATCATGGCACGTATTTTGTTCTCTAAAGGAGAACAATTGGAATATTGAAAGTTGGAATTAGTGAAATGTAAAGAAGTTCGAATTGCGCATTTTCGCAAAACACAACTTCCGATTGACACGGTAACCGTAATTAAAAAAAAAAATTAAGACATACGTGCTTCCGTATGCGGAGAATTTTTTTATAAGCAACGAAGCTCTAATAGAAATTTGACAGAAACCAAAGTTTCATGTCATGGAAGCATGAAATGCTATCACATCTTCTAAATATATTTTTAGCTGCTCTGTACTTGAATTCTTAAACAGGCAGTCGTATTAATAAATACGAATTCATTAATACGTATTCATTAATATTAATATAACTGTCTGTTTTCTTATAGTCACTGGATATAAGTACAATTTTACCTTATCTCTTCAATAAATTGTAAACATCATTTTGTAAATTTTGCTCACAATATCAGTTTTTGAATAGCGCCTCATGTTCTGGATTATCATCTCTGTGCTTCTCGAGATTACCCGATAGTGTCGGATCTGGTCTTCGTCTCTTGAAGAAACCGAGTTTCCAAAGAATCAATGTTAAGAGAATTAATAATAATAGGCCGGCTAGAATTGCGCCGACTATTATCCAAATTGGCACTGGTTCGGGTTCTTGTTGATCTGATATATCCGGATACGCGACAGTCTCAGCCTGTAAATTTTAGAAAAAGATTTTTTTTTAGAAAGAAAAGATTTTTTTTAGAAAAATCTTTTTTGCAAAGATTTTTGGATTTTTAGTTGTTGATTTTTCTTACAATTGTAAAATCATCGGACACATTCTCTTGTTGTATTATAACGCCAGCGGGAATAATTATTTTCGCGTAGGATGCAATTCGCACCTCGTCCACTTTTCGATAATCTTCAGCAAGCGTTGAATTCCAAAGTCTACAATGAAGATATTAAATTAGAACAATTGGAATTTATTCTCGAATTATATAATTATTTACTATCTTTATTATAGAAAAAAATTATAAAATTTTATAAATTATAATTTTTTTTTCAAGTTAATACGATACCTTGCTTTGATTGTAACAATTGCTTCCTTTTTTCTTTGCAAATTCTCAATTCTGCATATAATGTCTATACATTTTGCCGTCTGTCCTTTGCAACTCTGAAAAAAATTTATAATTTCAAAGAATTATTTGAAAAAGTACAAAAAGAGAGATTTTGACGCAGACTGAATACACACCATGTGAACAATTTGATGCCTACGTCCATCTTTAATGTAAGTTCGCGTATTTACCACCTTCTCAGTGTCTCGTCTTCTTCTAATGTAATTCGTATTGTTGTAGACAAGAGGATAGGAAGTCGTTACAAGTGGTTCGATTTCACTGACACTGCCTTGCAATTTCAATGGATTTACATATCCAGGAGCTACTTCACAATTTCGACTTGTTCCTTGAGCTGCAATTATTAGAAAAATAAATTATTTATTCAGTTATTTGCAATATTGCACTTAGTCATTACTAGTGAGACTGGAAAATATTCTCAGACTTCGCACTTGACAATTAATTTTAAAAAAATAGCAAAAAGTAGCTTTCAAACAAAAAAATAGCTTCACATCACAAAACTGACGAAAATTCCATTTTGTTTTTTATTTTCCTGACTTTTTCCTAATTTTCTTCAAAAATAATAAATAATATTTATTTACTTCTTTCTTATCCTGCTAATAAATTAAATTCCTGCAACGAATTTCACATTATTCATGAAAGAATTTAAATATTTATCAAAATAATTTCATTATTGCGAAGAATTTAAAAAAATTTTTTAATTTTTGAAAATAATTGAATAGTTTTAAAAGTGCATTCTTACCTTGCACAGAAGGAATATCTTCCAAATAAAGTAACCATTTTCCATGCGGTTTATCATTAGCGACTTCATAAGGCCATCTGATTTTAACATCTAGAGCACTAACTCTCCATGGTCCTTCATTAAAAACTTCGTAAATATGAAAAACTTTTGGTCCAATTTCATGTAGATTTTTTATTGCCGACTCGCCAATAACGGGACCTCCATAGTAGGCCCACTGACTTTTCGAAGTGCTATCAAAAAAAGAAAATTAGAGTCTCTCAGAGAATTAAAGAAAAAAAGAGTAAAAAATAAATATTTATACCCTTTTATGGATAATTCCGCCCGGCGAATAATAGCCGCTTGTAGGTACGTGGGTGACTTTTCACTAACTTCCTTAGACGTTGAATTAGCAAAAACCTTAAAAGTCAACTGCGATTCATGATCTTCTAATTTTGTTGGATCAAATCTCACTTGTAGGAAGACAATTTTATCCTTTTTGAAAGGATTTCCCAAGGAGCAAGCAACAATCGTTGTATTATGCACATTACAAATTACCGAATCATTTGTCTTTGTACCGATGTAATTTAAATTTGAAGAATGCTCAACGAATAATTGTGCCTCGTATGCTGATTCGCCAATATTTTTTATAGTCACATTCACGGCAATGTCTGCATTCTCTCTTAATGTTAATTCGTAAAAATTCTGTTCACTCAAAGATTCTGTAAAGAAATTTACATATTTGGTTATTTATTTTTTGGTTTTTTTTCGGTGAAAAAAAAGAAAGAAATTGTTTAGAAACCTTTAAGATCGAGTGCGGCTTTTATGCGCAAATCACTTTCGCAAATATCGTTCTCGCCGCAATCTTTCTGGAAAGTTGCTTCAAATACTTTAGCAGCTTCTTGTTGATTTAAAATTGGAAAATTCTTGATGTCAGGTAGAGGTGAACCTTCTCTTGGCATTGCGGGTTCTTCTTGTATTAATGTGTAATTCAGACGGAATTTTATTGGCGATTGAATGTCTCTTGTATTTTCCTAAAACAAAAATGCATTTCACTTTTTATTTTTATTCTAACGGGTTCTCCCATCACCTCTTATTATTTTTATTAAAAAATAGAAATAGAGGATAGATAGAAGTAATACCTTTAAATAGACTGTTTCCGATTGACAGTGGACACGTTTACTGGAATCTAGGATAATTTGTCGATGAATGATGTGTGAGCGCGAGTCACGTTCTCGGAACCAAACACGTGAAAATTTCTTCACTCCCGAATAAGTTTCCGCTTCAATGAAATAATTCAGTTTTAGATACGGTTTTCCTTCTCTCTTCACAACTGATCGTGTCTCGCAACAAGCTTCAAAGGAGAAACTGAAAAGACAAAAAAATTCAATGCTAAATCGATTCTGGAAAACATAGACAAATAGAAAGAAAAATAGATAAATAGGAAGAAAATAGATAAATAGGAAGAAAAATAGACAAATAGAAAGAAAAATAGACAAATAGAAAGATTTTTAAAAAAGTGGGAGACAACGCACCAAGTATAGTTCGATAGCGGATCGGCGAAGCAACCCGGTTTACTCGGATCTATGGATTCTATTTTCTCTTGATACAATCCGTCTTTCTTGTAATATTGAATGTAGGTGGTAATATTGATAATGTTCCTCGATCGCAGTAAAGCGACAGCTGCATCGTCATAAGCGCCTACTAGTAAATCTGGATAACCATTTTGATCCATATCGATTCCTCCACTAAGTGAATATCCAAATGTTCGCAATGGTACAGGCGTATCCTCCGAATGAATAACCTTCGCAAAAATATTAGGTTTTACTCGACAAATAAATTAAAATTAATCGAAATTGATCATAAACTACATAATAATATTATAAAGAAAAGTAATTAAAAATTTTACAAGTAAAAAAAATAGTTTAAATTTATACCTGTGATGGAACAGTAATCAAACCGTTCCTAGAACCAAGGTAAATATAAACAGTTCCTTTTCCTTCATAAGGCGCACCGATAGCGATATCCTCATATCCGTCTTGATTCAAATCCCCTAAATTGGCTATTGCAAAACCAAATCTAAAAAAAATTATACTCAATTTAATTCTTGTTTCAAAAAAGTCAAATATTTATAAAGAATATTCAATAAAGAAAAGAAAAGACAAAGAATAGTCAATAATGTTAATGATAAAAGATAAAAAAAAGTACCTTGATTCCTCTTTACCGACTAATTTCGTAGGTGCGCATTTTTTGCAAACTTTCATATTTTTCTCCAAGGATGTGTAAACATACACCGCACCGCCTTCACCTTTATTAAAATAAAATGGAGCCGCGACAAAGAGATCTGAAATTCTGTAATAAAAATATGATTAAAAATGGAAAATATTCAAATACACATTCTGATGAAAGAAGTGAGTAAAAACTTACTTGTCACCGTTTACATCAGCCGAAGCGATTTCATAACCAAAACTCGAACCCAATTGTTCACCGTCCAAAGTCGTGATAACTTGTAAATCAGCTTTGCCTTCATTTCTCACAAAAAGAACAACTTGTCCCGTTTCATTCGAACGCGGTGCTCCAGCCGCGTACGCCAATCCGTTCTTGAAAAAATTCCCAACAGCGACGGACATCCCTTTAATTGATAAATTCAATAATTATATTATAAATTATAATTATATATAAAAATAAATGGTAATTAATTATTAATAATTATCTGAATTATTATCATTTTAATAATTCAATAATACTTCAATTAGAATTGTTTTAGAATTACAATTAATAAGACTGTCAATATTATTATTATAAGACTGTTAATATTATTATAATCACTATTAATAGTTATTTAAATTATTATTATTATTATTATTATTATTATAATAATTAAATTAGAATTATTTTAGAATTACAATTTCAATTCTAATTGTTTTCATTTTCTAGATTTAATTTGGAATAATACCCACCGAGATAACTGTATTTTTTGACAGGCGAAGCATCCTGCATGGGAGCATTGTAAATCGTATTATCCCTCTCGAAAAAATTCTCCTCAACAGTTGAAAGATAAACGGTTCCTTGCCATGTATAAGGACCCGGTGTGCCAATCATAACATATTCCTCTGAAGTTAATAATCCACTTGTACCGGCCAAACAATATCCGAATTGTTCATGTGCTCTGTGAACATAATTTGAAAAAATTCATATAATTAAATTAAAATTAAAAATAGAAATTGCAATTAAAAAGAAATACAACTTTAATTGTATTATCTTACAAATTTATTCATTTATTTATTTAAATGTATAAACGAGATTTGTATAATTTAAATTATAAACTAATTTTTATTAGAAAATTCGACAAGAATTAAATTATTTAAATACAAAAATAAATAATTTATTGATTAATATTGAATGTTTCTTGAAATTAAATTCTCATACAGAATGTTATCAACAAATTTTTAAATAATTAAATTCTTTGGACTAATTTTAATAAATTTTTTTTAAATAATTACATTTTTCGAGGAATTTGATTAAAATTGTATTAAAAATAATTGAAATTCGACGTTGAGTTTTATTATTTATGATAATAATTGAATTATTGGGCGAAGACATTTATAAAAGAGTTTGAAACAATTGATTTTTTTTTAGAAAAAATTTATGCACATTCTATTTTTAATAATTGAATTCTTGTGAAATTTTCATCATTTTAGAAAATAATTGAATATTCGTGTAGAATTTTATCAAAATTTTTGTTTATCTAATAATTGAATTCTTTTTGGAAGTTTTATTTAAATAGTAGAATATTGAAAATTATTGATTGAAGAAAAATTTTCTGAAAATAATTGAATTTTATTACTTTTGAAAATAATTGAATTTTTGCAATGAATTTTTTTGAAATTCCTGAAAATAATTGAATTTTGTGGAAGAATTTTGCTATTCATTTATAAAGATAATTGAAATGTTGACAATTTTTTTTTATTTTTTCAAAATACTTGAATTTCTGCGAAGAATTTTATTAATTTTTAAAATAATTGATTTCTTTTGGAAAATTTGATTAATATAGCAAATATTAAATATCATTGAAAATTTTGGAAAATAATTGAAATTTTGTCAGAGAATTTGATTAAAATTTGTGAAAATAATTGAATTTTGAAGAAGAGTTTTATTATTTCTAAAAATAATTGAAAATTTGACGAGAATTTTTTTTAAATTTTTGGACATAATTGAATTTCTGCGAAGAATTTCATTACTTTTGAAAATAATTGAATTTCTACAATCATTTGTAATTTTTCTAAAATTCTTCAAATTATATCGTACAATTTACGAACTTTTTGTCCTTTTTCTTTGAAATTACGGACCTTTTTTTAAAAAAATCGGACCACTACAATGAGTAAGAAATTATAAAAAAAAACTTAATATTCAAAAGAATTATTAACGACAGTTGAAAAATTGTATTCTCATGATTCATGCGCCGTTTGATAAAAAATAATTAATTGTCTACATTACTTGTCAGTCGGTTTCCCGGAACAAGGCTTCTTTAAATCTTTCACTTTTAAATCCTGCCACAATACGTAACATTGTCCTTGTCCCCACATCGAATCCTTCGATTTCACTATGTGACGATGAGCACAAACCTGAAAGGATAATTAACATTTATATTATCCTGATTAGAATATAAAAAGAAATCACACTGTTTTGTAGTAAAAATTTTAATCTTCTTCGCTATTCAAATTGAAACATAAAAAATCCAAGACTCATTTTTGCTGAGAATGTAATAAAAGAATAAAAAGTTTATAAATAAAAATAAAAGAAGGAAAAATAATAATTTAATCTATAAAATTAAAATAATAATAATAATAAATAATAATAATAATAAAAAATAATAAATAATAATAAATAATAAAAAATAATAGTAAACTTATAGTAAAGAAAATATAAATATCTTACCATTACTTTGCCACCAGGACCTTGACTTCGTACTGTAACTCCAAGCCATTGGTTATCTTTCACTTCATCATTACCAGGTGGAATTAATTCCTCACTATCAATACCTAAAAAAAATTAAATGTTTTTTAAAATTGTAAAAATGATTAATTTTTATTATTGAAATGAAATGCTGAGTGCATATGATGTGCGTCAAACTTCAAAAAATTCTTCAAGACAACTGTAGTTAATGTAAAAAATTCCTATAAGAAAAATATTAATCTTTGAACAAGCGAAATATGAGAAAACCAACGAATTCTCTGTTCAATACTAGTAATAAAAATATTAATATGTCATAATAGTAAAATTATTGAAAATAATTAATTAAAAGTGGTATTAGAAAATATTTTATTTGTCAGTCTCTGTCTTTAAAGTTAAGTATATAGTTAGTCTACAATTTTAGACAAGCAATTCTTTGAAAAAGTTAGAAAATTAAAAAATTAGAAATTAGAAATTTTCATTCTATTAATTTTGTTTAATTGTAAGTTTTTTTTATTTATTTATAATATTATAATATTTATTGGTTAATGTAATTTAATTGGTTAATATAAATTTAATTTCTTTCTTTTAGTATTAATTAAAATCAGACAATTTTTGTTAATTTCCTGTTTTATAATTAACCAGCAATTTGTCATTGAAATTAGTCGTAGAATATTAGGCAAATGTTTTTTTTCATGCTTTAAATGTATTCTGTTTTGAATGTTTTGTAAATGAAAAAAAGTTGTTAGTTTAAAATACGATGTAATAAAAATGATGGCATTGATTCATGATTATGATCGTTAATGGGTCAAAGAAGCTCTGAAAATTGCAAAACATGATCAAGTAATAAAATTAAGAGTTAAGAGAATAAAATTCGAGATAAAAATATTAGTTGATTAAAGACAATGAATAAATAGCAAATAGCTTCACGCATGATCAGTTAGTAAAACAAAAGAATTAGAAATGATTAGAAACAATTAGAAAAAAGAATTAGTAAAAAGAATTAGGAAAAAAAATTGATAAAAAAAATATTTTTTAAACAAAGAACGTTAAAAAAAATTGCAATATTTACTTGTTAGTAAATTTAATTTTGCCTGTGCGTAAATAATTTCATAATAAAAGCACATTGAAAATTTTTCAGCAAAAGAAATCGGTTACTTACAACTTTGATGTTAAATATCGAATTTTGAAAAAAATAAAATTTTTAAGCTTTTGTTTCTGAACATGCTTCGTTTTTTCTTTTTTTTTTTGCTTTCTGTTAATTTCTTTCTCATGCAAAATGTCACGTTCGGTTTAGTTTTGCAATGATTGTGTGAATAAAAAAGTTTTCAAAATAAACATTTTGAGAATGCTTCATTCGTTTCATTCTCAAAAGAATTGCCGATTTGTTGACTTACTTGAATCATATTGACCACCTTCGTCTCCTTTAATGGATAACCGAAACAAATTTAACTTAAATTATTTGTGTTATTTATTAATAATGTATATATATGGTAGAATGTAAATTTTTGTATATGATATTTGGGAGGTTTAATTGTGTAACCAAAAAATGTGTAACTCAAAAACCAGTTTGTTTTAATTAATAAAAGGAACCTTGTTAATTCTAAATACAATTATACTTTTAAAAGGGAAAAAGCTGTGATAGTTGGAAAAGAAAATATATTTTTAATTTTGGAAAAATGTCCAGATCAGGGTTACCACAAAAATTTAATTTTGTTTTTCCCTGACTTTTCCCTGATTTCCAGACAATATTTTCACTTTTTCCCTGACCCTGGAGAATATTTTGATTAACTTCAAAAATTATTAGATACTCAAAAAAATGCTCCTATTATGTTTATTTCCGAATTTCTTTAATTGTAAAATTATTCAAAAACATCATTAACATCATTCTAAAATTTCAAATTGAAACCCTTGAAGATTATCTATTTTTGAAGATTGTAAACGCAACTTTTTCGAAATCCAATTAATTTTGATTTTTTAAGTAAAATTATTCAGTAAATAATTTAGTTAAATAAAAAAGACACAAAAATTCAGAATTTTCCTATAAATTTTAAAAATTAAATTTTTTCCAGTACTTTTAATAAAAATCTCTGACTTTTCCCTGGAATTCTCTGACCTGTGGCAACCCTGCAGATAAGCTATAAATAAAAATTTATCAAACTTTTCACAGTTTTTACCGATTTTTCTTAAAATTCTACAATTTGAAAAAATTATTTTATTATATCTAGAGAAGAATGATAATTAAATGATTTGAAGAAAAATGAAAGAATGTAAAAAAATCTTACTTTTTTGTCCATCGGTGATAACTTGTTGACAATCTCGTAAAGTTGAAGTCAAGGGACATTTCCATAATGCACCTGATCTATTCGTACCGGGTTGTATATTTTGATCTAGAGGTGCACCCACTAAAATCCTATTAAAATAGAAATTTCTAATTTACAAGAAAAAGTATAAAAAAGAGAAAGAATAATTTGTTCCTTAAATAAGGTACACATTTTTTACACTAATACACGAAAAGAAATAAAATCAAAAAGGGGTGTAAAAGTATTATATTTTTATTTACCAGCTTGTTTTGTCTCCATTTTTTTCCGAAATTTCTTGATGTTCAGCTACAGAGAAACCGAAATAAGAGCCCTTTACTCCTTTCTTTATAACAGGTATCCGTGCTTCCAAATTGAAGCTGTTTACACTAGATAATATAGATAACACAAGACACAATATAATGCCGCCCTGCATTTTTACAAAATACATTTGAATTATTTGATTTCCCTTCGATTTACGTTGAACGCCACATCGAGTCGATGATTTTTTTATTCACACAATGTCTCTCGGCGTCTCACCTCAAAATGCCTCGGATTCTTAATCAAGATCCACCCACGTACTTGTAACAAGAAACGACAATCACTTGAATCACTTCAATGGAAATTTCTATATACTCTGAAATGACTATACAACCCGCATCTCTCTTCCACTATTTTTTATCACTCTATTCATTTCCTCTAAGTAATTTTACTTCATTCTTTTAATTTTCTTAATCAGTTGATAATTCATAGGAATGGCATTCATTGAATTTAGAACTGAATCACATATGCGTGTTTATTTAAAATTTGAAAATATTTAAGATTAAATTCTAGTCACACCCAGACGTTGGGAAGCAGACGGAAAATATTTCCTTTTCCCTCTCTTTCTATATTATCGTGACCTTACATACGTTTATCTTTCTCTGGCATATGATTCAATATGAGGAGATAAAATTATGAGATTATTTATATACGTGAAAAGAAAAGAAGAATAAAATAATTTCCATTTTACTGGTTATTTCAAAATTATGTTTTTTTTAGTATTCCTCACGTTATGTATTGAGTTAAAAGTGTGAAAATGGTGAAAAATAGTGTTAAAAAATGAGTAAAATTTTTGTTTGAATGTTGACACTCGGTGCAGAGATGGGAAGCTCTTTATAGTAAGGGTTGGAAGCGAGGCTTTTATCCTATTAGTGCGCGTTCACATGTCTTGTGGTTGCAAAAAACAAGGTGCATTCACATACTTTTTAAAAGAATTTTACATACAATAATTTCTTGATTTCTTCTTATTTTTAATGATTTTATTTTGAATTTCAGAAGATAGAAAGAGAGAGAAATTTTTTTTTCTAGTCAAAAACATAAAGGCAGGTGGTACACTTGGTCGTCAATTAATGAGAAAGTTGTGCAAACTCCTTAACGATTGCACAAAATTGCAACATTGCAAGTGCAGCTTGTTGTCTCACTTTCCTAAAACGTTCGTTCCCAACCCTGTGTTTTTGATGATAAAAAGAAAAACAGATTCATTAAAAAAAACACAAAAATACGTTTAATTTTTAATAATTTGTATATGTAATTATATATAATCTGCAAAAACTAAAAAGTAGATTGATTAAGTGTAAATTTCAAGTTCAAGTATTAATTTAACTGCTACGTCGCAAGGGATATGATCCAACATTCACAAGTACTGTTATAATTTTAATTTACATTTATAGTTTACATTAAAAATAATTCCTAATTTATAAGAATTTATTTAATTATTTATTTAACGAAAAAACGTGACGAGACTTGAATAAATGTACCTTAAGTCCCTTAAGTGTTGGCAATAAATTATAGGTTATGTTTATGGTAATTTTGACGATTAAAATAAGAGAAGGTATTTTTAATAATTTTTATAATAAATAATTTATCACATTTTTATAATATTAATCGGAAGTTATTTTTACTCCAAAATCTGTCAAATGATAAGTACCTTTTCAGTTAGTACTTTTTAAAAAATTTATATCAACTTAGTTATTTTTTTTTAATTTTCAGGATAGATGTGGAAAAATAAGGAATACACCGAAAATACCATCTGCTAGAGCCTCATTGCCAAGATATTCTGACGAAATGCAATATCAAAGCGAATATTCCCATAATCACGAGAATTACGATTCAGATTCTTCAAATGACGATGGAGATGACTCTGAGAGCAGTAGCAATGAAAATTCATCATCAAAATCTTTATCAACAACTTCCTCGCCTATTTCACGAAAAAATCAATCCCCAACTGTGAGAAAAAGGGAATTCACCAAAAGTCCAAATGCTTCATTAAAAAATAATAGAAGTGAAACAAGTCCACGGAATTCAACACGTAAAAAAACATCACAAATCGAAAATGATGAAAAAAGTGAATCAATTAATACAAATTTATTAATTGTCCTATCACTACTCGCCATTGTTGCTGTATTTTTTATTTTTACACTTTTTGTACCAAACATTTTTGCCTCTACTACTAGTAATACAAGTACACCAAATAGAGAGATTATTTTAAAACACGTGGAAAATGAAATAAGAGTGTTGAAAAAAGAATTTCGTAATCAGGAGAAAAAAATTTGGCCCGAAATATATTCGGGAATTATTGAGGTTATTAATAATCCAACGAGACCATCGATTTTTGTGTTATTCGCCGATAGGAATGATTTAATGAGTTGTTTGGCATTGACAATTGCGGAAATTGGTAGAATGGCCTTTGGAACTGAGGAGAGTCTTAAAGTGAAACCAACTCAATTGGATAATGACACTGGCGATGTTATCACTAAATTACGATCTGTTATTCCTCAACGAAAATCTGTGGTAAGTAACAGGACTCGAAAGTATTTAAAAAATACGGACTTTGCGGACTAAAAATTAAAAATTACTTACTAATTACCGTCAAAAATGTAACCAATCTGAGTCAAAGAAGAGAACATTTTACTTGAAAACTATATAAATTAAATTTTTTATAACAAATTACAGACTTTATGGATCTTTTTTCAAAAAAACTGACTTTTACGAAATTTACAAAATTTACAGACCTAGTTCGAGCACTAAAGTAAACATTTTTGTAATTAATTTAGTAATTTTTTTAGATTTCACAACTAATTTTTCTCAATTTTTGCAGATTTTCTGGGATTTTTTGAGTATAAATGACAAGGCTTTGAATGCTTTTCATTTTATTTGCGATAGGGAGAATCCATTGGTTCAACAGGCAATTTACGTGATAACAGTTAAAGCCGAAGGCTATCACGAATCAGAAAATCCACTACGATTTATTGAGAATAAATTAAGATCGAATTTAACCGGAAGAATAAAAGACGATTCTCTAATGCCCCTGATAACAAGAATCACTGACGGTCCCATTATTTCTGTAAAACCGGAATTTAATATGAAATGTAGATATAAAAATGCCTTCGATTATTAATTCATCAATATTCTATCGTCATCTCAAATTTTTCTTCTCTTGCAAAATTATTTCATTTTCATTTTGAACTTTAGCAATATTTTTGCTTTATTTATCAACAATCGCAATGTTGCATAATATTTTTCTAGTGGCTTATTTTCCAGTTGTTAATTATTTTGATAGTTTTTTTTCGTTTAACCTGAAGCGAAAATTTTGTCAAATTCAAGTCATTATTAGTTTTTAAGAAAATTATATACTATTTATTAGAAGAGATTTTTTTTCATTTTTTTTCTATATACAAAAATGTGAGATTTCGTCGTATTTTTATATTGTTATTTATTTAAAAAAAAACTTTGTTTTCGAATAATTTACAACTTAAGAGGAAAAATTTTAATTAACATAAAACTTCCGTTTATTTAAATTTATTGAAAGACTTATTTTCTTTTGGACGTAAATAAATTTTTCTATACATTAAACCTTTAGTTCTTTATTCCATAACTTACTAATTTTGGATGCAAAAAAAAGAGGAATGAAAACACATTTTTCATTTTTATTTTAAGACGAATTTACTTTCAGTAAGGCATTACAAATAATATATAATTTTTTTTTTATCGAAATCTATTGTATACTAATTGCACAGTCTAAATTAAAATTCTAACGCAATAAAATCAACTTTATTTTTAAATGATTATAGAACGCAATGCAATGCCTTCAAAGTTGATAATACATTGACGGAATTATTTCTCAAAAACGAAAAAAAAGATAAAAAAAAATGCTGTAAAATTAATCATATGCATCATTAAAAGAAAATAAAAATTATTAAAAAGATCCTAATTTCTTTTTAAAGTTGACGCACTTGATTTAATTACTGTGTAATTAGCTTTTCATCTATATATTTTGTTTTAAATTTCGAATAAATCGATGAATAAAAAAGAAATTGTAAACACAAATTTTGAGGCATACACAAATTAGAATTTAAATTATTATTCAAAAGAATGTTTTTTTTTTCATTATTTTCACGATTTTTCATGTTTCTATTTTCAAATGTATATTTGATAAAAAGTATAATATATATTGAAATTTAACGTTTCATCGAACAAACTATAATATTATTGGCGTTGTGTAACTGTCGGCAGTCCTACCGTCTTCAATCACAAAAAAAAAAAAAAATTGAAAGAAAAATCGCCTCGTTGCCATTTAACAAATAACTTTGTACAAGAAAATTATTAATCCTATTTATATTTCTAAAAAAAAAATCACTGCGCACTGGATCCAACAATGCGAATAAACTCTTTTTCTCTCTATCGAAAGACAATCAATAAAAAAAAAAAATAAAATAAAATAACAAAAATTAGTATAAAATAATAATATTAGTAATTAAATGATTCTTCCGATAAACAAATCACGTGAACATTGCGTGAACATTGTCAATTGACAACGAGGCACTTCAATTATTCCTAATGCAAACAAATTTCGAAACTTTTCAATTATCTCCGAAATAGAATTTACATCGAATTTTATTTTTCACTTTTTCTCAAAAAATATTTTTTTAAGCACAATTTTTCTTTTCGCAGGCCTCGGATATTATAACATTTTCGAAATTTTTCGACTTATTTTCAAAAATTACCACTTTTTCGACTTTTCTTCCGAATATTGAATAGAGTTTCAAATAAATATTGAAATTTTGTAAAATTTAATTAAAAAATCAATTGATTTTTTTAAAAGTGTTTTTTAAAAATTTTTGAAAATCAACATTTGAAGAATTTTAATTGCAAATTTTGAAAATAATTGAAATTAAATTCCTCGGAAGAATTTAATTTTTAAAACAATTTTTAATATATTTTGAATAAATTCAATTATTTTCTAAAATCTTAATAAAACCTTCCGAAACAATTCAATTATTTTTATAAATAGTAAAATTCTTATCTTTGCAGGAATTTTCAATTATTTTCAAAACATCTTTAATTGAATTTCTCGGAAGAATTCAAATATTTTCAAATATTTCCATAAAATTCAATTATTTCCCAAAATTTTTAATAATTTCTTTGAAACAATTCAACTATTTTTATAAATTAGTAAATAAATTTTCAAAATTTACAATAAAAAAGAGTTTCGATACTTGAAATTTTGTAAAATTTAATTGAAAATAATTTATTTTTTTCAAACTGTTTGATAAAAATTTTTGAAAATAAACTTTAAAAGAATTTTAATTGCAAATTTTGAAAATAATTGATTTCTCAAAAATTTTAATGAAAAATCTTCAAGATGTAAATTTAAAAATGGTAATTAATGAAAATTAGCCATACAAAAAAATTATATTAAAATATTTTCCATAAAAATAATTCTTAAAATTTTTGCATTCTAATTTTTTAAAATTCAATTATTTTCAATATTTTTAAATACAAATTTCCAAAAATTCAAATAGGTACATAGAAAAAATAACAACATTAAAATTTTTTACAATTTTTTTTATCATTTTAACAACATATGACTTTTTTAGATTTATTAAAATTTTGGAGAAATCGCGTTTATATTAATAATTAAAATTCATTAAAAATTCAATTATTTTTTTAATAGAATTTACCAAATTTCAATTGTTTGGAAATTTTTTCAATTCTATATAATTGAAAAACTATTATCTTTCATAAATTATTTTTAAAATATTTTTGAAAAATTAATTTTAAGAATTTCTTTATTATAATTTTTTGAAAATTAATTAATAACTTAAAAAACATTTTTGTATTTAAATAATAAATCTGTTTATATTGTGGCTTTAAGGTCACAATATAAACAGATTTATTTGACAAAAATTAAGATCCTGAAAACATTCCAAGTTGTATTTAAATAATTGAATTCTCTAAGAACTTTCGGAAAATTATTAAAAATAATTGATTTCGAGAAGAAGTTTGATTAAAAATTGTAGAAAATAATTGAATTTTAAGAGAATTAAAGTTGTAATTTTTCGAAGTTATTAAATTTTAGAAGGTTTTGAATAGAAATTTTTAAAATTTTATTCCCGTATTAAAACAAACAAGAAGTATTTAAATATTTATTTAACGAAATTATTCAAGTTTTAAATAATTAAATTTAGAAATCAGTGAAAGATCAGAAGAATAAAAAATAAAATTTTTGCGATGACACTGAATTAAATAAACAACTTTTTCGACTTTTTTTGCACCTTAAAGTCGATCCGAGGCCTGTTTTCGTTTATTCTTTTAATTTTTACTCTCCTTATAATTTTTCAAATTTCGTTATTTTGTAATTTTTTTTTTTTGAATTTTTCTTTTTGTAATTTTGTTTTTTGTAATTTCGTTTTTTGGTAATTTTATAACTTTGTTTTTGCAAAACTGTTTCTTTCGCAAAAAATTTCTTTTTTCAAAAAGAAGAAATTTTAAGAAAATAAAACAAAAAAGAAATTTTAAAATTTGTAAATATAATTTCTGAGATAAAACAAAAATTTCGAAATGAATTGCAAAAAAATTAACAAAATTTCGGCACAATATACGAAGAAAGAGAGTTTCTTCTTCTTCTTTTTTTTCTTCAAAAAGCAACAGACGAGTGTTCCCTAATTATAATGATTTTCTCTTGTCGAAATAAGTCGGTAACTAAATGTACGTTGTTTTTCTATGTATAGTGCTCGTATTAATATAGTATAGTATCGTCGAACCTAAACAATAAATACATTTTATACAGTCACAAAGTCATTCATACAGAATGTCCCCAATTTTCGTGACAAAAAAAAAAAAAGAATATTTTTCGAAAGAAAATTTTCCCCCCGAAAATTAAAAATAGGAAAATAGTAACGAAAATTTTCATTTTCAATTTTTTATTTTCCTATTTTCAATTTTCGAAAGAAATTTCAACACTTTTGCTTCGTCGATTTTCTCTTCTAAAATAATTTAATTATAAATTAAATTCACAAAATTATCAAACTTATAAAATTATTTATAAACTTATAAATTTTTTTATAAATTAAACTTATAAAAGTATTTATAAATCAAATTTATAAAATTATTTCCAAATCAAATCTAATTAAATTTTACTGAATTTATAAAATGTTACATATTTTTAGAAAATAATATTTCTTTTCTTTTTCGATAAATAGAAATTGTTTTCGTTGATCTATTCAATTTTAAGGGCATTCTGTATAGAAGGGCTTTCTCCTTTCAAAAATTACGAGATATTTACAGTAAAAAAGTTTAATTGGTCATGTTTTTTTTTCCTACTTAATGTAAGAGTTGAGTACCGCGTTGCGTATTTCTTGTCCGTAATTGGCTACGTAGTCGCGTACTTCAGTCAATCAGTGTCTTGCAAAAAAATGTCCTGCAAGTTCTTTGTTTTCATTTTTTTTTTATTTATTATTATTTATTATTATTAATATTATTATTATTATTCCGTAATTCAGAGTCAGTCTAAACGTCAAAAATTGATTGTGTCTCTGCCTCTATCATCAATTTTTTTTTTATTTTATTAATCGATCGCAATCGTTTCTCAAGTCAATTCAATGACGATACAAGAAAGTAAAACATCCGTTTTTTTTATTTAACTCTTATTGAATTTATAAGAAAAACCGAATGTATTTTTATAAATTTAAAAATTGTTAATAAACTTTAATTTGCAAAATTACTGGAAAAATTCTTCATATGTTAATAATTTCGTTTTTTCTTTTGAATATTCGGAAAAATTGAATTTTTTGAAATTTATCCCATATCGCCATTGTGACTATTTTTCCAAGTGTGTGTGTATGTGTATTTTTTATAGTACCTAACAGTTTCTACTTAAGCCTAAAGTTCAATTATCTTTTACTGAAATCTTGATTTTTTTAACCGGAATTTAAAGAAAAAAGAATTTTTTCAAAAAAAATTTTTTGAAATTACAATTTCGTGAATTAAATTGTAAATTTGAAGAGATTTCAGTAAAATTTGAGTAAATAAAAATTTGAGAAAACATTTTTTTTGTTTTTTTTTCTGTTTTTTTTTTGTTTGAATGACAATGACTCGAAAAGCGTGATTTTTAGATTTACTTGAAATCGTTAAAAAAAAGTTTCTGAATTGCTCTCTCGATTGTATTTTTTTTTCTCTTTTGGAAGGATTTTTTTTTTTTTTGATTCACCAAATAATAGTGAATATGTTGTTGTGTTGAATATATTGACACTTTTTTTTGTCTCATATAAAGAAAAATTTAAAATTGGAAGCCTTGCATTGGTATTTGAGAGGAGTCGGAGGTTTGAAATTGAAATTGTTGTGACTGAGCATCAACAGAGGGTGCAATTCTAGTGTCTTCCTCTTCGGATCCAAAGTAACGTTCAATAATATCAAAAGCTTTTTGATAAATGTCCAAATTCTGATGAGACTGAAGAAATTCTATTTTGTCTAGGCCTGAAAATAGAAAGAAATTTGTATTAATTTACGAAATTGATAAAGAATATACTTAAAAAGATTAGTTATATATATATTTTTTTTTTTGAAAGGTAAATAGTTACCATAACATTCTTCGATGAGAACAGCGTAAGGATTTACACCGTTGTGTAAAGTTGCGTCCTGTTCTCCGAGTCTTAGGATATTTTCCAATCCATTGAGTGCGACTTGCACGATTTTTGGATCCATGACTGTCAATAAATCGCACAATGGCGAAATACATCCTTGCTCCGCTAAATAGCGAATTTGTTCGGGCGTTCCGCCACTCGTTGCATTTGTTATTGCCCATGCGGCTTCTTTTCGCGTTTTAAATTCTGCTTTTCCTAAAATATCTATCAAATTAGGGAAGATATTTGCCTCGATGACAGCCTGTGAACAAATACAAATAACAAATTTACTTTTTCTTTTCTTAGCTTTACTTTTAGTTTCATTTAAAAAAAATTTAAATCTATTTGAAAAAGATTATTTTTAATTATCTTCTGTGCGTATTTTTTTTGCATAGATTTTGATTCGACTAACTTGAATTTGTTGAGGATTGCCCGCAGTAATATTGGAGACTGTCCAGCATGCTTCCTTGCGAACACTCTCGCGATTTGATCCCAACAAATGAAGTAAACATTGAAGGGCAGAACAATTCAGCACCACTTGTGTTTGAACGTCGTCACCAGTTACGATATTGCCAACGGCTCTTAATGCAGCGCTAATAACGTTGTTTTGTTCATGCCTTCGATAAAAATCCAAAGATTAATCCAAAAATTAATTCAAAAATACTAAGTTGTCAAATTTTACTTGAATTAATTATAATATTAATAATTAATAATACTTACATTAACAGTTCAACGAGGCGTCTACAGACCCCGGCGTCAATAGCGGCTTGAATTTTTTCATTGGGTCCATCGCTCAAATAGGAAAGTGCCCAACAAGTGTCAGAAAGAACGTCACAATCCTCGTGATTTAGAAGATGTGCCAAAACTGGTAAACATGGTGCGACTTGAGAAAATGTTGGTGCTGGATTTTTACCGCGACAAAGATTTGATAATGCCCAGACGGCATTGCGTGTCATTGAAATACGTGTTGTTTTCGATAGAATTCTAGAAAAGACAATTCATTTCTTATGATTTTCAATTTCTTTCAATAATAATAGATATAAATTCAGGGTTGCCACAAAAATTTACTTTTGTTTTTCCCTGATTTCTCTGACCTGTGGCAACCCTGAAACTCTTATTTAATTTAAATAAGTATAAAAAATTTATAAAAATAGATAAATTACTGTAAAAGAGGCATTAGAATGCCATTGTTTAGAACATGATCTCTGCATTCAGGACTGTCCCCAGCGATATTTCCTAAAGCCCACACAGCTTGTTCTTGAACGTCCGGATATTCCAATGAGCCAAGCAGTGATATAAACATAGGCACAGCACCAGCTTCAATAACAATGCGTGTTTGCTGAGACGTTCCACTCGCGATATTTGTCAAAGCCCACGCTGCCTCAAACTGTAATTTTAAAACATTTTATTTACAGTAAGAAAAGTTAAATTACAGTTATACAAGAAAACGATTATCGCAAAAGTTTCTCTCTCTCTTTCTCTCTTAATTTTATGGTACGAATGACAACATTTAATTAGAGTTAATTTAAAATTTTTTATTACAGTAATAGTTATTTAATAATTCCCCAATTTATTTACCTGTAATGTGTTGTTTTCATTATTTTTCAGAAACTCAACAAATCTCGGAACAATTCCTGTTTGTATTACTTCATCTATCGGTGGATTTGGCTCTCGTGATAACAGCTTTCTAAATTTTTGCGTTGCTATTAATTGATCTTCGACATTAACACTGTATAAATCCTGAACCATCTCTGGTGTTATTACCGGTTGCTGTAGAAAAAGAAATTTTCATTTATCATTTTAATAACTTTTAAATTAAATCTTTCATTTTAATAACTATCAAAACAATTTTAATTGAATTCCTCGGAAGAACTCAATTTTTAACACATTTTGAAAAAATTCAATTTTTTTCTAAAATTTTAATAAATTCTTCGAAAAAATTCAATTATTTTTAAAAAAATTTAAAATTCTTCGCAAGAATTCAATTAATTAATATAAATAGTAAAATTCTTTGCAGGAATTCAATTTTTTTCAAAACAATTTTAATTGAATTCCTTAGATGAATTCAAATATTTTTAAATATTTCCATAAATTTCATTTATTTCCTAAAATTTTAATAAATTCTTCGAAATAATTCAACTATTTTTATAAACAGTAAAATCCTTTGCAGAAATTCAATTCTTTTCAAAACAATTTTAATAGAATTCCTCGAAAAAATTTAAATTTTCAAATATTAACATAAAATTAATTTATTTTCTAAAATTTTAATAAATTCTTCGGAACAATTCAATTATTTTTATAAATAGTAAAATTCTTCGCAAGAATTCAATTATTATCAATACAATTTTAATAAAATTCTTCGGAACAATTCAATTATTTTTATAAATAGTAAAATTCTTCGCAAGAATTCATTATTATTTTCAATACAATTTTAATAAAATTCTTCTTCATAAAATTCAATTGCTTTCAAAATTTTCAATTAAAATTATTGAAGAAACTCCATTAGTTTAAAAAAAATTCAATGAAATTCTTTAAAAGAATTTAATTAGAATTTTTTTAAATTTTAATTAAATTCTTCGCGAGAATTCAGTTATTTTCCTAAATAATAAAATTCTTTGGAGGAATTCTATTATTATTAAATTTTTTGATAAAGTTCTTTGCAACAATTCCATGATTTTCAATACATTAATTTTAAAATTGAAAATATTTGAAAAGAACAATTATAAAAAAGTTAAGAAACAAAAAAGCAGACAATAACTAACTTCAAACTGCGAACAGATTACCGGAACATGACTTTATTATTATTAATAATTAGTAATAATTATTTTTACCTGTAGAGTTGTAGTGACTGTAGGATATTCATCTGTAGTGGAAGAAACATTATCATCGTCAGTAACAATATTGGGCACATTTCTTCGCTTCGACAATTGTTGTTCACGTTTTTGTTTTCTTAATTGCACTCCTTCCTCTTCACGTCGTCTTCTCAATTCTTGAGAATCGAGACCTACATTTTTGTAACGATATTTATGAGTCGGCCCAGTCGACATCTATATTAAAAAAAAAGTTCAATTTTAATTCTAATAATACATCGATCATATGTATCGCAGCAAAAAAAAAGAACATTCTAAAAATAAAACGAGAAAAAAAATGAATCATCAATATTCGGCGACGTATTTGATAAAACTTTGTTTATTTAACGAATATCTCTAAAAAACACTATCTACATTCATAAAACGTCATTTCCAAAAAATTCCCAATCTCCACATATTTTGAAACTAGAAAAAAATCGAATTCATGAAAAATTGATTTTTAAATAAATATTTTCAATATAAAATAAAAAAGTGCAAAACGTATGTGTAAGAAGTGATATGAACAATATATAAAATGGATGCCTCCCATACGATTTAAATGTTTTTTGACAATGGAGTAAATGCCGTAAGGGTTAGGTGCTGACAGACGTGTGGGTGTAATCGATTAAAATTGATTAAAATCAAAGCACGATTAATAATATTTAAAAAACCAATTCTCCAAACAAACTTCGGACAAAAAACGGAATTTTAATTAATAATTAAAAATCAATCAATCTCGACGGAAAAAAATGACATTGATATTTTAGGCAAAATTATTAAACCTCCACGAACTCCACGATGTTGTAACCTTCGTGTCACTCGCAATTTTCTAAAATCGACATCAAATTATTTTCATTCTTTACTTACTGCTTATATGTGTGTTTCTCTTTTAAGCGATGCGATCACTCGTTAATTATCATAAGAGAATTAATAAAACCTGACACACTTTTCCTATCCGTGAATCACTTAAACGAGATTCGGGGATAAAAATTGATGCGAAATTGCAAAACTACACTCGCACCAAGGAATCACGAATTCTTCCTTTTAATTCCCGAAATTATAATCGTTCGAAAATACACTGAATAAAAACCAATTCAACGAATTAAAAATAAAATTACAACGGAAAAGCCAATCGTAATTTAGGAAAATTCTCGACACACAGCAATAACTATTTTCATTGGTCATCTAATTTCTTTCCCAAACAAAAAGAAATTAATTTTCAGAAATAAACTATGTTTCTTAATAAAAATAAAAAAAAATTACTTTTCGAAATTATAATTGATAAATATTTTGTTTACACTATAGAATTCTTTCAAGGTGTAAACAAAAGTACCGTAAATTTCAAATGTTTCGCGCGAAAATTGACCAATCATATGTACGCGTCTAAATTATAGGTTGGAAATGGATGTATTTTGGAACACGAGACATTATAAATGGTGGGGAGCATCTTTCGACCAATCACAGTTTGTTATTAATTCAAAAGAAAGACGTTTTAGTTGGACTCTGAATAAAAAGGAGTGTATAGAAACCGTCCGTTGTGTTTCTTTTTATTTAAAGTGATTTATTAACGATTATTTTTCATGTTTAAACAAAGTAAAATAGTGAATCGAATTTATAAACGTATTTTTATTAATTATTAGTGTAACCAGTGTTACATTTTCAGTGACAAACAAAGCAAAAATGACTGATTTTAACACAACTGGGTAAGTGTGCGTTGCTTTCTTTAACGGATTCCAAGTAATGCTTCACTTTGTATACATAAACTCGATATTCTCTTTCAAATTTATCGTGTCTCGTATATTATAAAAACATTACCGCAAAAAAAAAATTCATTGAAAAAATTGTTTTGGCCAATGATTCCAAGAATTTCGAAATAAAAGAGATAAATGTTTAGAAGTGTTTATGTTGACTTTTTTTTTACTTTCTTAAAAGAGAAATATGATTTTCTGAAGCATTATTTGATTGGAGTTTTTAATGTATTCAGTTTGTTCGGGAATATTAAAAACTTAAATTAAATTTCGTCCTGGTTATTGTTTTCCTAACCTACAAATTGTGTCTTTTTTGTTTGACTCAAACTATATGAATTTACCACGAATTCTAAAAAAAACCTTAAATTTTTTTTATTTTTGACAATAATTTATTTTAAATAACTTAATTCTATTGAAGAACTGCCATAAAATTATTACTTATAAATCATTTAATGAAGTATTTTTTTTTAAATTTTCATTTCAATTCTGTTGAAATTAGTTTCAATTTTAATAATTTTAACGCAATTCTTTGAAAGAATTCAACTATTTTAATAAATATCAAAATTCTTTCCAGAAATTCAATTATGTATAAAAATTCTCGTCAGCATTTCAATTATCTTTGTAAATAGCAAAATTCTTCGCCGAAATTCAATTATTTTCAGGAATTTTAATAACATTCATTGCAAAATTCATTGATTTTCGTAAATACCAATATTCATCACAAGAATTTAATTATTAAATTTTCGAAATTAATAAAATTCTTCGCAGAAATTCAATTATTTTCAAAATATCTAAAAAAAAATCGTCAACGTTTAAATTATCTTTATAAATAAATAGCAAAATTCTTCGACAAAATTTAATTATTTTCGGAAATTTTAATAAAACTCGTTGTAAAACTCATTGATTTTCGTAAATAACAATATTCATCACAAGAATTCAATTATTTTCAAAATTAATAAAATTCTTCGCAGAAATTATATTAAATTATTCAATTATATTAAAAAAATCAAAAAAAAAAAAAAATTAAAATAAATAATAGCAAAATTCTTAGACAAAATTCAATTATTTTCAGGAATTTTAATAATATTCATTGCAGAATTCAATTATTTTCAAAAGTAATAAAATACTTTGTATAAATTAAGTTATTTTCAAAAAATTTTTTAAAAAAAATTTTAAATTATAAATAATTATATATATATATTATATATATTATTATTATATATTATTATATATATATTATAATATTATTATATTATTATTATTATATTATTATTATATTATTATATTATTTTATTATTATTATTATTATTATTATTATTATTATATATTATTATATTATTATTATTATATATTATTATATTATATTATATTATTATTATTATTTATTTATTTATTTATTTATTTATTTTTTTTTTTAAATTAATTTTTTTTTTTATTTTTTTAAAATTTTTTAAAAATTCTTGTCAAGAATTAAATTATATTTATATAAATATAGGTAGTGACAAAATTTCAATTATTTTCAATTAAAAATCAAATTTGCATAAATTTTTTAAAAAAAAATTAATTGTTTAAATCTTTTTTGTATTCTTCACAATAATTCAATTATTTTCATAAATAATAAAACTCATTACAGAATTTCAATTATTTTTGAAACAATTTTAGTCCTATCGAATACCTCGAGAAATGTAATTATTCTTAAAAATTTTATTAAAATTCGTTGAAAGAATTCAATTCTTTAAAAATTTGTTGAAAAAGATTTTAATTGTATTTTATATTTAATTATTCAATAAATTAACTATGTTTGTATTTAAATAATTGAATTCTCATAGAATTTTCTAGTAAAAATTGCTTTAAAAATTAAGTTCAGTTAAAGTTTGAGATAATTATTTAAATTTTGAAGAAGTTTCTAAATAATTGCAATTTTTGGAAATAATTAAATTTTGAAAAGTTTTCAAATTAAAATTTTTGTAAATTAGAATCTATGAAAGTAATTTTTTTCAAAAACCTTAATCGAAATTTTTGAAAATTACTTCAAGTTTTCATTTTCTAATGTATATTTAATTGAAGAATTTCCGAATAATCGAAATTTTACGTAAAATTGAATTATTGTAAACAAATGAACTTGAAAATTCTCCAAAAAAAACTTTATCAAAATTTATTAAAAATAATTGATTTAAAGAAGAATTTTATTTAAAAATTCTAGAACATAATCTGAAAAAGGAAAATTAAATGTTTGTGGCAACCCTTTAGAATTTTTAAAAATGGGAACTAAATCCGATAATGGATTCAAATATTAATTATTATTGTTTATAATTCAATGTGTAACAATTTTGATATATGTAAATATTGAAATTAGATTTTTTACTATCGTTTATTAATTAAAATTATTTATTTAGAGATGACACTCTACAATCGGTGGCAGTGGAAAATATTTCCAGTACGATTAAAACCGATTTGAGGCGATTGTACAATGTATGGAAAGAAATGGGACTAAATGAAGAAACCAGGTCTATATATTGTAATGAAGTTCACAAACACATCAAGGTATATTTTTTTTATAATTTTTCTTTCCCAATTATTTCTACTTTATTCTTTATTTTCATAATTCTTCAATTCTTCTTGTTTAATCTATCTTCTCTATTATCTTTTTAATATTACATTTATTTTTCATTCCCTATTGATAGTTCTTTTAATTTCAATTTAATTTTAATTTACAGGAATTGATGAGTGACATGATTTGTGAATTAGAAGAGAAAAAGAATTCTCTTCTTCAAGGTGTACAAAATTTAATGGAACTAGCAAATACATTATCCAAGGTTTGTTAATTTACGAATTCATTTTTTAAATTCAAGTTTATTCGTTTTAACGGCAAGAAACAAATTTTTAAAGTATTATTCACTCTAAAAAAAACCATTTTTCATATTTAGTTTTCAAATAGATTTACGTAATTATTGTTTTCTTAAAGGAATTACAAATGGACGACTTCCCTGGTACAAATCCAGATTACGAACACTTGCCACTTATTGAAGTTCAAGAAAAATTGAGATTACAAGTTCTCGAATTAGAAAGGATCAAAGAAAGACGTTTGGAATTCTTAAATGAACTTCGATCGAGGGTAAAATATCAAAGTTTTGAATTTGTCGAATTTTTCCAATTTTTTATGCAAAATTTCAATGTGAATAAAATTTTTTTAGGAGGAAGTCGTTTGTAAGAAACTTGGCATTAAACCCATTGGGTTAAGTAAAGAAATGCCTTCCAAGGAAGATCTAAATCAATTTCGAACTTATTTAGAAATTCAAGAACGTGAAAAGGTAAAAGTTTTTTTGTGCCCTTAAAATTCTAAATAATAATAATAATAAATTAATTATATATTTCTAATTAAACCGTTAATTACAGGATCGTTTGAGTGGAGTATTTAAGGATTTGCGAAGGACTGTCAAGAAATCGATGGAAGAATTACATATCTCACCTTCCTTGGATTTTGAAAGGCTCGTTTGCAATGATTATGAAAATTTTATATACACTGTGGAAAATATGTCGAAATTAAAGGACATGAGAAATGATTTAAAGGCTCAGGTGGAAGATGCAAAGCAACAAATTGTTGAGAAAACGGAAGAACTCCAAGCTCTTTGGAATTATCTCGACGAACCTGAAGATTATTGCCAGGCTTTCCTTTTGAAACATCCTGGTCACACTGTCACAACTATTTCTGCCGTGAGTTATATTTTAATTTCTCAATTTTTCAAAATTTATTATTTTGATTGAAAATCCAAATGAATGTGGAATTGCTCTATTGATTTAAATAAAAAAATTATCATTTTTAGTTCAATGCGGAAATAAAACGTTGCAAGGACAAGAGATGTGAAAATATTGGAAAGTATATATTAAAGGTGAGAGAGGAATTGGAATTGTTGTGGGACATGTGCCAATTCAGTGAATCTCAAAGATGTTTTTTGCCATTTTATTCGCAAACTTACACTGAAGATTTGCTAACACTCCACGAATTAGAAGCAGAGAAACTGCGCAAATTTTATAAAGCGAACAAGTATGTTTTACATTTTCTAATTATTATTTGTTAAAATTTATATTTAAAATAAAAGTGTCGTGTCTTCTTTACATAAAAAGTAGATTTAACTGATAATTATCTAAATTTGCAGAAAAATATACGATCTTCTCGAGGAGCGAGAGAATCTTTGGGAGAAAATGAAGGAATTGGATCAACGAGCCAACGATCCGGATCGTTTTCATAATCGTGGTGGTCAATTATTAGCCGAGGAAAAGGAGAGAAAGAATACAACAAAGGTTTGTTTTTAAAATTTCAAATTTTAAATATTTATTCCATGTTTTAAATTTGTCTACAATGATAAAATTTCAAAATTTGAAATACAGAAATTGCCGAAAATTGAAGAGCAACTTCTACAGGCCACCGAAGAATATGAAAGTGAAAGTGGAAAATTATTCACAATTAAAGGTTTGCCAGTTAATGAATACTTGGAACAAAGTAAAGTGGATTACGAGAAAGAGAAGGAAAATTTGAAACTTGCTCGTGTAGGTAACAAAAAACTACTTTTTCATTTTCCATTAGAATTTAAGGGAGAGAAAATAAATAAAAATTTCTTTTACTTTATAGAAGCAAGCAAAAGACAGATCGGCAAACAAATCGGCAAAAAAGACACCACTTAGTACATCGAAACGAACACCAATGGGTATGAGTATTCGTGTACGAACACCAACCACAGTGGGGGCGAAAAGAAAATTACCATACGATTCGTCACCTAATAGTGCGACTCTTTCGAAAAAACGCAATTTGAGCGGTGAAAAGAGTCGAACCGCTGTTATAAGCACCAAAGCAAGACGCAGTGGAAGGGTGAGTTTATTTCTAACTAAATATTAAAATTTAAATTTTAATTAAATGCAGGCTTCGCGCTCATCTACTAAAACCTACGATTTATTACTTTTTTTCGATTAGCTACTATTTGGATACTTTTTTTTAATTTCTGACACTAAAAACTACTTTTTTCTTTTTTTTAAAATTTGCGCTACTTTAAATCTGCTAATAGTTGAATTAAACAAATTATTCTTAAAAATGTTCATAAAATTCTTCTTAGAAACAATTAACAAATTTTTTTATAAAATTCTTTGAAACAATTCAATTCTTTTCGAATTTTTTTGAAAAATTCTTTGAAAGAATTCAATTATTTCCACAAATAATAAAATTCATCGCTGCATTATAAATATTTTAAAAATCTACTATTTTATTAAAATTTCTTCAAAGAATTCAATTATTTAAAAAAAATTAATTACATTTTTCGCACAAATTCAATTATTTTTAAAGATTTTAATAAACTCCTTTGCAACAATAATTCAATTATTTTTACAAATAACAAAATTTTTCACAGGGATTCAATTATAAAAAAAATTTTCTAAAATTCGTTGCAAGAATTCAATTGTTTTCATAAATAATAAAATTCTTCTCGTGATTTCAATTATTTTTAATACTATTTTAAATGAATGTAAGAATTCAATTAGTTTCACAAATTTTAATAAACTTGTTGGCAAAATTTCAATTATTTAAAAAGATTTTCCTCAATTCAATGATTTTCAATATCTACTGTTTTAATAAAATTTTCCAAAAGAATTCAATTATTTATAAAAAATTTAAATAACATTCTACGCAAATATTTAATTATTTTCATAAATAATAAGAATTTTACAGGAATTCAATTATTTACAAATTTTTCATAAATTTCTTCGCAATAATTTAATTATATTCAGAAAAAACTTCTGAATTCAATTTTTTTCAATATTAACTATTTTTACTAAAATTTCCTGAATGAATTCAATTATTTAAAAAAGAATTGTTATAAATTTTTCGAAAAAAGTCAATTAATTTAACGATTTTTTCGGGAATTTCAATTATTTTCATAAATAAATATAAAATAAAACTCATCACAGAATTTCAAATATTATTAAAAATTTTATTAAAACTTTACGAAAAAATTCAATTTTAAGAAACATTCAATTATTGAATAAAATAATAAAGTTCGCAGAAAATCATATATTTTAAGGAATTTTAATAAAATTATTCTCCAAAATTCAATTATTTTGATAAATATCAAAAATTCATCACAAGAATTCAATTCTTTTGAAAAGTAATAAAATACTTTGCAAAAAATTAAATTATTTGCAAAATTTTTTTAAAATTTTTGTCAAGAATAAAATTGTCTTTATAAATAGGTAGCGAAATCCTTCTCAAAAATTCAATTATTTTCAAAAATTTAAATAAAATTCTTGGCAAAATTTCAATTATTTAAACAAAATTTAATAAATTAAAGGAAGTAAGTTTATTATTAAAATTTAATAAAATTCTTGTCAAAATTTCAATTATTTTTAAAAAATTTTTCTCTCTTCAATGATTTTCAATGTCTACTATTTTAATAAAATTTCTTAAAAGAAATTATCGTGAATATTTCAATTATCTTCATAATATTCTTGTCAAAATGTCAATTATTTTCAAAAGTACTTCTGAATTTAATTTTTTTCAATATCGGAAATTTCAATTATTTTCATAAATAAAAATAATGAAATTCGTCACAGGATTTCAAATATTTTTAATACAATTTTAGATTATAATTGAATATTAAAAGCATTATAGCGTGAATTTTTATAGAAATAGATAAATTTCAAAAAGGTTTTACATTAAAATTATTAAAAATTTTAATTCCTGTTGAAAAATAAATAAGTATTTATATATTTATTAAACAAAAATTATTCATGAATAATTTAGTGTAGAAATAATGAAAAAAAATTAGTCTTTTGAAAAATTTTAATTAAAATTTTTTGAATATAGTTAAATTCATGTAAAAAATTAAAAATATTTATTTAAATTTCTAATTAATTCGAATTCAATTGAAATTTAATTAATATAAGTTTGTTATTTTACAAAATTAATTTGTTTTCCTTTTAAACAGTATTTTTAAATTTAATCGACGTTTTGAAGAATTCTAACCAAAAGTTTGGAAAATAATTGAATTTCATAAAAATTTAGAATTGAAATTATTACCAGGACTAGAAAAAGAAAGTGAATATTATTTTTTATGGAAATCAGGAAAATGTCACCGAAATACAGAATCAAATTTTGGTAATTTTTATTAATCGACTAAAACTCGTTTTAGTCAAATTTAATTTTTCGAAAGCTACTTTTTACTACTTTTTTTAGTTTTAAAAATTACTTTTTGCTACTTAATTTCTTTTTACTTAATTTTTGCTACTTTAATTTTTCGAAAGCTACTTTTTACTACTTTTTTCAGTTTTAAAAAACTACTTTTTTTTGCTACTTTTACAAATTTTATTATTGAGTGTGAAGTCTGTAAATGAAAAGAATAAAAAGATTAAATAAAATATTTCATTATTCAGATATCGAAAAAGGCTTTGATAAGCATGAATAAAGCGAGTACATCAAAATCGGACAAGAAACAAAAATTAGATGCGGATGGTTTAAAAGCGGCAAATCTCAGTATTTCATCGTATGGCAAATTTCAAGAGCACTTGGAGCAAAGGGAAGAATTACGTAGTTCTATGTTATCAGATCAATTGCTTGAGAATGCATTTGAACGTGGTAATAATATGAAAACTCCAGTGCGAACGCCAGCAAAACCATTACGTAAGAATTTACTGTCAGTTAACAATGCCCATTTGTCATCGAAATCTGCATCGACACCACGAACAACAACACCAAGAACACCACGTGTTATGCACAGACCACGTTTAGCAGCTGTGCCAAATAATACACAATTTATTTTTTAAAATTTAACACATTTTTTAATTTTCTGACATTATCATTTTTCTTCTTAACGAAAGTAGAATATAGTAATTTAAGACAACAACAATGTCAAGAAAGGCTCCTCGCGAGCCAATATATATCAAAAAAATGCAAGTGCAACAGATTTTTAAGTATTATTTTTATTTTTAAAAATTAAAAGCAGTAAATTTTAGTTTAATTTTTTTCTTTCTTTGGAAATCAGTTCTTTTGAAATGTATATTTTTATTTTTTTTAAATATATAACAATTTTAGTTTAATAAAGATTATGAATGCGTTTGGTTATGTTTAATTTTTCTTGTTTTTTTTTATTTTACACAAAGGAAACGAAATTAATAATTTTGTAAAAGCTTTTGGTTCGTTATTTGTCAAGAGAGACAGACATAATACTATTATTCCATTAGGTATTTTTAATTGTACTGACTTAACAATATTAATAATTAATATAATTTTCTTGCTTTATTAAACTCTTTATGGCAATAATTATTTTGGAAATAAAAAAAGTTTTCAATTGATTATTTAAATAAAAAAACTTGTGCGAATATTTATTTAAAATTTTATTTTTTATGATTACATATTTAAAAAACAAACATTTTTAGTTAAGTAGATACATAATAGTGATTTTAAAAATCTTAATTATGCTTATTCGAATATTTTCTAAATAATGTCCATTTTAAAATTTTTAGATTTCTCATTTAAAAAAATTTATAACAAAACGTACTTTTAATATTATTTTTATTGGGTTTTTATTTTGGAAAAAAAATCGTTAAAACGATTTAGAATTTAAATATTAAAGGTATTAAAGAAATTAAATAATTTACATATAATTTAAATATAGTGTGAAGAATTCGAAATTATAATTAATAATTAATATTGTTCGGTAATAGCAACTATTTCTATTAATCAAATAATGTTAAAGTTTAATTATTTAATTATTCTTATGTTTACTAATAAACTTTCTTTACTTTAATAAATTGAGTTAATTTATTTTTATTGATGTTTCATTAATTAATTATTTTTGTGTACACAAATTTTATTATTGAAATTTTCTTTATTTCTCTATTTATATTACTAGAAAATTCAATTTATTATTATGCAAATTACAAAATTTTTTATCTCCAAATATGAATTCTTACAAAACTTCAAATTCAAACTTAAAAAAAATTCAATTATTCTTGTTTATTAATTTCAAAAATTTTAATAATATTCTTCGCAAGAATTCAATTATTTTCATAAATAAGAACATTCTTCGTAAAAATTCAATTATTTTTATAAACAGTAAAATTTTTTGCAAAAAATCAATTATTTTTAAACAAAATTTTAATAACATTTTACGAACGAATACAATTATTTTCTAAATTTTTAATAAATCCTTCGAAACAATTCAATAATTTTTTTAAACAGTAAAATCTTTGTGAAAATTCAAATGTTTTCTAAAAAAATTCCATTAAAGAATACATTTTTTTTCTCAATTTGTTATAAAATCATTGCCAAAATTCAAATATTTAAAAATAAATTCCACGAAAGAATAAAATTTTTGTCTTAATTTGTTATAAAAATTTCAAAAGAATTAAATTATTTTCTAAAATTTTTATAAATTCTTCAAAAAAATTAAATTATATTTGTAAATAGTAAAATTGTTTGCAAAAATTCAATTATTTTGAAAAAAAAATTCAACGAAAGAATCCAATTTTATTTTATTTTTAATCTTTAATAATATTTTTCGAAAAATTCAATTATTTTCTAAACTTTTAATAAATTCTTCAAAACAATTCAATTATATTTATAAATAGCAAATTTAAATTGAAAATATTTAAAAAGAAAAATTATTAAAAGGAATAAGGAGCACTCACAACAGTTCAGGCTGCCTACGCAGTTATCAATTAGAGTGAGAGAGAGGTAATTATAGTGAAAGAGAAAGTATTACCTTCCCAACCCTGCTCGTTGCATTGTGCATTGGCCTTAATACACGTAAAGTTCAGTAGGTAACCCATCTCTGTGCTCTGTCCTTCAGTCGGCAAGTAGCCACGGAGCTGTGCGCATGGCGCGCCTACGTCTTTAGAATGACCAAAAGTAAATCGCCAGAGGTATAAATTTTTCTCCGCTCGTTAATTATTGTAAACTTATTTGATTTCTGAGTCTCCTAATTATATCAACCTGTGGCTGCAATCTTAATTTCTGCCCTATTTTCATAAATGTCTGAAGAAAACCAGGGAGATGAGAAAACAAGATGGCCGCCACAGCCATTGTCTCTAATACTGTTCGCAAGGTGTTTTCCTATCAAATACGTTAATTTTCCTCTCTAAAATCAAACAAAAAGGAAAATTTTTGTATAAATCGTATTAAATATGTTAAATATACATGTCAATCGCATTATTATTCAGTTCAGAGAGTAGAAAAAGCAACTATTTGCTATGCCGAATAGTGGACTCGTCCAAGTCAGCGCGATATCGGTTATTCGATTTAGTTGTATTTTCTCATCAAAAAGGTAGACATAATAAATAAATAATAATAAATTTCGGTAACGGAAGTACTTTTTCACGTGAAGAAAGTATTATTTTAGCAAATATTTCCGAAAATATGTATTCGTGTCGTTCGTACAATCGCATTGTCCACACGGACGCGCCATTATTGATCGTGTCGAAAAATCGGTTAAAGCAAATCGGAGTTTATTGTTTCCTATCGGTTAATTGTTGACTGTAGAATATTTACAACTACAAATTGTTGATCGTGTCGATAAATCGGTTGAAAAACGAAGCGGAGTTTACAAATTTATTCCTATCGGCGAATATTTATGACTATTCTCAAATACGGAAGCGATTTCGCGGATGATTTTGCCTATCATTTTTCTCAATATCGACTAACGATATATTAATTTTGCCTTGTTTTTTGTGACTCGAAATCGAAGTTTCTAGTGATTTATTACGGGAATTGGAAGATCTTTGGAAGTGTTTTTTTCCTCTCAATAAAAAGTCGATTTCTTGAAAGTGTTTTTTTCCTCTCAATAAAAAGTCGAGTTCTTGAAAGTGCTTTGAAAGTGTTTTTTTCCTCTCAATCAAAAATCGAGTTCTTGAAAGTGCGTGAAGTGTGTGTGTGTGTGTTCCTTTGAAGAAACGAAGAAAGAATAGTTCTGCTGTCGAAAAACTAATTTTTAAAGGACAGGAAGGATGCAGGAAAACGAATCAAGGAAGCAGAGATAATAATGGACTCTCCCACTGTCTCCGGTTTGTTGCAGTTATCTCTTATCATCAGAGTCAGCGACCGGTGAGTTTAATTAAATTTTACGGAATGTTAACAACGAACAAATGCGACCATTGACGAATTTTTGTATTTCGTATCAAAAAGTACAAAAGCGAATAATTAATTATTTCGTTTGCACCTGGGACGTTAACCCTCGGCACCTGAGAAATTTAGTGCCTTAATAATATTCCTCTTTCGAAAGAAAAATGGCACGACACTTGCGCTCATAATTTACTTTTGTTCCCGTGTGCGCATTTAAAATACTATAAAATTATTTTCACTTATACTGAAAATATTTATAACCGAAATTTTTCCCACAATCAAAGCAGGCGTTTTTTATTTGCAGGTATATTTTTAAATAATTATTTATGGCACACATGCATACCGAATTTTTCATCGTTTTCAAAACTTTAAAACACTTTGAGAAAATAAAGTAAAAATTAGAAATACGCATTTTAATATCAGGGCTAGAAAAGAAAATTCGATTTTCTTTTAAATTACTCTTTAATAAAATTATTTTACAAATTATCTAATTAATTTCCCTTAAAAAGTAAAAATCACGTTATTTACAATATTGGCAAAAAAGGCACAAATTTGAAAGTACAAATTATTACACTAGAATGACATTAGGATTATTAGATTCAAATTCCTCGTAAATATCATTTTTCGATTCTTGCGAATTTAATCTTGAAAATTCAGCTGTTATATTTGGTGTTGGTGGATGAAGATAATCTTTCACTGGCACAAATTTCGGTCCCCCAAACGTGTCCAACATGGCAATTGATGCAATTTTTAATTTCGCAAAAAAGAAGTGATGATCTAGACAAATTTTTTTTTTTGACATAAATAAAAAGGAACGTATTTTTCTTTATTATTAAAAAATTAAGATTAAAATTTACCTGCTGGCATATTTTGTAACCACGGATGACGATTGAATACTGCTTTTTCAGCTATTTGCATTTCCGTGGAATTCAGATTTACCTGTTGATTAGAAATTAAGAACCACTTGACATTTAAAGACCTTATTGAATATTAATTATTAATTTATAATAATTTAATATTTATAATTAATAATTAACATTCAATAATTGAATTAAATAATTCAGATTAAAAAATTAATTTTTTTTTATTAAAATTTTTCCTTACGGGTCTTATTTTTCCTGTGAGAATAACTCTTGCACATCGAGGATCCATGGGATCGTAATTTTTTGTTTTGCAATATCGCCCTTGGGCTAAAGTCATCATTAAACTGGCTCGATTATCTTTCTGTGAGAAAAAAATTAATTAAAACTTACATTGAACATTTTCATAAAAGTAAATACAATTCTTTGAAGAAATTCAATTATTTAAACAAAATTTTAACAAATATCTCGTCAAGGATTCAATTATTTTTAAAAATAGCAAAATTTTTCACAAAAAATTCAATTACTTTCAGGAAATTTAAATTAAAATTCTGTCAAACTTTTAAAAATTTTAATAAAATTTTTCAATTAGGTATTTTAATAAAATTCTTCAAAAATTTTTCAGTTATTTTCAAAAATTGTGAAAAAATTCTTTAATATAATAAATTTTAGTAAAATTTTAATTAAATTCCTGAAAAGAAATTAATTATTTTCAAAAGTTATTAATAAAATTCTTCGAAAAAATTAAATTTTATGAAACATTCATTTATTTATTTATTTATTCATTTACGGGGCATTGAGTAAATTTATGGGCATTTTTATAATTATTGAATAAATTATAAAAAAACAATATTTAATTTTTAAATTTGAGTTTAAAAAATGTTTCCAAAATGATAAAATGAATTTTACTCACATGTATATCTTGAGCTGTAAAGTCCAAGGGAGTTAAATACATATACGGAATTCCTGATCCATTTCCAAGGATTCCATCGCCAAATGAAATTACATTTGCAGAAGGAAATGATCTTATGTCTTTTCGCGAACTAATTGTTGCCACTGACGTCCAATCTGCAAAGTTAAATAATAAAAAAAAATTTTCCTAATTTTTTAAAAATTAACTAATAATTTATTTTTATAATAATTATTTATTCGTTATACAAACAAAGTAACTATTATATTATTATATTTTACACGAAAAAAAATTATCTGGAATAGTTAAAATTTTCACTACATTAGCAAAATTTTTAGTTATTTCAATTAATACTTTCGCTATTATAGAGAAACTTATCGCTGTTTCAGATAAAACGTTTTTTTTAGCGTAATTTTAATTAATAATAGTATTAATTCAATTAAGTAATTAAATTTGATTAATAATAATTTATAGTTTTAATTTTAACTATTAAAAAAAATTTTTTTTGATTTTATTTTAATATATTAAATAAAATCAATAAAAATATTTTTAATTTTTTCTTTCATTTAACAAGGAAATGACACAATTTGAAAATAAAATTAGCAAAATGATTTACAATGAGAGGTAAAAGAGATAAAAAGTCATGAATGTAAATTATATGCTCGTGTAAAAGTGCAAAATTTTCTGATAAGATAAAATTAATTTTTCCTTATTATTTACTTACTGGCTTGATTTACAATATAACGAGCCATAAGAGCAGCTTCATTAATTGGTGGGGGATCATCATTATTATTATCAGTTTTTTCATATTCGATTCTTTCGAAATTTGCTTTATCAAAATTTTTATATTTTCCGTTATTTTTCTTTTTTCTTTGTTCATAATTTTGTTCTTGATATTTCTTCCTTTGGTCCTTGTTTTCTAATTCATTGCTTCTCGTCTCTCCTTCTTCGCTGTTGTCTGATTTTTTGTAATTCTTCTTTTTGTAATTCTTATTCTTGTATTCTTTCCAATTTTTATCTTTCCATTTCTGTTTCTCATTGCTACTATTTTCTTCGTTACTATTGTCATTCACTTTAATAAATTCTTTACCCAATAAACCTTGGTCATTTTTCTTTTCGTCACTTTTATTCTCATTTTCTCGATATTCGCTTAATTTCTTTTCCCTCTTCCATTGTTTGAATTCTTCGAATTCCTTGAATTCTTGAAACTCTCTATATTCCAGTGATTCGATGTATTCTTTACAATAAATAATTGTGAATGAGGAAAATATGAGGAAAAAAATTGCAGAAATGCGTAGATTCATTTTTTTAGTATTGATCCTAAAAAAATGAAGATAATAAAAATTAGTAAAAAGTTAGAAATTTAGTTTAAGGGATAATTGCGGATTTAATGTGACTATCAACTACATTATTTTAATTTACTTGCAAAAATTAAATTTTTATTTTTTAGAGCACTTTTTTTGTGAAATGTTTTTCAGATCATGTTCGATAGACGACTAAAAATTGCGACAACAATGACAATGACAAATTAGTTATGTATATAGATACCTTTCTCGAAAGATATATTAATGAGAAAATGAAACACGATTTTCACTAAATAAGGAGGTGGTATTTTGAGACGAACTTGACAAAAGTGAAAATGACGGAAATGACTAAATGTATTTTTAAAAAAAACGTCACACACTCGTCCCTGATTATTATTGTTGGTGAAAAAAAATACTTTTACACTGATTTAATGAATGAATTTTTATTGCAACTTACCAAAAATACTTTTTTTGTATTATATACACTTTTTTATAAATTTTTCCCCCACATTTCTATATAGAATGATTGAAAGTTAAAGAAAACCAAACAGATACTGAACGGATTTTACTTTTTCTCACTTATAATTGTTCATTGTTGCTCTTTTGTTTACAGTCTGAGCTCAGTTGATAAAGTCGTTTCCTAAATATACTGTTCTCTATAGATAATTCAAAATTGAAACGCTTGGAACTTTTTAATTATTTTTCCAAGAATAATTATGTCTTTGTCATTTTAATAATGGTCTTTGCTAATATAAAACCGTTTTTTCCATTCTTTTCTTTTCTAAACATTAACATGACTTTTTTCGATTCGTTTTTTAATTTATTTTAATAAAATGCAATTTTTTTTTAAAAATATAATATTTAAATTAAATAATTACTCATAGTTAAAAATCGATTTTTTTCTAACATACAAAACAATATTTTCTAATAAAATTAAATTTTAAAGAAGCTTAAAATATCGTCGATAATTTATTCTTGAAACAATGGGAAAAATAGTAGCAAAAATTATTAATGCTTGTTTTTTATTTTTATTAAATTATTGAAAGTTATAAACAATTGACAGGAATGAATTAAACTCGTCGACAAATGCAAAATTGCGAACCTGGGGGTACATAACAAACAAGTTCAGGGCAACAATTACAAAATTCACCCAATGGACACATTTGTCCATCTCCAAGACACGGTGCCTGAGTAGCAAGAGAATAATTATTACAGAAAATAATGATTAATCCCATAAACATCCAAAATGGAAATAATTTCAAAGCAGCCATTTTTTTTTACTTGGTGTAAGATTTTTAACAATTTTTTTTAGAAATTGCAGTAGAAATTTTAATTAACTTTCACTAAACCAATTGTGTTTAGCAAATTTTTTTATTCTTCAAATTTTTCTATGAAGAAGAAGCTTTTATACTCTCTTTCACTTTTATCATTCTTTAAAATCAAACAAAGCCATAATTTTCCTTCTTTTTGTTATTTCAAGTGAGTTCACATTTTTTGCAATGACCGCAAACGATAAATATTTTCAAAACTTGAAAAAATATTACGACCATATTTCCTGGAATGACAAAAAATCACTTATTTGTTTGATTTTTCTAATTGACAACAAAGAATTGCTTATTATTAGAAATTTTACTGAAAATTCAATTATTTAAATACAAAAATAAATAATTTATTGAATATTAAAGGTTTATTAACACTTAATTCTTATGAAATGATTTATAATTCTTTCGAAAAATTTTATCAACAAATTTATAATAATAATTGAGTAGAAACTCCACCCGTACGCTATCAGACAAACGAAATTAGCATAAAAATGCGTTTTAATTAAATTCTTATCAATTCTATTATTTTCTATGGACTGGAATCCACCCAAATTGTTGCAGGGATGTTGCTGAACAACAAGAAAAATAATAGAATATTTTATTGTAACTTTATCGTAGTAGCACCTCCACCCGAACGCTATCAGACAATCGAAATTAGCATAAAAATGCGTTTTAATTAAATTCTTATCAATTCTATTTTTTTCTATGGACCAGAATCCATCGAAATTAAAGATGGGATGTTGCTGAACAACAAGAAAAATAATAGAATATTTTATTTTAACTTTAACGTAGTAGCACCTCCACCCGAACGCTATCAGACAATCGAAATTAGCATAAAAATGCGTTTTAATTAAATTCTTATCAATTCTATTATTTTCTATGGACCGGAATCCACCCAAATTGTTGCAGGGATGTTGCTGAACAACAAGAAAAATAATAGAATATTTTATTTTAACTTTAACGTAGTAGCACCTCCACCCGAACGCTATCAGACAATCGAAATTAGCATAAAAATGCGTTTTAATTAAATTCTTATCAATTCTATTTTTTTCTATGGACCAGAATCCATCGAAATTAAAGATGGGATGTTGCTGAACAACAAGAAAAATAATAGAATATTTTATTTTAACTTTAACGTAGTAGCACCTCCACCCGAACGCTATCAGACAATCGAAATTAGCATAAAAATGCGTTTTAATTAAATTCTTATCAATTCTATTATTTTCTATGGACCGGAATCCACCCAAATTGTTGCAGGGATGTTGCTGAACAACAAGAAAAATAATAGAATATTTTATTTTAACTTTAACGTAGTAGCACCTCCACCCGAACGCTATCAGACAATCGAAATTAGCATAAAAATGCGTTTTAATTAAATTCTTATCAATTCTATTATTTTCTATGCACCGGAATCCATCGAAATTGAAGATGGGATGTTGCTGAACAACAAGAAAAATAATAGAATATTTTATTTTAACTTTAACGTAGTACCACCTCCACCCGAACGCTATCAGACAATCGAAATTAGCATAAAAATGCGTTTTAATTAAATTCTTATCAATTCTATTATTTTCTATGGACCGGAATCCACCCAAATTGTTGCAGGGATGTTGCTGAACAACAAGAAAAATAATAGAATATTTTATTTTAACTTTAACGTAGTAGCACCTCCACCCGAACGCTATCAGACAATCGAAATTAGCATAAAAATGCGTTTTAATTAAATTCTTATCAATTCTATTTTTTTCTATGGACAGGAATCCACCCAAATGGTTGCTGGGATGTTGCTGAACAACAAGAAAAATAATAGAATATTTTATTTTAACTTTAACGTAGTAGCACCTCCACCCGAACGCTATCAGACAATCGAAATTAGCATAAAAATGCGTTTTAATTAAATTCTTATCAATTCTATTTTTTTCTATGGACCGGAATCCATCGAAATTGAAGATGGGATGTTGCTAAACAACAAGAAAAATAATAGAATATTTTATTTTAACTTTAACGTAGTAGCACCTCCACCCGAACGCTATCAGACAATCGAAATTAGCATAAAAATGCGTTTTATTTAAATTCTTATCAATTCTATTATTTTCTATGAACCGGAATCCACCCAAATGGTTGCTGGGATGTTGCTGAACAACAAGAAAAATAATAGAATATTTTATTTTAACTTTAACGTAGTAGCACCTCCACCCGAACGCTATCAGACAATCGAAATTAGCATAAAAATGCGTTTTAATTAAATTCTTATCAATTCTATTTTTTTCTATGGACCAGAATCCATCGAAATTAAAGATGGGATGTTGCTGAACAACAAGAAAAATAATAGAATATTTTATTTTAACTTTAACGTAGTAGCACCTCCACCCGAACGCTATCAGACAATCGAAATTAGCATAAAAATGCGTTTTAATTAAATTCTTATCAATTCTATTATTTTCTATGGACCGGAATCCACCCAAATTGTTGCAAGGATGTTGCTGAACAACAAGAAAAATAATAGAATATTTTATTTTAACTTTAACGTAGTAGCACCTCCACCCGAACGCTATCAGACAATCGAAATTAGCATAAAAATGCGTTTTAATTAAATTCTTATCAATTCTATTATTTTCTATGCACCGGAATCCATCGAAATTGAAGATGGGATGTTGCTGAACAACAAGAAAAAAAATAGAATATTTTATTTTAACTTTAACGTAGTACCACCTCCACCCGAACGCTATCAGACAATCGAAATTAGCATAAAAATGCGTTTTAATTAAATTCTTATCAATTCTATTTTTTTCTATGGACCAGAATCCATCGAAATTGAAGATGGGATGTTGCTAAACAACAAGAAAAATAATAGAATATTTTATTTTAACTTTAACGTAGTAGCACCTCCACCCGAACGCTATCAGACAATCGAAATTAGCATAAAAATGCGTTTTAATTAAATTCTTATCAATTCTATTATTTTCTATGCACCGGAATCCATCGAAATTGAAGATGGGATGTTGCTGAACAACAAGAAAAATAATAGAATATTTTATTTTAAATTAACGTAGTACCACCTCCACCCGAACGCTATCAGACAATCGAAATTAGCATAAAATTGGGTTTTAATTAAATTCTTATCAATTCTATTATTTTCTATGGACCGGAATCCACCCAAATTGCTGCAGGGATGTTGCTGAACAACAAGAAAAATAATAGAATATTTTATTTTAACTTTAACGTAGTAGCACCTCCACCCGAACGCTATCAGACAATCAAAATTACCATAAAAATGCGTTTTAATTAAATTCTTATCAATTCTATTATTTTCAAGGGACCGGAATCCATCGAAATAGAAGATGGGATGTTGCTGAACAACAAGAAAAATAATAGAATATTTTATTTTAACTTTAACGTAGTAGCACCTCCACCCGAACGCTATCAGACAATCGAAATTAGCATAAAAATGCGTTTTAATTAAATTCTTATCAATTCTATTTTTTTCTATGGACTGGAATCCATTGAAATTGAAGATGGGATGTTGCTGAACAACAAGAAAAATAATAAAATATTTTATTTTAACTTTAACGTAGTAGCACCTCCACCCGAACGCTATCAGACAATCAAAATTAGTATAAAAATGCGTTTTAATTAAATTCTTATCAATTCTATTATTTTCTATGCACCGGAATCCACCCAGATTGTTGCAGGGATGTTGCTGAACAACATGAAAAATAATAGAATATTTTATTTTAACTTTAACGTAGTAGCACCTTCACCCGAACGCTATCAGACAATCGAAATTAGCATAAAAATGCGTTTTAATTAAATTCTTATCAATTCTATTATTTTCTATGCACCGGAATCCACCCAAATTGTTGCAGGGATGTTGCTGAACAACAAGAAAAATAATAGAATATTTTATTTTAACTTTAACGTAGTAGCACCTCCACCCGAACGCTATCAGACAATCGAAATTAGCATAAAAATGCGTTTTAATTAAATTCTTATCAATTCTATTTTTTTCTATGGACCAGAATCCATCGAAATTGAAGATGGGATGTTGCTGAACAACAAGAAAAATAATAGAATATTTTATTTTAACTTTAACGTAGTAGCACCTCCACCCGAACGCTATCAGACAATCGAAATTAGCATAAAAATGAATTTTAATTAAATTCTTATCAATTCTATTATTTTCTATGGACCGGAATCCACCCAAATTGTTGCAGGGATGTTGCTGAACAACAAGAAAAATAATAGAATATTTTATTTTGACTTTAATGTAGTAGCACCTCCACCCGAACGCT